AATAGCTAACGGTAGGACGGCTAAGATAGTATAGAAAGAGCTTTAAGAAGTAGCCTTTATAATCGGATAATAAAAAGAGACGATTACTCTTAATATTACTAAGATCCTAACGTACGATGTCGTATTAAGTATAATATAGCTTCATAACTATAACCCCTATATTAATTAGTAAAAAAGAAAAGTTATATTTTCGTTATATAGTACGAATAAGAAAAAGGGAGATCGATTACCTCTAAAGGCCCCTATCGAGGAAAGAGCGATAATAGTGCGACCGTAGAGAAGAAACGCACTAGCTAACTCTAGTGTTATAGAGATTCCCTCGGAATATAAGGACTTTAAAGATATCTTTAAAGAGCGCGAAGAATTAGCGGCGCTACTAGAACATAAGTTATAGGATTACGAAATACTAATCTAGGAGGGTAAGGAGCCCCGATACACTAGATAGCTAAAAAGGCTATCCTAAAAGGAAGAGGAATTCCTTAAGGATTATATAAAGAAACTCGAGGCTAAGAGCTTTATATATAAATCGATATTACCCATCTCTTATAGAGTGCTTTTCGCACCTAAAAAGGATAGAGGACTACGCTCTTATATCGACTTCCGATTACTTAACGAGATCACGATTAAAAATAGATATCTACTTCCACGAATTAATAATATATAAAATTAACTCCTCGGAGCTAAATACTTCTCGGCACTCGATATTAAGGACGCTTACTACCGAATACGGATAAAAAAAGGGGAAGAGTAGAAAATAGCTTTTAAAACTAGATAAGGACTTTAGAAGTATTAAGTAATGCCTTTTAAACTAATTAATACCCCTACCTTATTCTAAAGCTTAATTAATAATACGTTAAAGGACTTCTTAGACGACTTTATAGTAGTGTACCTCGACGATGTCTTAATCTTCTCGAAAATATACGAAGAATATATAGAATATATATAGAAGGTACTACGATGATTATAAGAGAAACAGCTCCTAATTAAACTTAGTAAATGCGAATTTTATAAAGATAGTATAGCTTTCCTAGGCTATATAGTATTAACTAAGGGATTATAACTAGACCTAAAAAAGGTTAAGGTAGTAAGAGACTAGCTCGAACCGACTAATGTTAAAGAGGTATAAGCAGCACTCGGATTTATAAACTACTACTAAAAGTTTATTAAAGATTTCTCGAAAATCGTAGTATCTTTATTAGCCTTAATAAAGAAGAATACTATATTTAATTTCGACTAGGATTATAAAAGAGCCTTTGAGGATATTAAGGACCGACTTATATCGGTACCTATCTTAGTAATCTTCGACCTAGAGAAAGAAATCACGCTTAAAATAGATATATCGGATTACACTATTAGAGCCTACCTTATATAAAGGGATAATGAAGGACGAATAAGACCGATTATATACTATTCTAGAAAGATAACTAGACCGGAAACGAATTACGATATACACGATAAAGAATTATTAGCGATAGTTAAAGCACTACGCGAATAAAGAGTCTATCTCGAAGGACCTAAGTATCCTATCTAAATCTACTTAGACTATAAAAACTTACTATACTAGATAACTATAAAGTAATTAATTAGGAGATAGGTATAGTAGGCCGAGACACTTTCCGTATACTGGTTTAAGATAAACTATATTAAAGGAATAGAAAACGGAAGAGTAGACGCCCTAAGTAAGAGACTAGATTATAAAGAAAACTCGTAACTAAAACCGGCCGCTATTCTTAAATAGGAAAATAACTACCTTATATACCGAACACCGCTTACGAATATACTAGCCATTATAGACGTCGAACTAATAAAGGAATAGAGGAGAGAGGTTATTAAAGGACGATACGAAGATAAATCAGCAGGATATCTAGGAGTAAATAAGACTATTAAACTAATTATAAGAGATTTTATCTAGAGAGGACTAAGGAAGGATATTAAATAATATATTAAGGATTACGATATATACGCGAAAATAAAGTATACGCGATATAAACTATATAGACTACTATAAATAGTAAAACTTAAAGACGAGTTATAAGTACGGATTACACTAAACTTTATTATTAAACTACTATAATCTAAGGAACCGCTTATAAGGACGAGCTACGATAATATTATAGTAATTATAGATATACTTACGAAATACGCTTACTTTATACCCTAAAAGGAATTAAGCATAGTAAAGGAACTAGTATACACTTTTATAAAAATAATTATTACGTAGTATAGGATACTAAAGGAGATTATATCCGATAAAGATAAGCTATTTACGTCGTAGTTCTAGTAGTCACTAATAAACTTAACGAGAATATACTAAAAACTGTCTATAGTATATTATCCTTAGACGAATAGACAGACGGAATAAATTAACTAAATACTTAAATAATACCTACGGTGCTACGTTAATTACTAATAAGATAACTAGGTAGAGCTACTACTAATTATATAATTCGCTTATAATAATTTAAAAACTTTAATAGGAATATCGCTATTCTATACGAACTACGGAAAACACCTAAATATTAAAAAAGACGTAAAAGGACTATAACTAATAGCGGAAAAAGCTAAAATCTCGGTTAAGAAGTTATAGTTACTATATAAGATAATAAAAATAGAACTATATAAAATATTATAAAAAATATTAAAATATATAAATATTAAAAGATCTAAGGGACTAGACTTTTAAGAGGGGGAGAAAGTCTATATCCTACGAAAAAACATTAAAATATAAAGACTAAGTAATAAGCTGGATTATACTAAAATTAGACTATATAAAATTAAAAAGAAATTAGGACTAGTGATATTCGAGATGGAATTACTAGTAAGTATAAATATCTACCTAGTGTTCTATAAGTCACTACTCGAGAAAGCACTCTAAAACGCTACACTAGGACTAGTCCTAATTTATAAAGAAACACAAGAGCTACTATATAATATAGAGCGAATCGTAGACTACCGAGAAACTAAACACCGATAATAATACCTAATTAAATAGTTAAGGTATAAGGATAGCGAAAACATATAGGAGCCCGAAGAAAACCTACCCGCGGACCTTATTAAATAATACTACTAAATAAGGATATAAGAGATTAGCCAGCCGCCTACTAGCTACCACCTTTAAAGTTTAGAACCTTATTCTAATTAACTAACTTAAATAAGGGCGCGTCTTACTAAATAAAGTTAGGCTCGGCTAAAGCTACCTTATTCTAAGCCGGCACCTTATTAAAGGCATCTAGTACTATTATCTCTCGCTTTAATATATTACTAGAAATCTTATCTAGACGCGCTAGGAAGTCTTAAAGGTTAGCGTCGCCCTCCTTTAACTCAGTAAGTGTTTTTCGTAAACGCGCGATCTCGCGCCTTTTAGCCCTCGACTTAACCGCTAGCTATTTCTTCTGCTCTCCGATTTTTCGGAGCTCCTCTATAGAGAATATTCCGTTATACTCTTTACGATGCCGAAGATATGCCGCACACTTTATACTCTACTCCCTTAAGTAGAAATAGACTTTACTATAATTTATATACTCGGTGTAAGACACTATAACTTCGGTTTTCTCGACGAATTCGATATAATTAATGATCTCGTTTTAACGCTGCTACTAGAGAACAATAGGCTTAGAGGATTTAGGAGGTTTAGGGTTTAATTTATATACCTTAAAGGCCTATATAGTTAGTTATAAGAAAAAGAAGGAATAATAAATAACGACGAGAGCGGGCTATAGCCTACCTTAAGTATATTACGAATAACGAACAGGCTAGGGAAGAGAAAGTATTACGAATCGACCTTTATACGACCTGCCGGGCCTGGCGCAGGAAGGGAGGTTAAGCGAGGAAGTTAGCCTCGTTAGCAAGGCTGGCTCGGGTCATGTAACATCCTAAATAGGAAATAAGGTGTTGCAGTAATTGTATATTATATATACAACAGGGGTAATAGTGTAACGCCTAGACTTTCCTAGATAGGAAAACTACCTATATATATAGTTATAGCTAGATACACTTCTATAGGAGGTGTAGTTAACTTTAGTTAACATTACGCTTAAGGAGATACAGTATAAGTGCTGTGTCCCGTCTAACGATCTGTTCGGCATTAACCTTTACTCTACCCCGATAATCAAGAACCCCTAGGGTTACCTGTGTACTTACGTGTCCTTATACACGCTGCGCGGAGGCAATTCTTAATAAGGCTGTAGAAATTAATCTTTTATAGATTTATAAAATATAAATTTATAAAAGATCTAGTTATTAATATAACTAATTTTCTTATTATTAGACTTTATTATTAAAGATATCGTATTATTATTACCTCGCCGCTAGCCTAAAGTAAAGAATAATATATTATACTAGTAAGTTTATAAGGTTTAGGTTTAGTTTTTTAATAAGTATAGATATATTAAATAGTATTAATATAATTTTCTTTAAAAATAAATAGCTAGCTACTATATAATAATAAAAATACTTAGAAAATATTCTTACTCCTCTCGTACCGCGTGATTATATAGAATATATTAAGTGTAATTTTAAATTTACACTACTAACGTAAAGTATAAAGGTAAATACATATCGGAGCTTAGACTCGTTTTGCAAAATCTCGCTCGAATTTTTTGATTGGCTCGCTAATCAGCGCCTTAGCGCGCGGCAAAACGCGTCTAAGCTGACTGAGACAAGTACCAAGAGGTGTACTGGGCTATACCCCCTATTATACGATACTGTATTGTTTATATAGGCCTTCGTAACTATATAGCTAGGTCTCCCCCTAGACCCCTCTGAAATTCATCATGTCCTCTAATTGAGTCACAGCGTCCTTTGACCAGAACCAGCAGACCAAGTGTTGGTCCGTATTTCGCAGCATTTGCTGCCGCATGTCCCACCGTAGCTTATCGATAAGCGCAGGCTAAAAATTATTTCAGTCGACAGCCATCTATCGGCATCACCGCCCTTCTTCGAGTTTGAAGGTGGGCATGCTGTTTTGAGGAGGAGCTGCTGGCTGTGGTGAATCTCCCGAAATGTTGCGTGAAGTGTGAGCTTGCCTCAAAAACGCAAGGTCTCTAATACTGACTGGTGTTTCCTAGAAAACCTCGGAATGCGCGGACGGCCCGTATCGTTAAGGCTCGCGAGCCTCAACAGGTCGAGTCGAGGAAACGAGTACTGCTCCTGCACGGGACCAAATGTCCTCTGCCGGTCCAAACCGTGCTCAAGACGGTACATACCCTCACCAAACCAGACTCGGTCATGCTCAACAAGAAGAATGACAACATTCACCCTTTCGAGAGTACCGAATCTTTGGAGTTTCTGGCGGGTAAAAATGAATGTGGCGTGGTTGTCTTTGGCGCACATTCGAAGAAGAGACCGAACAATCTCACCATGATGCGGATTTACAACGGAAAGGTGCTTGACATGGTGGAATTACTCCTCCTCGTGCCTATGGATCAACCGCAGCCAGAGCCGAAACTAACGATTGGAGTGGAAATGAAGCCTTTGATTTTGTTTGCAGGCTCGCAGTGGGATGATACCTCATCTTCGGCCCAGGCTACCTTGTATCAAAGTCTTAAATCCATGATGCTGGATCTCTTCCAAGGCGAGGAAATCTCCTCCATTGACGTGGCGGGCCTGCAGTATCTTCTCATGATTGCTGCAGGCGAGAGTTCTGGTACCTCCCCAGACCTCAGTGACCCGACGAATAAGCCTGTCCTTCATCTCAGATGGTACAAGATCCGGACAATGAGATCAAACAGTCCGAAGATACCTCGAGTTGAGCTTGATCCTATTGGGCCAAGCTTCGACTTTCGAGTTGGGCGTTTCCAGGAGGCTGACTCGACGGTGATGAGGGACGCCTTGAAACATGGCCGCCGACCCAACGAAGCACGGACGAAGAAGAACATTGAGACTGATTTAGTCGGTGACAAGATTGGCCGCGTTCATCTCGGCAAGCAAGACCTCTCGACTTTGCAGACAAGGAAGATGAAGGGATTGAAGCGAGTTCATGACGACATTGAGGATGAGGAAGAAATGCCAGACCTTGACGGCGAAGAAGACATTGTCAGCCAAGATGGAGATGTCGGGAATGGAGGAATGGACATTGAGGAGGGAGCCAGCAGTGACTTCGGCAGTGGTGATGAGATCAGTATCGGCGACGATGATGATGATGAAGAGATGGCGGATGCGCATGACGAACAGAACGAGAAGCTAAAGAGGCAGAGGACTTCGTGAAAGACATTTCAAGCCGAGAAACCCAGTTATCTAACAGTGGTCCCAAGACTTACCAAGTCTGTCACTTCGGATGGCTACAATACAACACCTCGGGGTGCTACACCGGCAGCAACTTGCTCGATTTCGCACCACCTGGGGTCCAAAGAAGCAGCAATCGTGTCCGACACGTGCCACGCTAAGTTACGACAGATACAGGCTGCGTTCGTGGGAGGATCCTGTCTCCAGGAGCATCGACAACCTGGCTGTGGATGTTCAAGCAGAACCTTCAATGGCTTTCCGGAAATATCAGTCAGCCACTTCTACACTGAGTGTGGCCTCACTCTCCCGTCACTATGTCCTCATGGCATGCACCGGGAAAGAGCACGCCCACTGAATGAGACGGGGTTGCACGACGATGGAAAGAGAATATTGTTTTGTGGTCAAGGAGCTGTACGAAATATAAATGTATGCTGGAATCTGTGCACGCGCGAGAATTTGCCGTGCAAAGCGGCGCGGAATTGGCGTCGCAAAGGCAAAATGAAGAGCCGAGGCACATGACGGCGATCGAGGAGGATTTGTGGGGAAGCGAGGAATGACACCGCAAACCGCCGGCTGTGTTCACATGCGCCGACCGAAAACTGGCGGAGAGATGATGTCGCTGTACTGTGTATCTCCTCGTTCGCCGAGGGCTCTTGTTCCTGCTCCTACGCATGGACCTTGCATACCTACTTTTCATTCAGCAATTGATACTAGATGCGACAAAGTAACACATGCCAGCTCTTTGCGACCAGCTCTTGCCCTTGACACCCATGACGTGAGCCGCGACTTCCTCCTACACCTGAGCGTCTCCGGTGTTGCGCTCCATTACGACCCTAAGAGTCTCTTCCCATCTCTGGCAGCGAAATCGACGCTGACATAGAAGGATGGATGTCCTTAAAGTCAGTCCGCTTCCTCTACCGTCGTTACCAGACCAACTAACGTCTCCCAGCAAACAGTTGATTCCATCATCCTCAATCCAGACCTTGCCCCTCTCCTCGCAATCGTCAAAGCTGCCCGCAATGGCGCCGTCTACGGTGCCAAAGTCCGATTTCCGCACGCCCTCGTCATGGTTTTCATGTTCCGATCAGGCACATTAAAAGAAAAGCTGCGGCTGGTGTTCAAGGCGACCAGACAACATGCGCGCAACCTCGCCTTCTTTGCAACAGTATACAAGTCCTCAATGTTAATATTGAGGTTACTAAACCCTTCCGCTCCGGGCAAAGAGGGCCCCTATGATACATTTCTTGCCGGGCTAGTAGGAGGCTACCTTGTTTTCGGCAGGGGGAAGCAAGCAAGGTGGGTACAATCTTCAGCAGCAGCGAGTGGGGAGCTAAAGAAATCTGTCAAGGTCGAGCGTCAATCAACAAATCGTCATATACGTGTTCGCTCGAGTCGTGCTTGCTCTAGCGAAACTCGCCTTCGAGCCACCGAGTGCCACGAGTTCGACACCTACTCCCACGTTATTCACTCAGCGACTGTCACCCGAGTTGAAAGCCAAGATCGAAAACAACGCCTGGCCGGTGTTTGCCAGTCTCAGCTGGGCTTTGGTCATGTACATCTTTAGATGGCAGCCGGAGAGCATCCAGTCCAGTTTAAAGAGCAGTATGAAATATATGTATGTTGTGGTATTTCCTGACACACTGGTGATAATGCTTACCTGCTCTCAGATATGTGAACTCGGACTACTGGGATAACTTCAGGAATTTCCTCATTTACAACACTTAAGAGACCTCGGGCCAAGACTATGCGCATTCGCCACGGCGTTCGGACATCAAGACGATCACGGCAAATGTACCTAGGTATACACGGCTTGCATGCGAGTACGGAAGCGCAACCATATTCTGGTGGCATAGGGCCCAGTCCTGTCAGGCAATCCTGAAGACGAGACGTGCAGATCTACCTATAGGTATGACATTGTACAGAAACAGAACCTCCTTCAATCGTGATGTCAGTCAATCCATGGGTTTTTCCTTGTTTGCTGAAGGCAGGCATGGCATCACGGGAGAGCACGCCTTGGTGTGGTATGTACCGTGAAAGCGCGTTAATCAAGATTCGAAGAGACAATGTCGCCTCTTCTTGAGAGTCATATTGCTTCAGACTGGGAATGCTGATGTCGTTACTGATTTCTTAATTCCTCTCGACCTACGCATCACTCTTGGAGGCGTCCACGGCTGTGAACCTCGTATCAGACACGACACAGCCATCGCCGGATGTATTCTGGCCAATCCCAGGTTGCCCTGGGGGCGAGGCAGACACCATTGCCAGGTAAGTTGCCCGTACCGCCTCGAACAGCCTTGCGCTGCTCGACTTACCTGCATTTATTTATCCGTTTCTCCTTACCCCCATAAGACCTTGTCCTTCGGACTTTTTCTATCAATGACCTGCCTCGAGCCATAGAAAGCGTTTGAACACAAAACGGTGGTGTTTGCGCTCCTCTTCAAAGAGCGAGATTGGCAACGGACGACGCTCGGCAAACCTGGAGTCTACCAGTTATTGGACTTCGTACGGTGAGGCTGCCATCTCAATAGAAGATCTCAGCTGATCCTCGCAGGAGCTGCCAAAGCCCAATTTCACGGACTCGGTCGTAAATGGGGGAGACCCCATCGAACCCACCATTAAGACTGTGGTAATCCAGCTAGCATACTTGTTAACCTGGAGCCATCTTTTGACGATCCAAGGTCACGGTATCCGAAGCCAGGCCTCCAATGTGTGCATCGCCGCTATCAATCCCCCGTTACCCATTGTTTTGACTGCAAGTGACCTCGTCAGAGCGATAGGCACATCTGTTACATGTTGGTCAACTCCGCAAGTCTTCGGCATAAGCTATTATCGGGCGGCGGCTCCTGGTCCGGCCCCGAGCTGTCCACTTGTGGTAAACCTTGGGATGATACTGTTGGATATGCAAGGCGGATGCGATTCCCAGGTCTCGCACGTCACAATCATAAAGGCATAATGGATTAAATCTGCAGTTCAGCCAAGCCAGGCCGGGACAGCGAATGTACTGATAAGCAGCTACAAATGGGGAAAAGGGGTAATCTCATTGAAGACGAACAAAGCAGACCTCTCCAATTGATCTGGAGAGAAAAATGTGATAAGACGCTCACGCCCTTTCAGAGCCCATCGTCAGGTCGGACCCCAGTCCAAGCGCCACGCTCACTAAAATCCATCACACAGAGCTTGTTCCAGAGTTCAAAGCGAAGCAAAGTAGCCAACGTAGCTCTTGCCATGCTGCGATGCTGCCATCTCGCCATTCTGCCATCCTGCCATTCCACCATCTCGCCATTCCTCGCTGGAAACACAGTCTTCCGTGGATGGTTCCGCACAACCGCGAGCTGGGTTCCTCGAAACGAGGAAACCACAACTGTAACCTTGAAAGAAATAAGAAACAGAAAGTGAGAAGTGAGCCTGCTTTACTCGCTGCTGTTTCGATGGCAGACATCGCCATATGCCTGGTCGATCGATCTGGAGTAGTTTCAGAACGGGAAACGGGAAACGCACAGTAAGAAGCGAGCCTAGTTTACTCGCGCCTGGGTCGATGGCAGATATCTTCACAGGCATAGCTGAGCGATCCGGACTAATTCTTGGGACCGCAAAAAAGGGACCGTCCAGACAGATCCCAAAACATTCTCTACAAATTCCAACTCGGATCCCAGGAGGCCAGAGTTCAACTTTGAGTTGCGGGTTGCCGCTTCACTCGCTGTTACGTACGGAGGCAATCCATGTTGGTTTTCTTTTGATGCGCTTTATTGATATGCTTATGTTCAACGCGTACGGTATTCCTACCTGACCCGAGGTCAACCTTGAGAAAAATGTTTCCTGTTTAAAGCAGGGGACAGGGCATGGTCGAAGCGGGGGAAGACCACAGGACGAGGGTCCAGGTGTTTTGGCGCCCGAGATAGTGGTCGGCCTCATTGTCGATTAAGCGTAGAGGAATTCCCCCTTAGTCCAGTATCCCAGTCAGGAAATGGGGTTCCGTCCGCCGTGTTGGCTGCCGCGAAAGTTGCTCGTCGTCTAGCGTCTCGATCGAAGAACAGTGTCCTATCCGCCGTGTTGGCTGCCGGCAAGTAGCTGGACGGCGAAAATGACAGTTAGGGTTGGGATGAAGGAAATGGCCATTCCCACTGAGGAGGATATTCCTGACCTTGGAAATCTTGCGGCCATAGCGTCGCTGTGTAATAGGGGTAGTGGTGGCTCCCCGTGACCATAGGCGCAGGAGGAGGACCTCTTTCGCTACCACCACCGCCGCCCGAATCTGGTCTGACCCATCCAGACGTGGTAGGCGCGTCGCTCATACTATAGACTAAGTCTGTAATCGGTGGACCACATGTCGGTGGCATATAGTCTGGGATCGGTGGACCACACGCCGGTCGCAACCATGGTGAGGATGGCGGCGGGTAGATCGAGGTATGCGCTGTACCGTCATTGAGGTTTGTTAGACGTGCCGTTGGCTCGAAGGAAGCTGATGGTCTAGGTTTCGTCATTGCGGCTGCTGAGCCTGGTGAATGATATGTAAAGGTCCGACTCCTCGAAGCAGCTTGGGGAAACAAATTTGCGGAGGGCATCAAACGCGATGGCTCCTCTGATACGTTCGAATCCGGTGTGATGGCGGGTTGTATCAGTCTTTTGAGGGTGGGAAGCGACTCTGCCCGAGACTCTAAGATGCCAGGGAAAACGTAGGCGGTGGAGGCAGCATCTTTGTCCTGCCCGAGGACGCCGACGCTATCAAGGATGGTAGTGATGTTCGTGTTGACCTGAACGTCGTGGACGCTGTCCTCGAGTCCTCTCCCGGAGATGACGCGCTTGTACAGTTCCACGACGCCGGCCTTGAAGGATTCGTTGTCATACAAGATCTGGTCTGTCTGTTTGTGGACTGCGCCCCTCAAGACGTGTCGTTTCCGCGTCAGGCTGAATCTGCAGACATCGTCGTCGCGGCAGCACCTGTAACATGGCATGTTGCCGTCGCATTTCGCCTTCTTGATGCGACACCTCTCGCAGGCGCGAGTGACTCGTTCGCGCGAAGTTCCGGCGCATGTTCTCGGGGACATTTCATGGTCAAAGGAAGATCGTGCAGTGTGGCGGGTAACAAGGAGAAGAAAGGGGAGGAAAAGAGCTGCGAAAGACGATTGTCGCGTTTTATACAATAGGCAGCATACACCCCTTCTAGCACAGGGCAAACACTCACCTACCGGTCGAGTCTGTACAGACGACAATATCTCATGTTGAGGTCCGATCCATATCAGCGTATAGTGTTGGACCAGGCTGACCACTCCTGTTGCTGACCGAAACATCACCGAGGGGGAAAGACTTCGAGGCGTGACTCACCAATAAAGGTCCTCGCGCCGACCTCTCGTCTGGAGATCATTTTCCGCTCCTACGAGAATGAATATGCTTCGCTTGGATATCTGCCGAGAACACAGCTATGAGGCTCCACGCCTTGGGGTTAGTTGAGCGGAACCGAGCGGCTCATTGGATCAGTGAATACAGGTGTATATGCGTCCTGTCTGTCTTGCTTTCTTCGGCACATACGCTGCTACCACGCATGTCGCGCACGGAAACACCCGAAGGGACGAAATTCAACCATGGTTGGCTGACCAAGTCAAGAAGGGAGAGCAAACCGTTGTTTGAATGTCAAGCCACAACCGCATTAGAGGTGGATGGCTGTGAGCCGATCGAGGCTCATGCAGGCAACCACTAGCGCCAGACCGCAGCACGCTTAGCTTCGTCGCGTATGACGGATAGGAGGTTGATTGTGGAGAAGAGAGCAGAGGCACGTGGCAGTTCCATGAAGTGAGAGTAGAATCGCGTTGCGGGTGATTTGCCTCTAAGTGCACGGTGATTTTGATCCGCGTTCTATACACGGCCCAGCGCGCTTGTGGTGAGCAGACTGTACTTCTCATTCGGTGATACAGTTTCTGTACGGAGATCCAAAGGGATAGAGCCATCACTGATGTAGACGAAAGAGAAGTTGCAGACAGCATGTGCAGCCTGAAGACGCATATATTAGGCTGAAGGCAGGTTGTAGGTGAAGCAGATCTGAGAAAGGATTGAAGCTGATGAAAGTAACAAAGTACGGAGTACAGTAGCCGGCTTAGTTACCCTACCCAAGGTACCTAGTCTACTTCGGGAATCTCGGCGTTGGGCGTAACAAGCGAGGCAGGACGTGAACCCTTGCTACCCTACTATATTCAGCTCAACCTTTCTTCGGTCCATTACCGTACTACTTGTGTACTGTGTACCTAAGTCCTCGATCTGACCTGTGACCTCAACAATGATTGTTAACATCTCGATCTGACTGTTTGCGCTGACCATTACATCCCGATACGTGGCGAGGACCGCATTCTACGCTTCTCAACCAACCTAGACCAGATACCGGAGGTGCGCCCTCAACGGAGTTCATCTCCCGCTTCATTCAGTTCGTCAACTTGACAAATGATTACCATCATAGGCTCGTAACAGGCGGCCTTGTCTCCGCTTGTACTGGCTATATCTGGCACGCCACCGGTGGTACCGCTGACCACTGATCATTTTCCTGTTGACTTGGGCAGACCGTAGCGCCATTTCAGAACCCACATCTCCATCTGAGTATTATGGCATCAATGCAGACATGCACGGCCGGCACTGTCTATGTTTGACCGCTGACTTGTGGCTTTCGAAGTGGGATCGTGATATCATTGAGTGTGGTCAGCCTCGGCCTTCCGAGGTAGGCAACACGGCTAAGTCTCAAATTCGCCTGGCCGTCCCCAGTGCCTGATGCCCTAAGATGATCCCGACAGAGGGCCTGCATGGCGTTGGGCCGGGAGACATCCGAGCCATGAACGAGAACGAGAGTCTGCAAAAGCAATTGGACTAGTACTTGCTGGCGGATGGCTGGAGTTTGAATGCTGCAAGTGGTGCCAACACCTGGACTCGCTGCTCGAATGCGGATATCGGCTTAGAGCATTGTGGAAATCATTCTGTTACATTTTCCGTAAGTGAGCAGAAGCCTGCTATGCTAGATGGGGTATTTCAAACCATCACCAGCCCTTCATGCTTAAATCGTTTCGGGTCGTGTCGTGCTAAGCGTTGCAGTGCATTCCCGCTCCAACTCCAACTCCAACTACAGGCGCCTACCCAACCTTCCCAATCGATATTAATGTTTTTCGATCACGACGGCGTCGAGTTCTTGCTCTTGTGTCCCTCAAATGCCTTCGAGCTTCAACTCCTTGGCAATCACATCCGCCCATTCGTCAATCTCATTCCAGTCGCGGTAGTCTCCAAACCGCCCGCCCATGCAACTCCACAAGCAACGCATAGGCCCCGACATGGCCAATCCGTCGGCCTTCCCTGCGAACAGATGGTGATCCCGGACCTTGGGCACCTTCCTCGAAATCGTCTCCTTGATGTCCTGGGATTCTCTCCTCACAGCTCGATCTCTCACCCACTTGGAGCCCCTGACCGTGGGGGCCATTCCAACACTGAAAGCCCAGGTCGGCTTCATTTGGAGTCCCATGGCTTCGACGTCGAGGAACTTCTGTGCGTCTAGGAGCCATCTAGACCCATGCACGGCACTGCCCAGGATGACCGCGCTGTAGTTCTCGACGCTGAAAACGTGGTCGACAGGCCGGCAGTCAACGGCTAAGCCGTTGGCATGTAGGCGTGAGGCGATGCGGTCAGCTATTTCGCGCGTTGACCCATGCGATGTAGCGTATGCGATTAGGATAGGCATTGCGAGGGAGGCTTCTGCCGTTCTCGCTCCGTGATCGTCTTGTCTAGTGGAGTTTCGTTGTGCTAGAGAGTACGTCTTGTTATGTGTCGACTCAGTATTCGGCCAGCTTGCTGGGCGTTGGTCTGGCTCGGCTGTCTATCCGGGAGGTCGGTAGGTAGGTGGGTGGGCAGTTGGAGGTGACCTGGTGTATGAGGCGAAATGTTGTCGGAGTCGGTTTCGGTGGTTGATATTGGTAATGTCATATACCCTCCGATGATTTCCCTCCAGCTAGATTCGGTCATGTGTCTCGGTGACGAAGACACGCGAGCAAGCGAAGGTCAAAGCGTACATGTACCGGTGCACTGTACTTATTGTGAAGTCGCTCCACCCACCTTGTACGCCCGGTCCTCTTGACCCCTCCAATCGACGCACTTTAGGATGCTAATGACGGGCAGGCCTCTTCGTGTTCGCTCCATCGCATCACTTGACGTAGCGGAGATAGGAAGACGGGAGAACAGAAGCTGCTGACAGCACATACTGGCTGCCGTGTACAGTCGGTCTGCTCGAGGATTCGGAACCCGACCTCTCCAAAGATCCGCGCTTCCGTACGAAACATAGTCACCGAAGTCCGAGGCTTACTTTGACCGTGTCAGCCGTGCGGGAAAACCGTGTCATTGGTGGCAAGGCTGCTCACGAAGTTTAATGCGCATGTCGATTAGTTGTCCGTGGTTGCACACTTCAGACTGTCGGGCCTACCGGCCTTACCTTGCGATCGGAAGCATGCGGAAAGATGTACCAGTCTCTTCCCAAGAGTTCAAGAGCGCAAGAGATTAAATGCGATAATGTTGGTCCGATTCGTAGGATCGGGATTCTGAAATGCACGAGTCTGGTGCTGCACAAGGCATATCAACGATCATTCCACCTGTGCTCCGTATTCAGAACGAGATGAGAAGGGAATGAGAAGGCAAGAAGGGACTCCTGCACGCCAGCCCTGACAGCCCCGCGCTTCAACCCGCGCCCCTAGCCGATTAGTCCTAGCCTGTCCCGTGAATCTTGCAATGTCTCCGACTTACTCTCACCCTTGTCGAATACCTCTTCACCGGTTACGAAGAAAGTAATTAGACGAACTCGAGGCTGTGAACGTCAGGCCCACGAGTCGTGCGGATAGCTGCTCGAGGGGTTCCAATGGTCGGTAAGCAACGTACAGTGCATATGCTTATGAGCTCGGCCAAGGGGAAAGCTGTACACTCTGGTGATGTTGCAGCTGCACATGCCTTGGTTGGCAATCACTAATTACGGAGGGGCTGGTGGTCACTGTACTCTTGCTCTGACTTTACTTTTATTTTAGTTTCATCTCGCTACTTCTTCAGAGCATACAGAATACTACACCAGTGCCACCAGGTGAGGCTGTAGGCTTGTATGTACCTTGACAGGCTCGGAACTGCAGCTGGTCTTCGGCGCTCTGTTTCCCGAGTTTGATGTACCTTTGAAGATTGGCGATGAAGCTCTCCCTCAAGCATTGACTCAAACAGTTCCGCAAATAGCCTAAATAAAGCTGCGAGACACGCAAAAGAGTTAACTTGGACGTCGCTAGCATCAACATGGCAGATTCCGAAGTCTCTGCCTTCACTCCTCCGTCTTCTATCACATGGCAATCGCTCATAGCTCGCAGCACAGAGGCATTGGAAGCGCTCGCTACGGACGGACAAGTCTTCAATACGCCACTGATTTTTGAAATCCTGCAAGACTATCGTAGTCTGGATGACTTCTTTCGGAAAACACTGGACTTACTGATGTTCTAGTTCTTCCAAGAACGAGACGCCTTTCTCTCACAAGCAATAATGACGAAATGGAGCCGTAATGCGCTGGACGACTACGTTCTGCTACCTGCTTCTAATACCTGCGTCAACCGCAACGAATGTTTCTTCGTAAGCCATTTTTGGCGTACGCAAGATCACCCTGATCCTGACGGCCACTGTCTACGCCTTCTTCAAGCAGAACTTCAGCCGCAGCATTGGTCATATATCTGGGTAGACTGGACATGCATACCGCAGAGTCCGCGCAGCCTACTGGAAGAGGCGTATTTCATACGATCGCTGGAAACGATGACGGGGATCATTCGGAACTGTGGATTTATCTGATTGTATCCGCCGTTTGAAGCACGCATGTGGATTTTGTATGAGGTTACCGAATATGTTCTTACTTCCTCCGAGGATCTAGCAGCAACCCCCGACATCAAGGAGTTTAAGGATCACGTTCAGGAGATGGTGCAGACCGGCGTACGATTGGTATTGGACAAGTATAGCTACAGGTGCACGCACGACCGGGACAAGGCATATCTCACCTCTTGGCTCGAAGTGCTCGTTTTGCTGAGCAGGCTTCGTGTTGGGGTAGGTGACATTAGGCGGGTAATGGACAGCATGACCTGGTTTCTGATGACGGGAGAGATACTTCACGTCGTGGCCGGCGCCAAGTTGCAGCTTAGCAAGTTCGAAGGCATCCTCACTTGCGACGGAGGGCGCTATGAGTTCACGCCGTTTCCGAGATGGGTGAGTTCATCTATCATCGTATTTGTTATTTGTTCACAATATCAATCAGGACGCCGGGAAATACTCTACGAAGCGCCGAGGCGTGGAGCAGATCCAAAGGTTGACGAGATTTCCTTCTCGGAAAGTTGACATCAGATGATGTCGAGATCGGAGACGCCCAGTCGCGAAGTATGATTACAGCAATCGACAGGGTCGGTGCTTCTCGCTTTGTACTTGAACTTCGGTGGCGATGAGGGTAAACCCAGGTAAGGGATCTCTTCGACAGTGGCTTCCTTCAAGCACAACGTCCATTCTCATGTCCACCTTCAAAGGTGACTGCTAAGCACAACATCTGAGTCCTGCTAGAACGATACTGTTCTTGCTCAACTGCGGTCTGCCCTCTCTGCGTCACTTCGTTATTTGTCATGCTGTTCGCCATTAATGCCCATGTTTGCACCGCTTCCCAGATCGAATCCGACGCAGCTGGTCGGAACCCGATGGGCGAACCTGGTTCCGCTGGCGGTACTCGCTAAGGCTGTATCCTCGCTTCAAGATCCGGACCTGATTCAATCTTCTCATAGTCCGAACACAGAACACAGTCCTCGTCGAGGTGTGACCGTCCATTTCCCGGCCCAGCGCCTTTCAACGATGTCGTGATATCATACAACGAGAAAATCTCCCAAGTCCGCTTCTTGGTCCTAAACAAACGAAATGGAGTCAGCACGCATGTCCTTATCCGGAGCGAGCCACGTACTGATTTTTCAAAAGTCACACCTCTCGAGCCAAGGGGTCGGCTGGAAGGGGGTTGGTGTCCGATACGAGGAAATATTGCTTACCCAGCAATATATCAGGAATGCCGCCTGGGAAGTCAACGCTCCGAGCGCTAGATAGCTGGTCACATCTCGGACCGCTTCGGGAACCTGCGTCCACCCGTGACTCGCTGCGGACGCTTTGGAAAGGATCCTCTGTGAGGGATCGTGATGCAGGATGTGTCGGTGAAGGTAGAGTTGTTGTTGTTGTTGTTGTCTTGTTCCTAACACGCCAGGTGCTGCTGATGAAAAGCTCCTGACTGCTTGGCTCAGGCGATTGATGGGAAGCCGCACGGGAGGCATGCTGGTGTCTTGGTGCGGGAGAGGGTGAATGCTTCTGATGAGAGGCTCGAAGTCTTGTGATGAGAGTTTCTAGGTGAAGGTATTGCTGGCGTTGAGGATGATAGTGCTAGTCTAACAAGTGTTGTCGAATGCTTTTAGTATCGTGTGAGTCTCGATTTATTGGGTCGTGGATCTGGGCAGGTAAGCTTGCCACCAAATCCAATGGGACATGTTATATGTGCACGATATCTATCTCACCTGTCATGAGAATGTCGTTCCTTACCGGAGCCTCCCATGCCCAGCGCAATCACGCGTCAATGGCGTCCAGATGCAAACTCACCTGATGGTGGGACTGCTCAGCAGGAGACACCCCAGCATGCGACATCTGGACAAGCCCGACGTGAACAGATTCGGTGGCCTGGGCGGCCAAGGCGTGATCAGAGTCACCGGGTTACGGGCTTGCTTCTCCAGTCGTGTGCCCCAAGTACCCAGTACCCGTGCCCGAGGCGCACCATCAAGTACGATCGGCGCTCAAAGGGCACTCCGAGCAATAAAGACGCTCATTATCCGTCGCGTGTCGTTTCGCGTGTCCATCTGCGGTCAAAGATGGGGGTTTCGAGAAGGGAGGCTTGTGCACGAAAACTCAAGTCGCGTGTTTTTCTGTTGGCGGACGCAACAGGTCGTGGAGCCTCAGGAGCCCTGAAAGTCCCGATGCCGCAAGTGGCGTGAGCAACGCCCAGGAGTGGATGACGAGGGCTGCGGGCGCTGTATTATGTAACCTAGCGAGCTAATTTGGCCGCTGGGCGAGCCCTGAGCTCCGGGGATTCCACCAGTACCAGAGCCCGTCTCCTGTGCTTCGTCAGGTACGTACCAGGTACGTACAAGGTACAGTAGTACGGTAGAAGCCGCACAGCACGCAGACCGTGGCGTGACAGCCTCCCATCATCTGCCCTGTTCGTCCCTCGAGGAAGCCGCTCACCCCGTCCTCCATACTCGGACCACGCGATTGAGTTCAGCCTCGTCCAATGACAAACTACTCGTTGCCCCTTGGAGCTTCCACTTGCGGCCATTGGGGACGCTTTCTCACCAATAGCTATGGCTATGGCTATGACACGGATTTCGGGTCTCCCGTGCGGCGTGGCAGCCTTGACGAGCCCTGAGGCTTTACACTACACGGTCCAGACGGTAAGCTACGGTATCTTGGTGGCACCCGTGCAGAACACCACCTCCTGCCTCCGAAACCGTGAGTATATGTAGCGCTGAAATCCCCCTTTCTACGTGTGCCCTCTTCCACAAATCAGACAAAGACACAAACCAGAACATAAACTTCACTGTCGACCAGCCCAACTTACACATACCCTCGGGAAGAGAAAGAGTGTATGCAACCCAACAAACGAACATCTATGAAACCCCAAACCCCAACCCACAGCTCGATTCAAGAAAGTCAAACACCGCAAATGCAGCAACACGGCTACGGCGACAATTGGTTCACCAACCTCTACGAGCTGGGGACCGAGTACGTCAAACTGCACGCCGAAGAGGACGCCGGTCTCCAGGCCCAAGCATCGTCACAATCGCCCATGCATTGCTACGGCGATTCGTGGTTCGAGAACCTCGACGCCCAGAGGCTGGCATATGAACAGCACAAGGCTGCCGCCGGGCGGGAGGAGGGGGAAGGCCCCCAGCCGCACAACTACGGGGACGCATGGTTCGAGAACTTGAATCAGCAGAGGATGGCCGTGGCCAACGCGCAGAGACCTCAACCTCACAACCACGGCGATGCGTGGTTCGAGAACCTCAACGATTTGCGCATCGAGTACGAACGCACACATCAACCACTGCCCCACAACTACGGCGACGAGTGGTTCGAAAACCTCAACACCCAGAGAATGCAGTACGAGCAGCTTCGGGGCCGTCAGCCGCAGCTACACCCACACAACTACGGCGCGGATTGGTTTGATGGGTACGAGCGCATGTGGGAAGAGTGGCAGACTTTGAAGCCGTGCCGGCGAGCATAGGAGCACTGCATGGGATCTGATTCCCGACTATTTGGCGCTTTGTGTGAGCCAAGTGATATAGGCCACTTGGCCCTGTTTGTACTGTACCATCAGGGCGATCGGAGAAACTACCGGCTCGGTTGGTTTGATTTGATCTGGAGGTCTTGGGACCGCGCTCCCTTGTACCGGGATTCGAAATGGCTTCGGCGTTGGCATGGACGGTAGGGATAAGCGCCTGAGGCAGCTAGACATACTGTACTGTAACGCGGACGATTAATGTGGAGGTTGTTAACGATGACTTGGATTCCATGGACGCTAAAGTACAGCGCCTTCTCATCCGAATGTGGTCGACCGTGGGCAGGATCGTATAGCATACCTAACGTAGTATAATAACACAGTAATACTAATGTGGTCCTGGCGAGACTTCCGTCCATGGAATAGACGGTGTGAGAGTCGAGCAGATGGAAAGGCTCCATTGTCGTCAGGAGAAAACGAAGGCCACAATGTCGACTAATAGACATCGGGCCTGATCATGTTGGTAAATGCCTTGAACACCCACTATTGCGTCCGCTAGATGACTACATCCTCAGAACGGCCATACGACGCCGAGGAATCATGTATGCGTAGATAAAGCCACGAGACTGCCGGTCTGGTATTTGCTTCTATCTGCTAACCATGCCCATTATTGCTAGCTCATTTCATTTTCATTCGGTTGAGCTCCGTTCTACTTCATCCCGTCACATCAGCAATCAAAGAAGATCGCCGTGCTGAGCATTTGCTCCAGCACGGTCTTGCCGGGTCGTCTATCCTTCGACACGGCGGCCATGGTTTCGTTGCCCGCCGCCGGCTGCAGGGTGTCGTGGCTTCGTACTCTCTTGCGTCCAGACTCTTTAGACGATGTCCTGGTGTGGTTGACCTTGGCCGGCGTGGAGGGACTTCTGGAGACCTCGTCCTTGAATCCCGACACGACGCCGCTCGAGTCAGAGCTTTGGACTGAGCCGACACCGGGGCTCGAGCCATCTGTTTGTGTGAGAGGCACCTGTAGCGGCTGGTTCGGCACCAACATGACGGTCTGTTCGGCTTTCGCATCAGATGAATGTAGTGGTTCGGGGAAGTGGTTTGATTGTTGCGTCGACAAGTGGTCTTTGCTCTCGTTTTGGTGCCAGAGCTGTTCTCGAATGCGCCGCATGGCATGCATATGCCTACGGAAGCCTGTCTCGATGCCGTCCAGGTTCAACATCTCCGCGGGACGATGAAGGTCTGTATGATGAGGCGAGGTCTGATGACTGGCCCACGACGGCGCCCTGGGACCTTCTGAGCTGGTGTTTGAGAGGCTTGGGCAAAGGGAGGATACCACGTTTCCTCTGAGACTATCGTTGACAACGCTGACTTGATTGAGTGACCTGGTCGCTCCCACAGGACCTTGCGCCGTGCTAGCCGTCCTTCCCTGATCCCATTTCTGGAGAACAGTTCTTGTGACTTCTTGGAGGACCCGGTATTCTTCAGTCTCTGTAGAAACTCGCGCTCGAGCGAGCTCGGCGTGCGTCAGGGATGAGAGGAAGACGTTGAGACTTTCCACAAGCATTGACAACTTCCGCCGAAAGTCTTGGACCGTGACGCCGTCGCAGTTTACATCTTGGTTCGTAAGCCACCGCTTCACCACTGCGCGGTCCCGAGCTGGTGTCGAAAGATAGAGTTTCACGAGGTTGTATAATGGTCGAAGAGCAGCATTCAATGAGTTTAGGATCTTCGAGAATGTCAACGCCCAACGCTTGTGGTCGGGTTGTCGATCGATGAGTAGCGACGTGCTCCCGACGCTGTGTAGGGAATCGAGGCTGATGGCTACTGTCCAGACCTCGAATCGCAGGTTCTCAAAATCTTCCGAGGCCTTCTGCATGCCAGAGAAAGTGTGCCAGGCTAGCTTGCAGGCATCTGCCAGGGCGATATGAGTCTGCGACTCGCTAAATGCAATGGAGGTGGACATTAGTAATGCTTGTCGGGGGAAGGGAAAAGGCATAATCAGTTTACAAACCGTTAGTGACAGTCAAGCAGCTTTTTGAAGGAGCCCGCTGAATCGCGAGGATAGGTGTGAATACAGTCAGAGATCGCTCTTTACTCCACGTCAAGTCCAGCTTCGCAGTTGTCTCAGCCACGTTTGCCTACCCGCAATAGACATGTGGCCGTAGACAGGAAGACAGGAGACAGATTGCCCACGTACTGTAGGCCAGCGATCGTGTTGCCTGTACTGAAGGAAGGCCTCAACACACTGAGACCGGTCGTGCCACGATGTGGCCTGACAAAGGGACAGCATTACGCTCAGCGCTCGATCCGGCAGGAGCGAGAGGCACTTCTTCGACTTGATCCGATAGCCATGAGATCATCCACCCTCAAAGCGCAACGCCTCTGCGAGAATACTACTGTACGGTCAGCGGCAGGATGGTAATCCTCTTGAAATGGTATTTCTCGCTGGCATCAGGGTAATCACAAGTACGGCCCCGGCTGTAATTGAATCCATGGAAGAACACTAGCGGTAAGCATTGATATGACCTGCCGCAAAACAGGTCCACTGTTAAATCTAGGTCCATGATCCATACCGGCTCAAAGAGAAAATCTTCATCATAATAGACTTTAACGGACCGAGGGTGAGTTGACGTTGAGTATTGAATGTCAGGTGTGGACGCCACTAAAGCCCAGAAGGAATCGCCAAGAACTTCAACTTTGGGTCAATGAGGCCTGAAACGCACCTAGGATCTACCCGCAGAGGCCGTCTAGGATCGCCTAAAGAGGCACAGAGGCTGCCCGCCACATACTGTATATCAGCTTACCTAGATACCTACGTACCTAGGTATGGTACCAACAAAACAAGGCCGCGGAGCGGCTCAAGCCAGGCGGGGAGTCGAGACACCGCAGTCGTCGTTGCCCACTGCCAACTTTTACACGGACGCAGTTGCTGAAGCAGAGAATCCTGAGCATCTCAATAATCCAAAGACATTCATGTCAACTGCGCCTCCCTCCATTCATCGTGCCGAAGCACAGCCATGCCAACGCCGACACTCAACAGTGTCGACGCTCGGACCACAACGATCGGGTTTGTTCTCGACAGAAGCGATGCCTCACCTCCGAAGCGTCCGCAAAGTACACTCTCCGACCTTCAAAACAACAGACTTGGCTGTACAATAGTACGTTAGTGCCTTCAGCGAAGCACGCTACAGGTTCTAAAAAGCTATTTGAAGGGCCACTCACTTCGTAGCACAGTGGCCGCTCAGCATGACAAGCACAGGAGTGCATCAAAACTTCTTTACTGGCCTTCGCCCGATCGGTGTACAGTAGTTGGATTCGAGGCTTCTCAGACAAGAGGCTATCTTGGGTCTAAACCCCACATGGAATACCCCGGCACTTGAAAGTTTGTATGATGCTCGGTTATGCTTGGCCAGTTACGTCCACTACGTCCAATTGAGCCTGAAGCGAGCCGGCAACTGGGGTCTGGAGCGGGTCTGATTGTGAAGGATAAACGCCGAGTACCCCAATGGTTCACCCAGCGGAGTCCTGGTGTCCGCAATACCGAACCGCAACAGTATCACACCACCTGCTCTGTCACGCCACGACTTCGGAGTCGACGCGCTGCCGCCAGATTGCAAACCGCAGGCAAGAAACCAGATCAGCCCTGATTTGTCAAGAGGTCAGTGTTGCGGTTTTGCAGCCTCACAGAATAACCCAAGACGGATCGGTACCTGACCAACGGTCCGGGGAGTGGCCCGATACGCCAGCGAGCAAGGCCTTGATGTGGACTGCCAGTCGAAATTGCTTGGAACATTGCCCCGGTAGAATAGATGCGCTCAGCATTCAGCCATGTACAACTGAACTCATACTTGAACAGGCCTAATGCCCGTCCAGCCGCCGTCATAGCCAGGCTTCGAGATGCACTACCTGGGTCCATCAGATCGACGCCTTCTCCTCGGCAACGCATCTTCCAGTCCTGGAGCCACAGCACCGATACGACCATCCTCATTGACTGTTCAGACCCGGCACTTGGCACATGAACTCAGCTCTATCTCCAGGCTGAAGATCGAGAAAGAGGCGTCCAAAACGTCACCTCGACTCCACAAGCTTGTCGCTCATGCTTCAATGTTCGACCATGCGACGAGATTCATCCTAGCTCACATTGATGGCACCAACGCTGAGCTTGACTTACCGGACTCCGTGGCAGTCCAGGGAGTACGGGACGAAAAAGAGCATGGATGTGACCACAAGGCTCGACTTCAGCATCACGACCAGGGTGGCGTGGAGACATCCCAACCTTCCTTCGAGATTAAGAATCAGACGTCGTTCAATGGCTATGCACACCTAAAACCAAAGGAAGGCTGCGCTATAGTTGTCATCGAGGCTATTGCCGACGAAGAAGACAACGACTTTGAAGATACAGGAGAGGAGTCTATTACCGACTCTGATGATGGGGACGACGGCCACTTCGACCGAGAGATCTGCACTGACACTCCCATTAACGGCGACTGGCGCAAAATGCAGTCGGACTGGAATTTCTGGGACGCCAGCTCGAATGTGATTCGTGATCCCCACGATGACGATCTCCTTCTCTGGTCCCAGCAGCCGCGAGTTCTATCTGCCAAGCAAGCTGAGACTCTGTTTTTCGAAGCGTTTGGCTGATTGTCGGATGACGTGCGCTCAACTTCTTCGACCATGACAAAATGCTACACTTCTGTCGTCTATGTCCTGCTCGGAGTCTCTACCCGGACTAGATTCGAATCGGCAATCTGACCACAACGGTCCTGGCCTTACTCGAAGATGTGAGGACCCGGAAAAGGACCGCGACTCTGTGGTACGTTCGTGGCGAAGCCGCGTGGCTGGTCAGAAAAGGGGTCACCACCAACATCGGCATGCGAAAGCAGGCAATGCATTCCTGATTCCGCGACCCAGCATGGACATGCAGGGCCAGTGCACCTACCGAAGTGGCGTCCATATGCGGATTCCTGACTCCTGTGTAGCCCTGTGTGTCGGAGAATCATGTCTTGTTGCTATCGATCACCTACGCAGTAGCGCGCTAGGCCTTCGACAATCTCGTCCTCTGCCGTGAACCAATACGCTTTCTGCGTGACCCTTCCGGTTACCTCACACAGACTGTTCAATGTGGGCGGTGGCGCTGCTTGAATCTAGTAACGGACGGGTTTTTATCGTGCTTACAGCAAGGGCAGTGCTGGTTCCGCCCACGTTTCTTGAATCGATCCATCAGGAGAAGGCTTCTCCAGCTCGTGGCGTAACCTAGCTCAACCATGCGCAGACAGAAGGCAATGACTGCCGAAGCGATAAAAGAGACTCTGTCCGAAGAATCAGCACAAACTCCTCATCCGAACAGCCTGGTAAACTTTGCTTGCTCACAAATTGACGACCATGAACGCCAACATGGCTTTGAGCAGTTTGCAATCCGTCAAGAAATACGCCTTTTGGGCTTGCTTGCCAACGAAACACCTCCTCTGAAATGAAAGGCATGACCTTGTTCCGTCGTGATCCCATAGTCCAATCAAGCTGAACAAAATGTCCGGAATCATCGAGACTGTGGAGAATGGAGCACCGCCGAAGAAGTTGGGAAAGATCAAGAGACCGGCGTGGACAGTGCATGTACAGGCCATAACAACTGTAGCTGTTGCTTTTCGTGGGACATCCGCATCTGCGTTTGAGCGGCCACTGATGACGGCTGCGGTCAAGCCGATTATGCAGATCGACCAGATGGCCTCGACGATGCAGAGGGCAATGAGGCCGAAGCGGAGGAAGGTCTCGTCGGTAGCCCTGGTGAGGTCGAGTTCTCTGGTTCTGAACCTCATTGATAAGCTTTCGTCGAGCTTTCGTCGAACTTTGTTTTGATTGAGAATGCACTTGTTGTTGACCGGTTGCTAAGGTGGTTCGGCGCTCCTTGGTGAATATCGCAAGGAAGGTCATTAATCGCCTCGTCGATTGGGCCCTTGCATGGCGCGTGGTGTCCATCATGCGGACCGCAGGCGAAGGCAGAAAGCGCACACGGACGGTATCCTTGCAAGCTGTTCTTATAATATCGAAGATGGTGTGAGCATATCAGATGAGGTGCTCTATACCGAGTTGGCAGATGCTTTGATCCTCTCCTCTTATTACGCCCGGCGACAAGCATGACTACACAGTGCACGGGCGAGTTGGTCCAGCACCAACGACCTCGCAGCCAGCACTCATTTTCCACCTCCGACGATGCATGTGTCAAATACGCGGAAACGACGGCTGCACATCCCGTCAACGGCTCGGAATTCAAGTCTGAGCTGGAGTCCCAACTCGACTCATTGTCCCAAGATGGCTAGTTGGAGGCACAGCAGCTTCGACTTCGAGCCTCGAAGATATATTTACGTAGCGGACGCCGACATCTCGCGGCCCTTAATATTGTCTAGAGGCAGAGGCATGCCAACTGTCAGTGCTATTCTTGGCATCAGCGTCAGGATTGTAATTCCGCTCGCGGGATCGCTGGGCCATGTATAATTACATACCGTACCCGGCGACGATGTATTTGAGGACATCAGCTTGTAGCTGGGGTGAGAGGCCATCACACGCTCCTCAGCCCGAGGAGGAATTGAAGTGCAACCCAGCAGGCTCTGGCAGGCTCTCGATGAATGGATCAAGCATGGCGAGCGGTGACATTGAAGCACGAGAGGTGGGCACTCTGGCCGCCGAATCAAGAAAGTGGCTCGTACTGAGTAGAAAGAAGTCTAACACGGCAGGAGTGCCTCGAGAGGGTTGCAAACGATAAGCGATATGCGGTTCCCCAGCGATCTCATGGCTGGACGACTGGAAAATTGCTCATCGGAGCTTCGCCTGGAACTCGCCGCAGTTCGGAGGATCTTAGGTAATCGACAGGGCTTTCTTCAGCTTGAGCTTCAGATTTCGGAAGAAGCCATGGCCAAGGTTCCAGCCAGTCAACCGCCACTGGACACCACCGAGTATCAGTCCCAAAGGCAAACAGGTCCAGCCAAGGTCATGGTGCACACGACGCCGATGCAGGTGCATAAATGCATTGCATTAATTTAAGAATGCCCACGTGCAAGACGACCCAAGGTTCCCTGAGGCGAGATCCGCCTTGTCTTTTGTCGTTTGTGGCATGATGGCAGCCGTGTTCAATTTGTGGGAACGGCTTTGCACTGGCACCAGATTGTCTACTTGTAGGTGGCATGTGCCGTTCCTCTCCGCTAACCAGCTGAGCAAGGAACACAATTCACGCGGCGGAAGTCGGCAGGGGTCGGGCTATCAGTCAGTAGCCTTCCTGCTGCGACGGTAAACTTCCAGCGATCTGCGCTGGCCTCAGCCTGGTTGGACAATGGTCCCGGGTACAAGTAAAGGCGGCCCACCAGCACCGATAGACAATCGGCATACCATCATGTCTTCAAGTCAAACCACTATCAAACAACTGTACGCTAAACAACACACTAACGATCCGCCTATACACAGACACCAGCACACAGCAGAGAGCTCGAGACCATGTCATACTCGCAGTCGCGACCACCGTCACAAAATCACCCTTCATACCAACGGACCCCATACGACAACATTCAACCAGTATCGGTATGTACAATAACCTCTGCCTGAGCTTCGCTCCTGATTCAACTTGCTGAAAGCTTTGTCTAGCAGCCTGGCTGGAATAGTTCCGACGACATTGGCCCACCATCATCCGCAGCAGCAGCAGCAGCAGGAGTCTTTGAGAACTACACCCAGTTTCCACGCGATGCTCGGGGCTACAACGATGCCAGCGTCCTGCATGCAGAGGAGCAGATCCCTCAATCGTCAAACTACTCGCAATACCTAGACTTCGGTTCCCTGGATACTGGTCCAACTGCTGCCGGTGGATCCAGCCCGGGCGTAATGTCCCAGCCATTGTTCGGAGCCAATCCAATCGCGACAGTCAACCCTGAACAATATGCCGACATTGCGATCAAAACCGAGCAGATCGAGCCTGGACAACTAATACAACAAGAGGCAAACCAGTCCGTGCCTGCCTACTCACCGAGCATGAACCTGAACCTCAACTTACAAGACAACGGTACCCTCGCACGGATTTGCGGCGACATCCCCACATGCGCACATATCCTCGAAAGCCCCGACCTCGATATGGAAGATCTCAACCTCTGCGAATGGCATCCTTCTTCGACGTTGTCGCCGGTCGAAATGGATAACCAGCTCAATGACCCGCCCCGAAAACCAAATGCCAAGGACGGCACCGGCATCGGCACATCGACGTGGAGCAGCAGCAGTAGTGCAGCCACCACAGCTGCCGCGGTCACTTCCAGCAAGAAACCGCGCAAACGAGGCCGAAAACCCATGGCCGACGACGACGACGAGGCCCAAGCCCGCGCCAAACAAGCCCACTCGATCGTGGAGCGCCGATACCGTGACAACCTTAACGGCAAGATCATGCAGCTGCACCGCACGCTCAGCTCCATCGCGGGAGGCAACCAGAACAGGGAGGCGGACTGTCTCCCTGACGGAGACGAGCTCATACAAAAGCCACAGGACAAACGCACCGGTGGAGGCATAGGCGCACGGGTGCGCAAATCGGACGTCATGACCGATGCGGTGAATTACGTGCATCAGTCTGAGGTGCAGATGCGACATATGGAGAACGAGATCTCGCGCCTGACGGAACGGGTGAGGACGTTGGAGAAGTTGGTCCGGTGCGAGGATTGCGTCGTGTTGAAGGAGATGGTGAGGCGGTCGTTGCAGGCTCAGGGTCGAACGCAGGCGCAAGGACGTGCTCACCAGGGGATGTAGGGTCAGCAGCGTGAGATGATTCGTTGGTTGACCCGAGGATTGATCGGTCTACGCCACGTGGGCTACTGGTTCGAATTTCCGGCTACGTTTGAGGCGTCTGGGATGGAATGGGACGGCAAGGCCACATAATGCGCAGGGAGGAGGTGGGCAGGGCACAAGTGACCTACCAGGCGACCAGCGATATACTTCGGCGGAAGAACTCTCGTATATGGAGTTATGGGTGGGCCATGGATTGGGTATAGATTGGCTATGGATTGGCGATGGGTATGTTCAGGTTGGGCCTGCGCTGTTCTGCTCAGCATCAAGACAAGACTCAAGGGAATGAAACACCTCGGGAAGGGAAAGGGAAAGGGAAAGAGAAAGGGTATGCTTCCTTCAACGGCTCAAACAACCTCTATCGTACCATCTGGTATGATGTGATATGGTGCGGCATTTTATGGTATGGCATAAAACGGCCAAGTGGACACCAGGAAAAGCAAGAGGAAGAAGAAGAGAACGGAAAAGAGAGGGAAAGCACACATACATATGTGCATGGTCATCACTTCGGGCATGGGATTGACAGATGGACAGTCGGACGAACAAAGCGACACGACTCTACATACAGTACCTCTCTGGAAGCTCGGCTCGCACCCGCTCGTGCTTCTCCAGCATTGATGCTTCCAACCTACCTATGTCGGACCACCTCTTCAATGCAAGTTGTCTTTGATCTTCCCCCATTGGTTTTTATATCTCCACAAGCTTCCTGGCCCAGGGTGGCACTGTAGAGTAGAGAGGGGGCATGCGAACGCGGAAAGATATCTAATCAAGTAGTCACATCTCACGACGACGTGTAACATTAAACAGCAGAAACAAGCTTTCTCGTAGGGCGCGACAGAGGTGATATATACTGCCACACGGCGTTGGCATACACCATACACCATACACCATACACCATACACCATAGAGAAGGTGAGTACGTGAGTACGTTTATATGACTTTGCCACGACAAAGTCCAACGAGCGTGCGAATCCCCAACGTCAAACTCAACTTACCTTCCCCAATTACTGTATCTGGCCCATCCATCGCAACTGGTGAACTTGGTGACAACGGAGTTATCCTTCGAAGCCCAAGCCAGGGAACTGAAGGGGTGCGGGCGCGGAGTATGGCCGCCTGGAGTTTCGGGCGGATGACGGACGTATGTAGGAGGACATCGCCCGCGTACTGTACGTACACTGTAGCCACGGCGAGGACATCGCGGTGCCATGCCATGTCATGCCATGCGAGCACGGTACAGTCGCTGGAGCCTCGTCCTGTGCTGCGTCGTGCGGTGCCGTGTTGTGCTGTCCTACATATCTGGATAGCACGCGTTCTCCGCATCTGAAATCATCCTCGGCACTCTCGGCTGGCGGTACTCCGTACGAAGCTGGGTACCAGTACCCCAGAAATTACTCCGTAGGTAAGCATGTACTCGTACGAGTACTGGAGCCGCTACCCCTCAACGTGCAAGTACTGTTAAGAGCCATCAGCCAGTGATGCTCGGCCGATGGGTCGCGGATGTTGGGGTTGAGTGATGGAGCCCGTCCCAGAAAGTTGGAGATTGGTGTTTGGGGGACGGGTTGATACTGTACTCTTGTATACGTCCTATGGCGCGAGCATGTGTCTCAAAAGACGATCAATGATGGACGATAGTCAATCTAGGCTACAATCCAAGGCTAAGCAAGGTCTTAGAGACTGTAAACGAGAAGCTCAACAGGAACCATGTCCCAGAAAATGAAGGACAAAGTTTGCATCGTGACGGGAGGAGGACATGGATTCGGCGAGGCCATGGCTAGGCGGTTCGCCGAAGAAGGTGCCAAAGTGGTGATTGCGGACATCAACCCCAAAGCGGGCCAACGGGTCGAGCAGGACATCAACGCCACGCATGGCCCGAAGACGGCCCTGTTCCAGGAGGCCAATGTGACGAGCAAAGCCTCGTGGGAGAAACTGCTAGAGGTCACGCTGAAGGAGTTTAGCGGCGTCGACGTGCTGGTCAACAATGCAGGGACCACGTACCCCAAAAAGGCGTCGCACACCGTCACCGAAGAAGAGTACGACAAGGTCATCACCGTCAATCAGAAGTCCATCTTTCTCAGCGTGGCCGTGGTTGTGCCTTACTTTCTCGAGAAGAAGGCCGGGACGATCCTCAACGTTAGCTCGGTGGGAGGCATCCGGGTGAAGAACGGGCTGGTATGTAGGACCATGACCCATTCGATGTGATGCCTGATGGTTGACTGACGTTCGCAGGTATGGTACGGCGCGACCAAGGCGTTTGTGAACAAGGTAATGCATGGACGACCCGAACTTCTTGGAGAGTGGCATTAATCGCTTTGACTTGTCTAGATCACAGAGGGCCTCGCATCGGAATATGGCCATTCTGGAATAAGGGTCAATGCCGTCTGTCCTATCCTGGGATATACCGATTTGTGAGCCGGAGTGTGATTGCAGCTGGATCAAAGGTGGCTAATCTTTATTGCAGGGCACAATCATTCATGGGCGTCGACGATACCCCGGAAAACAGGGCTAAATTCGAGGCCTCTTTCCCTCGGGGAGAAGCTTTGAAGCTGAACACTTCGGTCGGGTACGTCGCCAATGCGGCGGTATATCTCTGCTCTGATGATGCTGCATTCGTGTCGGGCATATGCATGCCTGTGGACGGAGCGGCAACCGTGTTCGCCGCTGGAGGTATGTCTGGAGATCCGCCTTTAAACCACAAAGCTGATGATTTTTCCAGTTGGCAAGTAACCTCGAGACTGTGAGCGTCAGGACCGGCGCGTTGGGCCATTCGAGCCGCCGAGGGAAATGTGCAAGATATAACATGGAAAGGCATTGTCAGCGCAGTTGATGAGCTAGATTCAAGGACTGGTGCAGAAAATGCTTGATGAAGTCGCGGCATTGGACAAGCGGAGTAGAAGTTTCTCGTCATCTCAAAGGCCTTCTCCGAGTAGTTCGCAAATGAGGCACCCTCGGGAGCCCCCTGAATCTCATATGACGTGGACCGGAACCTTTTGTGTGGTGATTTCTACCGGCTATTCCTTTCATGTTCACAACTGCTTCTGCTTGACCGGCCGCCATTAGATCGAGTGATTCCACACAATCATCGTGTAAGCCAACGCGACAGCCAGGTATCAAGTGCGAGTCGCATCCGGTCAATACCACCCAAGACATCATCCCACGATTGCATGGGGAGCCGATTCTTGATACCGCCAAGTCCGTGCTCTTGAATATAGGCCGGTATCAAACCTGGGTCAACATCTTGCAGGTTTGACGCCACCGAATTCGTGAATATCACCTGCGCAATGGCCGTAAACGCCGCAGGACCCATACACTGCCCGACCAAGATGACCCCGATTCAAACGTTCGTCATTGAGTTGGTGCGTGTGGTGAAGATGCAGCCCGCATCGGCACTCCGACTTTTGATCACGCGGAATGGGAGGGCCGCGTAGTCTCGACAATGGTGATGTTTGAAGAGCACGGCGGAGAGCAGCACGGCAAACACAACGGATAGTCCAACGACCTTCCCATCTGACCAAGGCTATTTCATCCTGCCCAAGATAGCGCGCCTAAGAGCGCCGTGGCGCTGGGGATGAGCAAGCAGTTGCCGACGAATCGAGCCCTCTGAATTTGCGACTCATTATATGGGGGTCAACGATCATCTGTGCGGGTTCTTAGGTCTGGAAAGAGGAGAAGAATCGTCGCTGGCGACGCAACACCAATCGGAATGTTGATCCTTCGAAGAACTAGCTACAAGTCTGCGTCAAGCTTCGTACGTAACCTACCTTGATCATGTCCCGTCACGAGAAGGGCGCTCCAGAAACCCCATGTCCAGCCCCACGACTGTGGCAACGCGCACCGCCTACTATAGCGCCGCAGTGATATCGGCTCTGTGCCCTAATTGGACCTGACGTTATGATGCTCACTCGTTCCTCCCGAGGTCGCCGTAAGTGGTGGTTCAACCGGTCATGCTGTGGCTTCGCTGAGTCTGCACCTCGGAGAAGACGGTACTCGATTCGTGCTGGCGACGTAGGACCTCAGTCATCGCTGTAGTCGCCATCGAAAACAGACTGCCAGTGATGCGAATTAGACAAGAGGAGACGAGGATTGTGGTACCGTGTATGTAGAATGGGACGAATCCCAGTACCATCGAGGATGCGCGGGACGAACTTCTCGAGCGCTGGCTTGCAATCGAAAGATAAACTTGAACCGGTGTACTGACACAACATCGGCCATCAGATATTATACTTGATACCAGGTACTGTTGGGCACGAGCGGAACGCTCCGTTCAGTTGGTTCAAAAGTAGCAACATATGGGCATTCCCTCCCTTGACTGGACGGGCGACAGAGGTGTCTCATCACGTAACGAGCCAGATGGGAGTAGGAGTATGATCACGGAGTACTCGTAGTCGATACCGGTCCTGCGACCTCGGGATCAATGATGCTGTACTGTACCTATGCAAGTAAGTGGTAAAAATCGACAGTGATGGAGCATATCTAGTATGCCGCTGGACCCGAACCCGCTCTGAAACCAGCATAAGCTCGATTGTACCGTTAATGCTTGTTCCATTGAATGAGGGTTGGAATCCATTCACATCCAAGTGGGCGAAAAACACTCCAAGCTTTAGACAAACTTGCCAAGACGCGTAGTACCGGACTAACAACTCGCCGTGGCACGTGCAGCTCGACTTAAGTACTACTCCGTAATGAGGCGCGACTTGACTTCGAGCTCACAGTGTCTTATTTACTCGACTGTGTATACTCAGACCGAAAAAGAGACAGCAATTACTGCACGGAATATGTAACATCTATGATGCAATTTACCACTTTATGCTGTTGCCAAAAACCAGGGTATCATCGACCACCACCAACCAACCAGATATGCCGAAACGAAAAGAATAGCAAAACCCTCGCGTAAAGTGAGATGTGCCTTTGAAGGCAGCAGGGCGGGGAACAGGGTCATTACTTCTCTAAAGCGATGTGGTGCTTAGGAGAGGCCATGCATCGAACGACTGTTTTGCATATTGTGTACGGAGTACGGAGTAGCACATTAAATATTTTGTTGCACCTGAGCACAGCCACGTGGTTACCCAATCTCAATGGTAATTGACATGTAACTTTCGCCTTTTCTTTCCAGCTCCCCGAAGTAGTCCGGCTGACTGTTACGTGTTGAGAGGTCATGAAATGACGTCCCGAGCACCACCCAGCAAATCCAGTCTGGGATCCAGCAAGTTACTACCCGCCTTTCTCATCTGCCTTTCTCACGCATTAAGCCCTTTATGCGGTAGGAGGGTATTGCATTGGCGGCAGACCGTACGAGTAGGCGGTGTAGATGCCGATAGGGCACTCGTCCTGGTCCTGGAAAAACCAGAAGTTGGTGTCGTTGGTGCTGGTCATGCCAGCGACGCAAGTGCCGGCGCCGACAAAGCAAGGACCGACGTCGATGGTATACGCGTTGCCCGGTTCCATGTGAATGGGTGGGAAAGGCGGGAATGGGCCTGGAGCTGGCTGGTTGTTCCATGTGGTCTCTGGTCCCGGGCAGCTTCCTGGGTTGTAACCGGTGAAGAAGAACGAGCCACCGCCCTCGTACTCGAAGTTGGACGTCTTCAGTTGTGATTTTGCTGGGAAGATGAATTCCAACGTGCAGTTGGCGTCGGCTCTATCCGCCGGGACGTCGAAGCTGAAGATGGAGGCAATGTCATTAGGTGTGAAGACGCCGTTGTATTGCGGTCCAAAGGCCTTGTCTGGTTGGGATTTCGAGATCTGGGTGATGTAGTGGGGGAACTCGAATTGACCGGCCTCGAGCTCTGCAGGGCAGCCTTCGCGAGGCGCAAGAGCGCGTTTGCGCAAGACCTCACCGGGGTAGGCGGCGGCGAGGCCGGCCAAGGCGGTAATGATGGCGACCGACTTCATCTTCTTGTCGTGATGTACGGTCGGGAGTGATATTATGAGGACGGTGTACGTAGTAAAGATTGCGCAACAAGATGCTCAAGCGAGTGACGGTAGCGAGTGACGGATAGTAGAGGAGAGGAAGAGGTGAGCTGGAGTCAAGAGAGCGCGCCCATATCAATAGCAGTTATACAAGGAGTGGGTACCTCTATCGGAAGGAGATTGCCCATGGAGTCCAATAGCCGAATAGCCATGCGAGACGTCTGTTAGCGACCCAGGCAAGGCAAGCTCTCGCGACGCTCGAAAGCTTCTTCGTCCATTGATCGTCAGGCTGTGGGGAGGAGTGCTGCAGCGTGGAAGCTCGAGCAACTTTTTCACAGCACGTCACCTGGGTGAGACAAGCCGCAGGCCAGATTGCCTGATTTGCCTGGTCTGGGATCGGCTTGTTCGTGAGGCGCGAAACAGGTGTGGTGTCAGTTAACGGTGTGGGTAGTTCGAGAGTCGCGTCTCCCCCTAGCTTCCTAGCTGGGGCAAGGGTGGAGCTTGGGCGGCTTGGATAGAGCTTGAGTAGAGCTTAAGGGGCGACGCTCATCTCGAAAGGGCAGCAGAACCTCCTCTGACTGGACATCTCGTAAGGCGTGCCCGATGTTCATTCGCAGACACTCGGGTACCTCGTATCTTAGCCTGTTGGGCTCCACGGGTACTGCAGTACAGTAGAGCCGCTAGGCCAGAGTGCTGGTAAAGGCTGCTTCGACTGACAAAAATAGAATGACTTGTTGTCAGGACAAACATCGTCAAGGCGCAGGGCAACTGTGTGCCAACATTTTTGGAAGCGTTTGATCCGTCGTTTGCTGAGGCGCGTGTACCGGGTACTCTGTGAGGCAGAAATTGAAAAGGATGGCTGTCACAGGCCATCGCCAGTTTGTCGGAACGGCAAATTGCAGGTCCAGTGGTAGGCGCAGGGGAGCTACCTCAAGTGGCAGGGGTCTGCTTTTCTGGCCTCGAGCCAAGCTCCACAAGAGATCGTCGTGGCGTGATTGGGTTCTGACGGACAAGTCTAACTACGCCACTCCCAGGTACAAGCACCAACAAGTGGTGCAAGCACTGGCTGTGCTTCGCTAACAAACAAAGCCTACACAGTACGTACGGAAAAGTCGGCAAGTCGCATGGAGCAAACACCTGCCGGGAGTGCTGCCTGACGGTGAGTTACAGTATGGAGAGCAATTTTGAAGGTGTGCAATAAAGGGTTTCATGCCATCTTGGGTGTTTGTGTATCCCATATGCCAACCGTGACTTCGGAAATATGTCTATCTCGATCGAATCGAAGACAGAGCTTAGAGGCTGCAGACAATGCTCGTGGGGAAATATAGCCCCCACCTCCTTCAGCGCATTGTTGGCAAGAAGAAAATCTGGTGCGATCGATGGGAAGAGCTGAACTTCAGGCAGGAAAGACTTGACTCATGGCAATCGAGACGAGCCGTGAGGCTGTCTCTGACCATGTCGAGTGTTCGCGAAAGTCGGATCTCTTGATGTAACCTTCCCTCCCACCGTCTCCTACGTGGCATGAATATCTTGGTCCTCATTACCCCTAACGGCGCGCCGTACAAGCCGACATGCCATCTAATGCTTCTTTGCTTCATGCGCGGGTAGTCCGCCCTTGCCGTCTAGACATTAGTTTCTCGCTCAAAACAACAGACACAATTAGAAACAAGGGCTACCCGCACGCAAGTCGGTCTTTTGTGACTTCGGCCCATCAGCCTTGCGCCGACGCCTGTACAGGCTGCTTTCAGCCCTCAGCCAGCGCCAACAGGTCCACATCACACTGTACACCCCAGCGGTCCGCAAAGCCCTCACACACTTCTTGACATGTCCGCGCCGCCTGCCGAGTGCGACACCTTCGATCCCAGTCGCCCGCTTGTATCAAAAGTATACTGTTCTCCACCAGCTCTTCCTCCAGGACCATGTCATCGACCATGTCGCGGACTGACTTGAGCTTTCTCGTGGCGGCCGAGGAGGCCAGGCGCGACTCCTGAAGTAGATCCGTAAGAGAGCGAAGGGTATGCGTGAGTTCATCCGTCTGAGACGCGAAAATCTGCAGCGATAATAGCGGGTTCTGAGGTCGCAGGAAGGGTAAGGCCGCGGCCAGCTCGTTGATGTCGTCAAGGAGTAAGTCAATTAGATCTTCCGGTAGCTGCCATAGCGAGCCACCGTACATGAGGGAATGCGACTGCGTAAACAGGTCTCGTGTCTTGTGTGTCCTGTGCGTTGCCAGTGACGTGTATGCCGTACTCAAGCGAGTGACACCGTACTCTATATTCGCCTGTGGCCCAAGATCCTTCAAGCCCGATATCACGCGGCGCACCGTTCCTCCGCCCTCGCTGACAGCGTCTTCGGGGTTAACGCACATGCGCGTCAGGTTCTCAATGTCGCGGAGTCGTTTTCGCAGCATCGGCGACAGTGTCTCGTCCTCTTGTTCGGCCTCCGATTCCGGACCGTAATCTGAACCATCGTAAGCGGACTCGTGTCTCTGATGTGCCCCCGGCTTTTTGGGCTCTGGTGGTTGCGAATCCCTGCGGTTCAGCGGCACATTTGCTGTCGGGGACAGTCCATTGATTTGGTCCCGTGGGCTCTGCGAGACCATGCCAAAGCCGAGATCATGCATAGGGCTCTGGTTATCGCGCATCATAGACGAGTCTTGTGCTACGTCACCCTCCCGAAGTCCCTCGAGGAAGATGGACTGCCCTTCCTCTTCATCCACCTCGTCGTCCCACGCTTGTTCTAGCTCGTCGGCTAAGTTCCCCATGCCGTTGTCGCGCAGCTGTTCTATACTTCTGTTACTGTGTATGCTGTTCCGGCTCAGCCTGCGCGACTGTGTGAAGGAGGGCGGTCTAGAGGATTTCGACGACATCGGGCGCGGTGTCACCGGAGATCGTGGCTGGTACGAGGTCTGCGATGTCCGCGACGACCGTCGGGAGTAGCTTGTGCCATTTGTCGTACCGCTGGTATACGGGCTCGGCGATGTGAAGTCTTGCGATACATCTACATTGGACAGTCGAAGTGACCTGCGCTTACGTGAAGGTGTTGTCGGCGAGGCTGGTGGAGAGGGAACTGTCATTGTTCTGGCGCACGCGGCGTTGAGCCGAATATGGAGGATGGTTGCTGCTAATCAAAAATTCCGCTATTATAGAGGAGAAAGCATGTCGCGGGACGCTCATCTATCTGTAAACGAGTTTTTGGACGGTAGAGATCTACAGTACATAAGTGAAGCTGTTACTGTTCTGGTCGCCAGGTGATTTGCGTAACGGCGCGTTTCGTCGGAGTCGCAGGTGCATCATTTGCTCCCCCCACAATCAAACTCACTCCATCAGCTTCATGTTTATCCCGAGGCTTGACCTCTTCTTCAGACCACTGTCCGTACTGCGGAAGATGATGCGCGATGCCAACTATAAGACGGGTCCAGCCATCGGACTTGTTCCATCTGAACCTATGCAATTTGGACCCATATACGGAAAATTATGACTTGAATTTCTACCTCACGTACCTGATGAGATGGCCATCTCTCTTCCAGTGCATTGAAGAACACGGCCAAATTGTGGGCTACATCATTGGCAAAGTCGAAGAGTCGCCCAGTCACCTACTGTAAGTGAACAGCCAGCCGTTCCGATAAACCGTGGGGCGAGCAATCCTGAATGTAAGGAAATTTTCTTGTAGGAACACGGAGCATTACTTGCCTTGGCATGGCCACGTCACGGCCTTGTCCATAGCGCCGCAATACCGTCGACTAGGATATGGCAAGCTATTGACGGAATCTCTGGAGAAGGCATGTAACCAACAGAACGCCTGGTTTGTTGATCTCTTCGTGAGAAAGAGCAACAAGAATGCCATCACAATGTATGAGAGCATGGGGTACTCGACTTTTCGGACTGTAGTTAAGTACTATTCCGACGATCCAACTGGTATCTCAAAGAACGGAGAGGATGCGCTGGATATGAGAAAGCCACTGGATCGGGATGTCGACCGGAAGCATGTTAGAGAGCGCGGGGAGGATTTCAAGGTCGATCCGGAGGATGTCTTCTAACCCGTCAAGGAAGAAGCGACCTTCGCACTTAGCTTGATGTCAAATGCAAGGTACAGCAGAGACTCTTGCTCGGACAGGAGGACCAAGCGAGATCTGAGGAAAGGTGAAGAGGTTGCCTTGGTCTTTTGATGGCCTGTCATAGTAGCACTGAATGTGGGAGCTCACAACAGCAGCAGATGGTCGTGTTGGATTACTGGGATCGACCCTTGACGCGCGTCTCACCACGTCGAATCTCAGAGGCCTCAAATACCAAAGTGCTAAAAATCGAAGAGCACTGCAGCGAACACGACTCACGGAAGACCTTCACAACGCTAGACTCGTATGGCTGAGCCAAGGACTTTACGTCTACAACATGATTTATTGAAGTTCGTCAAAGGGTTTTCGACTGTAAGCCGTACTACCACAGGACCCCAGCACCGACGATTTGGCGCTCTCCTGCTTACGGCGTCTGATCCTTTCCTGGCATCGAGCCAGGATTCTTCTCCATGTCGTTCGGCCCAAAGGACATCGGCAACAACTCCCCGATCGTCATCTTTACAGGCTTTCCCTCTAAACCTTCCTTGCCGTACATGTAAATCGGCAACTCCCTCGAGCTTGCAAACTCATTAATGAATTGCCGACACATACCACACGGACTTGCTGGCGGGCTTATATCTGTGGCCACAGCGAGAGCGCGGAGAACGGGCATTTCGGGACGAGCAACGCTTGCGATTATGGGCGCGATGGCGCATCGTTCTGCACAGATGCCCACGGGTGTCGCAGCGACTTCGACGTTGGCACCGGTGTGGTAAGTCCCATTCGTGAGGAGAACAGAAGCCCCAACCCTAAAATTAGAGTATGGACCTGTATTCAAAGGGAGATATCAGCAGAGTTTCTCGAACAGACCTATTGGGGGACATGAGCGCTTGAGAACGATGGATAGTCCCTGAAATGCATACGTGCAGAAACCCATTCCCGTGCTTGGAAGGCAGGACGTTCTCTCGTTCAGTTCTGCATAGAGCCTCGCTGGACCCTTCCCATGTCACCGGGCATTTTGAAGGGACTTACAGTATGCTTTCGATTTGGCCTCGATCGCCAGCGTGGCAAGTTTGGCCACTTCCTTATCTGATAAGGGTACTAGTGCCTTTCCTGCCATACCGAGATTTCTAGCTGTTCCGCGGGTTGGTATTCGGTCAAGGGCTGGGTCAATCGCGGTTGATTTGGTGTTTTACAAGAATTGTACGTCGGAGGAAAAGAGTAGGGGGTGGAGGTTCAGTGGTCGAGATCCACAGCCTTGCCAAGAAACCCACAGCCTTGTGGGACGGGCGTCGCCTCCCAGCACCAACCCAGCACCACCTCTGCACCACCCCCGGAGTGCTATGTATCAATTCTTGCAATCGCTCGCCCGCCTCGAGATTGGTCCACTGTTTAGCTAAAGCCCAGAGTTGACCGCGAAAGCGGCTTCCGTCAAGCTGTCCTCCTTGCCGGCTCGATCAGTGGGAGCAACTCTGTTGTTGGCATGAAAATGATGTCGCTCATGCATTCCCTGATATACACGAAACTGTTCCACGGATTCTCCCACGTGTCAACAACGTATGTCGGAAGATCGAGGGAAGTCCAACCAACAACTCCCCGTAATCGCGCCTGTAATGCTAGCGTCGTCTTACCAAATCTATTTGGGTCCGAACCGTCCATTCTGTACTTGCTGACGAGGAGGTCAAGGAGCATCTTCTTTTCGTCTTCTTCTGGCTTATATACCACCCCTCCAGCATCAAAGGCCTTGCGTGGAGCATCAGTGGGCGCATCGACACCCGGAGCTACCACAGCGGTCACGAGATTGTACTCGGAAATCAAAGGGCCCATGGCCTTCTGAACTCGATAGTCCTGGTCGGGGGTTGTTGTTCCGTTTGTGTCGGCCCCAAATACGTCTCCACCAGTGTCCACAATAATCACTGTCTCGATCGGACGTTCAGCCTGACGAAGGACAGCCCCGAATTGTACTGTGAGATCCGCTTGGTCATGCTGAGATATCTGCGCCTTCGACTCGCCTTGATCCAGCACCATGAATATCTGACGATGGAATGGCAGAGGGATAGCTTCGAGGTCGCGTCCTTCTGCAGTAGTATATTCGCCGACTCGAAAAGTACCTGCTACAGTCCGCCCCTGGGCTTGAACCGTGCCACCATGGTTGTAGACCTCACGCTTGATTCCCAGCTTTGAGCCTTTCTTTCCCTGCGAACCTGTGGTCCACGTCCTCGTAGAAATGAGCAGGTTCATTTCCTTGTGTTGACCTCGCAGTAGGTGACCGATCAAACTGGCGCTGATAATGTCAGAGCCTCCACCACCACCGATTCCAGCATATTCATGGCTCCTCGACAGTTCCCCTGGGAGAACATCGGCAAGGGAATGCAGCCGCGGAAGGTTATCAAATGTCATAGGTGGAAGTCGGTGCCATCTAGCTGTCAAGAGCGAGGTATCCTTCGAAGTGGCTTCCAAAATGATCTGGTCATGAACAGCTTCCTCGAGCTGCCGTATCTGATCAGCTAGCTCACGGAGATCGACACAGGGGTTGCGCCGAAAGACGTCGTGGTCACATTCGCCCCTGCGACCTGTTGCAAGCGCTCGACATAACGTTGCGTGACATTCGTCATACACTCGGGCCAAGGTGAAGAGAGCAACAGTTGCTGACAACAGTCCTAATACCTTCAAGAGGTGCTCTTCCCCCAAGAGCTCGCAGAGAGGGCGGTCTGGGCTGGGATGGATGGAATTGACATATTGGCGTCGCAGCACTGTGCGGACGTTTCGATGGCCGGTACGATACGCTCGCTCGACCTCTTCCCCCTCATGTCGAAGACGGGCACTGAGGCTGCTTATCAGGGCGTCGTCGACATTATCGGCATCTTGTAGCATGGCCGCTCATTTGACCAATCCGAGATCAGTAGACTCCCAAAACGGTGGGTTAGAGAAGGACTTCGGATGCTGGTGGCTTCGTCAACGTAATGTGGTGTTTTAGTATGGGGAACGACCGGAAGAGAATATCAAACCCGCTCGAAACACGATGCCTGCAGGTGACAGTGATCTGCTGTGCTAAGCCCCAGCCGACCGAGATGACTGCTTCACGCGTTTGAAGACAAAAGATCACTACACCCCGAAACAGGTAGACCAGGCTCTCGGGATAGCGCCGTGATTTGCTGAGTGACTTGCATAACAAAGTCCCTCGCAGGGTCCTTTGGTCAAGCCCGGGATTTAGGTCTGACCGGAACAGTGGTGCCGCCCACAGACGCTTCACAACAGGCAGCCGAGCCCAACCGCAGCTCAAAGTAAATTCAAGTGCGTGAGAGGTGCGCGGAAAGAGAGCCTACTATAGAGAGAGGACCAGTTCTCGCAGAGCATTCCGTAAGCCGACGCTACTGTGGGCTGATAGGACGAAGGATGATATTCTGACGCTGGTGTTGCGAGCACCGAAGTATTTGCTGGTCAGACTGAGCATATTTCCGTGCGAAGATCACGAGGAACGCTTTACCTTATGGGGACTAGGAGCTTGGCGTTCTAGACCTCGGGCAGCCCGCAGAAGGAACTTTCGTCTTCCCTTCGCTTGGTCAGCCTCGAACCAACTTCACTTCTTCAAGTCACCTACGTTATCAGGGGAACTTTGGTAGTTGACGTCGCAGAGCCGCATTTCGTCCATTGTCATTTAGTCTCCGGTCACTCCGCCCCTATCTCGTTCGCCTTCTCAACGTTCGTGACCGCTCCTCCTGTAATGCGTTAATCAAGAGCAAACCCGCAAAGGCCATGGATCTAGCAAACAGACCATTGTTCCGCCCTAGGTCAGACAGCGACTGGGAGGTATGGCGTCCGCTTTTCACTCGCCTGTACAAGGAGGAGAATCGACCCCTTCCGGAAGTGATGCGGATTCTAAAGGATCAGCATAGCTTCTGGGCCTCTGAGAAGATGTTCAAGAACAGAATCAAGGCCTGGAAGCTTCGAAAGTACCTCAAAGAAGATGAGGCCAAGATGATTGTCGACGGCGAAGGCCCCTCCACTAACGGTGCGGATCCGGAGGACATGAGAGAGCGCGCCGAGCGATCTCTCAAGAGAAAGCGGGCTCGACAGCGAGCCCAGACCCAACTGTCGCCACTGCCGACCACAGCGTCGCCCTTACCACTCCCGCCTTCGCCTACCACAAGTGTGGTAGTCCCATGGGCACCACCGCGGCATTCAATCATCCTGCCACCACTCGACAGATTCAATATCACCGACACCATGGAGCGATTTCTTCTGGACCTCCGAAGGTGGACACATTCCGCATTCATTCATGGTTCCTGGGATTCGGCACTGTCCTCGCAGCACAATGACGGGAGGCAAGCGTCGCGGCTCCTGTCGTCGAGTCTAACAGCTGGGATCAATCTCTTCGAAAATGGCAAGCATGATCTGGCATTCAAAGAATGGGACCGAGCCCTGGCAAGTTTCAAGAACCCGCGCCTCTTTGAGTCCTGGTACTACGAGATCCCCATGTCGTTGCTCCATGAAGTTGGGCGCGTGGCTCACTCTGGTCATGCCCCCATCGCCAGCCTTGTACTTCGAAACGTGAAGGATTGGGCGCATAAGTACCTTGATCCGCAAGACTCGAGGCATGCGCTATTCAGCGATTTTGGCGACTTGGATGTGAGGCAGCTTCGCGAATTGTACAAACGTGCGGCGCGTTCGATGTTTGACGGCCTTGAAAGCCGAATTGACAAGCAGAACAAGCTGCTTTTCGAGGTCCGGCTGAACCGAGCTCTGGACCTACTATGGTATGATCCAATGGCGGACTTGAGCGAGTGGCTGCCGTCAATCGAGGAAGTTGACAAGGCGATTGGGCCGAATTCGGCTCTTTCGGTATACTTTCTCCTCCTACAGGCGTACAGGGACGTCGCGCAGGATCAATACGGAGATGCCGAGGATCTTTGCAACCAAGTTCAGAGTCGATTGGAAGAACTGCAGAAGGTTCCTGGCAGCATCGATCTGTGGCGGGTAGGCCTGGCATACAGGCGCCTTGGCCGTATGCAGCATTCCAAGGAGCGATATCCAGAAGCACGGCGAAGCTTCAACACGGCCCTCAGATACGTCTCGGGCGATAGCAAGCTCTCCAGATCCGTGCTGATTGAGATCTGTCAACGACAACAAGCCATGTCTTCGGCGATGAATGATGCTGGGGATGTCTTCCTCTGGACCCAGATGCTTGAAAGACTCGAACAGCAAACACAAGCACAGGTGGAGGAAGTTGATGATGACGATGAAGAGTACAAGCCTGCGACCAAGAAACAACGCCTACCACCGAGCCGCACTGCCAGTCCGGCTCCTCAACGGCGGGGAACATGGTCATGACGCCGGCACAGTTCCCCCTTCTTATCCAGGATTGACGAGATATGATGTTATGATTAACGAAGTCACGACCTGTGATTTATGGATTTTATCGTCGAATACTGCTGAAAGCGAGCGTTGGACAACCTGACACAGTACGCTTGAAAGCGCCGGTTTTGATCTGTCTGACACGCATCGCCGTGCATCTTTCTTTTGGATCTTTCGCAAGCCCGAGTGCTAAGGGCTTGCACGGGATCCAGGCCCTCCCACGAAGGGTTCCTCATGTGCCTCTATTTTCAGCCAGATTTCTACCATGCGAGTCGGCCATGGGGCCTATTTGGTGCTGTTCTGGACCCTGCTGGGCCCAAAAGGATCTTGAACTAAATCGCAGATATGATAATGTTTGTACGACTTCCAGATTCTAGCGGGAGGACGATCTTGTATGAATTGAGCGGACCTGTATAGTCATCTATCCTTGGTATAATACCAACTGAAATTCATCTTCATCCACACTTTTCTTCTCCTGCGATGTCCTTGTGGGAGATCCATGCTTTTCCCGTTCAACACGCCTGGGAGGCCTCCGGGTTCGGCCTTTGACAGAAGGACAGCGCTCCTTTCGAGCGCCGTCCATCCTCTCTCCGTCCTAAAGGTTGAGAGGAATTCGCAATCGTTCTGATGAGAGGGGAATCTGCATTTCCATCTCCGTGTCCATCCCTGTTCCGGATAGACTGCCCATCATGGAAGTAAAGCAGAGAGCCCATCGAATACATGGTGGTACAAGTCGGCCGCACGCGAACGCGAGCTGCCCCCATACTGTACAGAAGATCCACGGCGCTGGATTTTGCGGGCAGAGAAGCTCCTCACTCCCCACGCACTTTCTCCTCAGTAAGTACTGTACGTCCGAGACGACAATCTTCTTTGGGCACGCCGCTCACGTCCCCTCCTTGTCCTTGTCGCCCTCTTCGGGCTTTTTCTTCCGACTCGCCAGAATCTCATCCACGACGCCGAGCTCGAGCGCCTCCTCGGCACTGAGGAAGTAATCCCTCTCCATCATCTTCTCGATGTCCTCGACCGTCATCTTCTTGTCCCTGTTCGTGGGCGTCAGGTGCCGCTCGTAGATGCGGTTGAGCTGCGTGCGCACGCGCAGGATCTCCTTGGCGTGGATCGCAATGTCGGCCGCCGTGCCGTAGTGGCCGCCGCTCGGCTGGTGGAGCATCACGGACGAGTGAGGCAGGCAGTAGCGCTTGCCTGGGGCGCCGCCCGCGAGCAGCAGCGAGCCCATCGAGGCGGCCTGGCCGAGCACGAGCGTCGACACCTCCGGGACGATGTATTGCATGCAGTCGTAGATGCTGAGGCCGGCCGTCACGCTCCCGCCGGGCGAGTTGATGTACATGCTGATAGGGCGGTCGCTTTCGGATTCGAGAAAGAGGAGGGAGGCCGTGACGGTGGCGCTGGTGTTGCAACGGCACATGTTAGCATCGCGTAAGCGCAACTTTGGGACGATTGGAGGACCGTATCAAGTACAGCGGACATAGACATCTACAGAACGTCGTATGGACAGGGGCGTGTCTAGTGGTGGAGATGAATAGCTATTGGTTGTACTCACGCCATACGGTCGTCCACCTCCCCGTACAGGGCGACGATTCTTTCTTTGAGCAGCCGCGAGAACAGGTCCGTGGTGTGTGTCTGCGGAGCTGCGTTAGCCTGGCTGAACCACGCAGTCCGGGGACCCGCGCAGTGCTCACCATGCCGGCAAGTGTCTCGGTCACAAAAGGAACAGGAAGCCAACTTGACGTTGTCCGCTGCGGCGGCGGCGCAGATCTAGAGTACGAGTACGGCCGCCGCGAGGGTTCATTGAGGTATGCGGCGCCGCATGTTGCTGCCCGGGTGGCCGCCGAATGGCCTGCCGTGCACTTGAATTGAAGTCGGGCCACGGCTCGCAGGGGAGGACGCATCATGAGTATGGACGGCGAGGAGGCAACGGTCGCGTCAAAGGAGGAGAGTACAGGTGATGTTGATGTGCGACTTTTGGAGAGTGTCGCAAGGCTGAAGATGTGGGGACGAGGCTGAGCGACTTCGCGTTGTTACGTCTACTCATACTCGATCACGAGGAAAGCCAATTCACTCATAAGCTTGTAGGACGCCGCACTTGCTACGCAAGTTTGAAAGCAAAAGAACAAATGCCACCCAAGAAGCGGGGCTGCGTGAGCGTTCGCCATCATGGGAATTGGAGTTTTTGCTCGCCTCCTTCCGAGAGTCAAGCCAGGTAGCATTGTGGTTTAAGCTCCCCTTGCCCTTCGAGCCGCCAGATTAGCCAAGAATGTAGCAAGAGACGCACGAGCCGCAGGGTCTTCAGACGTAGCCGGGGACGACGTTGGCGGCGGCCTGCGCATTAGAGCCCGGAGTCCCGTCAGGTCCAGCAGTATCACCTCGTCATCTTGCCCACCTGGGTCACTCCTCTTCTGATGTGCTCGTTCCTGCTCTTCCGAGCCGTCTGGTAGCAGACTCCGCATTTCGACTCCCTCATCTGTTTCGGCCCCATTGTCTTGAGTACGCGACCTCAGTCGACCGGCCTCTTCTGACTCCAGATCCTGCGGTTGCGGTGTTTCCGGACTCTGCGCCTCTCCAGAGCTTTTCTGTTTCTCGTGGCCGGCCACTAGCATAATCAACTGTAGGGCAAAAACGAGGATGTCCAACAGCAACAGTCTAGCCGTTGATGGCGCCAGCTCGCCCACAAAATCAATGAGAATGCCTCCATACAAGCGCTTGTCTCCCGGTCGGCTCTGCAGCAGGTGAGTCACGAGGCAGACGACGCTGACGAGGATCGTAGGAGGTAGTTGGGATATCGGGGCTCGAACATGCACGATTTGGTTCGCAAGCCGTAGTATCAGGAGAAGTGAGAGGTTGTCGCACATATAAAGAGCCGCAAAATAGAGATATATCAGCCCATCCAGGGCATGGAGGAGGGGTTCAAGGTAATGCTCTTTCTTCTCCGGAAGTTCGAGCTTGCGCTCATGGTTGAGCGAGGGGACGAATGGGCTGTCATTTTCGGCGGTCGCCGTATTGTTCATTAGAAATGAACCTGCGAAGTCAAAGGAGATAGACGAGAAAGTATCATATTGCTCAGATACTTGTGTGCAGTATCCTAGATGAGCCCTTGGAGATGGGAGTCAAAATGAAAGCGTCTGCGCTCCTGCCGTTCGAAAGCCCAAGGTGGTGAAGTGCGTCGCAGTGCTGCTCCAGGCCGTCACTCCTTTCCAGCTCCGGGGGAGTCCTCGTTGAATGTCATATGACGTCGAATTCCACCTGTCCTACAGCTCCGCGCCTCCCCAAATCCCGCTTCAAAGTGCCAAATACTGTTCGTCAGACGTTGAAAAATGTCGTCTTTTCATCTCTGCCTGCCATCAGTCATCATTCATCATCCGTCTTGCTCTTCTCCTTCATCCTCGGCAGCAACGACTTCGAAATCAGCAGAGTCGGACTCCCCAGGCTCATCCTCGTCACTTTCAGCGTCTTCATCGTCTATGACGGTTTTTGAACGCCAGGTTGGGTCTGAGACATATTCGACCGTTGTCTTTCCGACCTTCTTGTTTCCTATTTTGGCGGACGCCTCTAAGATACCCTTGATGCTCGACACGACCATCTCAATGATGACCTTGAATGCCAGCACTTTCGGGGGCTTGCCCGTTTCTTCAATGTGCCTGGCACGCTCCGCCCGAGCATGCGCAGTTAGATCGACTTTCAGGTTCCCAATGGCAAAGACATCTGCGCAAGCATTAGTGCTGCCACCACGCGTGGCTCGTCAGACTTACGGTTACCATCCAGACGAGTAGGAGCATTCTTCAACGGGCATTTGTATAAGACTTGCTGAAGGCAAACTTCTTCAATTTCCTGCTGGATGCTCGTCACGGTCGCATAAAGCTCGAGCCTCTTCTTCATGTTTTCCGACAGCTTGTCTCCCTAATGATCGGTCAGCCCCAGGTATGATCATACATTGTGGATACGACGACTTACCCTCTTGTATGCCCACTTCATCTGATTCGCCGCTCTTAGTCCTCGAATAGGACATTCGAATTGGTCTTCTACTTTGTGGAATCTGGGCTTGAACTTGGTGTGTACGCAGCAACCAATCCAATCTCGCGCCCGCCTGAACATGACCGGATTCTTCTCAAGTGCTGAAAGCACAGCGCCTCTTGCGATGGCCGACCAAGGCTCAAGCGGACTGACGAGTTCGACTTTCCCCTCGTCAAATTCGTTGGCAACAAAGGCTGTGAACCGATCGCATACGTAAGGAGAACAGCTGAGTCCACCACATACGACAACCGTCTGTTTCAAGTCAGTACTATGTATGCCACTCGCACAAGGGAACAATGGATATTACCCGGATCGGCGGGCTGCGAGCCTTTTTCGCTCTACCGGCTTGTCTTCGGACCAGATCGAAGCTCTTCTGCAGAACTGGTTCGAACATGGCTTCGACGTCGTCGCTATGCGGAAGTCAGCAGTGCCTGGCGATACAAGCTTTCTGGAGCAAGCCGAAAGACCCGGTACATACCTAGTAAGCTTGACCATGTCTTCGTCCGAGTCATAGTATTGACGAACAGCATCACTATCCATGTCCAACTTGTTCATCTTGAGAGGGATGCGTAAGAATTTTCTGCTCTTATCCTTTCCCTTGAAGTTGCGCTTAATGTCCTCAAAACCCTTCAGGAAAGTACTTCCGGCTCCCGTTTTCTCGCTAGGGAGATTCATGAACGCAGCGTCGAAGCGCTTGAGCGTTAGTTCATGGAAAGCGCGGTCAATTGCTGTACCACCTATCTTTGCGCCTGAGTTTGAAGTCAGCAGGTGTGTCTCTCTTCCGAGACAGACATTCTTGCCTTGGCCGACGCATGCTTCTTCCAGCTGGAGCGGCTGTGATTTGATGATGCGGTATGTGACTAAGTCCACTGTACCTCCACCCATATCCACCACCATCACACATGAGTTCTCCTTTGACACATTAGTTGAGCACGCATGCTTCCACGTTTAAGACTGCTCACCTGGAAGGGACTGGTCGCAAACTTGTCCTCGGTCGATTTGATAGTCCACAAGAAGGCCGCCTCGGGTTCCTCTGTGAAAAACAGCTCGTCGCCCTCTCGGCCGGCAAACCCGGCATCTCTGGCCGCTGCCAACGTCGATTCACGGGCGTGAAGAGACCATACCGCTGGTAAAGTGAACTGGAAGCGAAACGCCGTCTGCTCCAATGCAGTTTTACCGATTGCTTTCTGCATTTGCGACATGATATAGTCATGAAGAAGGCGTAGAAAGTCGGTCGTCACGTCTTTGGCATCCTTCCCGGGCTTGATCCGCATCAGCGACTTACCCACAGCTTTTTGGAGTAACGGATCGTCAAATTCTGTCTTCTGAGTGTTCTCATCGAGCAGCAATTTGAACCAAGAACAGCTGAGGAGTCCGCTATCGACGTCGTAGCCCCACCGATCCTCGTTGCCGGCATCGTGATTCTCTTCGGCATATGCGATCAGGCTTGGGACCTTCTGCGCAATAGCGGTAAGACCGCCAGGCCATTTCTGGATCACTTCGACGTCTTTGAAACTCTTCGTGCTCGTCACAAACGCAACACCTGACCTGTCAGCGCAACGTGGATTTCATGAGGTCAACCGATTACCTGAGTACGTCGTGCCGAAATCAACCCCAACGATGATCCGAATGGCCGCTTTTGCCTTTGCAGCATCTCGAGAGGCCTTAGCCTTCTCCCGCCGCTCGAGCGCTTCCGGCGTAGGTTCGGTTTCTGCGCCGGTCAGATGGTCCATCCACCAGGAATCTAGGTATAAACTTACTTGGGCGTTTACGCTTTGCTGCGGTACCGGGTTTTGACGCATGTTTCCTCCCGGCGGCTAACAAGTGAGTGGCTAATGAACTGGTCAGCAATGTTCTGTCTAGAAGAGCTTCAGCCATACCAGTCCGCATCACCGGCACATCTATGACACCGAGAGCTGTGCCTTCTATCGCCATATTGTACGTCGGAGCTGGGTAAGAATGGGATGAGATGTTGATGGTGTCGTGGTGCCGACGAGAATCTGCTTGAGTGACCAAAAGGGTAGTTGTACGAAGGTATAAGTAAGAAAGAGAGGAGAGTACACCGAAGATGGAGAGATAAAGAGGAGGAGACGAGTCTCAAGTAGTAAGGAGACGGCACTACGATGTATGAGTGTCACATGCTTTTGAGATCCTTAGACTCACATGTCACAGGGTTGAAGAGGAGCGGAGGTCGACGGTGAGGTCAATGTCATTGCGACTCCTATATGGAAGAGATCTTTCCCTCAGCTTTCTTTGAGCCGGCCATGGACCCGTGACAATCGGCACCGACTTCTTCTTGAGTGAAGTCCTCTTATTCACTGGCTCAAGTTGTATCTCTTTCCATTCTCTATGTGACATCGGAGATATCAGACCACTTGTGATCATTGCATGACAGCTCAACCAACACTTCTACCTCAAGTAAGCATCCACAAACTCACCATGGACTCCAGTCAAGACGACAGCGGTTTGGAAATCACGGGTGGAGGATCTGTATCAGTCGAAGTACCAAAGCAGAGAATGGTCCGACTGGAGGAAGATCCAAATGTCGTACACACTATCCCTCGACTGGCTGAGAGTGGCTTTAAGACGCGGTCGACACGACAGGGGCGCCTATCCGGGAACCCAAACTCTCTTTCGACTGACGCCGTCCCAGTCGTCGAGTCAGACATCTCAGCAAAATCGAACGATAGCCAGCAGTTCGATGATGACAGTGAACACGATGATTATTCCCCGAGGCAGACACCAGCAGAGCGTCAAACCCCGGAAGAGATAACCCCGGCTAGTTCCAAGAGAGGGAGACGGCGAGGCAAGACTGGTAAAACCAACAACAAGGTGAAGCAGACACGCCCATTGAGGCTCAACCTGGAACAATCCCACACTAGAATCCGCCTGCAGATGAACGCCATCGAAACTTACAAACAAGCCAAAATAAAGCAACTGGAGAAACGAATGGCGCTAGAGCAAACCGCGAGATCTCTGAAAGAAGAAAATTCCAAGCTTGCACAGGATGTTCAAGGCTTGAAGCACCAGATTTCGGAGCATGAGGCCACAATTCAAGGGTATCATGATGATGCACTCGAGCTTCTCGGAAAAGACAAGGCGGAGGCAATGCAGGACGAACAAGTAACTGAAGACCTGACCTGGCTCTTCTCCGAAACCAAGGAATGGGCCAGGACGTGGTCAATTGAGAGGTGGAATGATGCTGCGAAGGCCAAAGTACGAGATCTTCTCGCCATACATGCCGGGAAGGCATTTGCAACAAAGTGGCTGGTTGCGGCGATTGACAGGGCTGCCCAAGACAAGCAAACACCACCGCAAATGGTCTTGAACGCACTCCTCAACTGCTTTCTCTGTGATGAGACGTTTCGAAGACCGTTCGCCCATCTGGGCAGGAGCATGCAGGATGCGGCAAATGATAGTTATGAAGACTGCATGAACTGGGTCATGGAAGCAGCGACTGAAGGTACGCAACTCTAGCTAGGCTCGACGCTAGAATCGTGCTAACAGAGAAAAGAATGTCCAGAAGGCTGCAACAAGTTGAGAGCCCGAATCTGTAGCCTAGTCGACAAGCCTGCAGTTCTCGACGGAAGCAAGGCAGCCAAATTATCTTCGCGCCAAAAGGACATGCAGTGTCTACGCCAACACCGTTGCGAGAAGATAGTCGCTCTTTGCCTGTCAAAGTTCCACGTGGGCTTGCAAGCGGTCGGCGACGAAGATGGGCAAAAGCGCCACAAGGAGATGCTCGAGATTGTAGAGGCAGCCTTACGTCTCTCTGCCAGACTATCAACTGAAAACCCCGAAGTGAGATTTTACTTTCTCGACGACCTCGAGAAGACCAAGTTCGACCTGAGACACGACCGATTCAAGCCGCATCGAATCCTGAAGCTGGATGACGAAGAATTTGACGATGAGGCACAAAGAGCCGAAGCTGAAGCCCTAGTCGGTCGTCCCTTCGATATGGTCGTGGAGCCTTGCGTTGTCAGACGTGGGGATGCGAAGGGACAAGAGTACGAGAAGGAGCAGGTCCTTTATCGTGGCGTTGTTTGGATGGTCAAGGGCATGGTAATTCCTCCGGAAGAGCTTTCGGAAGACGAGGCAAGCTCCAACGATCAATACTCCATGCAGGCGACGTCAGCTGCAGGACCAGGCCGTGGCGGTGGAAACGGCATCTCAGCAGCATCGAGATTACATCTTGGGGATGGCGTTCGAGGTGAACCGAATGAATCCGGACCCCCAGGCGACAGGGCAGGAAGCTACCAACTTCGTTTTGCCCCCAAGCCACCTTCGAAACTCGGGTTTGAGGACGATAACAAGAATTCCGGTGGCAAGAAAAAGCTCGTCGGCCGCAATATCAGCGCTTCGGGAACTGCTGATGGGCAAATCCCTTCGACTAGCACTCGTCGCTCCCACGAAATTTCTGCCCAGCCCCTGATTGCTAGGCATGATTCTTTGTCTACCGAACCCTTCGATGATGGGACCACTTTGACCTCCGAGGCACCTCTTTCGAAGTCAAGAACCTCCACACCGAGCACCGACTCCCGCAAGAAGCGGGAAAGCGCTTCTAAGAGACATCGCGGAACAATAGAGAGTCTCGAGAGGCAGGCATCTCGTCAGCAGGCAAATGACTTGGACAACAATGCAGAACTACAGGTGGAGGGACACATGCTGTATGGTGGTGCTGATACCGTGAGAGCCGCCAGGATTCTCAAGGAGGAAGCACCCGTAGGCCCTGAGCCCGAACTCTGTTCAGGCGTTTCCAGAAAGCGTAAAATATCGGATAACAGCACCAAAGTGCAAGCGAGAGATCCTGATCATGTCGAAAGTTACCTCCCAAGCAAGAAAATGGTAAGTTGCCACATATGTCCTCGCCCTACCTACACGATCCCTAACAGTTCTGCAGAAAACTAACGTAGCCTCAGAGAGCAACTACCACGGGAGTGCCGGCGATGACGAAGATTACGTCTCGATCACCCAACTCTCAGCCGACGGATACTGCGAACACTTCTCGTCAACGCACCGATCAAATCCCGCCGTGCAACAAGAAGTCACAGCAAAACTTACCGAGGGACGTTCCATCGAGAGACCCAGCGTCACTGATGGGTCCAGCACCAGTTTTGATAAAGATGGACTTAGCATCATCGACCAAGAGCATGCAGTCCAAGTCTCCCAAGCACCCGGGTCAGCAACAGAAGTCGGAGAGGCATCCGACACGTGGGCTGAGCGACCGAGTACCACCCCACAACGAGATCACGAACCCACTGTGCTATGTGGTCGGTCAGAGTGCACAAGCGAACGAGGCTGCGAAATTAGCAATCAAGAGACAATCAGGAGCCCTGAGCGACAAGCCCGCTCAAATGGACAAGCCAGCTCAAATGAACAGCCCAATTCAAATCAAGAAGCCAGCGCCTCCGCAGTCACAGTTAATGAAAATTCTCCGCTCGACTGAGGGATGACGGATGCTACAGTGACGACTTCTCCCCTCAACATTCCTTTTCACTGTTGCTTGCTCGAGCACCCTGCCTTCATCCAACTAGCAGACACGCCGGGAAGCAGTAACGACTGGACTTTCACAGGAGACTTCATCCGCTCTGAGTGAAACTCGGCTCTTCATCCATCACCAATGCCAACATCAATTCATTGCCCTACCCACTTTCTGCGAGCGTCTTCAGGTATCTCCAGTCCAGCCCTGCGTTTTTGGAGGGACAACATTGCCAGCTTGGTCCAACTTAAGGAGACACAACGCCTCATTATCGGTGGAAACTGAGCCCTCGAAGCTAGGAGGTCCCCGAGCTGAGGGTGGGAGGATTCCACGGACGGACGAACTCAAGGAAGACACCGTGTGAACCCTGGTTCCATATTCATTCTCTACCCGCGAGGGGGCTTTCACGACAAGTAGGAACTGACTCCCTACAGTGCAACTTGCAGCCTGCTTGCTTTGCACCCGACGCCGCTCGAAGACATTCCCAATACATACCTTAGCCCATAGACCGATGGACATGCAATGCAATGAGCTTTATCCACAGCACAGCAGTGCTAAGCCCTGCGTAATGATCTTGTACACAGGATGCTAATACGCTAGGCTTGCAAAGCAGACAATCGTGCGTGCGAACTCGCGCCGTAACCCCTGCCTCCGTACTATGTACTGGGCGAAAAGTCCAGAATAGACCGCTTGTCAATCCATTTATATGTAGGACCAAGAATGGGAAATATAGAGAACGTAATAGAGGACAGACCGAGTCACTGTATATTATGGTCACGTTCATTCATCCGTGGTAAGTCCAGCATCCATTAGCACGGCAGATCCGACTCCTTTGACAACGCCGCAAACGCCTCGCTGATGCAGCAAAGTACCACGCGTCCCGACCGAGTCTCATTGATAGTCGTACAATTCTGTCTGTTTCCGCATCCCTTTGAGGTTCTGTACAAGGTCAACCCATGCGTCGGGGACAGGGCTAAGCCAGGCAATGCCATCAGGCAGCCAACACCGCAGCCAGCTGACAACTCATGTCCAGCAACGCGAGATGCTCATCCACCCCGTCGATCAACCGCTTGTCGAACTCGGAGAAGGTTTGCGTCAGTGCCGCCTTCTTCCGCAACGCCGCAGCCACGTCACCCTTTTTTGCGACCACGATGTCTCCCTCATCCCCGACGATGATCTTCGCGTACAGAGCCGAGAGGACTTCGTTCGCGGCGTATCCTGACGCGACGATATTCGTGATCTCGGTGGCAATGTGGCTATAATTCCTCGTGTTTCCCTTCTGGAGGATTTTGATCAACCTGTCCGTCAGAGCTGGGGGAAACGTGCCCGCGATCTCATCGATGTCGGATATTCGGATGGCGTTGCCGCCGGTTTGGGCATTGGGTTTTGTGGTATTATCCACATCCTCCATCTCGTCGTCGCTGTCTTCGGGGACAACGTTTTTTTTGCTCCCGGCGTTCGCCTTCTCGCTCGACGCCGAAGCCGAAGCCGAAGCTCCCACGAGCCGGGCGGCAGATTGTAGCAGGTTAATGGCTCTTCGCAAGTCACCGTCTGAGACCTTCAATGTCCGTTCGATGACGCCGTCGGTGTAGTTGACGTTCTCGGCCTTGAGAATCTCCGCGATGCGAGCCGCCGCTTGGTCACCGCCAATGGCTTTGAATCTGAATTTCGAGCACCGCGAGGCTATGGGGTCGATGATGCGAGAGACGTAGTTGCAGCAGAGGGCGAAGCGGGTGGAGGTGCTGTAAATTTCCATTACTGTGGACCGATTGCCAGCACATGTCAGCAAGGGATCGAGCGGTAGACTGGGAGGGTTGGCGAGTAGAGCGCACCTCTTCTCAATGCTCCTTGGGCGTCTTGCGTCAGCTGGTCTGCTTCCTGCGCGGCCTGTTAGCATAGCATACTACATCCTGCTCTATCGAGGGCGGCCGAACTTTAGGGCTCTAGCTCGGACCCTGCGTTTTTGTCGGTGTGGTTCAGAGTAAGGCAGACTCACATCCAGGATGACAATCTTAAAGTTCGGACACGGGTATTTCTGCGTATACTCTTTGCTGCTCGGATTCGTCAAGTGCAGCGCGGCAAATTGCTTGACTCGTTCTCGGATCACCGATAGCCCGCGCTCGTCTGAAGCATTCAGTTCGAGCACTCTCGTCTTCATCAGTTCCGGGCCGAACAGTTCCCTGCACAGCGCCAGAATTGTGCTAGTCTTGCCGTTCCCGGGAGGACCATAGCACAGGAGATGAGGCAGGTTGGAAGCGTTTACCATCCGCCGCAGTGTCTCTGTCGCGTGTTCTTGACTTTTGACTTCCTCGAGCTGCAAATGTGTTATCCGTTAGCTTGTGTCCAGGCGGAGCCAATGGACCGACGACAGTGGGAGGTGGAAGGAGGGAAAACCCACAGATTTCGGCCGGTATTTTTCGACCCATGGGACTGCTCTTTCTGTGGTTTCGATGGATTTGGAGGTGTTGGGCTTAGAGGACGATGCAGCGGCAGCAGCGCGGGCTTTATTGCTGAAGAAGTCGGCCATCGTGTAATGTGGCGAGAGGGGGAAGGGTAACGGCGACGTTCACGCGACGGTGAGTCTATGCTAAAATACGTCGGAAACGGGAAATGCGGGAGAAGACGCGACCGACCAGACGCGTTGAGTGTTTCTTGGCGAGGCTGAACGAGATACGTCATTGCAAGCCTTGCAGCATTGCCAGATTAGGATGCAAGGCTGAGGGCTCAGGAGCGTGAGTCTCTTTCTTCGAGGAGCACCATGTAAGCCAATTACTGTCAGCGGAGAAAGGGGAGCAGGAGACATGATAAGTCATCTCTTCATTGGGTCTTGGTTATCATTTCATAGCTCGTCTCGAACAGGTTCTACATCTACCTCCATCATCCGCTTCTTTGGATTCCTGGGCTGGTCTTCCTGCTGCCGTCGCTGCTCCTCTGATATGTCATCAAGTTGTGTTTCCTCCGGCTGATTTTCCATCATCCGTCCAATCTTATCAATCATGCTTTCTTCGATCTCCTGCTGTGGTACCTGCGGTGGCGGACCTCCCCCACGCCCTCCCTTCGCTGGTAGATGCATGCTTTTGAAGTATATTTGTGAGCCGCCCACGTTCGTCGGCATGCCCTCTACACTGCCACCAGGCCTTGAAAGTGTCAGCGTCGGTACAGGCGCAGATAACGCCGTAACGTCAGATCTGCCGCCCAGTCCTACCACTCCAAAGCTCTTTATCGACACCCACCACATCATCCGCAAGGGCCAAATAATGAACAACATCATCGGCCCATAGATGATCCGCCGGTAAAACAACCACGCAATTGTCGCCGCGAGAAGATAGAAACTCGTCTTCAAGAACCACGTATCCGATTTATTACTTCTCACCAACTGCCCCACGAAACTCCTACTAGTCTTTAGTAGATCTGTCGTGCCTGCATAACTGGTAGTCAGAGTCTGTAGAGCTTGTTGGCTTTCTTCCAACGTCTGCTGCGCAAACTGCGAGACCGACAATTCTCCCTCAAGCTGATTGTGTACGCGCCGCAGCGCCATGGTGACATCCTCCGCCGCGCGCAGCGCGAGTTCGTCTTGCGTCAATTTCTCATGCGTAGCTCGTCCTCGGGGCAGGACCTGACCGTCTTGTTTTCTATCGGCGAAGAGCTTTTCGCGCTCTTTGCGCTTTTCTGCATCGGCAGTGCGCTTGGCTTGTAATTGGGCCTTGCGGAAACTGGCCCGTGCTGTCTTTAGATCTTCAGTCAAGAGCAGGAGTAAGTCTGCGTTTCGTTCGCGTTCAGCCTCTCGTGGGGAAGCATCTCGTCGGTGGGCGGCAAAGGTATCGTCTTCAAGCTCTTGTCTGAGGATTTCTAGAGTGTCTTCTTGCTCTTTCAGGCTGTCGTGGATCTCTGTTGCGAGTTCAATTCGGCGCTCGTCTGGGTTGCCGGACGTGTCATTTGCGGGACTGAATTTCCGGAGTTCTTGGATTTGGGCAACAACTTCTTTATACAAGTCAGCGAGGGCCTGGAGCCTCTGGGAGAGCGAAAGAGACATTGTCAGGGCGTGTGCTCTGGTAGAAACAAGAACTGACATCCAGCTGTCCTTAATGATGTACAGAGTGCTCCGTAGACTGCGGGAAATGCAAACAGGGCAAACTCGGCGCAGATTCACGCGATATTTCTCCGCAGCAGAACTCCACCAGTACTCCGCGAGGTAAACTTGTCCTAAGCCACGAGTACACAATACCGCAACACCGTCGCAGAGATCAGTCGCTCCGTTTGTGTGGCTAGAACCAACACGAGCTTGCAGCGCTCCGACACAGCTCGAGCAGTACCAACATTCTCTCCGGCACAATGATTACAACCTACCTGACCACCCTAAGAGCGACCTTTAACCCCTTCTCGCCCTCGTCGAAGATCCCGCGCCTCTTTTTGACCCTTCTCCCAGCCAACGCACACAAGACCTTACAGATAAAGTCCCAAGCGCTACCGCGCTACTCCCACGAACCATCGACGTTAGAGCTAGGTTTCAAAGATGGAAAGGTTGTAAAGTATTCGTGGGGCGGCAAGGCAGCAGAGGGAGAGCAAGCAAGTGCCGCGGCGAAAGCTAAGCAAGGACCCGGCGAGAAGGTTACGCTGCAGGATATCGTCGAAGAGGTGAATAGGCATGCTAGGGGATTGGCACGGAAAGAGGAGCTGAGTGGGTAATTCTGAGGGCTGGCCACCTTGGAAGAGAATCTCAGGTTTACGATCAAACGAAAGCTGCGCAGAGAATATTCCGCTCAACAGAGAACGAAAATTCGAGATAGAAGTGCGCCGGAGCCTCCAGCTGTCAACGCAGGGCATCGAAGCCAATGGCGACAGGTGGGCAGTATACACCGGTAACTGTACTGTGCTTGCCTGCAATCTGCCATGGGTGTGTAAAGCCAGGAGGTGTACTGAATGCTCGCCTCTGCACATTCCGACGTTGCCCGTCTATAGGAAGGCGCAAATCGAGGTGATCCGCAAGAGGACGCAGTCTGCGCGAACTTGCACTCCCAGCGATTTGGAGTTGGCACAATAACTGCTAAGCGAGACGGAGAAGCAGAGTTCGGAATGTCAGTGTGGAACAATGAGAGGGTAATCGCGAGCTGTTCAAGCCAGTGCTATCGAGGAAGGGATATTTATATGACGCAGCAACTCGATATCCAGCACCAAGCGGTGGGAGCACCAGTCAGTTTGTGTTGCACACCAACTCTAATATCTAGTCCTGCGTACCTTCTCTGCTCCTACGTACCTTCTCTGATGGCCTTGGGAATGTATCCAATTGATTTGATATATTCCACCTTGTCCTGTTCAACCGTCCCCAACACTTGTGGCTTCCCTGACATGACCGCTTCGTCAACCAATTTGCGCTACCGGACGGCCTGTTCTCCAACCTATACCACCAGCCCATCTCATTCGATCGTCCTAGATCATGCCGCGGTCCACGTCCACGAAGTCCTGACAATTGGGTTTGGGTACAGTCGAATGGTCATTCTGCCTTCGATAATGTCTCGAGTCTACGCATGCCGGAACGCCGGCTGGTGCACAACGAACGCAGGAGTTCGTCGTGATCAACTATAGAGGTGGTTTCATTGGTGAGAGGCTCGTATTCGCGGTGGCGGGTTCGACATGGGCGTCTTCGTCGTGGACATAGTTTCATGCGACTTAGCGAGCTGACTGATTTCGATCGCACGGTGGCTCCGAAAAGGTGCTTGCTTGTATGATCTCGACCATCCTTGTATGCTTGCCCCTGTCAGAAGTCAAGACATAACTCATACCGTCGCGTCGTTACATGCGGCGATTATCGAAAAGGGTATGTTGAAGCGGATAACGAAAGCAGATCGATAGCTTTGGTGTGTCATCAATAAGCTGAATTTGATGGATGTGTGTAAGCCACAGTTCAGTGTGGTGAAGTCAGGTGGGTTGACGCTAATGCTGCAGTACTTAGTTCCCTGAACGAGAGGGCCAGGTGAGGAAATACCTACCGCACGCCTGATATCAGTGATCTTCATGCCGCTGGCGACAGCTGTCTTTTAGGCATCCGTGCCAGTCAGAATTGCCATCGGCATCAGGTTCTCAAGCACCATGCTTGAGCAACCAGACCCAGAGAATTGGGTGAGAGACCAACGGCAGCATCTCGAAGAGGCTATTTCGGGGGGAATCGGTGTTCTCGTGTTGATGATTCTGATTATCGCTGTGGTTGCTTCATTCAAGCTGTGACTGCTGCAAAGCCTTGACCAACTCCTTCAAACCCAGCATTCTCAGCTGCAATCTCAGCTTTCTGCTTCTTGCTCCGTTCTTGATTGTGGTCGCCATCTTGCCCGAACACACGCTTCTTCTCCTGCTTCTTCGCTTGATTCTCTCGGTTTTGCTGCTTGTGTTGCCGCTTGATGTCCGCTTTTGTCACACTTCGCACGTCCAAATTGAGAACATGATCGACTTCTTTTGCTTTCTCGATAATGTTCGGGTCAGCCATGCCTAGCAAGGAAATCGCTTCAGCATAGCTTCGTGACTTTTGAACGGGTTGATATGCCGCGTCTCTCCCAGGCATGAGCTGTGAAAGAAGGAATTTCGTGTTACCGAACCTGTTTTCGACGCTCATTGCCAGTCCAATGTAATCTTCCACGACTTGTTTCCACGGAAGCAGGCCACCCTGCTCCTTGGTTCGGAAGACAGACGAGTTGGCTTCGGCGGCCGTTGCAATCATGGCTCCGTCAATGCCGTATTCCTTGGCGAGCGCTAGACCTTGCTCACGCGAGGTGACGTCTCCATTCATGAGACATGCAACGCCGTGGCTTCTGCAAATGTCGCCAATCATCCGCAGTTGGTCTCTGATAGCCCGCTCCCTCGGTCTCATGGGAGTGGTCCGGCAGTGGATTGTGAGACCTGTGATGCCCGTCTTACAGAGCTTGTTGACAAGTTCAGAGGTCAATTCTGGGGTCTCGAGTAGTCGGATCTTCACCGAGATACCAATTTGGTGCTTCGTCCCGACATTTGTAACGAGTGCAGTCAAAATATTGCACAGCAGCTCGGGTGTTCGAAGGAGCGCCGCACCCATACCGCCCGAGGTCGAGAATGGTTTGGGGCAACCGGCATTTACGTCGATACCACAAACGTAAGGAGCTACTAGACTGGCAGCTTGCACTGCATAGTCGGGTGAAGCAGTTCCGATCTGGTATATCAACTTCTCCGATTCTCTCGCTGGGTCGATGCGATATATGACGTTGGTTTGATTGTTATTGGAAGTGCGAGACCACTCTATGCAGCCTGTGCGAGGGTTTATTTGCTGCGTGGTTCCGATCATAGATCTGTCCACGGTTTCCGGGCCCCATACTAAGTCTGCGCCGTACTTGAGAGCTAGCAAGCGCGACGGAAGTTCACCTGATCGCACCATAGGCGCCAGAACCACCTTTCCCCGATAGTCGACACCGCGCTTTGGTATTGGAAGATGAGGGACATCTTGAAACGGGAGCGGAGAGCCCATCGTGGAAGTAGAAGGTCGTGATGGCAAAAGAGCCTTTACGAGGGAGGCAGCGCGTTGTAAGAGGGACTGTGGCCTGACAGCATGGCCGACAGTCATATGTGGAGGTTAAACGGGGAGTCGAAGTTGAAGGCAAAGGTGAGTGGAAGATGAGATTTGTCGTGACTGACTCGTGAGTCCAGGAACGCAGTTAATTGCTGCGTTTAAGCAGAGTCGCAGGAAATCCGCGAGCCGCGGGTCCTTATCAGCACGTGAAGATAGCGAAAAACTCGGGATATCGCTCTGCAAGAGCTCCGATCGCCCATTGAGATGTGTATCAAACCTTGTTCAGGTCATTTGCGATATTCTGTACCGAGGTGGAATAGCATTGTACAGCCAGATCGAGAGACTACCTAAGCGGCTGAAGGCAACAAGTCCAAAAGTCTATAAGCAGGCCTACACCTCTCATTCCCCAGATGCACATGCTTCAATCCACGTTCGTACTGAGTCGAAGCCAATCTTCGCGAACCTGCAGAAGCGTTGGCCGCATCTTGTCCATTCAGAGCAAATCGTCATTTCACCGCCAGTTCTCAACACGCCGCTGCGAGACCCTCGCACCCCGCGCTGCACCTGCCTCCAAGACATTTTATCATAGTTCCCTCACATTTCGATTCGCCCTGGCTTCCACCAAACCGACAGAAAAATCTGTCCTTTCTCCCCCTCGTCATTCTACCTCTCCCACCATAGCTTCCCAACGTACTGAAGCTATTGTTCGACACCTCTCTACAGCCTCCCCGTCGTCTCCCTCATCGTCCTCTACCATGTCATACAGCAAGCAGCCTTCTGAGTTCCAGCCCAGGAAAATCGGTGCTTTGCATACGAACGAGTTCCGATGCTATATTGAGAAAGATGGCACCCCTCTCTCTCCCTTCCATGACATTCCTCTCTATGCCAATGAGCAGCAAACCATTTTGAACATGATCGTCGAGATTCCAAGATGGTCCAACGCAAAGCTTGAGGTCGGTCAGCATGGAGCATTTGAGAAATAACATATTGACTTCTGGTCAGATCTCCAAAGACGAGTTTCTGAACCCCATCAAGCAGGACGTCAAGAAAGGCAAGCTCAGATTCGTTCGCAACTGCTTCCCTCACAAAGGTTACCTCTGGAACTACGGTGCTTTCCCCAGAGTAGGTCACGACCAAGAGCGTGCCTTCGCAAGAGGCTGACTGTCCACAGACCTGGGAAGACCCGAATGTCGTCCACCCCGAGACCAAGGCCAAGGGCGACAACGACCCGTTAGATGTCTGCGAAATTGGTGAACTGGTTGGCTATACCGGTCAGGTCAAGCAAGTCAAGGTGCTCGGTGTCATGGCATTGCTCGACGAGGAAGAGACCGACTGGAAGATCATAGTCATTGATGTGAGTAGCCACAACGCGTTCCGCAGGCTCATTCCTCTGACTCGATATAGGTCAACGATCCTCTTGCGCCCAAGCTGAACGACATTGAAGATGTTGAGCGTCATCTTCCAGGCCTTCTCCGCGCAACGAACGAATGGTTCCGAATCTACAAGATCCCAGATGGCAAGCCGGAGAACCAGTTCGCCTTCAGTGGTGAATGCAAGAACAAGAAGTATGCCGAAGAGATCATCCGCGAATGTAGCGATGCCTGGGAGCGTTTGGTCACCGGCAAGCAACAGCGTGGCGATATCAATCTGGCAAACGTCACAAATCAGGCCTCACCAGACCGTGTCGACCAATCTCAGGTGTCCAAGATTCCCCCAGGACAGAGTCTTGCACCTGCGCCTATCGACGGCAGCGTCGACAAGTGGTTCTTCATCTCTGGTGCGGCAGTCTAAATGCATAGCATCAGGGCTGATAAGCTGATTCTTTCTTCAGGAGCTGGTGCCACATCCGAGGACTACATCAAGAAATGAGGTCTCTTCGCCATAAGCAAACAACGGTTTGCAATATTGTATGAGAATGGATCAGATAGAGAAAAGCAAGACCCTCGTTGGTTGTGTAGGCAGTTCACAATGAATGCTAGAATTTGAGACCCAAGCGGGGCGAGAAATGGTGGACAACTAGTTACGTCACTCTTTCGACGGAACGCGATTGTAATTTGAAGCATGCAACACGCGTCGGCAAAATAAGTTACCCAAGATAACGGGCACCCCCTTTCACGCCAGCCATGGCATGCATGAGTATTTCGCCGACGAGTATCACCGTTGCTGGGCTCCTGAGTCCACTCTTTTGACTATAGATGGCAGCCAGTTTACGGAAAGCACGACCTAGATCTTGATCACTTGTCCTCATATCCCCTTTTGCTTGCAACCAGCAATGGAGAAAACATCAGCATGGAGTGGCACACCCTCAATAAGAGGCTCAACCGAGGCCGTCCGCATGTGCCTGCTGACGGTCTCCCTCATTGGCATTCAGTAGGACCATTGCTTGAAGTTGTGTATAAGGAAATGACGCTGATCGACTGTGCCATCCAGATTGTGAGTCGCTGTCAAACCGGGCATATCCAGTAAGGGCTAACAGCGATCCAGTTGCTGGGGCCTCGAGATGACATACGGCACCCCCTACCTCCTCCAACTGGGCCTTACGAAGTCCAAGACATCCTTGGTATGGATTGCCGGGCCACTGTCAGGTTTAATCATGCAACCTGTCGTCGGAGCATATGCGGATAAGTCTACCTCAAGATTCGGCAGACGGAGACCCTTCATGGTGTACGGTGCCATCATCACAGGGGCAGGACTACTGCTACTGGGTTGGACATCTGAAGCAGTTGGGCTCTTCTTATCCGAAGGGGATATGAACAAGAATGTCACAATCGTGGTGGCTGTCCTGTGCATATATGCCCTCGACTTCTCGATCAATGCTGTGCAGGCATGCTGTCGCAGCTTAATAGTTGACACACTGCCAATCTCGCAGCAACAAGCTGGATCCGCCTGGGCATCGAGACTCGTTGCGGCTGGGCATTTGGCCAGCTATTTTATCGGCACCTTCGACTTGGTTAAGATGTTCCCCACCTGGATTGGTGGTGACACCCAGTTCAAAAAGATGACTGTCATCGCAATGTCTGCTCTGTGGATCACAGTCGGCGTCTCTTGTTGGGCTGTCACTGAGAGAGTGCGTTTAGCTAACGACGAAGAGAATACCTCAGTGAAGGAGGTACTCTCCAACTTGTGGCGGAGGACAATCAACCTGCCTCCAAGGATACGAGCTATATGCTGGGTGCAATTTTGGAACTGGGTTGGATGGTAAGCCAGGTCTGTGGTATGCGGAGAACTAATACTGATAGCAATCACACAGGTTCCCGTTCCTCTTCTATTCGAGCACATTCGTTGGCGAAATCTACTATCGTTATGAACATCCCGCTCCTGAGCCCGGCGAAAAGGACGAGCATGACGCGCTTGGAAATATAGGTCGACTCGGCAGCCTCGCCCTGGTGTTCTTCTCCTTGATTACATTCTGCTCCTCTGTCATTCTGCCTTACGCAATCAAATCCACAGAAACAGGGGAGCTGAGGTTTACTCCTAGGCCGCCTACTTCATTGGCTCGGCCTCTCCAGATACTCCTGGTCAAGGCCTACGAGGTACAACCTGATCTCACCGGCGCGTGGAGTTTGTCGAACCTGCTTTTTGCGATCATCACCATGTTCGCCCCATTCGTCCGAACGCTATCTTCGGCAACAAAACTTGTCGCTTCCTGTGGGCTGCCTTGGGCGGTATCATGTTGGGCACCGTTTGCACTGCTTGGAATCGAGATCAACAAAATGTCCTCCGGTCCACATGCCAGCGTCAACGGCACGACTGTTCCTGGCTACACTACTGTTCGAGGCAGTATTGACGAAGATTATGGTATTGAAATGGACGTCGAACCGAATCATCACAGAGTTCTTTCTGACGGAGTGCTACAACTCCACCACTCCGATGACAGTGGCGCTCAGGCTTCGACGGGAGAGCTTGCGGGCGTCTACCTGGGCGTTCTGAACGTATACACCACCTTACCGCAATTTGTCGGGACCTTTGTCAGTTGGGTTGTGTTCTCCCTTCTGGAGCCTGGTTTGAACGATCATGACGCAGAGACAGATCCTGATCATCACCGCTGGCTGAACGTCAAGAAGCATGCGCCAAATGCCATTGCTGTGTGCATGTTTATTGGAGCATTGTGCTCTTTGGTATCGGCAGAAGCTGCCAGACGGTTAAAGCGGCTTCAATGATGCTGTTATGCGGCTTTTTGGGACGTAAGAGATGCGGGTTCGACATGCGGCCTCTAATGCACCTTGATCAAGAACGTGATCATAAGACCTCTACTGTCGGTCATAGCAGCAAGGTCTACCTCAGAGCCGACCCCCCATTGTCAATCCAGAACGTACAGATCACAAGAAAGAGCGGCTCGGGAGACATCGCCCCAAGTGGGCGTATCTTAGGCGAGCTTAGGTTGCGGCTGAGGGTGTGAATCATTTGTCATTGGGCCGACAAACGGCACGAACCATGTGGCCGATGAGCCCAGCCCACTCCGCTTCCCGTTTCGAGCAGACCCTGCAGCCAGGTTTCCAATTTCCATCATATCAACCTCAATTCTATCTGGGAACGAACCCGTCTGTCATAGCCTCAGTCTCAGCCAACTGGGCCGGTTCCCGTGAAGTGGTATGCTTGTGGTCAAAGTCACGGTCTTCTTGCAGGGTTGCGAGGCTGAGATCGAGGAGGACTCGCCCTCTATCTTGCTGAAAACTACGACCTTGAACCTCTTCAATCTGTGCTGGTTCTGTGCGGTCTACAAGAAGTGTCTTCAGACCTAGATGCGGCCGTTGCTGCATCCAAATTGCTGGGGCATCGGAGTCTGCGATGCATGGTGCTAACATGCTGCCGCTCGGACAATCGCCAAATCCTGCCTTACAGCCTCAAGCTTCCCTCCCACAACAGACGCTGTGCATGTCTCGCCAACTCACACGAATGCTAGCCAAAACCCCCAACAGACATACAAGTGCTCGCCAATAAACGTATGTCGGGCTTTAGAGGTATGTGTCCTCGGCCCTTAGCTCCGCTTCCTCTACTAGGCCTAGGATAGCCACACCACAACCCGGGCGTGCATACAACACCCTTGAGGTTTCTAGGTGGCATAGCCCCCACCATCAGCCTCGCTGCCTTCCACGCCCCATGTTGACACGATGCGAACCCGGTATATATGGCCTGGACTATCCTCGTCTCCAGCCTGGTGGTCTGTACTCGAACAAGTTTCCTGCCTGCCTATCTATTGACATTCTAGATTTGCGACATCGTTGGTCGCAGCACCGAAGACATACGAGGAGCTCAACATTCTTAGCCTGACTTTCTATAGCCTCAGCATGAGTGACCTCAACTGCATGCCCCGAGGTCTCGTGGACCGAGCTGGGTTAACGAACTGTCCTACCACTCATAAACTGCTCGCCTCGCTCGCCATATTCAATGCCGAAGTGGCCCTTCTATCCTTGATATTCGGTAAGCCTACAGAGCCTCACGCACCAAACTGCATATCGCATATTAGGGCTCTAGTAATTCTTTGCAGGCCATGAGCGAGTGCGCAGGCTCGTCTCCAAGGTCTCTTGCTTTCCAAGTACCCGCTGGACGCCCTTTGCTGCCATCGTCACCACTATCATCAGCATCATCACCATGCTTGCAGCGACCTACCTCTTGCGCAACAATGGCTTCCGTCCGAACCCATTCATGCTCTTCGGCTTCTGGACCATGCGTCCTCGAGCTTCGGGCTTTACGCTTTTCTTCTTCATTATTGCCCGCGTGTGCTTCGGGCAGAAGGGCGATGAAAATTCATATCTATGGAGCATGAAGGATCACGTCGTGGAAGACACACTCCTTAACGTGGTGTCCCTGCCTTTTGCGCTATGGTACATCCTCCACCGCCCCGACAGTCTTGCAGCAGGGTTATGTTCAGACAACTCCTCATACCTCCGCTTCTGGGATTCGTTCTACGCCATTGGGGGCGCGGGTGGTATTGCTTCTTTCTTGCTCGTGGTTATGCTTGGCCACGTTTGCTCGAGGGACCGCAAGAAGATCGCCTACGACCCCTTGAGATTCGCGTCTCACTATACGGGTTCGACGGGTGAGCCATTGTCCAAGTTCTGGAGGTTCGTCTTCTTCGTCGGCGGGATCAACATGATTGTGGCGTTCGCGACAAGTTGGGTTATTTGGAGCAGTGAGTCACGTCCTTCTCCCTTGCTATCATGATCTGGCTGGGAACCTAATCGACTGACTTGGTGGTCTAGCATTCGTCATCAACGCTGGCACAGACTTCTGTCCCGGAAGTGTTGTCGGCGAGGGGATTGCCTGGGGTGTTGCATTGTTCCTCAATGCTTTGATAAGACCTATCCTTGGGGGTCCGAGTACTTCATGAGGCGGCGTGTTTCAAATCCGGGTCTAGTTCTGCATATAGGATAAATAGATTGGTGGTGCCGTTCTTTTACAACATGGTTTTCCTATCATACCCCTTTTGTTAGTGGTGATGTTTCCAACCTCACGTACCTCTGTCGCAAATTCGTTAGTCTGCTGTTTCGTCGCTGCAGGGGTGCGTAGACTGATGGTCCCCGCTCTGATAACACGTTGTGCCCTCGTGGGTTGTCCTGATGGGAGGATCGAATGGACCTATCAAGGTTGTCAGACCCCGTGTGAGCACGTGGAACAAGCTACACGTGTATGAACAACGTAGCACTGGACGAGTTGTACAGAACGCCATCCGTGGAAACTGGATGAGGCAAGACAACGCAAGCACGTTGAAGTAGGGGCATATGAACTGTAGAAGTTTGATCTTTTTCATTGATCCACGCTTTGAATTTTTGCGGCCTCGGACTGTGTGTGCAAGTGATGCGCCTCATCCTCTCTGTCAACTGTCACGCAGCGAGTCTTGATCTTCCAGCATTTGTCCCACCAGAAGAGGGGTGGCATTGGCCTACCAGCCTTTAACAGATCGTTGCCCACCGCCCTCGGTGTAAAGTACGACCAAGGGGCTTTCTCTCCCTCTCCTACGTTCGATCGCCCTCAGTTGACCTTCTTCGACGTCCAGAACAACCGTCTGTTCGCACCCTGGCGCTTTCTACCCATGTCAAGCATCTGTCCACATATTCATAATCACCACCCCAGCTTTTCGGAGCGTCACTTGCTCATCGACGCTACACCCGCTCCATCGATGTGAAAATCATATCGAACTGGGATAAAGCATGATCCTCACACTCGCGCCGAAACTCTTGGGAGGGAGGTTATGTCTGAACTTTGCGCGCACGATGCCGCTGTTGCCGTGGGGTCGTGTGACTTTGCCCCAAATGACGCGGATCTTGCTGCCTTGGCGTTCTTTGCTGGCCCGGTAGACGTAGGCGACGCGCTTGCCGAGATAGAATCTAGAAAGTGGAGCGAGTGTTAGTAGTATTGCCAACGAAGGGTGAGGTAGCTGTGAGCAAGGGTTTGCCGGGCGGAATCGCTAGGAGACGTTGTGCCCTCTAAGTGCGTGGTATGCGATGATTCTCAAGGGCGTTTTCTCGCTCGCGCCTACTCTTGACGCTCGCCTGCAATTCCCTTCTCTTGCAGTTTATTTCTCCGTGGCAATATACAGTGAGGAAATTCGAGGGTCCCCCGGTGTATGGCATTATACGTACTTTGCAGCGTTTGTGTCATCGACTCCTTCGATCTGGAGTAATGAGGTGTTTGGGTTGGTGTTGCGCTTGCCTCGTTGGTAGGAGAGGTGCTTGCCCTTGACGTATACTGTATCGGATCGACAGAGTCAGTCTTGCGTACTTCGAATTCTCGCCTCTCAGGCCTGTACGATAACAGACTCCCAAGAGACTCAATCGCGAGATCCTTCTCATGACAATCTTTCGTGAAGACTCATGGGATGGTCGGGAAAGCCAGGGTCGTACGTACATCTGTGACCGCCGCCGGAGACGCCCATTTTGACGGTGTTGGATTGACGACTTTTGGGAGAGACTGGGACGGTATCGTCGAGGTGAGTGGTTGTTCAAAGCCTTGATGGTCGTCAAAGTCGAGTCCCCAGTTCGCTCCCTGCGATTTTTGGGATTTGTGTGACTAGGCCTGACTTGGAAGGGACTGCCAAGATTTCAGCGCTTTAGTACAATTCGCATTCCGTACTCCTCGGGCAGAATTACTTGATGAGGGATGAGGCACGAACTGGTTGTCTTTACTGTTCTCTGGAGAAACTGTCTGTTGAACACAACATCGAGATGGAAGCAACCTCGCACCATGCAATGGACCTCGTGGACGGTCAATCAGGGTGCATTCAGGCTCATGTAGTCAAGCTGTACCCAACACCGTGCTGGACTGAGGCACGATACAATTATCAGACCGCTTGCTGTTTATGCAAAAATGACTGCTGCCGTCTGAGGTAAGAACAGGCTAATTAATGCTCACAACACTCTTGCAGAAGGCGGCGCGTCTACCAATCGAGGACCCAGACCCATTTACTATCTCCGGGCTGTCGGTGAGCAGCTTCAGAAACGCCCCGTGAGATGTTGAGTTATTGTCACAGCTTGGGTGAAGATGAGGGCAGATCTTCAACAACAAACCAATCCCAAGTACTGGAAGGCCTTCCAGAAATTGTCCAGACTTAGCAATCTGTAACACAGGAATGATGACTAACGCTGCACGAGTGACGAAGCAATGGTCTGTGAGGGCAGTAAACAATGGAGGGAGTCCAGGGGCAGTCAGGGACTTGCGGATAGCCGACCATCCCGCCTGCTTAAGCATGGCACATTGGGCCCTGTAAACAGAAGCCGTCCTCGCGATAGGCTAGGCAAAAATCAAGAAGCGAAGGATGCTCCAGTCATGGATTTTATCCCATCGTGTTCCGCATGCTGACTGATTGATGTTGAAAGGTTGAGCACAAGTAGATATATCATTCCTGATCGACCATTGCACACGATATAGCTGCTTCTTCTTTTTGTTCTGCCCGCAGCAAGCACCATTCCGTCTCGGCCAGTCAAGCGACACGTCCACTCGAAACTCCGGCTGCTTCGCATCCAGCATCAGGAAGGGGAGTTCGAGGTCAAGGGCTGCGGGGCGCTCCCAAAATTCGCTTGGAGGGGAGCTGGCTGGTACGGAAAGGGTCCTGCTCCTGCTCCTGCTGCTTGCGCTTTGCCCCACCACCGACCGCTATCTCCATCACTACTCCCATCAACGACCACGGTCGAATTGACGGCAATTCCTCCCCGAACGCCGCAATAATCACCAAGCAATAGTCAAATTATTATTTCCGGGCACCAGCACGGCTTTGTCATTGACAGCCGCCAATCCCACCGCATATTGACAACAGCAATCTCAATAAATATTCATCCACGAGTTTCGACTCGGACTTTTCTCTCCTCCCTCCATCTCATTACCTCATCTCTCTCGCACCCACATCCGTCACCATGGCCGACACAATCATTCATGCAGAGGATCCTGAGAATGCAGGGTGAGCTACTCTTGAAGCGTGCCGGAGCATCGCAATACCCCACCATGAAATTTGTTGACTTCAGTTTGCTAATATGGTGGCCCACTGAACAGCACCATCGAGCTCAAGGAGAACACCGTCATCGTTGTTCTAGGTGCCTCCGGCGATCTCGCAAAGAAGAAGACTTTCCCTGCGCTGTTTGGATTGGTATGTCTCACCTCGATAGCTCTATCCGACCGATGTGCCATTGAGTAACCAGGGCTGACAAACCGACCACTGCAGTTCCGCAACAAGTTCCTCCCAAAAGACATCAAGATCATTGGATATGCTCGGACTAAGATGGACCACACTGAATACCTTCGAAGAGTCAAGTCATACATCAAGACCCCGACGAAAGAGGTGGAGGAACAGCTCGACCAATTTTGCTCCGTCTGCACATACCTCTCCGGCCAGTACGATCAAGATGCACCTTTCCAGGAGCTCGACAAGCACATCACGGAGATCGAGAAGAACCGCAAGGAGGGAAACAGAGTCTTCTACATGGCATTGCCCCCCAGTGTCTTCATCACTGTGTCGGAGCATCTGAAGCGGAATTGCTACCCCAAGAAAGGAATTGCGAGAATCATCATCGAGAAGCCTTTTGGCAAGGATTTGGCAAGCTCCCGGCAGTTGCAGAGGGCGTGAGTACTTTCCCTCCTTCTCTGATTCTACAACCAACTCACGAATCATAGCCTCGAGCCCGATTGGAGAGAAGAGGAGATCTTCCGTATCGACCACTATCTCGGAAAGGAGATGGTGAAGAACTTGCTCATCCTCCGATTCGGCAACGAGTTCCTCGGCGCCACTTGGAACCGCAACCATATCGACAGCGTCCAGATCACGTTCAAGGAACCCTTCGGTACCGAGGGACGTGGTGGCTACTTTGACGAGTTCGGCATCATCCGCGATGTCATGCAAAACCACCTGCTCCAAGTCCTAACTCTCCTTGCCATGGAGCGACCCATCTCATTCTCCTCAGAAGACATTCGTGACGAGAAAGTCAGAGTACTCAGAGCGATGCCAGCTATTGAGCCCAAGAATGTCATCATTGGGCAATATGGTAAGTCCTTGGATGGCACCAAGCCTGCCTACAAGGAAGATGATACCGTCCCCAAGGACTCGCGGTGTCCCACCTTTTGCGCACTGGCCACATTCATTAAGAATGAGCGATGGGATGGTGTGCCCTTCATTCTTAAAGCAGGCAAGGCTCTCAATGAGCAGAAGACTGAGATCCGGATTCAGTTCAAGGATGTGACCTCTGGTATTTTCAAGGACATCCCGAGAAATGAACTCGTCATCCGAATTCAGCCAAACGAGTCAGTCTACCTCAAGATGAACTCGAAGTTGCCAGGCTTGTCTATGCAGACCGTCGTCACCGAGCTCGATCTCACCTACCGACGTCGCTTCTCCGATCTGAAGATCCCTGAGGCCTACGAGAGTTTGATCCTTGATGCTATGAAAGGCGATCACTCGAACTTTGTGCGTGATGATGAATTGGATGCCAGCTGGAGAATCTTCTCACCACTGTTGCACTACCTCGACGACAAGAAGGACATCGTCCCTATGGAGTATCCTTATGGTAAGTTTGTGTTCCTCCGGTGTGAAATGTCACTGCAGAACCCCGGTCACTCTCGTCGAGGAAACGGATTCGCTGACTCAGTCACACTAGGCTCCCGAGGTCCCGCGGTCCTCGACGACTTCACCGCCTCGTATGGCTACAAATTCAGCGATGCTGCCGGTTATCAGTGGAACACCCAAAGCACCCCCAACAAGCTGTGAAGGGGAAAATGTGAATATGAATGGACATCGTGTCGTTAATGTGACTAACAACTAGTGTCGGCCCATTGAGGCGAGGAGAAGGCTCCAGCAGTATCTAGCCTGACAGAGTGGCGTATGGCCACCTGGAGCAGAAGAAGAGCCTTGCTTGGTGGAGACCTGTCAGCTAGAGAAAGCTGGTAGGACTGCAGCGCTTCATTGGCTGGTATAAGCTAGAAGGTCCCGAGCCACTCTGTTGGGCCAGAGGAAATCAGGTAGACGGTGCCAGGGTAATCCAACGCATCGATGAACGACATAGAAAGCTCTGCAACTCGCCCCGAACTTTTGTCATTGCATCCCCTGCCTTCGATATCAAGCTTGTTCTTTGAGGTCAGTACCTCGCCATCACTTTCAGGGCTGTGCCTATGCCTGTGTTCCCCAACGTGAACCTTTCTGAAAGGGGGTATCTTTTGTCCTCGAAACACTTGTATACTAGCATGAATATTGCACCGCCACACGAGATCAAAGTCTCGAAAACTCAACAGGATCGATGCGACGCCACGAAACCCCACCCGAGTCCATGGGACGGCTTACCCATTATGTGGTCTTTTTGAGTCGATGGAAACAAAGCCGGCGGAGCAGCCTGGCGAAGTCGACTTACCGCAAGGCTTCGCCGCTGACTCGATCCCTCCTACAGTAGTTGTCTAGATAGAGATGCAATTATAGGTCATTTCTTGACGCTAGAGTTGATATCGACAGGCGGATAATTCGCGGAGACGGTCGAAGGGCCATTGCTCAACTGCGTCCGTCCAGGGACAGCTTCTCAGACGCGCCACGGATGTGTTCCTCCCAAGAAGCGCAACATTGAAGATAGGGCGAAGTTTCTGATTCTGTGCTGGTTTTCGTGCCTATGGGGCCGGGCCACTAATTCTAGCACCGACTTGAGTCATACTCGAGCGGTCTCAGCGCTAGAATCATATAGAACGGCGGTATGAGTCGCAGCTTGCTGCAGAGGAAAGGTGATTTTCGTGTGTCTCTTCGTGCTGCTGGGCTCGTTTTCCACGATATGGCCGACATCCGATCAATCAGAGTGCGGGTCCTGGTTCACAGAATTACTCTTTGTTCAACAGCTCGTCTATGATTTGTCGTGGGTTCGAAGACGGGTATTGTATGATCGTGAGTCAAGTCCACCGGCCCCGATTCCAGGGTTCCCCTGTCGAAGTCATGCCTGCTCTATTAGAGATACATAGATCTTACCGTTGTCTTTGTGCTATGAGGGGCGATCGGAGTCTGGGGTAAGATGAGGAGCGACGCGATCGTTACTGTCGAAACCAGATCACCGGAATGGAGGGCAAAAGCTGTTCACACAAGCTTTTGGAGCTCGGACGGATTCCATCAATCGGCAATGAGGACAAGGACTCGGATATAGAAGGGAGGCGCTTTTGAGCTCACCCTCACATCTGGCAGAGGCGTGGGAAAACGTGCTTGCAAGGTCAGAGCAAGGAAGGTAGCGTCGAGTAGGAAGAACCGTAAGCTAGCCTCACGTCGGCTACATGGTGCCAGCAAACTCGTGCCTACCGGGATGGAGCACCCAAAGCCTCGCGAAACCTGATGCACGCTGCACACGCTGTGTGCGTGGTGTTCCTTGGAGGTACATTCCTTCCTAGGGGCAGGGGAGGAGCATATTTGCGTTGTTGGTGGCCAAATGAAGCATCAGCATCGTTCAGAAATGGTGATCCTTCTACTGTAGCTATCGCTTTGTAAAGACTCCCTCGGATGACACTGGCAATTCGTGCTTGGATCTGGGCTGGAAACGCCATCTCCCCATCAGGGTGTGTTCAGGGTCTCGCGAAGATGTGGCTGGGAAGCGCGATTGGCGACGTTCCAGCAACATGACATGCATGCCAGGTTTGAGCCATGGAAAATGATTCCGCCTGGTCATAACTCCTACCGGTTGTAGCCTCGAAGCCACCAGCAAGAGCTGTGCGTGGACTTGTAGCTTTGGATCCAGGACTCTGGGTTTCCAAGGTCTTTCTTTGTCCGGCCGTCTTCAAGTACGGCGTGTTCCGACGGACCGACCATGTTGAGGTGCAAGTGAGAGTGGATTAAGGGTCTCGACCCTTAGTGAATGTACCAGGTACGTATCGATAACGACGATCACAACCGAAGGGCTTGTGGCTGGTGATATTCTAGAAGATCTTGGTGCAAATATCGAAGTTTAAGGACACGTCTTCTGTTTACATAGCTGCAAGGTATCAAGACTGCCAATCGTGCAAGGACAAATCACCAAAGACTGAGTAGCTTGAGGTCCGTCGATGCTTACTCCGCGTGTTGTGAGGGTTATCCAAGAGTTATCCAAGAGTTATGCATCCCACCAGTCTGTGCAGCATAAGCATTCGGTCGGAAGCCGTTATTGCAAGGATACGACATATCCTGGTAAACGCCGTCGTGGCTGTCACATCCGCCGCGATTCTAGTAACCCAGAGCATTGCATTTAGCTAGGAAGGAAGCAGCGGAGTCTGAATAAGAGCTTCCGCCTTTGGTCCAACAAGAATTAGGTTGGACGGATCTGCCATACAGGCTGCAGAATGTCTCAGAAGTCATGATGCAAAAGCCGCTTTGATATACTGGGTCTCGGGTCGGCTGCATGATAAGCTGGAAAGGCCATGCGCCTGTACGTATGTGAAAAGAGAATTTCGACTGGAATGATGGTTGAGTGGGCCGGAAGGTGTCTGGATCCTGGAGGCGTAAGAGGAGACCGCTGTGGATAATGACGGATCCTTGAACTCTCAACAGCGCAGCAGCGGGAGTTTAGGGCCTCGTTGCATCCGCGGTGTCTCGTCGGCCGCGCGTCCTTCTCCAAACGATTTTTTTTTTTGGCATGCGAAACAAATGCAACGAGGAGCAGGTTGCATATGGCACTGACGCGACCATCAGCGATCATGTCTAGGAACATCGGACGCTCGGGGCTTTTCCAAACGCCTGCCCAGTACTGCGTCACACCAATGCGGACTGTGTCAGACGGATGTGGACTCGACCACTTGGCTGCTCGAATACGGCGTTCATCTACTCCTACGTCTGCGGTGTGTCTGCGACAGTTGGAACCCTAATCGACCGGTTCTTGCGACTGCCACGGCATGATTGGCGATGATTTGCGCACCAGGTATCAGTTACGGAGTTTTCCTGATATCTGGCTTCTGGACGTGCCAATGGGGTGGCGCCGATAGAGCATATGCGTGAGGGTCGCCGCCGTCCATATAAAAGTTACTGCCTTCGTTTCTCGCTTACCGTATCGAGGGTGCGGCAGCATGAGAAAGCAGGTTGAAAGTTGGGAACAGGTCACCTTGGTTGAAGAGATGGGGGTGGCTTGGGGCGCAGGTGCTGCCCTGAATGGCCCAGCGATGGAGCCTGTGGATAGCCGCGGCGGAGGGGTGTGGGCCACGGACAGCCGAGCAGGGGCAGGCCTCCTTAGCCCCATCCAACAAAGCGGGCTTTACCCAGCCCAGTATCGCGCCATCGGGCTTTTGAGTTGTGTTGGGCCGGTGCTTCCAGTGGACGCGTAGTGACAGTCTGCATTGCAATTCGAGTCGTCAGTGGGATGTGAAATCCGCATAGCATTTTGATATACTCCGTACGAGTCGAACATGGGTGAGCATGTGTTCCGTGGCGGTTATGGCGGGTTCCCTTTCCTTCTCTTGAGTCTGTTCCTTCCGCAAGCTTGGCTGGGGCCCAGTCTTTTACATGCGCATGTCACCGTAGAGCCGTCCGACTGCTCATCTCTTCCTACGCTCTTTCCTCCCCGCTCTACTCGTAATAATCTATCAAGGCCGCCGTGACAAGACGGAGGCTATATACCTTCAGGAGACCAACGAGACTACGTCAATCGCTACATCATCAGAAGATCTGAGGCACGTCTCACCTCGTGGTCTCAGCTTCCCTGGAGCCCCTCCGTCCTGAAACAAATCCTCACCGGCAACAGCATCCCTGTCACTGATCCCTTTGCCAGCCACCCGAGCGACCATACCAGTCGAGCAAACAGGCGAGGGAGTCACGTTAGACAATCCACTCGTGCTCGAGGTATTTTCCGGACGCCTCAGGGTCACGCTGTAGAAGCGAAATATCATCCCACCCACTACCAACGTCCGTCGCCCGAAAGTACATCGCACTTTCCATCCTCTCTTGGGTACCGGGTATCCAACTTCGACCTCATCCATCGCGCTTGCTCAACGTTACCTCGAAACGCCCACCATCTCTCGCTTGGAGCAGCCTACAACGGCTCTCGCCCTGTTGTTGGCCTCAGCAGCTCACTAAGTGCCAGCTTCTCATTCTTCGCGCCATCTTACTTAAGTTTATCAATCTCCGTTATCGCTTAGTTATCGTCGGCACCATGACAACCATGTCCCCTCCAATCTCTCCACAGCCGTCCGAGGTCCGTCCGCGGGCTCAGACGGCCATGAGCCATTCATCTCAACGATCCCGCCGCAGTAACTCTTCCGCCAACAATAAGCTAGAGTTGACCGAGACTCACAAAGAGAAGAAGAGGCTGAATACAAAGGCAGATCCTTCGAGAGCCATCACCGAAGCCACGCCAGGTCAGTTGGCGGTCGCTCAATGTCTAATTGCAAAGCGTACTGACTTTGGGATGAAGTGGAACAGGCACAAGAGGAATCGACAGTCGAGGATTTGCGCAGGATGATGCACAAAGACAACGATGGCAATCTTATCAGTATGTTAACCTCCCCTATGTTTGTCTATCCAACCGTACACTGACCGTACTACAGCCGATCCTGATCGGTCCAATCCTACCCGCCATCGTATGGAGCGGCCATTAGACACCATCCGTGCGTTTCACGCAGCTGCGGAGGGCACGAGCACGCGGCGCTCCTCCTACAATAGCAGACCAGGTGTGTTTGGATTCCAAGACCACCACTCGGCATTGTATTGACTGGTCCAGGTTCCCAAGTTGGCTGGAATGGTGATGTGAACCGCCGGGCAAGCTACTACTCGCAGAATGGATACTCGCCACAGCGACCTCGAGCGTCACCTAGTGGTGGATACTACCGCAATTCTTCCTATGGTTTCGCTCCCCAAAGCGCGGTCGAAGAGTCCCCAGGCGCTTCCCAAATGTATGCTCGGCCTTCTGTGCGTCAACAAACCCATCCTCATGCTGGTCCTCCCAACGGATACCCGAATGGCTATCAACACGGTCCCAGCAATGGAGACAGTCCAATATCTCCGCATGCATACCACCACTCTTACGACGCCATGACCAGTGGCTCTGAGGAATATGGCAAATCGACAAATCCTAGCTCCCAGAACAGCTCTTTTGACCAACTCCACCAACTTCGGAACAAACCAGAAGATTTTCCCCAGGAGAACCCATATGCTAAAGAGATTCAATTCAATCAGACCCCGTTGCCACAGCCATTCTCACCGTACGGCGTACGCGACGGTAGTCATGACCAGCAGTTCCAAGGTCCAGCGGCTCCATCACACCAGTATACACCGCCCGCTGCAAACGATCCGCGACACCCAATCAAGCTGAATGGCGTGTCAAATGCTGGTGAAATCACCCCTCCCCAGTCACCTAAGAGACAGAGCTGGATCAAGCGAAGATTCAGCAAGCGAGCCTCCTAGGTACAGTAAAGAAAAAGTGAAATTGAGCCTAGAAGGATTTCATATTTTCGGCGTCTTGAGACATCCCAATGGACATCACCGGTTCTTTAGGTGCATGGAACCCGGAATTGTGCATAATTGGGCCAACACTATAGAGGACACTCCTCTTCATGACTTAATGTTTGATGTAATTCTTGCATGATGGTTTGGGAAATGACTCGATGCGGCTGTGACATTGGGCATGACTGAATGTTCATGGTGATCTGAGTGCTTGGAAAGCCTCGAGAAAGAGAGCCGCCTGGGTTAGTCATGGAAGAAGACTGTTCTTCAGAGGTATGGTGTGCAGGTCACACACAGTCTCTATAGTGCCTCAAAGCACCATTCGCTGGTCTTAATCAGCTTTTTTTAAACTGCTTGCAAGAGTGATAGTGTCGTCCATGTACTCCGAGTGTGACATTGCTATTGAGCCTTCTTCCGTTTCTCGTCCGCCTCGATCTTGTCGGTTTGATCTTCGCGCATCGCCACAATAATGTAAGCGAACAAGACCACGTTGGCCATGATCGCCGCAAACGCTCCGGAATATGTGGCGTTGCCTGACACTAAGTTAGTTGCCTAACACTCCCACGAACGTTGCTCGTCGTAATAAGAACCAATAATTGATTGAGACCTACCCGAAAAGACAGTATTGACCGACAGGAAATACGACCCAATGGGAACAACAACCATACCCACCGTGAAGCCCAGGAGCTTATAGACGACAGACCTAGATCCCTCTCAATCAGCTCAGCTCATCCGCCCAAAACCACACACATATCGATCACGTGATTTCCGCGGTCGCTCAAACGTCAGAAGAGCAAACTCACGCCGGAACAGCTGGTGCTGTATCTGACACTTGGCTCGACGTAGGCGGACCGCCTTGCGCTTCGGAGATGGTTTTCTCGGGGATGGGGACGTTCCGACGGGTCGCCATTATCGTTTGTCGCCTGTCGTGTCGTGTGTAGACCTAGGTATTTGTGTCTACCGTACTGTACTGTAGGTGGGGTTATGAGGGCCTATGTGTTTGTGTTCCTGGAATGCACGTCCGATGATGACCTGACGAAAGGTAGATGGGTGAATGAATGAATGGACGAATGAGTGAGTAAATGAACGAATGGGTGACTAGAAGTAGCCGTGAATATATACTCCGTAAGACAGCTCGAATGGTTATTCCACCACTTTGATGGAGCTCGGTTCTCGTAAAGTAATTAACTCGTACCGTGAGTAGTAACGGTGGTGAGGTCGTTTGAATTGGGCAGATTGCTGAATGGATCGATGGATTAGCGAGGCGCGTGGAGGACTGCCCTTGTAGAGTACAAGTACTATTGTAGTGAGCAAAGTGTGTCTGTCCACCGGGTGTATTATTTGATTCTTCAGCAGAATCGAGACTAAGTCGGTCGTTAATGAATTAGAGCGGATTTTGGGAAGGTCGCGAGGACGACTCCGAGAATTGGGGGCGTTGATTGGCTGAGAACATTGTTGCCGGTGATTGGTTGACAACAGTGCGAGGGCGAAAGAAGGGCCGAGCAATAGCACACGGACGGGTTTGCTGCAGCAAGACTGCCTGCGGTGTAAGAATTACACAACAAGTTACCGGCGCGATGGCGCTCGATCTAAGAAGTTCAGATTTCGCTCATTAGGATTTTGAGCTGTACGGGGGTGATCTACAATAGACAATGAACATTGAGTCCGATTGCTCTTTATACCGGTCCACACGCTACGGGGTACGATCACATAAACAACCATATTCCGACTCCCTTCACCTTCCTGAGCCATGTATTTTCTTCCCCTTCCGCCACGGTCAGCCTCCGTTTCGTCTGCCTGGTGGCCGGCTGATATGCGGCAGTACTAGCCGCGCGGTCCTTGTACTCAACTTGCAAGCCATACCGATCAGTGAGGAGGTCCATCTGCCTGTCGTGCGCAAAGTGCGTTCGCCTTGGCGATTTTCCAGACCAAGAACATGGCCACCATGATGGAGATTTCGGCGTAGAGAGAGATGAAATCAGCGCCAGAGAAGCTCGAACTGAAACAAGGTCATCCGTGTATGAGTATCAGTCAACATTGAGGCTCGCAACAGTGGTCGGACTGTCGGGGTATGTCCAGTGTTGGATGGAGGCAGGTGCTCGAGGTATCGAGCCTCGACATCACTGCGAAAGGGAAGAGACGCCATACCCATGCACATCCAAGACATCTGGTTGGACACGCTGATGATGTTCTGCAGCCACGACCTCAAGTGGCCTGCATGGATGTAGCTTGCCGCGAAGCAGAGAACGCTGATGGCCGAAGGGGCGGGTACGGCTACCCAAGAAACCTGGAAGCGATCCAGCGTACAAAAAAATCGCGGTGTTGGGCCGATCAACAACAAGGGTGAACAAGAGTCTCGATCCAAAGCCTCCTTTACCACCAATGAATGGAGCCTCAGTAACGTCCCACTTGTGGCCGCCAATGTATTTGTCCTTCGCCCCTGGTCCTCTGCACTTCCCGAGCTGAAAGTCTGCGTGCTAAGATGTCAACCTGGATGTGCACTCCGTCGATCGCTCATCTGGCAGCCGAGGACGCGCTGCGCCCTTTGGTTGTCGACGTCCTTGTCCGACATGGCGAGCGCCTAGAAGGCCGAATCAGCGTCGATAATCGATGCTAGGTCTCCTATCGTGCATGCAGGTTATGCGAACGACCTTGGTCAGCAGTGGAAAGAGACCCAGATGTGAAAACAGAAGCTTCAGTCTTACCCCCTTCTGCAGCTTGACAACACTCACGACTTACCCATATGAATACGTCAGTGGCGATGGTAGGCCTCGAAGAAAGAGTGACAAGTTGCCCATTTACTGAGAGATGTATTGATGGCGTCCGACGCCCGCCCGTGGTAATCACAAGGCAGTAGCCGTACAGTTGTGGAGGGCACCGGTGTCGCCAAAGAGTACAGATCGACAAAGTTCTACCGCTGAAGTCTGGATTTCAAACGCTCGACGAATCTGCTCATCAGCATAGACCGCGCCAGACGCGAGCATGCCGTCTCGTTATACTTGTGTGTTGTGAAGAGCTGGGCGCATGTGAGGGTTCTGTGTAAATGGCTGCCCGCTGACTTCGCCTGCCAAGATCAACTGCAATTGGCGACACGGCTTACTTTGCTCCGCATGGCCACGGTCCAGGCATAACACCTTTCTCCAATCCTCCCGTGGTCTTTGATATACTCGTAGCCGCATCGATCTTTGCATAATGGACGACTCACCGTGGGGTGGTAGGCAGAGGACCATTGACACCAGGATCGTCAACATTGCGCTGACGTACTCTTGTAGATGTCCCATCCCAGTCGCAACCAGACGCCCCCGCCGACGCTGCCAAAGAGAATGGACCTCCTGGTATGCATGGCCGAGTTCATGGAACCAGTATACTTACCTCTGTATCAGACACTCCCGCCGCAAAACCTCCGTCCTCCAGCGGCCCCCGACCTCCCTCGTCCCGAAAGATCCCCGCCCGCAAGGTTGAAGTCCAGCCGACAAAGCTTGAAGCTGTGGACGATTCTCTTGACCCCCTTGGGTCTTTAGGAGGCGGCGACGCAGCCCCCGCAGCACCGTCGATAACTGTAGATCAGGCGCCGACACCTCCGAGGAAGGAGCTCAGTGCAAGAGTCAATCGCCAGCCATCTGGCGCGGCCGTTGGCCCGCCCGGCGCAGAATATGAAGATACCACGCTTCCACTAGGTAGACCGAAGGGTCCGCCTCCCGTGCAACCACAAGCAGCACCGCCTACGCGGCAGACACCATCCAGCGTGAGCATCGAACAAGCCGCCAAACCCACCTTCGACATCCTCGTGGGCGACCCGCATAAGGTCGGAGATCTGACTAGCAGTCACATTGTTTATCAAGTCCGAACAAAGGTGTGTGGTACTCTGGTGGTGCCTCTACGAGGTGTTAACCTTTACAGACAACATCAAAAGCGTACAAGCAGCCCGAGTTCACCGTCTCGAGGAGATATCGAGATTTCTTGTGGCTATATAACTCATTACACAACAACAATCCCGGCGTGGTCGTCCCTCCACCACCCGAGAAGCAAGCTGTTGGTCGTTTTGACACGGAGTTTGTTGAATCCCGGCGGCAGGCGTTAGAACGGATGCTGAACAAGACTGCTGCGCACCCGATACTGCAGCACGATGGCGACCTCAAAATCTTCCTCGAGAGCGATGCTTTCAATGTCGACGTCAAGAACAAAGAAAACCGAGAACCAGATCTGGGTCAGAACAAGGGTATGCTGAGTGCCATTGGGATAAACGTGGGCTCTTCTAGCGGTAAATTTGTCGAGCACGATGACTGGTTCCACGACCGGAAGATCTACCTCGACGCCCTGGAAAATCAGCTCAAGGCGCTCTTGAAAGCCGTCGACACCGTTGTGGAGCAGAGAAAGGGACTCGCAGCCGCAGCAGGGGAGTTTTCAGTGTCTCTTAACAGTTTGGCACAGGTCGACCTTTCACCAGTGTTCTCCGGTCCTCTACAGAGTCTATCGGATGTGCAGATGCGTATAAGGGAGCTCTACGAGAGACAGGCACAGCAAGACGTTTTGACGCTGGGGATTACAGTCGACGAGTACATTCGACTCATTGGCAGCGTGAAGCAGGCGTTTTCCCAGAGGCAAAAAGCGTTCCATTCATGGCATGCTGCGGAAAGCGAACTCGCTAAGCGTCGAAGCGCCCACGAGAAGCTTTTAAGGCAAGGGAAGAGCCAGCAAGACAAGCTCAATGAAGTGGGTGCCAGCGTGAGCGACGCAGAAAAAAGAGCGCACCAAGCTCGGTTGCTCTTTGAAGACATGGGCCGGCTGATGAGGGGAGAACTGGAGAGATTTGAGCGTGAGAAAGTCGAAGACTTCAAGAGCGGCGTTGAAACATTCTTGGAGGGCGCCGTTGAGGCACAGAAAGAGGTAAGTTGTTGGGCATCCGCATTGAAGACTCCACTTGCTGACCGGCACAGCTCATCGAGTTATGGGAGACATTCTTACTGCAGATGGACACAGAAGACGAAGCTCCTCTGAAAGGTCAGCCCGCACCGGAACAACCTGTGGCTGATGAGCACGCTCAGTCACAGGGCCAGCTCGGTCAAGGCGAAGCGGGCGACACTCAAGAGGCTGGCGCACCTGCTACCGCGACCGACGTGGCCCTCGAACAGGATGCTTAGTAGACATCCCTGGGGCAAAGTTATCGATTGAGGACAGCAGACAGTAGACTGTTACGAACGGGCGGCTCCTGTTCTACCAACAGATTTTATCGCACGGGTCCGCGATCCTGAGGTGTGGGTGCATTTATTGTTCCTCCACAATGCCTCTAGATACCCATCTTATGCGCTCAATCCGTCAGCTTGGCCAACTCAAGCCCAGCAGCTGTGGGTTCTGGCCGTCACTTTCTTCCTGGATTCATCTTGCGTGATTCATATTCTGTGCTGAGACTCACTGTCCCAACCCTCGTCGAACTCATTCCCAAGGGCCACAAACAATTTGTCAGGGCTCACCTGAACTTCACCGCATCTTTCAATGAAATAGGGTATCTTCCCCTCCATTATCCAAGTCTTAAGCAGAATGTGCCAGAGCTGAGAGAGCCAACCAGTCGACCAGGCGGTATACCTCACCGGCGTGAGCCTTCCATCGCTGTTACCCTCGGCCGGCACCTTCTTTGCAAAGGCGACTGCACACCCATCCTGCGGAAGTCCCAATGGCGGCGTAACACGATGGTTGTCCCCACCCACCGTGAGAGATCTCTCCTTTTCCCTGCCACTCACCTGTCGGTGGCGACCGAGACGGGAGCAATTGCAAGAAGCAGGGTGGTCAAGATCATCAAGGGGATAATGGACCACACGATCATCTTCCAATCCATCACTCTGGACGAGTCATCTGCACCGCCTGCAGCAACGGGCACGCCTTCGATCCTCGATTCGATCATCTCCGGGCCGAGCTCAAGATCAACTGCGGGTCAGTTTTCAAGCTCAGCTCTCGCACCCGCTATACCAACAGATTTTACCACGCTGTCCACAGCCCGGTTATCGACGAGCCTTACGCTCACCTCATCACTCCTTCCTGGCGCTAGTACTGTCAGCACCGACACAATCTTACCATCTTCAACATCATCTGGACCAACGACAGCGTCGTCTGTCAGTCCCATCACCGCACCACCGACCTCTGCATACACCACTGGGATTTACATAGCTCTTGGGCTGTTCTTGTTCTTCGGAGGTCTGTGCGCTTTGGCCACCAGTCCTGCCACCTCCACGGCTGTCAAAACATTCTTCCAAAGGCCAGCGCGAGAACAGGAGCAATCAATGATGTGAAGAGGAGGATTGATCGACTCTGAAAGGTTGGACGTCGGGTGTTGAGATACCAGTCAACCGCGAGGAGCCAATATCGCGACTGGACAGCAAGAGGGCTTTCGTGGCGCAGAGATATCGACAGACACAAGGTTCTTCAAGCATGACAGAGCCTTGTTCGGACAGTTTCGGATGTCAGCAGTTTGTTTTGACTGTCAAGGAGGACCGTATGAAATTTGTTTCGATTCACAGTAGCAAATGTGCTCATACATGTCAGAGCGGTTTCTTGTTCATCTGAACAGTTTCGCAAGTTGTCTTGGGCGTCGAAGCTCCAGGTTTGGATTGGTTCCACCAAAACTGTCAACTTCATGCTCTATCTAATCATCGACGACGTATCAGGCCATAGCTTTGGCCAGATTGATCAGAGACACGGCACCCACACGACAAGCCCATACTGATGAGGTTGTGATATCGTGCCTTGTCTGTTGGCTAAGCTCATTTGCCCTTGACAAGCGCCACCTCCTCCTCGGGCGCAGTGACCCTGACTTACTGTACTCTGCTAATTCCCGAGATATCAGCGGACTGAATCCCCCATGCTCTCTTGTTCCGTCACGATCATCGCGAGTGCGAGCTAGATGCGGAGTGGAATGGGTTCTCCCCACACAGTTCCATGACCATGCAGACGGTTAGGACGACCTTCCTGAAATACGAGCACGGCTGCGCACAGCGTGGACCCGTCAACACATCCACCTTGCCAATCGCGCTGCTTTCCAACACGTCAATCGCAAGAAAAGAGCAGGTTCGGGCTTTTTGATTAGTATTGATGACATCTGAGGCATGTGAGGCACAGACCACATATCGTTCACGAGGACCACTTCTTTCTCCGTTGCTTTGCTCGTGCCACACCGTGACAGCTTTCCTCTATGAAGATCAGGTATCCTCAACCAAGTCTAACATTAGATTGATTTCAGGTACTCAACACACAGCCTAGCAGGCCCGAACTCACAGGACCTCAGTACGACCGTCAAGTCCGACCTACCACGCCTACACTGGACTCTTTTCAGGGAAAGCATAATTAACTTATAAGAGAGATGCCATTCTACGAGGTAGGTTCAGTGCCCGTACTTCCTTTGACGGCGCAAAGTTGAATACGTTACGGGCCGCTCGCATGCTTCTGCTTCCCCCCCGACTCGTCTAGCACGTCCATCATTGTGATGTGTTTACAGTATCCAGCAGTTGGTGCGCAGGATCTACCCTTACAAAAAGCCGACTGTGTTCATTCATCGTGGCTGACCCTTTTATTCGTGTCCACCTGACGAAGCCGTCCTTACCTTACGCCCGGCCAGCATCCATGCGCATTCTGAAGTCGAAGCTTATCACTTTTGCCTCCACCCCGAGCCCTTGCAAGTACCCAGGTACCTAACACTCCTTCCAGGTCCAACACACCTACCCTCTCACATTCCCCCAAAAGCATGCCTTCGCCAAAGCAATCACAGAGCTGCACAGCACCACTTTCCTCACGCCATCCCTTTTCGTCAACGTCAGTTTCCACCTCCTTCAACCGCGCGGCGAGGAAAACGTATATTTCCTTGCCGGCGAGCCCGTGACTCACAACAACGCCGGACCGAACCGAGTTCTCGCCATGGTGAGGACCGGTCCGAAACGGACAAAGGCAGACTGGGATACCCTGGCAGCGAAATTGGAGGACAGATGGTACGAGATCGTCAAGGATGAGAAGCAGTGAGTCAGGTCGAGTGCATCCCGGCCCGCTCGCGTCACCCTCTACGTTTGTCGGCGCGCCGCATCCCCCACCACTGACGTTGTCTCTCAAAATCGTAGAACAGGCGACGCGAACGCAGACGACGAAGCGGCAAAGAAGATGCATCTCATCACTTTTTACCCGATGCTTGCGGCGAGGGAGAACGGAGTTACTATCCCGGACGTATGTCTGCCTTCGGCCTCTTACTTGTTCCCGGCACTCGTTTCTCCTCCCCGGTCTCGTCTCAAGGTCCTGGGTGATGCTGACGTGGTGGCTGCACAGGCTGGCACCGAATCCTCCTGGCTGAGAGATTATATGCCGTTCTTCAAGGCCCAGGCTTACGAGCACGGGGACGAGGATTTCCGCAAGATGCTCAATGAGATCGAGACGAGGGAGGATCTGAAGGCCTTGTTGAATCGTGATGGTTGACGAAGACGTAGCTACAGTAGTGCGCAGTGGTGAGGAGTTCAACGATGGACAGAAGGACACCCCAGGTCCGACGAGAGGTGTTGGTCACATACCTACCTACGTAGGTAGGTAACCTACTTGGATGATACTGATCGGCTTATTGTTGCTTGCCTTGCTTGCATGTGTGCTTCTTGCCCCGGATATCCTGGGTCATCGCTGAGTTATTTGAATGCTTGCGGTTTCGTTGCTTTTTCTACCTGAGATGTCCAAGCTTCAAGACCGCCGCTTCAGGACCGCCGCCTCAAGACCGTAGCTTCGCCTCGAGATCCATGCATGGAGCGTCCAAACCAATCTGTCCCGTTAGTCTCGACTCTCCAGCACCGCAGGCAGGATCATGCAAACAGCCGGCTATCGTTCAATTCAGTCTCCACGCACCGACACAGGTTATCGTAGAACTGCACGCCCTTGAAGCCGTGGTTCTCCTTCCGAACACGCCACCCCTGCTGCCTCAACCTGGCCATCCTCTCCTTCTTCGCCTTGGCTTTTGCGTCTTCTCCCTCTTGATCTCCAGCTCCATCTCCATCTCCATCTCCATGTCGATCTCTAACTTCATCAACTTCGTCGCCAGCTTGACTACCATTGTGCTCACTTCCATCTCCATATTTCGATTCCATCGGCCGGTCTCGCCGTCTCGGGCATGGCGAGCTCGCCGCCTCGAAGGACCAGAAACTCGCATACCGCTGCTTGGGGCCCAACAACTGTTTGGCTGCCTGTCTTTCATTCTGCATCTTTTGCACCCTCGTGAGCTCCCCATCTAAATAAGCGATGTGATCTTTTAGGCGGACGCGAAAGTCCGCCAATTTGGCGTTATATCTCGCCAGGTGCGCCGAAGCAGCAGTGGACGTGAGGTATGTCTCCAGGTGCTCGTTGCGCGGATCTGGTGAGAATGCATCGCTGATCATACGGAATCGAGGGGTAGCGATGTCGGGCGTTGTTGATGGCGTTGAGTGCACGATGGTGGTGAGGGGCGTTGATGGTGGTAGAGGCAGTATGCCTTCGAAGCGGGCGATGAGGGTTTGGACCGCTGTCTTGCGGAGGTGGGGCGCTTGGGTTATGCGCGTGCCGTCTATTGTGAAGGCGAGAGGGTTGTGGTTGAAAGGTAGAGGAGGGAGGGGACGAGGAACATTGGTGCCATTGGCAGGGTTCGGAACACGAGCCTGTTTCGCATGGCGGCTGAAGAGGGGTGAAGGCACGAGTTCTTGCTGGAGTGCTTGTGGTGAGCTGAGGACACGGCTGGGACGAGTTCTGTGCGTCCCGGGAGTTTCTGGCACGATCAGCTGCTTGTCTTTGGGAATGTCTGGTTCCGCGACCGTAGGGAATGTGGTAGGAGGTTCTCCCTTTCTCGTTGGCGATTGGTCGGCACAGTACGAGATTGATTCTGCCTTTAGGGGACTTGCTGTCGAGTAGATACTGCTAGGGGATCGGAAGAGCGAGGACTCTTTGATACGCGGGGTTTGAGGGAACGTGGCATGGGTAGCTTGAACCACCTTATCAGAGAAAGGTAGAGAGAAATTGATGTCCGGCGTGGAGGGAGAGTCGTCTAGCTGAGCGTATGTCCCTGCTTCCGTGGAAACGAACGGCAGTGGAAAAGACTTCACCGCCAACCCAAAACTCTCTCTGGCCGAGTCCAGGAAGTGAAGCTTTTTCTGCGAGAAATCGTGGGCGAGGAGTCCAATGGCTTCGTAACAGACGGCGTGATAGAACCAAAGGAAAGTCCGATGGAGGCCATGGATCTAAGGACAACAGTCAGTATCTGATGTCTAGAGGTCTCTTCACAGCGCAAATGTAGCGTACCTCAGGGTCCTGGAGCTGCTCGCAGAGTGCGATACACTGCTTATACCGCCGTTCGTAGAAGAGGGTCTGGACCGCGATAAAACCTTTCCCGTGGCAAGTGATCCTCGTCATTGCACCAGGAATGCATGTGGGAGCGGTTGGGGACTGTTCCATCATGAGAGGACAGGTCTTGTGAGCAGAGACGGTCGGTCGTGATGTTGAGGTGAAAAAGAGATGGGATCTCTGACCGAGTGAATCCTGCCGCACCCTGCCAGCCTCAGATGCGGTGACATAGTCCAATATTGGTTTTCCAAGCTCTGTAGGTTGCTGGTGACTGTATCGATCCACATCTTCTTCGTCATGTGAGTCCTGGCGATGTCCAAGGTAGTCCAAGTTTGTGACCTTGACCATTGTGGGCTCTGACGTACGTGTCTACCCTCGGGCTGCGAGCTCGAACTCGAGGAAGTGGTCCCAGCTGCAGAGGCAGTGCGCGAGACAGACCAGCGGAGACGAGAAATTGGACCGCATGCTTGGTCGAGACTTCGTTGCCTCGAGGGTCAGTAGGGTTCCGTGATCCCGAGCATGGCGTTCACTTGATTGCATAAACCATGGCTACTCTCTCATATCGCTTACTTGAGCGAGGTCGAGAGCTCTCTTGTCCCAACTGATCGCCGCTTTCTCATCTGACTTCGCCACATATCTGAGACATCGAAGGAAAGGGGCTAATGAGTCCGTCGTCAACCATATCTTCAAGCTGAGTTTTGATCCACTCCGCGCCCTTCGCTTGGCAGATGGGAGCAGCGTTCGCAATGGCATCGGTGTCGTCCTGGAGAGCTTGAGCCATTGACGCGCGGAGTTGAGCTACCGCTTTCTGGTCGCCGTCTTGGTACAGTTTGCTGGCATTGCGGTAGAATGTTTCTGCGTTCTTCAGGAGTTGCTTGCTATTCGACACTGCTGGAGTGTAAGACGCTGGTGGTTGTCCCAGCTGATGCTGCAGGAGCGAGCAGTTCCCGCGGATGAAGTGTGTGTCAGCAATATCATCAGGAAGAGGATCCGACAACTTAGATGCTGTGGCCAAATTGGCTATTGCGGCCGAAAGCGCGCTCCATCTTGATGCTGCTTGTGAGGTAGCATGGGACGGTATACCTTCTGCAAGTGCAGTATTGAATGAGACCAGACTGTTCGCGTTGGCCATCAGAGCAGCAAAACTCCTTTCCAGGCCCAGCTCGGCCACACGGAATGCTTCATCTCGTTCTCTCTTGTATGTTTCGGGATCAACGGAATTCCGGCTATAACCGGCTTTCAACAGTTCCGATACAAAATTTGCACGCGCAAGGGCGACTTCTTGTAATCGCTCGGAATCTCCGTTCTCAAGGAGTATTGGCAACCTTGTTTGGATCAGCTTAGAAGAGTGTTCTTCGATCCAGGCAAGGCTGGTGCTACGAGCGGATGATTCTGAAGAACCCAGCACGCTGCATAGCGTGGTAAGAGTGCCCAATTGTGCAAGGATGGTGTCAACAAGTGTATCCTTGGTGACAGGTTCCACGACCGAAAACCATCTATCTTCCATGTTATTGGCAGCTTGGTGCCCATCCTCATCCTCATCGGCGTTCCCGGTGTCGCTTGGTGCCGGGCCTGCTTCAACCGGCGTCTCGCCTGCAATTCGAGCTGCCTCGTTCTGCTGTTGAATGTACTCTTCGAACTTGAGTTCTTGAATGCTCAAACAGCGGTCTTGGAGTTCCAAAGCTTCCTCCAATGGCTGCAGAGCGTCCTGGTCAGCATGTTCGCCGTCTCTGGCATATGCTTCGGCAATAGCTGTCAGCACCTGAGCCGCGTTGAACAGAGAGTCCGGATTGTCCTGATCGAGTTGGAGAGCATAGCGATGGGCCTCCAATGCTTGATGCAGAACTTCCAGGAGTGGTCGTTCCAAATGTGGCACAAGGAGAGGATGCGTTGCGATCTCTAACAGGATTCTTGCTCTGCTATGAAATTAGCGTCTTGAAAGGGACTAGATATCATTGTCAAGACAGACTTATTATATGCCAAGTCGAGGCTGGCTGGGAACTTTTGCAATCCCCGGTCATACACCTCAATGGCCCGGCAGAAGAAACGCAGAGATTTGGCACCATCACCGGCCCTCCATTTCCCTGCAGCCTCTTCAAAGTCCACCCCAGCTGCCGACGCGTGAGTAGTTGCGCGAAGATCGAGAGAATCGTCCTAGAGAGCTCACCCGCCTGAAAGTCATCGGCCGTGTCTAAAGCCTGACTCAACTGTCAACATCTGTTTCCTTAAGGTTGCCTATTCCGATGATACTGTCTCACCTGTCCCACTTTCTTTTTCGACTTCGACTGCTTAAGAAATGCCTTGGGCTTAGACATAGTGACTATGACAACAGGATAGGGCACAGAGGCCTGGAGCTAGTGGGAGAGCCTCGGACGAACACAGCCTTGTAATCATGGGCCAGCTAGTTCGGGAGGGCAAGGTCGGAGAAGGCAGATCTGAGGTGTGCCGCGGTGGTGCGTGGGTGGTGTCAAGCTCGAAAGGCGAGTCGGCCATGTTCGGCGGCCGTCAAGCTCACGGGACACCCATCTTCGACTAGCCAATCGCTGCTGATCGGAGTGGACTTGGCGACTGGGTGTGTGTGGGACCTACTGTACTTTGGAGATTCAGGGCTGTTTGCAAACTTTGATTCGGTAGACCAAGGTGGTCCGAGATTTTGAGATGGTCTTCTCCGAACAAAATCTGACTTTAGATGGAGAGCCGTCTCGTACCCTCGGAAGGCGTGCGAGTGCGTACAACGACGCAAGCTGAGCAGCAAGAACCTGTCTTCTACTGTCTGGCGAGCCGAGTCAGCATGACATTCTGCGGGATCTGTGTTGGTCTCTATTGACGACACGCCCGAAGGAGATTTGCGAACATTCTCGTAACCAGGCTTGGTGGGCTGCTCGTCGGACGCTCCCGGAGAACCTTTCATCCCGCTCGAGAGGCTGCAGGTGCAAACTCCGCCGCCCCGCTCATTTGTTTTGCGGCTGGCTTTGGCGCAAGGAACGCATGGGCAAGTGATGGCCCCTTGTATTCTCGTCCACTGCTGTACTTGATGCAGTTGTGCCTGGCAAGTGCGAGTCCTGGTACTTTCTACTCCGTACGGAGTACTGGGTAGAATATTAGGGTAAGAAGAGAGCGCCGCAGTCTCTTAGTATGTAGCGAGACAGAGAAGCCACCTACGTGCGAGGTACTGTGCTTTTTTCGTATCGAGCCCTGTAAAGCTGCCTCGCGCCCCCATCCTGATCCCTCAGAAGGGAATTCTCTGCAGCCCATTCGTACCGTCGACCCAGTAATTGTCCACCCACGCCTCAGGACGGAGATCGCCAGTACGAAGGTAGTCCTCTTTCGGGCAGCCTCCTGCCACTGGGATGCACAACCACTGATCACGTCGTTGTTCTTTCTCTGTTCGTTACACCGCGCATGACTTAGACGATCGACGTGACAGATGTCATCTCCGCACACACACCACCTCACCAATCTCGAGTCCCTCACATACAACCACTACAGCTTGACGAGCTGCCTGGGTGTGCAGTCGAATCCAACTCGTTCCACACCCACGCTGCAACCGTTGCCCGCCAGTGACAGAGTCAGCAGCGCAACCTGGTCGCCCCGCCCACGCCATCGCCGGACTACTGCACGCCTGCTGCAAGAAGATTGCGAGACGACCACCCACGCCAGCCCCAAAACGCACAACCCCGCCGGGTCACCTGCAAGCACCTCGAAAGCCTCCTACTACCATGACCTGCAGACACCTTCCGACGCCATCGCCGACCTCGAAATTTCGCCTTTTTCATTCGACGTCAGTTCTACCTCACCTTCCATTCGTTCACCACGAGGCTGCGTCAGAACTTCACGCAGCACCGACCTGATCTTTTTGGTGCACTGCATTCACATCAGCCCAAGCTCACCGGGCACCTCGTCCATGACTCACTCAAGGATGAAATTCCTGTGAGCATCGTGTCGCCCTCAACCACCTTCCGCAGCCCACCTGCGGGCTTGATCGTCAGCGTCGGCGTGCTTGATAATGACTCACGAAGAGCGCGAACTGCATACTGTATGGGCACAGGAAATGCAAGACGATGGCATTGTCCCCACCGTGGGTGACGAGGACTTTACAAAGTTCCTCGACCTAGACAATGACTTCCAACATTACACCACCCTAAACAATGGCCACTCCGGCCTCGACACGCCCATGGGTCGACTGGGCTTTGGGAATAGCAACGCCGACTTGACATATACCGGGGCTGAGCAGATGAGCATGCATGTTAGCGCAACCAGTGAACCGGTCGGCTATCGCAACCATATACCGAACCAGCCGTATGGCCAGTATTCGCAGTATCAGCAGATGCAGATGGCGCCGCAGTACCACGTGCCTCCTACGCCCGTGAGCTCTGAGATTCATCCAGGAAAGTATGCGCACCAGATGGCAACCAACGGACAATTACTGTTCGACCATCAGCAGGTAAGGGGACGGCGAGTCGGTGGCGCTCCCCATGTGCTGACGATCTATAGGTGTCTTTCACACCTCTGGTGTCTCCTGCGCAAACGCCAATGGATAATGCATACTCCATGTCCGACTACGGTTTGGCCGACGAGTTCTTCAGTCCATTGACGTCACCCGCGATCGAAGCACAAGCCGCGTTCAGTTCAACTGGGACGACTGCCTCGCCTGTTGATCTCAATGAGTTGCCGCCCGCAGGGAAGCCTGTCACGGCGGGTACAAAGCGTCCTCGGGGAAAAGGGGCGAATGCCGCTCGTGCGCCGGCCCGCAGCATCAAACAGTCACCAGCGATGAAGCCACAGCCGCGCCGTCGACATCCTTCGCTTACGTCGTTGCCAATGGACAAAATCCGAGACATGCTTCCGCAGGCTGCGCCTGGGTCTACTCTGCACCCGTCCGTACCTCATAACGCCGTGTTTCGGGGCAGTGATGATTCTGTTTCCCCCGAGCCCTTGTCCGAAACCGCCATGAGACCACCTCCAGTGCCTCAACCCGGCAGGTCGCCGCAATCGACTGTCGCGCCTCAAGATACGCAAGCCAATAACCCAGTCACACCGGCGACCTTGATGCGTATGCCGAGCAATCGAGCAATGCCTACGAAGATAGACCAGGACATCGTTTCCCAGAATGCAACCGAGCCTATGGAGGATATCATGTTACCTGATGCTGCCGCTCCTGCTACGGCCCAGTCAGCGATTCCCTCCTTGGATAACGGTCGAAGCTCCGTCTCTAGCGAAAACACGCCGACGCTTTCGGCAAAGTCCGCTAAAATAAGTGCGGCGAGCACGCCCAGGAGTGCATTGACTAAAGCAATGTCACAAGAGAATTTTGCAAAGCCAGAGAAAGTTGAGAACCGAGGCGGAGCGCGTGCCAGCAAGAAGCGGCAGAGTACGTCATCCGCCACCATATCGCCAGCACTGCGACCAAAAATCTCGCCTAGTATCAGCCCATTAGCACCTGCAGCAGGTAAGCGTCGAGTCGCGAACGGGCAGGGCCACAAACTGACCCTTCTAGGTCCGGGTATGTCACATCTCTCCGCGGAGACGAGCGCCTTGTACCTGGCCTCGAAGTCGAACTACCAGAACATACTCGAAGGCACGCATTTGCCAGGAGTGTCCTATCCGGAGACTCTGGCTGAGAACCTTACCTCAAAACGCACGTCACACAAAATTGCCGAGCAAGGCCGTCGAAATCGAATCAATCTGGCATTGAAAGAGATCGAGACCCTTCTCCCGCCTGCTATCCTTGTTGCGAATGGCAAGAAGGAGAAATCGCCGAAAGACGAGATCGACGACGGGGAGGCCGCGGCTGCCAAGAACTCAGCGCCAGGTCAAGGTGCAAGTAAGGCAAGCACCGTGGAAATGGCGATTGTCTACATTAAGAGTCTTCAGAATGAATTGAAAGAAACGAAAGAAAAGCTTGAAGCCGCCGAGAAGAAGGTGGCTGAGACGAACGGACAGGAAAGCAGCGCAGAGAGTCAGACGACATCTGAAGCATAGAAGCGAACAGAGCAACACAAGCTCGTTTTGGTTTATGGCTTAATTGGGCGTGATGGGTTTATGAGTCTCGGACCGCAATGAAGAAGAAAAGACACCAGCGGGTTACCAGGAGTTCGATGATCCCGAGATGAGAGTACTGTGTATGTGGTTATGGGTTTGCTCACCTGATATATGTCCACAGTTGATAGATCGCTGTGATTCCCGCACAATCATCTTGCAGAGCATGTGCAGCACGATCGTGCCATGAGTGGTGGGTGGGTGGCTTTTCGTGCATATTGTCCCGTGCGGCTGTACGGCATCAGAGCACGTTGTTAAAAGCAATACAAATATCCAGCGTGTCGGTTAAAGAGCTCAGTTCTCATTCCGTGTCACTTTTGAACTCCTCGGTTTTACAATGCAAGGCTATCTAGCAGAGATTGTTCTAGAGACTGCTGGTAAAGGCTAGTCGAAAAGCCCCCGCGCTGCGGGTTGCCGTGCAGCAGGGCAAACTAAGCTAGCATGAGTGGTCAGACAGACGATTTTTAATCTTACTGTGAGGCTGCACCATATGCCTTGCAGCAGCGCGGCTACCCAAAGAAGGTGATGCTGACATCCTCCCCGTGCTGGGAGAGCGCATTTTCAATGAGACATATCGCGATAGCATTGACCTTGAAAAGACGTCTCTGGTCAGGATATAGTACCCAGGAGCACAATCGGAGTTCATGGTAGCCGGAGCACAGCGTGAAAAAAGCCACGTGAAAGCCAACTCACTTGTGAAGAAGCGATCCCGTCAGACGAGGGCCAGCGGCGTTGACTAAGCTTAAGCCCTGAAGCCTTGGCAGGTGAAGGACCCACAGTGAGCTGGCGGACCACTCAGGTGGCCGCCTGCAGGCAGGACTCAATCGAAGGCCGTAGAATCACGAATAGATTTTCTGTGCTATATAGCCGTTGCTGAAGCCTTTCCTCCCTCTCACCAACTCATCACGAATAAACTTGCCTTTCCTGCGTAACGACAGTTCGCCCACCTGTCCCCCAACACGAACATAGTCTTGAATTGTAAGTCCAAACCCTCGCGACATCTCTCTGTGCCTTTGAGACTTGCCTGATCGACTCGTCTTTCCCAACTGCGACGAGGTCGACCTGGGCGAGCCGCTACTCAAACCGACGAACCCCCATTAAATTGAGCTTCGAGTTTGTGTTCACCTGTACTGACTCTTTGTTCTCCCCCAGATCTAATATCCTCCACACCACCGCAGCCATGGCCTCAGAAAGCTTTGAGTTCCAGGCTGAGATCTCTCAACTGCTCTCCCTCATCATCAACACCGTCTACTCCAACAAAGAGATCTTCCTTCGAGAACTGATCTCCAATGCCTCTGATGCCCTTGACAAGATCCGATATGAGGCTCTGTCAGATCCCAGCAAGCTCGACTCGGGCAAAGACCTCCGAATCGACATCATTCCCGACAAAGAGTCCAAGACCCTGACCATCCGCGATACCGGTATTGGCATGACCAAAGCTGTAAGTACAGATTTGTAGCCTAGTCTGAAGCGGCGCAGCGACTAACAATCTTCCAGGATCTCGTCAACAATCTCGGTACGATCGCCCGATCCGGCACGAAGCAGTTCATGGAAGCCTTGACTGCTGGTGCCGATATCTCCATGATCGGTCAATTCGGTGTCGGTTTCTACTCCGCCTACTTGGTCGCCGACAAGGTCACAGTCATCTCCAAGAACAACGATGACGAACAATACATCTGGGAGTCTAGCGCAGGCGGCACTTTCACCATCACTCAGGATGACAGTGGTGAGCAGCTTGGCCGTGGCACCAAGATCATTCTTCACCTGAAGGATGAACAGACCGACTACCTGAATGAGTCGAAGATCAAGGAAGTCGTCAAGAAGCACTCCGAGTTCATCTCATACCCCATCTACCTTCACGTACTCAAGGAGACTGAGAAGGAAGTCCCCGATGAGGATGCTGAAGAGGTAGAGGAAGACGAGGAGAAGAAGGCCAAGATTGAGGAGGTCGACGATGATGAGGAAGACAAGGAGAAGAAGCCCAAGACCAAGAAGGTCAAGGAGTCCAAGATCGAGGAGGAAGAACTCAACAAGACCAAGCCCATCTGGACCCGCAATCCCTCGGATATCACGCAAGAAGAGTATGCTTCCTTCTACAAGTCGCTGTCAAACGACTGGGAAGACCACCTTGCCGTCAAGCACTTCTCCGTCGAGGGTCAGCTTGAGTTCCGCGCCATTCTCTTCGTTCCCAAGCGCGCTCCCTTCGATCTCTTCGAGACGAAGAAGACCAAGAACAACATCAAGCTCTATGTCCGCCGCGTCTTCATCACCGACGACGCTACCGACCTGATCCCTGAGTGGCTTGGCTTCATCAAGGGTGTCGTCGACTCTGAAGATCTTCCCCTCAACTTGTCTCGCGAGACCCTCCAACAGAACAAGATCATGAAGGTCATCAAGAAGAACATTGTCAAGAAGACCCTTGAGCTCTTCAACGAGATCGCCGAGGACCGCGAGCAGTTTGACAAGTTCTACTCTGCCTTCAGCAAGAACATCAAGCTCGGTATCCACGAAGACTCGCAGAACCGCCAGGCTCTCGCTAAGCTTTTGCGATTCAGCTCCACCAAGTCTGGTGAGGAGACCACTTCTCTGTCCGACTACGTCACCCGCATGCAAGAACACCAGAAGCAGATCTACTATATCACTGGTGAATCAATCAAGGCCGTTCAGAAGTCTCCATTCCTCGACTCCCTGAAGGAGAAGAACTTCGAGGTCCTCTTCTTGGTTGATCCCATCGACGAGTATGCCATGACTCAGCTCAAGGAGTTCGATGGCAAGAAGCTTGTCGATATCACCAAGGACTTCGAGATGGAAGAGACCGACGAGGAGAAGAAGGAACGTGAGAAGGAAGAAAAGGAATATGAAAGCCTGGCCAAGAGCCTGAAGAATATTCTCGGCGACAAAGTCGAGAAGGTCGTTGTCTCCCACAAGCTTGTCGGTTCTCCTTGCGCTATCCGTACCGGCCAATTCGGTTGGTCAGCCAACATGGAGCGCATCATGAAGGCTCAAGCTCTCCGTGACACCTCCATGTCCTCGTACATGTCTTCCAAGAAGACGTTCGAGATCTCCCCCAAGTCCCCGATCATCAAGGAGCTCAAGAAGAAGGTTGAAGCTGACGGCGAAAACGACCGCACTGTCAAATCAATCACTCAACTGCTCTTCGAGACCTCTCTGCTTGTTTCTGGCTTCACCATTGAAGAGCCCGCCAGCTTCGCTGAGCGCATTCACAAGCTTGTCTCTCTCGGCTTGAACGTTGACGAGGAGGCTGAGACTGCTGAGGAGAAGGAGGTCGAAGAGGCTGCTCCTGCCGAGGCTGCTGGTGAAAGCGCTATGGAGGAGGTTGATTAGACGATATCTACGACGACAGAAGGTGTTGCATTGACGAGATCTCACGCTTGAGCGATTGTCACTGTGTCATCCGTATTGGCGTTCGGTGTCGGTCAGACTCGGGTTTCCTCTTGCCTTGTTTTCTCTTTTAGCGATATCCCGGCAATGAGTGACATGGTTTGAAAGAACTGGTGGTATGGAGACCAAAAAGTGGACAGGAAATGGATGGAAGAACAGGTTCAAGCATCAAGCGTCCCTTCGTGGTTGAGGTTTAGAGCTCCCTGTAATCCATAGTCAATTGATTGCATGATTCAAAGAGACAAACTATTTGCGCGTTCCTCCCACTCTCTTGCGACCGCTGTAGATAATGAAAAACACCGTCGTAGCTATAATATCAAAGGAGGCGATGAGCAACTACCTAAGTACAGAGCTGGATCTCTGCCCCAAAAAATCCGAACGGGGAGATTTTGAATACGAGGCGCGTTGGAGAAGATCTGTCCCTTTCCGGACTCACCGTGTGTGTGGGTGAACGCATGGTCATTTTTCAGCCTCGACGCATTCCTCGAAAACCAGCATGTCGATATCGATTCGCATGACGCTCCTTGATCGGTGACATTGGATTGCACCCTTAGAATCCATCCCCGGCGCCTTGCCCGTCTCGTGTCGTCTCCTCTGTCGCTTCACCCGCGGGGTTGGGCTTGCGCTTCCATACCATACACTCCTTTGCTTACCTGCGCCGTGCCTCAGCTTTCAGAAGCCCTACACCCTCAAGGCAAACAGCGAGGGTGGTCTTTGCATGTTCAGACCGTGGATTTGGAAATAACAACACATCATGGCTGCGAGATCACGGTTCCACAAGCTCGACGCTTTCACGAAGACGGTTGAAGATGCTCGCGTGCGGACGACGTCCGGCGGGCTTGTCACGATCGCCTCGATCCTCATTATCTTCTACCTGGTGTGGGGAGAATGGGCCGAGTACCGGAAGATCCTGGTGATGCCGGAGTTGATTGTGGACAAAGGGCGAGGTAAGGGAGCGGCTCTTTTACACATCTGATGGGCATTCTTTCGACGCCCGAGACACCTGAACTCATGCTAACATGGTCGGACTCACAGGTGAGAAGATGGAGATTCACCTCAACATCAGCTTCCCGCGGATCCCCTGCGAACTGCTCACCCTCGACGTCATGGACGTGTCGGGCGAACAGCAGACGGGTGTCGTCCACGGGGTGAACAAAGTGCGCCTCTCGTCGCGTGCCGAGGGATCTCGAGTCCTCGACACGACCGCCCTCATCCTGCACGACCAACAAGACAACGCCGTACACCTCGACCCGAATTACTGCGGCAACTGCTACGGCGCGCCGGCGCCGCCGAACGCCAAGAAGCCCGGGTGCTGCAACACGTGCGACGAGGTGCGCGAGGCCTACGCGGCCAACAGCTGGGCGTTCGGCCGCGGCGAGGGCGTCGAGCAGTGTGAAAGAGAAGGCTACGGCGAGAGACTGGACGCCCAGCGCCACGAGGGTTGCCGCATCGAGGGCGTCGTGCGCGTGAACAAGGTGGTGGGCAATTTCCACATCGCCCCCGGCCGCTCCTTCTCCAACGGCAACATGCACGTCCACGACCTGAACAATTACTTTGACACGCCCGTGGAGGGCGGGCACACTTTTACCCACGAGGTCCACAGTCTGCGGTTTGGCCCGCAGCTCGACAGCGGCGAGGTATCCAAGTGGAGCGAGCACCACCACCATTCGGACCCCTTGGACGGCGTCAAGCAGGAGACCGACGAGGCCGGGTTCAACTTCATGTACTTCATCAAGGTCGTCAGCACGTCGTACCTCCCGCTCGGGTGGGACGAGGACCGATCCCAAAGACAACATTCCAGCCTGGCTGACTTGATTCCCCTGGGCATGCAAGGGAAGGGCGCCGGGTCGCAGGGCAGCATCGAGACGCACCAGTACAGCGTGACGAGCCACAAGCGGAGTCTGGCCGGCGGGAACGATGCCGCAGAGGGCCACAAGGAGCGGTTACACGCCCACGGCGGCATTCCTGGCGTGTTCTTTAGCTACGACATCTCGCCGATGAAGGTGATCAATCGGGAGGCGCGGCCCAAGACGTTCGCCAACTTCCTCACGGGCGTGTGTGCCGTGGTGGGCGGCACGCTTACGGTGGCGGCCGCGATCGATAGGGGGCTGTATGAGGGGAGTACGCGGTTGAAGAAGGTGCATCAGGGGTGATTATTGGATGTGAGTCGCGAGGTTGAGTCCATTTATTGGCGATGATCAAGTTTCTTTTCCTTTCACGCATAAGCATGGGAGTTTATAGGGTATGAATAGCGGGCTATGGTTCCGGTCATGCGCAGTAGAAATATATCAGTACTAGCTATGGATGGAAAATAGAAGTACGATCGATGCTAAGAAATGGCTCCCCGAGCAGGCTTCGGATGCGCACCACGCAGTTAACTTCCGAGCGTGGCTACGATGAAGTTTGACCTAGGCAATTCGATTCCACCCAGTTGGAAGTCACAACACGGCGGGTATTCCTACAATACTGGCCTTTGGAAGCTACCACGGTGTCGAATAGGAGCGTCCCGCGACGAAGAAGCAGTTACCCTGTGTCCGTCGTGGTGGTCTTTCGCTTTGTCGAATCCGACCTCCAGGTATAGCACTAGTCACTCCATACATACTCTACATTCTCTCCCTAGAACTTCAGACATAGTCAGCGCACACTCCCCACACAAGCTTCTGATTTGAACAGTGCACAAACTGATTGAAATATATCAGAAGAACCAAAGTTCTAAGCACCGACGCTGGGACGAGGACTCGGGCGCATTTGACGATACGCCTGCCTTCAATCCACGTTTGTTGGACGAGGATTTTTGCTTTCCCAGCATGCCTTTTCCGGCTCTTCCTATGCCATGAGGTTTCTTGTGTTCATCATTGAGGGGGCGAGTAAATGTGATTGGGATCGAAGAGAGATAGAGAGGGGAGCTTACCTTGAGTTATCCGGAAGAACGCGCATGTGAGAGAATCGGGTTAAGCAAGCACTCGCGAGAGCTTTCAACCTGTGCGAAAGACAAGGATTCCGCTCAAGGTGTAAGAATGGAACATGTAATTGTGATGGATTGTGCATGGCGCCTGCGCACGCTAGAATACATGTTGGTTTGTATGTGGTACGCTGATCACGGCTCCGCGGTGACAGTACATGTCTAGGAATAACAATGTCTGAAGACGGGAGAAAGATGAAGACGACGGAGAAATTTCTTGGCTGCGCGTTTCCTCTTCCAGACAAGGTAGTGATCTAACCATTTAGGTTCTTAGGCGGAAGGAGCTCAAATGTACTATTCCAAGTGATAGCCGCGACCAGAGTCCATCAGTTCCACGGAAAGTTCTTTGAAGATACCACTAATCTGGTTCCTCTGTGCAAGATGTTCACTTCAGCGGGCAAGCTGCCGCGTGCACATACGCATGGTCTCCTCAGGCACGCTTCCGTCCGGTGCACAAGTCGGAGATGTCAGGCAGACGCAACAACAGAACACACCGACCGCTGGATATTCGGCTGCATTGTACTATCAAACCCAAATACCCGAGCCCATAAGAGTGCGGTTCATATTAGGGAGCACTTTCAGACCCAGTGGGCTAAGCGGGACAATCTGGTCTGAGAGTAAATTCCTCGTAGTGAAGACTTGTCGATACTGCGGACCTCTCAGGATCGCCCTAATATCCTTGCTGCTTGCCTGAGTCAGTCGTCAAATGTAGCATGCCACTACTCGGTCGTCATTCTCTCCTCATAGGACCAAGCGCCAGAATGTGACTTGCAAAGATAGAGCATGACGGGGAGTCAAGGAGGCTCTGGAGGCGTCGGAAATGGCGGGAGAACTTCGGTAAAAGATCGCGTCTCATCTGGCTTCAATGATGGCAACTTGGCCATGTGGAGGGAACATCTTAGTCGTGGTAATGTGCTCTGATCCTGGACATAGACGTCGTGTCTCGGTACTAACGATTCGAGTTGTCTTGGATCACACTTGGAGGAGATGCGTATCGCGTCCCACCATTTAAAGGATCTGCGGTGTTCCAGTTCTCATTCACATATTTCAGATGCCTGTCAATGGCATACAGACAGAGGTGGACCTACTAGACTCAGGTGAGACGATCGTGGAAGACAATGCTGACGCCCCGCTGATAAACAAAGATGATTATGATCCTATAGCACACCTTGATCAGATATTCTCGCACCCATCGACTCTCTCGTCTGTTACCCAAACTTCCCAGGTCCTCCAAGCTTACCAAGATGACCTCGACAACGAAATCGAGGCTCTCGAGGACGAGCAAATCCAATTGAATGCAGAATGTCTCCAGCGTATGGAGGGATCGAAAGCCGAGTTGGCCGAGCTCTTCGAGCGGATCGAGAGCGTCCGCGAGCGAGCCTTGGAGACGGAACGAAACATCACCGAGATGACGGCCGATATTAAACAGTTGGATAACACGAAGAAGAACTTGACGCTGTCAATGACCGCGCTGAAGCGTCTACAGATGCTGACGACCGCCTACGAACAGCTGCGAGCCATGAGTAAGACGAGACAATACCGAGAATGTGCGCAGCTGCTGCAAGCGGTGATCCAGCTGATGGCGCATTTCAAGTCCTATCGCTCGATTGACCAGATCGCGGCACTGAGCAGAAATGTGGCTGATCTGCAGAGGGAGCTGCTGGAACAAGTATGCGAGGATTTCGAAATCACTTTTACCAAGGAAGAGGTTGCACAGAAGCGAGGCCTCCTCCACGAGTCGTGCCTCGTGGTGGATGCTCTAGGCGATTCGGCCCGCTCCAGGTTGACCACTTGGTACTGCAACACCCAACTCCGCCAGTACCGGCATATCTTCAAGGGCGATCAGGAGGCTGGGTCATTGGACAATATTGACCGCAGATACGCATGGTTCAAGAAGACCCTAAAGATCTACGACGAAGAGCATGCCGCGATATTCCCGCCGCATTGGCGAGTCAACGAGATCCTCGCTAACGTCTTTGCCGAAGGCACCCGGGACGACTACAAAGGCATTCTGTCACGCTCCACCCGCAATGGACAAACGATCGACGTTAAGCTACTACTGTCGTGTTTGCAGCAAACCCTCGACTTCGAGCACAGCCTGGAGAAGCGGTTCAACCAGAACTCTAGAGCCTCCATCGATACCATGGCCTCGGCGAGTGAGACCCCGATCTTTGGCCAGCCAATCTCCGACGCCTTTGAACCGTATCTGAGCCTGTGGGTTGAAGCCCAAGACAAAGAACTGGCTGGTTTGTTGCCGCAGTACAGACAGCGACCTCCCAGAAATTCCGAGGAAGATTTCTCCCCACAGCAAGTCATTACCTCGTCGACCGAACTCTTCAACTTCTACCGGCTGTCTCTCGCACAGTGTGCAAAGCTCTCTACCGGGCAGCCCTTGCTGGACCTGACGAAGGTCTTCGCGCGATATCTCGACCAGTACGCGCAGCAAGTACTGCTATTCTACATCTCAGAAAAGCCAACGGGTGGGACACCGTCTAGAATACCTACGGTCGAAGATGTTATCTCGGTGCTCAATACCGCCGACTACTGCTTCAATACGTCCAACTCTCTGGAAGAGAAGATTAAAAGTCGCATAGATGAGTCACTAAAAGAGAAGGTCGACCTGCAAAGTCAAGCGGACGCTTTTATGGGTATCGCGAGTGCGGCAGTCCGGGGTTTGGTCCGTAGGGTTGAGGTTGACCTGGAGCCCAGCTGGCGAGAGATGCGAAACATGACTTGGTCGAAGATCGACATTGGCGAGAATCAAAGCGCTTACATTGCCGGTCTGCAAAATCGCATCAAAGACCGGTCAAGCGAGATACTAGGGATGCTCCACAAGCAACAGTACGCTCGAGCTTTTGCGGACAACTTAGTTGAGCTTCTCGCGTCGACGTACCTTACGAACATTGCCCAGTGCAAGCCCATCTCAGAGGGCGGAGCAGAGCAAATGTTGCTCGACACTCACGAAATACGAAACACACTGAGCCGCCTACTCCCAGGCACCCCACCACCCCTGTTCCTGAAACGTGTGACTGCTGCGTTTGCAAAGATTGAACCATTGTTGAAGACTCTGCAAGTACGCCCTTCACCTCCGGAAGCGCTCGTACAGGCATACTTAATCCACATCGCAGACCTGTCGGAAGTCAATTTCCGCAAGGTCCTCGAACTCAAAGGGATTCGCACGAAACCGGAACAAGGTCAGCTGGTTGAGCTATATCAAATGCACAAGTTCAGTCCACGGTATAAAGACTCACTTGTGGAGAAGTCGCCTGTTCTGACACCTCTGACACTTGGACCGCCAACATCAGGTACAGGCACGGCAGTGACTCCTGCCGCTGCGCTTCACAACCTTTCCGCGCTAGGGAATTCTGCCGCTGCGTCCTTGAGCACGGCAAATTTGCCCGCGAACATGAAGTTTGACGCGTCAGGCCTCGGTAGTGCGATCATTGACCGTTTCAGCAGTCCCGGTCTCGGGACACCACGGGACGGAGCCACGAGCCCCACGTTTGGAAGTGGTGTAGCATCTGGCAATATGACGGGAGATGCTGTCTTTTCTGGCGCAGAGGCCGGAGCGAAGTTGAACGAAAATCTGAAGAACATAGGCAAATTCTTCAAACGGGACTTGGGCGGGTTTGGAGGCATCGGTCGCTTTGGTAGTAGTAAAACGACCAGCCCTGCTCCCTCCGAAGATCGAGCCAACGCCCGATAGGGTATGGCACTTAGATTACAAGAACATGAACTTGTCTACGGCGTGGTACTGCCATCCTCTTGTGAGGTTCGCTGGCGATGCCGCATTAAAAGCGTTTGTCAAACACGGACCAATCATCACACCAGGCAACAAAGAGGCGCAGCCGAGAACGGACTAGCTGTGGAATGTTCTGCATCGAGGTTAGCGTATATCACGTGGTGCTGCCTGACCCGTCTTTGGAGTCGAGTTCCGCCTACGACGACAAAGTTCTTTTTGTTCCTGACAACTTCACTGTCAGCTTCCCTTTGTCTTCCAATCTATTCTCAGCTGTTTCCATTGTGACCTCACCAGTCTTCACTTCTCATACTAACACTGCGACTTCGGTCTCGCTGCGACAATTCACCATTTCCAATGTCGTGACTATCGTCGACATACCCTAGTCACTCTTCACGCCACATACGAAATCTTGGAGACCAGAGACACGACCACTTTCGGAACCTCGAGTACATCATTCGCATCATCCACATCACCTGCATTGACGACATTGGGCAGACCCGTGACAACTGCATGGTCACCCTTTAAAATCTGGCAGAACATTAGTCACAGAAGCAATCACTCATTTCTTGGCGCCTTAAAGGGCTGCGCGACAGATCTTGAGCCCTGCAGAACACGACATCTACATCATTTTCCGCCAGCGTTATAAAACTGAAGTTACCCATTTGTAACGTCCCGGGTTGAGGCATCTACGATGGCATTCGGAAGGGGCGGGTACCGTGGAGGGGGCCACCATGGGGGCGGACGTGGGCGAGGAGGCGGCGGTCGGGGAGAAGGACACCATGCTGGCAATTCCACGATAGAGTTGGTTGTCAAGGGGTGGACAAACTCGACAATACCGCCCCGTGATCAGAAATCTGCGGTGCTAGGCTTTCTCAAAAGCAAGTCAGGCTGTCAGATCATATCAGACAGAGTGGTCAAAGTGCATATCCTCTTTATCGAAATATGGGAAAGGGACAAGGATCGATTCTACCAGTTGGATGGCAACAGTTGGAGCGGAACCACAATCAAAATTGAGGAGTCACGACAGCGAAGCGACATCGGTAACAAAATTACACCGAGTGGTCCTCGCGCCGATGGAAACAGTCATTACAAGCAGCACAACAACAGCGGTTTCGGCTCACACATCAACGGACACAACGATGACTTATTCGCGGTTGAGGTGGCGGACAAAATAGCCGCCGTCATTCGCAGCTGCTACACAGAAGCCGACAAACACCTCAACCTAACCAACCTCGCCAACCATAGTGGAATTCAACAAATCCCCGATATACAGAACGCAACAGATGGCGCCAAGGTCTGGGAAGCGATCTTTACCATCTGCAAAACGAAAGTCTGGCCGAACAACCATCAACGAAACATAAGTGTGCATTTAATCAGTCTCAGACAGAATGAGATCACCAACGTTACAGTCATCGAGGCCCTGTCGCGGTTCTTTCCTCGCATAACGGGACTCGACTTGGGCGACAATAAACTGGAGAACATGAACAGTTTGATCGCGTTCAGCGACAAGTTTCGGGAACTACAGCACATAATCCTCGACGGTAATCCTGTATGTTACCTGCCTGACACAGTACCGACTTTGCGACAGTGGTACCCGAAGCTCAAGCAGGTCAACAACACCCCAGTCGAGACGATTCAAGGTCCGATACCATTTCCGGTGGGGCAGCCAGTACCAGCAGTAGGGATAGGGGTAGGGGTAGGGGTAGGACAAACTCCCTTCCGGCCGGATGACCGATACAAGGATGTGCCCGCAGCACAGATCCCAGTTGATCCTACTCGGCCGTGGCATCCGGAGATACCAGTGGACTCTCTCTTTGCAGTCAAGACACCGGACAAGCCTCAAGACGTGTGGGAACGCGAGGTGCTGGGACTCAGATTCAGCATCCAGACGAAGCTGAACATGGCTTCGACGGAAGAATGTCTGAAAGCAAATCACTGGGACTACGACAAGGCACTTGCCAATTTCAACGAAATCAACTCGAAAAATCAAATTCCTCGTGACAGGTTTTTGCCAGTATAGGCTAGCTTGATGGTTATCAGCGAGGACAGGGTGACCATGGACGGGAGTGGATACTGAAGTGTATTATGTGGTATGCAAAAGTGGCATTTTGAGCGCGGCGCTCTCTTGATTAGGCATTATTGTGATAGCGACTCGGCCTCTATGGGATGACCTGGCCCAAGGGAGACAGGCAGGGAAACGGCAAATCCGAATGTCATGGTTTATCTGCAAGACACTTCCCTCGTATGCTGATATATTTCTGCCGAGCATGTGAAAGAATCCAACTCGGGCTGACCGGGGTGTGGACGGCCTTGCCACCCGTGCTTAAGGTACCTTGCTCTCATCTTTTGGTAGAACTCCAATGATGATAAAGAACGTGGTTCATACCACTCTTCCACACCACGGCTATGGGTCTACGATGGCTCGCTGTCCAGATACACTTTGGTTGCGAGAACTTCGCATGTGACAGCGATGGACGTCATGGCGGAGCGGCCAGTCTGGCGGGCGTGGCATCTCAACCATTCCGGAGAATCCGTTCCATATCGACTCCCAGGGACCCGACGCGTACCTGCGTCGATTGTCCTCTCGGCCCAACTGATATTTTCATACTTGTGTCCCTGCTCCCAGCTTTTCCTGCAATATGGATGATCCTTTCTATATCCTTCATGGAGCACGACGTGAAGCCGCTACGCGTTTGACCCCTCACACCGCCTCTCAGTACTGACTCTTGCATTGCTCTGCACTATGCTTTGGAGTTCGAATAAAGGAGACGCGTCTACCACTCATGACGAGGAAGATGTTGAGAAGTCCGGCGACGATGTTCCACAGGAAATTGTGCTGGCGCAGCCGCAACAGGGACGGACTCTGCTGCCTGCGCCAGCCGCTGCAATCATAAGCGGAGTCACCGGACTCACTTCGTTCTACGTGCGCGGTGCTACGAAAGTCGGAGGATGGGGTCTCTACGCTGGCAGGGAAGCTACTCTGAAAACCTTGTCCGTCAGTCGAAGCGCATTGGAATCTATTCTCATCGCTGCGGGGAGGGATGTCTCTGCCCGAAGCAATGGCGAGCTGGGACGCGCTGAGGCCGAGAACTTGTTGGAGAGGAGCGTACGTCTGACCACCCAAGGTGTTGAGAATACTGAGCTGACCACACTGACAGATCTCTGCTTTGCACTCGACCATCTCAACCACTTCCTTCGTTGCCTCAACAGGATTTTACCTGACGGAAGCCTTCATGAACTCGATATCCGGCATCTCCATTCAAGGTCTGGCCACACTCAACGCCATCCTCGGCTCCACCGAGTCCTCTCGGGCCGTTGCCGCCATCATCACGCTGATCCGAGACGAGCTTAACAAGCCTGAAGTTGGTGGCAGTGGGGAAGTGGTCACATATTTGGATCTCATCATCGGGACTATTGGTTTTGTTCTCCTGCAAAGATGGGGCAGGCGCAAGACAGAGCTCGACTTTCGGGATGCCGGTGGTGAAGAGACGATCTGGGATGCTGTCATTGACGACAAGGGTTTCAGAGCCGACGTGGTGGGTACAAGAAGGAAGGGCATGATCAGCCTCAATACCAACGTATGCGGACCGGCCATGACGTTCGCCTCTCCCGACGATGAAGATGAATTCGAAGCCCTGGAACGGGGCACCCTCTACGATGCTCAGACGGTCGCGCTGTCCCCAGAAGATCACACCAAGCTGTCCGACGAGGAAATTCAAGAAAGGATCAGGAGTCAGTTGCCCACTGGTGCTCGGGCCGTCATTACGTCGGAAACCATCACGGCGAAGACGATCAAGGTCGATATCTACGATGGTCACACCGCTCACATCGATCCCCCGCCTGGGACCGTCATGGTAGCTGAAAGGTTGAACCATGAAAGCTCGGGCAACGGCATGCAAGGCGTGCCCCATCAAACCGTCATCTTTCGCACAGCTTTGAAGAGATCGAGCAGTGCAGAGATGCCTTCACCAGCTGATCAATTGCGACTGACAGCCAATCAAGGGTCCCCTCCTGATCACCCCGATGTCGAGGACATGCTGGAGATGAGAAGCGCACCAAAGCGGATCTCCATCGTCGACGAACCCGTTCAGATAGAACCAGCAATGTTTTCCGGCTCCGAGCGAGAGGAGGAAGCCATTGAGTCCTCTTCACCTCCGACATCATCACCTCCAAAGTCCAGTGGACCCGTCGCGAATCAGAAGAAGAGCCGTCGACCGGTTCTCCCTGCGGGCAAATCGTCGTCAAATACCGGCGCCACCAGTCGGATACCCTTGATGAAGCCCAAGAAAGACAAGACTTCGCTGGGTGCAAAAAACGACAAAGGTGGTGTGCTGAAGAAAGCACTGAAGACACTTAGCCCCAGTCAATCTTCAGCGGCGGTCAAGGATATTCAACGAACGCCCTCGAAGCCGCAGAAACAACTACCGTCTGTGCCGGTCCAGGCCTCCAGGTCTCGGGCGCCATCGACTACTCGTGGAGACTCTACACCTCACCGAGCTTTCGCTTCGTTGGGCCATACCCCTTTGACCAGTCCAAGTCTACATCGTGCAGCAGAATCGTCCACAAGTTACTTTGCTGTACAGCACAGAAGAAGAGACTCGATTGTATCACAGACCACCGAGACATTTTCGGTACATTCACACGACAGCCGGCCGGGCTCACCCACGTTTACCAGGACTCGAACCCGAGTAGTGAACGGCTTGACGCCAACAAGATCAGAGCTGGGTATGGCTCTGGACGAAACGGAATCAAGGCTCGACCCGAGCACCGGGACGGTCCATCACCGGCGGTCTCGTTCTTTCGTGCCCAGTCTTTATTCGATGGCCACCAAAGATTCCAAGGAGGCTATCCTGCTCGCGCCAAAGACACCTTTGCCGCGTAAATCCATCTATGAAGACCACAGCATATTGGCTTCCCTCATCAACGACGGCAAGGTGCCTGGGATATTTCCCGACCGCCATCTGGTAAAGACAGTTCGACGATTCGCACGGTTTGCATCGGCCTCCTATGGCTCGAACTTCCTGAGGATAATGGGGCTTACTACGTCCGAAGACGACCTCAGCAAATCCACTGAATTGATGACTCTGAATGTACATCATGAACATAGCTCCTTCTCGTCCCATACTGGTTTACCTCCGGACACAATCCTACTGTCGTCCTTTTATGACCCCAAAGGAGTTACGGGCAACACCGACTGGTCGCCGTCGGCTATATCTCCACTGATCCATTTTATCTCGATCGACGACGATTCCAAAGCAGTTGTTTTGACTTGTCGCGGAACACTTGGCTTCGAGGATGTTCTCACGGACATGACATGCGACTATGATGATCTCCTCTGGCAAGGCCGGCGCTACAAAGTACATAAAGGCATCCACGCCTCCGCGCGGCGCCTCCTAGGCGGTAGTGGAAGCCGCATCCTTGCCACCATCCGCGCAACGTTGGAGCAGTATCCCGACTACGGCCTCGTTCTCTGCGGACACTCCCTTGGTGGCGCAGTCGCCGCTATTCTCGCCATTCTCATCGCCGAGCCATCCGGTGACGGCTCCAAAACCGCGTTCATCACGGGCAACAAACCGAAACTGCTCACCCACCAGCCCGCGAATGGGCCCTATACATCCTACATCCCGCCTATAACCCTCCCTGCTGGCCGGCCCATCCACGTCTACGCCTACGGCACACCCGCGTGCATGTCCGAACTCCTCCGCTCCGCCACCTGCGGCCTGATAACCACCATCGTCAACCACGCAGATATTGTGCCGTGTCTGTCCTTGGGCATCCTCCACGACTTTAGGACGGTAGCACTGCACCTCAAGCACGATACATCCGACGCACTCGGCGCTCTCAAGACACGCGTGTGGAACCGCCTCACCAACGCCGTCAAGTCGGCATTCTACAACAATCCCCAGGGCCCGCCTCCGCCGGAGAACATGGCAGGGGACGGCCTCGGCGAGGATACCTGGGCATGGGCCGCGCTGAAGACCCTGCGCGCCGCGATGGTCAACGACAAACTCGTCCCACCGGGCGAGATCTTCGTGGTTGAAACGACACGCGTGTTTGACCGGCTGGATCCTGACGTTGCGAGAGAGGCGGTCTTTGGACCGGACGATTCGAGGGATGATCGCACGGAGAAACTCTACCGCGCTCTCGGACGGCCTGCCACACGAGTGAGGATGACGTGGGTCAGGGATGTGGAGAGGAGGTTTGGAGAGCTGAGGTTCGGGAGGGATATGTTTGGCGACCACAGTCCGGGTCGGTACGAGGCGGCTCTGGCGGCGTTGGAGAAGGGCATCTGTGAAGATTGAGGGAGCGGCCATTGGGTTGGCGGGAGAGAGGATGAAGGCCACTCAGGAATGACTCTGACGATGAAACGACATGAGGATGCACAGGCCAGTATGGTTGATACACGCACAGATTCTAATCGTCAATTCTCCTACTTCAGTACGGAGTGCTCTGTACAGATGATATACCTTTCTTTCGTCCTCATGCAAACATAGCATCGCATGCTGCACCGGTGCCTAGGTACCTTGGGTATCTTTTGGCAGGATCCGGAATAGGACAACGCCATATGCAGTCCACAGTACTTCATAGGGTAATAGCAGGCGGACCTGAGATCTTACAGGGCAGTCACTAAGTAAGAGATGTGAGAGAATCTGAGAGAATCTAGTGTAGTGTAGTTCAGGGCGATCCATCAGTCTGCTAGGAAGGCAGGCAGGGTAACAGTCCTAATTACAGAACTGTGATGTGAGTCTCACACTTTTATAAGACTGCGACGGAATTTAGCCCTCCGTTTTTTGTCTACCTATGATTTGAGTCTCACACTTTTACAAGACTGCGACATGATTGACACCTCCGTTTTTCATTCAGCTAGAAAATAAGTCTAGCACTTTGATAAGACTGCGATAGAATTTAGCACTCCGTTTTTGGTGTAGCTGCGATAAGAACCGTTGCACTTTTACAAGACTGCGATGTTACTAGGCCCTCCGTTTTTTGTATAACTGCGAAATGAGTCTCGCACTTCTATAGAACTGCGATATGAGCCTTGCACCTTTATACAACTGCGATATGTGTCTCACGCTTTTATAGATCTGCGATGAAAGTGTTGTACTTCTGCGGAAGTGTAATGCGAGTTTTGCACCTTTATGGAACTGCAACGCGAGTCTTGTACCTCTGTAGGATTGCGATGGGGGTGTCACACTCTTGCAGAACGGCAACATGAACAATGGGGCAATAAGTCCACTGAGAACCTGTTGCGTCGCTGGTCACTCATTCCAGGAAGACACTGTCTGAGCCGGATTTGCTTGCTGGCGTGAATCCTTGAGGAGTCACTACTCTCCCCAGCATAGGGAGCTCGACCATGCTTGCTGTTGCTGCTTGCTGGGCTTGGTGTTGCTGCTTACTGCTGCTGCCACTTGTTGCTGCTTGCTGCGAGAACAGGCGATGTCGTTGGATTGTCTTGCCGTGCTCTGTCTGTGCTTTTGATTGTCCCTTCTGGATCATGGTCTTTGCGTGGAAGATAGTGCTGTCAAACGCCACACAGATGGACGCTAGGTACTGGCTTCTTGGTCAGCGGTGTGTGTACATTCTCCCATAAATGATGGTGGTCATCCAACTTCAACGGTTCTCACTTTTCATGTCTTCTGCAGTTCTCGTGTTCCATATCTTCTTCAGTGCTCGTGTTCAATCATGACGAGCCATTGCTCGATATCCTCCATGGATGCGGCAGGCTGGCATTGTTCACACTATGCAAGCTCCTCTTCATATCCGGTCTACTTCCTCATGACATTGCACGAGCCTCGTGACCTGAACAGTGGTTGCAGAAGTCAATAACCATTTCACGGACTTTTCCTCAACCAACACCACTCCAAACAAGCGGATCATGTCAACCCCAGAGACTGCGTTTGTCCGACCACATCAAAGTGACAATGACCTCTGACAGGGGATGTTGGAGGCTAATCATGTGCTCCTCGTTATCCCCGAGCATAACCTTGCATACAGCTCATTGTGGTGAAAGCTCTTGTCAGCCCCAGCCTCGACTTACCGCAGCAGCATGAAGTAGCTCCGACGCAACGCTCGTCCACGTGCAGCTTTCCTCCTTAATCACCAAGCCTTACAGGCTGGTGCTGGCATGCCCTCGCCGTCCAGAGTGATGATACCTCAAGGCTGAGCACGGTAACTCGCGGTTACTGTGCAAGGGGCACCGCCTCGTCAGCTGGGTACAGTCCACAGGGGCAGAGCACATGGGCAGCTGCTCGCAGTGACAACTGATCATGCTGCCTCTGTAGGAGATCCCAAATTCACGACATGTAAGTTGAGAGACCGACAATGGAGGTGGACATCAGTACTGACATGGTACAGATCGATCTCTGTGCTTCTGATCGGTACATCGACAAGATGCGTGCTTCTCCGCGATCAGCTCTTTCGCCTTCACCATTGTGCTCTTTGCTTTCCTCAAGGCCACAGATGCGTACGGCACCGCCAACGTCTGGCAATGGTGCAAGAACTCCGACGTGTATTGTGCTACCGTCCAGGGCTGTGCTCCCGGAACTGCCCCAGGCCAGTGTCCGGGCGTCCAATGGCACAAGCTAGACCATGGCGGTAACATCACGGTCAAGTTCGACGATAGACCGTCAGGCACCGGCATTACCATTATGTAAGTCCACCTTTGCGAATGCCGACGTACAGTAGCACAGGCTAACAGGCGTTGCCAGGTGCACCCGAGACCTCAACGCCTCTCCAATCCGCGTGACCCAGCTGGAATGGACATGGGAGCAGGGCCAAGGCTTGGTCTACTTTGACGTCAGTAATGTTGCCGGCACTCCTTTTGTCGACGAGGGCTTCCTGCTGCATTCCTTTGACGCCAGGGACCTGGACAAGACCAAGAACCGCTGCTTCGACGCTTGGTGTGACAAGAACGACGCGTCGTGCAACGGGGTATATGAGGTTTGGAACGACGACGAGAAGGCCATGAGGTCTTGCTATGACGACGCCATTCTGGGGTTGCAGTTGTGTCACTGATGGTCCGGCCATCGCGAGGCTATCAAGACAGATCTTCTGGTTTGGACGGGGTGTCCTAGAGAGGACAGATGTATTGGATAAATGCGGGCAGAACCCGGATCCGGAAGCATGCGTGCATTGGAGATGGCCTCATGCAAGATGTATGATTTCTAGCACAGTAAACCAGCTTAAAGATCTCGGGACTTCGAACTCTGCAGCTCTGAGCCAATCAACAGAGCACCCATCCAATCTCACATCTGAAAATGAGTAAAAGGAGACACCCGCCATGACGTTGTCAACGGCGTCAAGGACCGGTAGGACGGTCAGCACATACATGTTGAAGGGGGCCGTGGGAGTCATAGTGGCGTGGCAGCGAGGATCTAGTCTTGGAGCAGACGACAAATGTGGGAAGTGGAAGAAGAGACGAAGCGATGACTCTTCATTTTGTCGTCATTGATTGGATGAGGGGCTGAGCCAAAAGTCGCCTGCACGATTACACAATTTCGTCCTGCGGCCACCACGGCGTCCAGACTTTTTGCGGAAGGACTTTGTATGATTCACACCTGCCTTTACACTCTCGCGAGTACTAGCTATCGTAAATACCACTCGGAACAAATATAAGAGCTTGGAAGACCTACGACCTGACCGTAGTGTTTCTACACCAACCGTCTTCGCCGGCCGGATCACGCACGCGCAAAGAATCATTCATTCAGCTTCACCCCGCCTTCCTTCGGCGCACTCGTTCACCTGTAGAACAGAAGTATCACACCGACCGGGCCACCATGGCTGTCAGAGCACAGGTACGCGCGCCGAGTCACTTTCCCTCGGGCTCAGGACCGGAGCAGACCAGAGCAGAGCAGAGCAGCACACAACGCTGACCTGCGCATAATATGTAGTTCGAAAACTCCAACGAGGTGGGCGTCTTCGCCAATCTCACAAACTCATACTGCCTCGTCGCCATTGGCGCCTCCGAGAACTTCTACTCCATCTTCGAATCCGAACTTGCAGACCTAATACCCATCGCGAGATGTACCATTGCTGGTACGCGGATCGTCGGCCGCTTGACGTCCGGAAACAAGAACGGTCTGCTGGTTCCGACTTCAACGACGGATCAAGAGCTACTACACCTGAGAAACACGCTGCCGGACGGAGTCAAGGTCGAGAGGATTGAGGAGCGATTATCCGCGCTGGGGAATGTGGTTTGTTCGAGTATGGATTCCAGGTCCTTCTCATTCGTTCCTCTCCACCACACAAACTTAACTTAACTTCGCGGACGTGGTACTGACTGATGATGACCTGCGCAGACGACCATGTCGCTCTAGTCCACCCGGACCTCGAACGCGAAACCGAAGAGATCATCGCAGACACCCTCGGCGTCGAGGTATTCCGCCAAACCATCGCAGGCAATGTCCTGACCGGCTCGTACATGGCCCTCTCAAACGCCGGTGGCATCGTGCACCCCAAGACGTCTGTCCAAGACCAAGACGAATTGTCCTCCTTATTACAAGTGCCTCTCGTGGCTGGGAGTGTCAACCGCGGGAGTCCTGTCGTGGGCGCCGGCATGGTCGTGAATGACTGGCTTGCCGTGACGGGCATGGACACCACGGCGACCGAGCTGAGTGTCATCGAGAGCGTCTTTAGGCTCGGGGAGGGCGGTCCAGGTGGCCTGGATGCCAAGATGAATGCCAACAAGGAGAGTATCGTCGAGAGTTTCTACTGAGCAAGAGCAGGAGCAATCAGGCAGGGCTGTCCGTCCGGGAATTCGTGCCCATCGAAAACATCATCGATTCACAATCTGGCAAGACGGTACCCCAACGGAAGGTAACGCGCCCTGCTTCTCAGCGATCCTGGAACATCCACCATCGACAGATGCCGCCATTCTTACGATCTTCACATCCCCATCCCGTCTGCGAGTACGGAATAGCCCACCGAGTCTTAGGCTGTGGGATGCGCTGGGTTGACAAAAGTTTTGCTTCCGCATGTGGCGCAAGTGGTGCGGCAGAGACACAGTCTTATTGGAAGACGGTATCGCCCAGGGAGCGCTGAGAGAGTACTGTGTAACGGCAGAGGGGGATCGGCATGTTCAGGACCTCCCAGCAGAGGCACCGCTCCATATCTCGACATCGGCCAACCCTTTTATTCGGTGTCTCGTCAAGGCCAGCGTGTCTGGCGATTCTCCTCAGGAAGGCTCCGACTCGGAGAGCAAGTCTGCGTCACGCAGCTCATTATCTGAATAACTATCTATGATGAGATTGGACGGCAAGTTGATTTTCCGCGCATCTTTCCAGGATCTTAAGATGCAGAGCTTCGGCTTTCGATCGTGAGATTGCCTGTTACAAGAATCCTGTTCCATGCTATCTGCGCCACAGCTCTGCTCGTACTTGCGAGCTGGACATGTGCAAGCGCCAATCCAAGGCTTGTCTGTCGAATGCAAATGCTCCAGCCATGCACTGCTAGGCCTCGTCGTACCATCTCACCTGCCCTTTGCAGGCGCACGTCCAGGCATAGCCGCTTTGAGAAATTCTGAGCATGTGTCGAGGTCGTAATCCGCAGCCTCCCAAGAGTAGCTCCAGCTTGCTCTCGCCGAGCTCACTTCCCCGGCTGTACACAAAATGGCCGAGAGAGAGAGCGCGGTCCAAGACTTTCCTCCCTCTGCAGTCTCGTAGACTGAAAGTGTGAAGCACTAGAAGCAACGTTCACCTTGTCATTGATCCGTCCTGGTCTGGTCAACAGGCTGATCCTCCACCATCGGGTTCCTCGTCTCTCCCTCCCTCTCCAACACATTGCCATTCTTCATCACCACGTCGCCCACATCCTCTGCTGCCTCGTCATCTTCGGCCTGGGCTTGAGCCAAAACATCGGCCATACTCTTTCCCTTAAAATTCGTATCGGCGAAGATATCTGTCTCCATGTCGACGTCTTGACTCTCGCGAGGTGTACTGGCTGGCGGTGTTTCAATTGGCGGTGCAGGCGGTGGTGGCGGCGGAGGAGGTGTGTCGAGCTCCATATTCAGGCGCTTGATCGGCGACCCAGCGGGCTCTGGCCCATCGTCGTCACCGCCCACTGCGGCGTCATGTTCTTGCGCATCGCGTTTCCGCTTCAACGTACCCGTGCCGTTGGCCTCGGATGGCGAATGAACACTCGGAGTGTCATCCAGCTCATTGTCCGACATCTTGATGTCTTCGTCTTCGTCTGCTTCAGGGGCTGAGGCTGCTGCTGTCTCACCGTCCAGCTTGGGCTTCTTGTCCTTCTCCCTCGTGGCTTTCTCTGCCTCGTGCTTCTTGTGTTTTTGGTATGCCTTTTCAAAGAACTGTTTGCAAAAGTCCTTGACCTTCTTTACCTGTCGGTCTTCGATCTTCGTAGGGTCTTTGACCCGGCCTGCCTTGTAGTCCGAGGCGACAAGCTTCTTGGCTATTTCTTTCGCGAAACGCTTGAGGTCATCCCGAGGGATTTTGTTCTTGTATTTGTTCATGACGTGCGATATATGGGGGAAGAGCTGAAGCATATTAGTTGCGACCACCGAAGCTCTGAAAGGGGGAGACATTGCTTACAGTGTTCTCGTACAGCTTCTTTTGCTTTTCTTCGTCGTAAGATTTCCACTTCTCTTCCTTCTTGGGCTTGCTAGGCTCTGGCGTGTCGGGTGTGGAGTTCTTGGTTTCTTTGCCGCGCGACGTGACGATGTTGTCGATGATACTTTTGAGTACGTCTTGTTCCGATGGCTGTTTAGGCGGCGGAGGGGGGTCATCTGCTGGTTTTGACGGTCTGGTCCACGTCGTCTGTCCCGATGAAGAATAGAAATATGTTCTACCTTTGTCTTGAGCCGCAAACCAGCCTCGTGGCAATGGTGGGGGACCGCGCTGAAAGGGCAATGGAGGACGCGGAAAGAAATTTGCTCCGGGTCTTTGCAGAGATCGAGGACCGGCTGGCGCGTTGAGCGATGCTGGTCCTCTTGGAGGAGACTTTGATCTTGACCTTGAGCGCTTCCTTTGCTGGGCAGATTCACGACGCTCGAATGGTGCTGGCTCTGTCTTTACAGAGGTTGCTACGTCTTCCTTCTTCTTTCGCGGTATTCTGTAGGCAAGCTCAAGCTGGGACCAAGCATCAAATAATGATGACGCCTGAGTGGCCACCCTGTCGTCTTCGTGGTCGACCAAAGACTGCAGTGTCTTGTCTATCTTTGCATCGACAATCTTGTTCCTCGTCAACCGTGGTAGTCGGTCAAGGATATCAAGAATCTGGAGAATGATGTTCTCATCGTCACGCCATGCCGACAGTTGCGAATTAAGGATCTGGTAGCCGTGAAACCTGACAACCCGATGCCATGCTTGGTCGTCATCGCAGCGTTGAATGCGCTGCAAGAGTTTCACAGCGATCCATTTCTCTTTGCACTGCATGAGTGCAGCCATCACCTTCGTCACGCCTTCGGCGTCAAGCGATTTGGCTTCGAGACTGTCGACATAGTCTTCATCATCTTCGGCCGTCTTCTTCTTCTTCGGCCGTTTAGCGACCATCGTATCCCAGGCTTCATCTTCGTCGATGCCCAAGGCCTCAATCGTCGCAGCGGACAGTTTGGTGGCGCGTTCGGTTTGTGTCTTGCCTCCGATGAAGCCTGTACAGTTTGACTCCCCACAGTAGCACGGCTGCGGGTTGGCGCCGTATCTGTCAACGTTGTAGTTGAAGACGAGTTCCTCGCCGGCTTTGATGTAGCGCTCGGCAAAAATGCCCATACGAAGCTTATCGCCCACTACCCACTTGTCGACATAGCAGTTGGGGTTGCAAGAGTGATTGCAGAAGCGACCCAGGTTTCCTTTCTTGGTAGCATCAATAAACTCACCCTTGCTCAGAGACATGAAATAGAAATGCTTGATGCCTTCTTCATCATATTGTCTCATCCGTTTTCGAAAGGTGCCTTCCGGGATGGTCTCGCCAATGTACTCGAAGATAAAATCATGCGGCCGCAGATCGACGTTGATACGTAGACCGTAGCCTTTCTTTTCAGTTTTGATGACCGATACATCAGCGTACAGGCGTCGAAGGAATCGTTGATTCTGACAATCAGTTCCGCAACTACAGTCATTGGCACATTCCATTTTACAAGCTCGATTGATGCAGTCGGAGTCGTCGCCACAGGCGAGGTTCTGCTTGGTGGCCGCATCTAGACATGATGGTCAGCGCAGAGGATCATGGACGGCAAGACAGTGCAAACTGACCCCATTCTTCGCTGCAGTCGCAGTCGAGAGCATGTTCACTGAAGCCGAGGTATTTATTTTGGTAAGTGCAAGCATCAAGAACTGTAAAAGTAGAAGTGGCTTCGTTTGTTGCATCCGGAAGATGGTCGAAGAGAGGAGCAACACGGGGTGGCAGCTTAGAGGCGGCGCGGGTGCCTTTGGCGGGCTTTGAGGGTGCTTTGGGTTCCGACTTGATGGGCGAGGTGGAGGTCGAGTGGTGACCATTTGCCCCGTCAGGCTCTTTCTTGGCAGTCGACGTGTCCCTATCTGCATCGAGAGGTCGATTTGAGGATGTCGACGCAGGGGATGAGCGCGATGATTTTAATCGCGCGGGTTTGAGAGATGGTGAATCCGAGGGGCTTGCCGAGTCTTCATGCTTGATGGCGGCTACGCGGGCGGTGCTGAGCTCGTGTGCAAGCTCACCATCCACCGACTCTTCGCGCTTGACCTCGACTGTCGCCCCATCATTTCCAGATGGCGCCGTCGAAGATTCTCTGCTGTGTTGGCCCATGTCCACGACGATTCAGCCGATTTCGCAACCCGCGGAGATGTTTGTGCTCTAGAATGAGGGCAGGTTGAATGCGTGCAGAGATTTCACCGACTTTAAGGTGCATCTAACTGAGACGCGGCAGTCAACCATCAAGCTCCAGCAGAATTGAAACCCCGCAGATCTTCCTCGGGAATGGATGCTCGATGAATTCGTACGGTATCCTGATGGCGCTGTGACGCTTATCGAGAATATTCTGACCGGCGCATGAGTTGAATCGAACAGCGAGGACGAGGGGCTCTTAATACATCACTGCCAAAACTTTCCAAGATGCGGAGAATCTATAGTAGTGAATGGCAGCAGCTGGATCTGCAGCGACTGCGAGCGATGTGTTGAGGCAAGAGCGACCGAACAGCGGTGAATGATGGACCTTCGAAACAGCGAGACAGACTGGTGGCGCCGTGCCTTCATGTCCATGCGCAAAGGCACGATATGTAACCAATGAACGGATTCCAGGACCAACCACGCTTGAGAACGGTCTGAGTGCGAATCCTGATCCGCCAGATGCAGACGAAAAAGAAAATGGAAGTCAAAACGGGGGCGCCCTGAAGCAACCTCAGATGAGGATCTGACCTGATATGGAGTGAAGGGATAGAAAAGGCTGAAGCTGATTCCTGAAGCCCTGCAGCTTATTCGGCCCATGCCAAGACCAAAGCCTCCGACATCCGCTTCCCAAAGACAAAGCGCACTGGCAGCTCGGCCGCTTGCTCAGGTCACGTCGCTGTCACACTCGCCAGTCATCACTGTCATGTGTCTCTTCCCTCGATTACTTCATACGGCTCTCCGGTGAGCCGTCCGACTGCTGAACGTCGGCCCTTCAAAATTGGCGGCTGCTGCACCCATAAAGCCTGCACTCCCGCCTGTCTAGCCATGTTCCCGACTCTGCCTAAATCTATGAATCCAGCTGTCCAAGTAACCAGGGGCTGAAAGGGGGCATGATCCAAGACAAAATGCGCAATGTAGGTCCGTCGCCCGTCGGGTCGTTGAGCGGCGTAGGGCGGGTGGTATGACAGTTGACGAAACGATATTCCATGGCTCGCAGATTTTTAGGCGCTTCCGTCGCCGCCTATCTCTGATGCTGGTGGCAATCGCTTTAACTATACTGTACCGTCAAAGCCAAGGGAAGCCCAAGCTTCCCCGCAGTCCAGATGCTCTGCAGAATGCGAGTCGCAACCACGGCAGCATTCCCAGAATCAGTTCGCTTCATCTTTTGATCGTGTTCGGCTTTTGCTCTTCACCAAATCCACGAAACCCATGAGGGAGGTTCTGGCTTGTCGTCCCGCATCTACTGCCTTACCTTTCCACATCGTGGAGTGCCTGCCGGGCGATTGTGGACTACCACCCGCGGGCTCTTCTACTTCGCTCCCAGCTCCCAGAGGTGGTGATGCAGAGGAGATTGGCCTGGAAGTATCCTCCTCTTTCGCTTTGGCGCGGTCTGCCTTTTCGGCTGCAATCCACTCCCGATGTTCTTGTCTTCTCCGTTCGTACTCCTCTCTGGCTGCTTGTCGAAGTGCGCGGCTGACCTCGGTTACCCGTGCTTTTCGAGTAGAAAACTGAGTATAGTCCTTGATTTGGTTTTTGGCTTCTTCGCCCTTAGCCGCCCATTTGCCTGCCAAACCACTGATAGCCATCAACCTCGCATCTACGCGTCTTGTCAGATAGACATTCGGCTCCTTCTGCTCCTCTTTCGCCCGAGCCATTATCCTCTCAATTTCGTCTCGGTAGGCGGTTTCGTAAATGTCCACATCCGCTGCGCCGGGGCTTTCGCTGACAATTGGTACGCCGTCACCACTGGGAATAAATGTGCTGTCGTCGTCCGTCATACTGCTGGTGCCAGAAAAAGTCGATGGGCCTATGAAGAGGTACAGCTTGTCTTCTAATGGGTCGTGGGCATGGCCCTTGTGGCCGGTGTCGTCAATGGTATATGCATGAGGTTTAAGTGATCGGAAAGGCGGTAATTTGTCCGGGTCGAGCTGCTCAATTTCTGCGATGGTCTCCATCCTCGACATCGCTTCATCTGCGGCAGTACTCGCGTGGCTCAAGGGAACCTTTCCTGATCCGCCTCCGTTCGATTCTTCGGCCTTCGTAGTGTCGTCTATGCTTAGAGTAGGTATTGGTCGTACTTTCAGTTTGTTCACGTCTTCGGAGATCCTATCTATTTGCTGTGACTCTTCTGAGCGCTCCTGGCCAAACACATTGAAGCTGTGCGATTTCAGAGGCAGCGGCGTGCCTTCTGTGGGCATGCTTGTGGGAGGTTGAGAAAAACGTGCACCTCCTTGCTCACCCAATATGGAGGTTATTGCACGGGACTTATCTTTCCCAATCAAAGCCTTGAATTTGTTGACGGCTTTCACCTACAGAGCATTCAGTGATCCACTCAGGTTATTTTAGGGGCATAGGACGCACGACCGTCATAAGATTTCTCATGTTGTCAGTGATCGCCGCATTCATCTCAGCTTCGGTCGGGGGTTCGACAAGGTCGGAGGTGTTTTCTTCTTCCGAGAGTAGCGTGTCTTCGCCCTTTTTCGTAACCCAGGGGTGTTCCTGAAGACAATCAGCATTTACCAGAATATCAATGAACAAGCGCTACCCTCAACTCCCGCATCTTGATACGTTTCTGAGGGTCTTTCTCGAGTATCCGTCTCATCAAATCCCGAAAGTCCTCATTTGGTTCTTCGTCTAAGTTGGGCTCTTCGGTCTTTATTGCCTCGTAGAGCGCGAAAATCTGGGTCTTCTCGAATGGAATCCGTCCAAACTTCAAACAGTACAACGTCACACCCATCGACCAGATGTCCGCTGCTCGCCCTGAGACATCGCCATGGCGAGCAACACAAAGTTCAGGCGGGAGAAATGCTGGACTCCCTGCAGATTTGGCAGTAAGCATTTCCGAATCTTTGGCGAACATTTCGGAAACACCAAAATCGACCACCTTGAGCACATCGTCCTCGGTGACCAGGCAGTTGTCGGGCTTGATATCACGGTGTACCACGCCTTGGGCGTGCAGATATTCGATTCCAAGAATCAGGTCCCGAAACCAGTACCTGCACACATGGTCCGGGTATGGATCTGCTCTCTCATCCAGGCCGACCTTCATAACGACGCCCTTCTTGCACATCTCCAAAACCATATACAGCGAGTCTTCTGACGGATCATCCAACACTTCAATGAGCGACACCAGATTCGGGTGGTTCAGTTTCTTCATGATAGCGATCTCTTCCTTGATGAGATTTATTGGACTTGATTTGGAGTCTCCATCGTTGCCAAACCCGCGGTGTAGCGGAGAGTTGAAACCTTGCAGGGCTCCACGGCGTCGCTGAGAGAGTGGTTTCCTGAGGATGTGTGACTGGGCTCGCTTGCGGAGTCGGGCTTTGGAGAACTCTTTGACGGCCTGTGTAGAACAGTGTAAGTGAACTTTCAGGAACCGTGCCCAATAATCGTACATATTCCTTGCCATACTGATCGATAGCCAAATGGACTGCCCCAAACGACCCACGGCCTATTTCTTGCTTGATAACATATTGATTGATACGATGTTCCGCAACTCCGTCATCCTTGCTGGTGACATATTCGGATCGTGCATTGAGGGATTCCTGCAAAGGTTTGATAAGACACTGCGCCGAAAGGGCTTCGAGTGTGATCTACCTTGACCTGCCTTGCAGAGGAGGGGGTGCGACGGTGGTGGCGCGATGGCGTACTATATTCAGGACTGGACCTGCAGAGGCGTTAGACAGAGACGCGTGGTCATCATCTCCCAAGGTCAAAAATCTTACAAGTGTTTGACTATCGGGGGCTTGGTGGGAGTGGAAGCGTTGGTGCTTTCGTCGCCGGGATTTCCATGTGACTGCACCAAATCGCGGGGCTGAGTGTTGCTCATGGGAAGGGGGACACCTTCCTCCGCCGACGTGGACGTAGGCGACGCAACGATATCCATGACGCACTCGACATTGAGCTGATGCCTTTGCCGTTGTGATGAAGAGATAAATATCGAGCTGGGGTGACCCTAGCTCTGGATGCTATCGCCGGCACCGATTGACGCTGAGCCGCGAAGGGTCGACGATCGCGCATGTCAGACTCGAGCACGAGCTCCCCGCCGCACCTGCCATTCCTGACTCTCTCCGGTGTAGGACTGTCTCATGGTCATCCCAAGATCTTGTTACTCAAGGTCATGATAAAAACAACTGAGAGTCAAGAAACTGGGCTTCGGAAGGGAGTCGATCAATCATCATCATCGATCGTCTCTCCGGTCATTGATCGCATAGTCGGCTTCCAGATGCGTGTGTGTTGACCGGTTTTCCTCGACAACACAGGCTCCGTCGAGCGAGATGGTGGTCTATTCTTTCTACATATTCGACAGACATGGTAAGGATTTTGTGCTGTTCATTATACATGTCTCGCCCAGTTCTGATCCATGCAGCCGAGTGCATCTATAGGAGACGATGGCTGCCTCCGTCCATCTCCACTACCGGCAAAACCTCAAGACCGTCTTCACAGGCATATGTCAACGGCGCTTCTCAACCACGTGCTGCGCTGAGCGCGGATGATGATGCAAAACTCATCTTTGGCACCGTATTCTCGTTGCGGAACATGGTGCGGAAGCTGGGAGGTGAAGATGATAGGTCGCTCAGTCAGTCATGGTGTCGAGGCTGTTGCTGACTGGTAATTCCAGCTTTCTCTCCTATCGAACGTCTCAATACAAACTTCACTACTACGAGACACCTACCAATACCAAGTTCGTCATGCTCACGGACACCAAGTCGGGATCCATGCGGATAGCGTTGCAGCAAATCTACGTCAATTGCTATGTCGAATATGTGGTCAAGAATCCGTTGTCGCCTGTGGAACATCCAGGTGGTGTCGGCGTGAATAACGAGCTGTTCGAAGCCAGTCTGGAACAATTCGTGGTATGCTCGCTTCCAGGGGACTCTATGGTGCCGAATTTAACACGACAACTAGGATCGAGTGCTCAACGCCTCCTGAGGCATTCGGAGTCGAAAGTTGGCTCTAGATGCGGAGTACCTAATTACGGATCCATGTTCTCAGTCCGCATGGACCGCGAGAGATCAGCTGTGTGGTCTAGGCTCTCTTCTGACCTGCTGACCATACCTCATCTCCTAGAACGCCGCGGTACCAAGATCAGCGTCTAGTACGGTCCGAAGCGGAACCGTCGAGCTCCTGGAACGCTGCCAGACATGTTGCAGCAGATATGTATGGACGCTGAAATGCCGGTCACAGAAATCACAAGCAACCGATGTATCACTTTTAGGCCCGGATACAAGTCACGAGGCCGCTTCGGACGTCCTTGTCCGCGAAGCTGAGTCCCCTCGACACATCCAAGCGAAAGTGGGCGTCACCCTCGCGCCTTGCCGCACCGCTATTCTAGACGCTCGAATTGCGAAAGCGCTGGTATGGTATGCATGGGTGTGGCACCAGGCATGTCGCGTGGGATCTCCGGGACCTTAAGGTCCAGTCATGCAGCGGCTCCGGATCATCGGCGGCCCACGTTCAGCGCGTAAAGGATCTTCAGGCTCACGAAAGTCCGAGAGACAATCTGGTCACCAGAGAATAAACAGCCAATGTGAACTCATAGTGAATGCTCTCGTTGTTGATTGGACATCCGGGCAAAATCCTTAGTGCCGAGCTAGAGTCGACGCTACAGGATATTCCGGCGAATCACAAAATTCGTATCGAGAAATCACTCGAAAGTCCAGAAAATCGTCTACGCGAAAAGTCTAGGCCGGTTTCCCACTTTATCAAAGATTCTCAGGTCTTACAGAGACATTATTTTCAAGAGTACAGTGTCCCATAAGACCGGGATGTCGCGACGTGTCTCCAAATCTCGTGCCGATTCTGGTTGTCTCCGCAAGTAAAGGCCTGTAGCTGGCCTAGACCTGCAGTGGCCACGATGCGACTACGCCGCTCGTGGGTGTCATGACCTTGAATACGCCACCTCATCCCACTTCAAAAGTAGGGATTTGTAAAATCGGGACCATCCTAACTTTGTGGGACAGGTGCAGCTCTCATATCTGGGGTGTTGGGAACCGGCGTACGGCTGATGGCGGCCGACATCAACTGGTCGGATTTGTGCTGAATCACCACTATCAAGGAGTGGTGAACTTTGACGGGAAGCGGCATGGTAGTAGTCAACATACGGAGTACTCCAGACATAGACGTACACGAAATGACCACTGACAGCCGTTACGCAACGATGCTGAAGTCAACATGAAAGGCAAAAATGACACAGCAGTGAAACCTCGTGAGCCCTGGGAAGAGGTACGAACAAAGGACACAGGGTTCTTGATATTCACTCGTCCTGCGCAATGGTTTCTGCTCCCAGATGTCATCATGTATTAAATGCTTCTCATAGATGGTAGATCGTTACAACGGCTGGTCGGATTAGTTCAGTTGTTCAGCGGATAATTGAGGCTGGGTGAAATATCGGTGAAGCCGTTGGGCGGCACGCTGCTGACCTGTCAGTCAAAAGTGGCCACGGCGTGGCGACTCTGACAATATGCAGAAGCTGGCTTCCTGTGTACAGTCGCGACCGGCACTCGATGTCTGCTGACATTCGAATGGGAGACGCTGTGTTCAGTCACCGTTCCTCGAGGCCGGAAAAGGTACCACTGGTGGTTGGGATACCTTGCACCGATGGGACCGTTTTCAAGACACCTTACTCCGTACTCGTCCTCTGTTCTTCAAGATGGAATGCTCGACCACTGCAGATTTGTAGCTGACTGGCCATCGATGGCATCGGCCGTCTCGCGAGCTTCAGCTGGTTCCGAGATGTCAACTTGTGCTGCTTTTTGGATTTCGACACGCACTGATTTCGGCCGCGGCCGCCTTGGCTGCTGGTGAGCGATGACTGTTTAGGTTCTACGGAGGATTGAGGCCTCTGGGTATCAGGGCAGTTGGTCGTAATGATTCCACATTAGATACGCACCAGGCAGGCATGCCTGGACCTCATGCCATCGATAATCGTGGCTTTCTGTCCGGCTTTTCCATCTTCGTCCTGCACATTGTCCCATCACGTTCTAGGTCCTCCGAACATTACGATCCTCTGGCCCAGCACACTATCTCAGGGCGCCTTCTGAAATCACCCAGATTCGAGGCTGCTTGAGGCTTGATAACCCCAGCCCTGCGCCATCTCCAACATGCATCCCTTCACGGACCGGGGACTTTCGCTTCCTTGACGCCATCTCTCGGATTGTCGCAACACTCAAGTAATAATAATCGAGTCAGACAAAATCCACAGCCGGCGCAGAATTGGCGGCCCCTGGTGGCTTCAGGGGTCTGAGGGGCAGGTCGAAGCGCAGTCCTCGGGTCCACACGAAAAGCATCCCTGGACCGTTTGCGCTTCCTGGATCTTCTAGCCTAACTAGCGTCTTTTTCAGAGGATCGACCCCTGCCGCTCCTGCCCAGCATCTGCTTTCCTACCCTAGTCCAAGTGTGAGGCATCGAAACGTTGTTGACCCAACGTCGTATTCTCACACCCAATCCACCACCATGGTTGCGTTTTGTCATGTTCAATTTGCTCCCGTCTTGCCATGCTTCTCACCCATGCCACGCTGTTGGTTCACCAAGCTCAAGCCATTATCTGCCTATTCGCTGCGTTTACTGTTGCCAAATCAGGCACCGTGCCCGCCATTCCATCCATGCCTGCCATTGGCAAACTAAATGGCGAGGATCAAAGTGGTGGAAAATACGCAATCGCGTCACTGGCTGCTTCTCCCTCATGAGGCTCATGCTAGCTGTTGCTCGCGCCCATCTGTTGTTGCTCTAGCCTCCATCTGTTGGTGCTCGAGACTTGGGACAAGCGATTGGGTTGACGGCGCTTGCCATAGTTTTGCCCTGTGCCAGTCACCCGAAATGGCTGCGGCGTGCCTGACTGCGAGCTCCACCATCCCACCGATTGTGGATTCCATCCACCACCGAGCCCGATGAAATACTTCGTCCGCCGTCGAATGGAGTACTACGACGCTGGTACCTGCCTTGGCTGCAACAGGCCAACGAGACGAACAATTCACAGTCAGCTGCAGGTCCCAAGTGCCTCAGGAACCTGTGCTACCACTCAACAGGTCTCACTCGACTGGGCTGGCATCGACTTTTCCGAATCCTAACAAGTCCTCCTCCCCACCGTATCCTCGTCTCGTCGTGACTCTTGACATGGGGCAACCCTGATACACTCGACTGTTCAACAACCAAAAGTGACCACTTTCGCGCGTCTCAAGCCCGGCTCCATGAGTTCTCTCTTCTGACCCTCGCTCTTTTCGTCTAGCCCCGGGAGATCTCTGACCAGCAGTCATTGTCCTCTTCATATTCACCTCACTATCACCCAACCCTCCATCACAACATTTCCTCCCACACTTGCCGTCGCGGCGGCCTATACTACGTCCTGCGGCTTGAATCGACAACCCTCCCGCTCAAGAACACCGATCCCAGCAAGGCGAGCCGCTGTCATGATAGTATAGTGTCGACCAACCTGGCTTGACGGCTTTGCGAACAGTCGATTCGAGATGTCCTCAACGTCATCGCTTGGGGGTTTGTGCCCTCAACCGTTTCTACAGGAAACGCTCTTTCCACTGGATGGCGGATGTACGTACGCGGCCACTCCAAGGGTCCGCAGCTTTGCTGATGACTCTCAGTTGTTGGCGGGCGGTTTTGCTTGCCATTGTCGACACTTCAACCAAATTTGACCTGTTGCTTACCATGCCCGTTAACCGACTGGACGTACTCGGATGGTAAGTTGGCCTACAGACTCGCGCTCGAAAGGTTTGGCTGAGATGCGGCAGGCTTTGAAGCTCGCACCGAAATCGCAAACTGGGTCAATGTGGCGGCCTTTGTACTATCAGTATATCTTCTCCTATCTTTCGCTGTTCTCCCAGTCAAGTACACCCATAGACACTACCTAAGTGTCTGCCTTACACTGGGAGTGGTATTTATCGAGGTCAGTCACACGACGCATCCTTGATCTTCCGTCACTGTGGCTCACACTTGGAGTGACAGCTTGGTTTTATTATTCCATTGGGTACCAAACCAGCACAATGCTTCAACGAAATTACTCCCAACGACATGAAGTCCAGCGGCTCATGCGCCATCAGCGGTGCGTTCTTGTTGTTCGGCGGTTGGGCCGTCGTCATATGGGTCTTCTGCAGGGCCCTCGCCCTCCATCTCCAGATCTGCTGGGAAGTCACTCTCGGCAACCTGTCCTTCTATGTGATGCTGGCGTTCGGATGGCTGATCCCCATCGTTGGTCTGGCATTGACGCTGAGTCTGACTGGTGTATCGTTCCGCTTCGGGAACGTCTGCCACATCAACCACAAAGATGCCTTGCAAGATTATTGGGGTCCATTGCTGGCTTTTGCGGCTTTAGCCCTGGTCCTTCAGTTCATCACGATTGGCTACTGCGTGCAAGTCTATATCAAGAGTCTCTTTGACGAACAGCAGACGACAAATACCAGCTCTCAACCACCGACCTATAATGGCAGCATGAAGACAATGACTGCCAGGCAGACGTATCGCCGAGTCAAGAGGGTCGTTGAGCTCCAATGGCGTGGCGCCAGCATTGTCCTTGTCATCATTGCCGAGGTTGTGTTCTTTTCGGTTGTCTTCGTGTCGATGGACAACAGTACCCAGCTCAATGCTTCTCTTGTGGCAAAGGCGAAGCCTTGGCTGGCCTGCTTGTCAGAGAAGGGTGGTGACAAGAACCAGTGTCTGCCTCTGGCGAGTGGCTTGGTCAAGTCCGAAGCGGTTGTTCTGACTGTTCTGATCCTTCTTGGGGTAAGACTTGTCCCGGGCTCTTCAATTCGTTGGCCATGCTAATCGCTGCTGCAGCTGAGTGGGTTCTGGTGCTTGATGTTCATGGGCAGGTGGTCCATGACCCATGGCTGGGCAGAATTCTTCCGTACGAAGCTGTTCCGGAAGAGCGAGTTTGTCTCGGCTGATGCCAGACGATTGTCGAACGATCCTCGTACGTACGAAATGCTGAGCGCAGCAACGCCCCAACTGAACATCCAACCTCCAGATCGAGCTTTGTCTGGTCCAAGAATGAAGGAGTTCGAACACGCGGATGCGAAGCAGGACTTCTACGCCTCAGCCCGAACCTATGTCACTCCTGTATCGAGCTTTTCCCAGCCTAAGGCGCCTATCCAGCACAGAGACTGGGATCCGAGGGCAACACATGCACGTCCTATGACGACCCAGGAGTTCGACTGGAAGATATCACAACTCCCCGATTGAACACAGCATACGACGATTTTTTATTACTCCAAGCTATCTGCCGCAATTTCAGCGTGTGGCGTTGCGGGCTTTCCCGGGACAGACGAATTTCGTTATGTCACATCCGAATGGCGGCAAATTGTTTGAGCATCTACCTGCGGGCTTCAGTGTTTCAACATTATTCCAGAGGGTTATAAGTCACGCGACTTTCCATTTAGCGACATTAAGGACATTGCAGACGAGGGAGACATACCTGTACAGCACAGAATTGTACAAATGGGAGACGACAGCATTTCACAACCGTAACCATGCGCAAAAGGGAGTGGTTTTCCCGTACCATGAGGACGATATCATCACATGCAGCAACCGTTCGAACGAGCGAATCCTTTTCCATTGATTTGAGATTCGGAATACAGCAGGCAGTCGCTTCACAGCGCGAAAAGCAAGCATGTCAAGGGTTGGACGAGGCGAGGATAAGTCAGCGTTCAAGCCCGAACGGAAGGAGAGATTCATCCTACATTTCACTTGTCATATCACCGAGAAGATATACCATGTTATCGTTGGAAGATATACGGCGGAGGGCCTTGGGTCTTATCGAAGCCGCGCTTACTTTTGCTTAAAAAGGAGCAAGCATTCGTGGATGATGGATGGAAAGATGCAGAGCCACTCGAAGAAGTCGCATCGAGGGAAGCCAGCTGTTGGAAACGGGCATCGATGGGGAGTCAAAGTTGAGAGAAGAGGCATAGCCTTCAGAAGAGATTAACATCTGACAGAGTACCTAGAATCAACACTTTACAAACAGATATGCGGTCTTGCGTGCGAAGTCGAGTCTGCATCATGACATCCCTCCCCGTAAAGCTCTTTGACCTTCAGGGTCTCGGCGAATCTCACCGTTTCAAGTTCGCTCCCCCCTTTGTCACCATCACCACTCGCGCGAGGGTAATGAATCTCGTTCCCGTGCGTATATCATTATCCTGCGTCTCCCAGATTTGTCTCCCTCGCTGACGCCAATGCAGATGTGAACCTCGCTCCGCCTTTGTCGAGATCGAGGCTGGAGACTACAGAGGACCGTTGCAGCTCTGAGCATGACGGCATCTCGACGTCCTGACCTGGTGCACCCATATAGATACCATGCATTCGTCTAATTAGGCCCAAACTCTCACTAGCGTCCGAGGCGTTCCATCACTCTTCTTTTATCTCCGAAAAAGATTGGCGGGAAACTGCCGACCGGTGGCCCCTGGCGACCCTGGCGAGCTCTGAGAATTTGGGCGTCCGGCTATTATTCCTTTCGGGGGAACCATCACTTTCCACGTGCCCGTACCTCGTATCCCCAGGATCCCCTGTCCGCTACGAGGGTCCCCTGCTGGGCTTGAACTCTGCAGGTGTTATCCTTGGGGACATTATTTCCTCGCGCTTGCTCTCGCAAAGGCGCGCCTCTACTGCGTGGAAGACATGTACCGCAATCGGACTAGTGTTTGTGCCGTGTCTGGGGAACATGCAGGAACTGTTTCATCACACCGGGCCACGCTCCGAGTTGCGAAGTCGCCACTTTGGCAGTGGGTGTGGTGGGTGTGCAGTACGAGTTACAGTACTTTTCAGGACGTCAGCACATTAGTTCCACTACTGTGCTTCCGACGCGTCGACGTGTTTGCTTGGACCACCTTACAGTATGTACTGACAAGGCTTCGTTGTTGGGCCGTGTACGTACTCCGTACTCCATCTACCACCAAGTACGGAGTACTTTCTACTGCAACCCTACTTCCCACGACGCAACGAACCCGAATGTTTGGGGTTCACCATGTATGCATCCCCAGCGTACTGCCCTAGCTAGGTGGCACTCCATTGCGCGCACGCGTACTTCGGCTCGTGTCTGCACGTTAAATTGTTTTCGTCTGTGGTGGCGTTGGCGCACTCCTTCGAACTTCAGATACGGAGTACACCTTACTGTACACCCACCTTGCGCCGGACGGCCAAAGCCCAAGCCACCTGTGGCCTGTCAACCGTTCCGCTGCTCGCCGGTTGGGCCTAGGAGCCTTTCTCATTCGAATTTGAAGCCGTCAAACCATTGACATAAAGGGCTCATTTCGGACAAAACAACGTGGCTTCACGCCACAAAAGACAAACAGACACCCAGACATGTCGGACAATGAATCTGATGACGTGTCCTAGTCCTCCGTGCTCCGTACTCCGCCTCGGATAATTTCTTGTTCGATCGGAAGGAAACCCTTCACGCGCCGTCTCTGATCACTCCTCACACGGTCAGGACGTGGCCTCTTGAGACAAGTCAAATCAGATGGCTTGCGCGAGGTTCTCCAAGCGTCGTCTCAGCGTATCTGCACGCATGTGTGTATACGAGGACGCTATCTCTCTATCGCAAACACTCCCAGTTGCATACGACAGGCAAATTTCCCGTGCGCCAGCCATGCGAGCCAGCGTCCTTCCAAGGTAAGCCGGACCTGCCGTGGAAGCAGATATCAGCGTGCTCCGACAGGAGAACTAGCGGAATAGGATGCATACTACTGTAGTATGCACCGTGTTCGTCCAGGGCTTTTAAAACTTGGAATCTGAATTCCAGGTCCCAAATCCTTGCTAGTGGTGTTGAGTTCCCATTCCATGCATGGCGCATGCGTGGGTGCGCAAACCGATGGTCCGTCAGCCATTCACCAGGAGCAGGGCCCGATTGCCGTACACAGTACCGGGTATGACAGTACGTGCACTTGAGGTCGAGTCGAACCCAGCCCCGAGACTTGCGACGAGGAGTTGTTCGATGCTGATTGCTTCCTCAGTGCCGTTGACTGGGCTCACGGCCCCCACTCACTGTACCTGCCTGCCTGCCAACAAGTCAGCCAGGAAATCAGAAGGAATATGGCCATGACCAGGAACACTAAATACGAACACGAGCACGAGCACGAACCATTCAGCGGGTGCCTGCATCATCTGTCTGCAGGAACGTACAGTACGTATCTCCGTCTCCTCTCCATGCCCATTACTCCATCGGGCCTGATACTGCCATACTTGCTTACGGGGGACAAAGTCCAGCTACGACGACGTTTAATTACGGATGGAGTAAAATCGACGTTGAGTTTCAATCAAGCCCCGCCCCATGCGATATTACCTCGCTACTTCCCACGTGGGCATTACCTGGACTGTGTACTGATGCTACATGCGGACTGCTCTCTTCCCCTCTTTCTCGTTCTTCCTTTCTTACTGACTTCGGCAACACTCTCGGAATGACAGGGTCTTCGAGGACCGGGACAAAGTCCAGCATACTTGACTGTGGGACATGAGCTCCGTCCGAGCTTACCTCTACGTCACATCACCACCACCACCATCACCACCAAAGTACGAAGTACAGTACGGTGTGAGCATACAGTATCAGATCAAGGCAGTTACTGTTGAATGAGCACATCTTGAGTGGACTACGGAGTATGTCTCCTTTACTGCGCATCATGGCCCTTGGGGAAGTTATAGATGCGGAGGGGGAGGGTCATTGGTTGTCGATATCGTGATGCTTCTCTGCTCCAAGTTCCCATGCCTCTATGTCTCTATGCCTCTATGTCTCTGTGCCTCGTCCATCTATCACTCCACGCGGAACGGAAGACCGAGGCCGTAATGCAGGAATGCAAAACAGTCCTCCGGCAAGGGAACACTCCCTCGGCAAAAGAACAGTGCTCCGGCAAAAGAACAGTCCGCGGGTAAGAGTCCCGTGTACGTACACACCGCAGATTTACATCTCTGGTACGAGGCGGATCCCGACATTGCAGGCCCAGAATACAGAGCACTCAGCAAAGAGCATGTGGTCCCGTTCCCATCAAGACCTATCCCCATACCGGGCAGTGCGATGAGTAGTATAAACTCTACTGTAGTGTATACCTAGATGGGGACTGAATGGATATTCTGCCACAATGGTACTGCACATACTTGAAAACTTACGGCTCCAAACCCAGTGTCAAGACACCACGAACGACGCAACGTTGCATTCGGAGACCAGTAGCTTTGGATGCACTACTGTGCACGTGTTACCACAGTACTGGGAGTCCACTCACAACAGCTTCATCATGCAGGCTTGTTGACAAGTGGGTGAAGACGTCCACTTGGAAAGATCAACTGCTTGTTTTGCTCCAGGAAGAGGTCGTTTCAGCTTCTCGAACCGAACATGGCGCCCGTCCGGCGGATAAATGATCCTCATGATGTTGTGACTGCATCCACTGCTGAGTTCTTGTATGCTAGGGGTTGCAGAAGGTGGAGGACCGCATCCATAATACGAGGTATGCGTATTCGTTCTCCCAGGCCTAGTCACTTACAACCTCCGTCTCAGGGTTGCGCTTCTGTAGCCACTCGGAACAAAACGGGTCTTGCCGAGACTGGGCGTGCATGCTTGGACTGTCGATCAACGACTGACTCCGGACTCACCCACCTCTTTGGTTTCTGGGTTGAACTGACAGAGCTCGTGTCCGTGGTGCACCACCGGGTGAAGCAGACTGAGGAGCTTCATTGCCAAGGCATCGCAATGTATACTGTATCTCCCTACATCCTGGGCCCGCGGGACCGCTCCATGTTCAGAACACAGAAGGAAAGCACAGCAATGGGCTTTGTCAGACGTGCGGCATGCGAGGCGGAGCGAGGCAACTGCCAAGAGCGTGATTTCCGCTGATGTGGACGTTGGCGAGGATAGTCGACCACAAAAGAGTGCCTCGAGTCATGAGAACGCACTGCTTAGGTCAGAGTTCTGATGTTGAAGGCTCAGGTCCTCTCAGGGACACTATGCTCTGGACGACAGCAGCTATGCTGTGGGAGAAAGAGTAGGTGCCCGATTCCAGATGCTGTCACCACTGGAAAGGAGGTCCACCATTGTCTCAGAGAGTCGCATTCGATGGCGTCTTGGAAAGTCGTACCTCGCACGTATGTCTGAATCGAAGCCTTCTTGTTCAGTGTCGTTGCTGACTCAAGCTCGCTGCCGAAACAGGTGAATGCATGTTGCTGCAGGTACGCGAAGTGCCGCGGAACATTTCTCTCGCTTGAGGTTGCCGGATCCTGCATGAGAGGATTCGTGTGCCTGTCCCCAGGTAGGGAGTTTTCCATACACAGTACTCCATAGAGACAGCCCAGAGTCCACGGGCGCCACTCTCGAGCCTGGTGTTGATCCACTATACCTCGTTTGGAAGGATTCCCTAGCGCAGTAGCGCTTACCGCGGACGTCCCTCCAAAACCGTCAAGATGGCGCCCTCCCGCGCGGATGCTGAAACCATGTTCTTCGTTGCTTACGAGTCGCATCTTGGGAGAGTGGGCTATCGAGAAGGACTCCCTGGGTGGGATTTCCGCGACTGGGCTGCGAACTATTGAACTGACCAGTGTTTCAGTGTGGCAGGTCCTTTGCGTTGGTGTTCTGAATTCGCAGTGCGGAGCTTTCACGTACAGACGTTGAAGTCCTCATGTTTAGGTTCCGATCTTCCGATCGGGCGTACTTGAGGAGGACCCATTATGTAGTGTTGATGAATACTCTACAGGCCCTAGATGGCACCGTTGTCTCAGCGCGTTTTGAGTTGACATAGTGCGAAGGAAAGACAGACAAATTTGGGAGAGCCTTGAAATGACAACTCGTCTAGGGCGAGGACCAGCAACTGAATGGTTGAGACCGTGGACATGTGGGCGGACAGCAGCGTAGATGACCGACCAGTAAATGCGTGGGCCTCGATGTGGAAGGAAGAATGAGGTGCTGAGGGGAAGCAAATAACACCCACCGTGGACTAGCATCAACTGATGCTTAAGATGAGATGGCAAAGGAGACGCAGATGTCTGCCTCTTTCCCGAAGTTCGAGCTGCTTGCCTCCGAGGCAAGCACGTGTTTCTGCCAGTTGCGGCTTGACGGAAAGCGCTCACTGGACGATTCCTGCAGGAGAGGGACTGAGCCAATGAACGAAAGACGGGGTATGAGGTCGAACAGACCCTTCTGTTGCGCGTCCCGTACTCACAGTGAATGACGTTCGTGAAAAGGGGCAGGTACATCGCACGATTCCAGGCCACTTCCGGAAGGAGCCGACTTCTACCCCAGCGAGCACCATGGAAGCATGGCCTCGTTCCTCCCTTTGTGCAAAGCAAAGATTCGCTAGAGGGATGTAACCTTTCGCCCATGCACAGTCCTCCACTGAGCAAGAAGGACCGTGTTTGGTAATTGAAAGGTCAAAAGGACTCCATATAGGCACGATAAAATATTCCTTCAGTCATCGCGCATGGAGCATAGTCACGACGCTGTACACACAAATGCCATGTTCGAATTGTTTTGCAAGGGAAATGAAACGATGAAAAGTCGGCATTGGATGAAGAAGTGTGTTCTGGAGAGCCACTTCACAGGCTCTTTGGACTTCCAAGTTCTTGTTGGCCTGTGAAATCCATACCGAGTATCGAAGTCGCCGCCTTAGCAGAAGCCAGCTGGCATGCTCGATATCGTCCCGTCTGCTTCGTTGCAGCTGATGAAGGTCGGCTGCACATCGACCGTCTCCGTTCGTCACCTAGTCATGCTTCGCAGATCGCCAGCCTTGACTGCTTCTTCTCCGATTTGCATTATTTGTCGTGGTATGGAGCGCCTGAAGTTTGAAATATTTCCAGCGTTCGAACATTTATGCCGTATCTCTCTTTCCCTCTTTCACCTCCTTCAGCGCCTTCATCGTACCGTGGAGCGCATGCTTGTGGTTCCTTCGGAATTTGGGATCCGTGCCCTTGAGAGAGGGATATCTGAAGGTCTTTGGCTTCTTGATGCTATTGTCATGCGCGCGCGATTGTCAGTACTCAGCCACCTTCTTGGATGTCCAGCAAGCGTCAAAGTCGAGGGGTAGTCGTACCCGTTCTTGTGAGCCTTCTTGGCTTGGTTGTGCTGAGACGAGTTCTTTGATTCTGCAAAATGTCAGCGTGCGCACGCAAGAGTACACTAGTCTGACTACTTACTGGCCATCTCGACGGTCTCAACGAGGTGCAAGTAGAACGTGCGGATGTTGAAGTTGACCCTGTCTCCAATCTCAAGCGTGAAGTTCGTGCAATTTGCGATTGTGGGCAGAAGTTCGGCAGGTAAGCCGGGTCTTGGCAACGCGCTAACTTGAAACTGGCTACATCCTACGGAGTACAGCCTGATGGACTCGACGAGGCTCAAGCTACGCACATTCTTCGGCAAGATAATGACAACACTTCGATGGCATTTTCAGTCTTCTGCTATCTAATTTCATTGAACCGAATCTGCGTTGGTCAATATGTCTTCCGAGTAGCAAAGAACTCCTTGGTATCTCATGCAGGTCATTTTACGCTCCAAAACCACGTCATGCTTTGCGGCTCATTCTTCACATCTGTCCGCCCTGGGCGATAAACTTTGGGAAGAAGGTCTTGAACGCCTTAAGTTCCATGGTCGCCAACTTTTGCAAATAGTCATTTATGAGGGTATCATTCATGCCCATTGTCCTCAACTCGTTTTCTTGCAGCCACGTCAGGTATTGCTGCCCAGTCTTGGTGTAGATGGTCTTCTGTAAATTGGCAGCCTCTGAAAGGGCTTGCCGCGCTTGTGCATCTTTGCCGTTGAACGAAGGGTTCGTAGGCAGAGCCCAACAAAGCGGTGAAAATCGAGTAATCATGAACTGATCAAAGCCTGGAAGAGCTGGTTGTGGCCCTGCGGAATTGGCGTTGCCCGTCGCCGACACCACATCAGGTCCTCCCCAGACCGAACACATCCTTGATAGAAGTAGGAATGCCATCTTGGCTGTCGGGAAGTCCTCCACATCTCTCGCAAGATGTTCAATGGAAGTGATGACAGATTCAAAGATCGGTTGATTGGTGGAGCTGACGAGGACAGCACCGAGGTCATTGCCAAGGATCACCATAAGGAAATTCAGATACTCTCGCTTCAGCTCGGCCAACTCGATCTCGTCATCTGTACCAGAAGTAGGTGCAGAGATCCCTGCGAACACTCTTTGAAGCAGACCCGAGAACAAGCGGTCGAGGAAGTTGTAAATGTCGTTCTTGAAGCCGAAAATGACCTGGTCGAGAAGTCGAAGAAACAATGCCATCTCATCCCTGGTGGACGAGTCGGTCAATAGTCCGTCGACCCATTGAGGCAGTTGTTGCATCATACGAGCGCCGACCATACCAATCAACCGTGAAAAGGCGAATCTTGCAGCGGTTCTTATCTGGAAGGACGACTTCAGCGCTGTCAGAGAAACCAGTGTCACTTCGGCCACCTGCGCAAATGCTTCCTTTGCTTGTGATGATGGCTCGGTGCCGCCTCCCGGGTTCGTCACGCTAGGATTGAACTCGGAGAAGCCCCGTGCAATCGTACCCAAGGCCATGATTCCATGGTGCACTTGAAGACCGGCAAGCTCGTTTCCCGACCTGGCTGTCTCCAGGTTGCGCTCGATATCTGCGAAGATAGGCCGCATGATAGCTTGCACATACTGCACCTGCTTCTCTGCCGTTACCGAGGTTGCGCCACAGATGCAGCCGACAGCTTCAAACAGGTAAAGCTGGCTGGTGAACGTAGAGTCCGTATTGGCCTCACCATCGGAAGACATGTCATCTGCATCTTGTTCGCCGGGAAGCTCCGCTTTGATGACGAGAAGGTCTTGTAGACTCTGCACAACGGCCTCTGCCGCATTACCTACATTTGCTCGCAGCTGACGAATGAGGCGGTGGATGAGATACCATGCTCGAGCTTTGACCTTTAGACTTGGATGGTGTGAAAGATCGAGAAAGTTTTTCAACACTGGCTCGATGTATTCGCTGTGTTTTTCGAAGAACGAGCTGTATCTGACACAGATCTCCATATACTGGAGCTGAATTGCGGGATGGGCGAAAGAGCCGGTATCTGGCTATGGTTAGCAGCACCGCGAGGGAAGGCAGGCATGCCTACTTACTTGATTGGACCATTTCCAGCATCATTCGGACAAGCTTTTCCGCTGCCGGCGAGTTTGGCTTGTTCTTGTTGTACAATCCCCCGGCCCTCACAGCCAGGTCACCCATGAGGTAGACTTCGTGCAACGCAAGGTCTAGATCTCTCCAGTTCAGCTGTGTGCCTTCTGATCTGAGGCGTTCGAACGTGTCATGCACGAGGCCCGAAATTGCCTCGATGTAGAGCTGTTCATCCGCTACTGCGATTGCTGACTGTAACGCTGCCAGCCTCTTTCTCAAATCTTGAAACTCTGCCTCATCGGTTTGCTCGTCCTCTTGATTCCAGTCGGAAGTGTTGTCGTACCTCATTTTCACGAATATCGCCTTGATGATTGGTAGAAGCATTGCTGCTCTTTGAGCCGAGGCCGCTTCGCCCTGACTAGCACGCCTTAAAAATGCAAGAACATCGTTCATGGCGTTGAGCACAGTTGAACAGACCTCGTCAAACAAGTCGGAGAAGAACCTGAGGAGATGTGGCAGGAACGATGCCAACAGTTGCTCTGCCTTTCCCCATGTTGGCGAGCTCTGGTTCTCAACCTCCAAGATCCTAACAATGTCCACGACTGTAGTGTTGACCAACTTTGCTACCGTCTCGGCAAGATCGACGTCATAGTTGGATGCGCGACTGTCTCTTAGAGGCGGACACGTAACAAGCTGAGAAACCACGTTTTCCAGATTGAGGAAGGTGATCATGTTGACCTTATCTGCAGGAGGCATCTTCTTGGCAACGGTCTCGGTAAAGACGTCAATGGCGGCATCCCTTGCTTGCTCTTCGCTTTCTCGAGGATCGACCTTCTGCGCCCGTTCTAGTTGCTGGAATAGTAGTTCGAGCATCGCCTGATTGACGACGAACGAGATGTCCACCCAGCTGACCCATTTGGCAATGGCCTTCAAGCACAGTTCCGCCACGATATCACTCGATGTCCTCCAATGAGAGAGGATGTCTTGCCATGAGCGTGCAATCTTCTCGACGTCTCGTGCTCGAATCAGATCTTTCAAAGTGTTCGCTCTGTCCTGCTCGGCTCGAGACCTCGACACCAGTTGATCACCGATCTCGTCGTGTATAGAGTTGAGAACTGTGAGGTAGAATATCAGGCCAGGGTAGTTGTCCTTCGTACCGGTGCCGGCGGAGGTCAACGCCAGCAGATCGTCGAAGTAGGTCTCCCAGCCGGAGCCGTAGAAAGCCGAAAAGAGGTATGTCACAGTCTGAGCAAACTTGTTGACGATGGTGCCTGGATCCGGTGTGTCTGTCTGGCCGCCTGTCCCATAGAACTTTTGCAGATATGCTACTAGCTGATCTTTAATGGTCTTCAACCCTGCCTGGTCTACCAGGCCACCTTGTACTGCGTTGTTGACAATCTCTAGACAAAAGACGCGAATGACCATGTCTCGACGTGGCACCTGCAGGGAGATGGCCAGACATGGCTGCCATGCTGAGGGCTCCTGCCTCAATTGGTTCACATATTCAAAGGCCTGTCGCTTGAGGGTTTGGTCGGCAGCGGGATCATATGCGATCTGAATCGCCGAGATTATCTGCGCGGACGTGTCAGTCGAGTACCTGATCAGAGCAAGGGAGCACCGACCTGTTCATCCATCAGGTAATACCAGTGTTCCTCACCCACCGCGCTATGACTTCAGGAACACCGGGAGAAAATGATAGTCACCGCATTTGGATTTGACCAAAGTGGAAGCACGTGCTTCCGGCGCTAATCCATCGCAACAGGCAGCCTTGTTCTTTGTGATGTTGTAGTGAATGAGTGTCTCTTTCACTTAGCACAGAGAACTTGGTGCATGTCTTCACGGGTTCAGTTGCTGGGAACAGTTCTTGAGGTCGCAGTGTGGCATGAATCTAGCACTTCCACGCATATCGAGCGAGGGGGCGGATTATTCTCGTGTAAATTGTCCGGGCCTTGGCATCACGGTGGGCGACATGACATCCCTATGACGCATCTCTCCATTCGTCCCAGGCACCCCGGGCGTCACCCAGGCGTCCTTCTCGTTACCGGTACTGGCTTGGTAAGCTGTCATCGGTATTCCTTATGTGCGCAGTGATAAAGGGTATCGAAAAGCTACTCAGTACCAGCTATGCTAGCAAGGTTCAATCTTTCAGGGTCAGGACGGACTCGGCACTGCTAGCAATTGCAAACAACCTACTCCGTACGAGGTAGGAGTCCAACGACTGATGTGCAAGCGCATGGCCTCCGATTATCCATGCCTTGGGGTAAGTCTGGGATGAGGGCGAATGCACCGTCTATCAACAACGCTTCCTTGCAGGCTCTAGTAATGCGCAATGCGTCAACCCATCGGTCTCTCCCGTAGCTGCCTTAGATACTGACGATGGGCACATTGCGCAGTAGTGGGCCGCACTGGAAAAGGTTCTTCAGCTCCAGGCAGCGACGGCGAGAGAGCAGCTTAATATCTTTTATCTTATTGCGCTCTTCTCCATTTTAGCCCAGTTAGGCAGGCCTTGATCGACTGCTTGAGTACACGGTATGTCGGTGGAACGCTTCGACGACTCACATTGGACCAAAGCAAGCCCCTCACGCGCCTTTTCCAGTACAAGTCAATTCGGAAGGTTACAAATGCCTCGAGGAATACTGTACTCCGTAGGCTCACCGCCAATGAAAGGGCTGATGTGTCGTACGATGCGTACTGAACATCGTCTTCAAAGATATCCGGTGTTTTTTGCCTCCGCCGTTTATTAACCAAGCTAAAATTCCTTCTTTTAGACTGATCTGACTACTTGGTTTAATGCTCAGTAGGGTCGCTGAGGTCACGGGTCTTTGACAGTGTCGACGCAACCGAAAGACTTGGTGGCAAACATCAAATTACCAGCCGCACGAAATGACAACAGAGGAGACTCGACCTTTACTGCGGGATGCTGAGAGCGCCGAGGACGGCTCGCAGAAAGCCGCCCATGGAAACGACATTGTCGACTTCGATCAAAATGGCGATACGGAAAACCCCCGCGACTGGCCCAAGGCCTACAAATGGAGCATCGTTGCTCTGCTGGCCTTTATGGCCTTCACAGTGTATGTTATTCGAGGTCTGCTCTTCCGGTGAATGGCAGCTAACCTTCCTTCCAGGACATTCACATGCATCTCGGTTGTGCCAGTGGCCAACCATATCATTTACGATCTTGACGGCACAACGAGTAAATCAGCTAGTGTTCTGCTCGTGACAATCTGGGAACTTGGCGAAGCATTCGGACCACTTGTGCTTGCTCCGCTATCTGAGTCTATCGGGAGGTACCCTGTGTTCAACGTTGCCAATGTGCTGTTCATCTCGGCCACTGTGTTAGCCGTGCTGTGCCGAAGCACACCGCTGTTTATCGCTGCCAGAGCTCTCACAGGGTTGGCGGTTGCTTCGAATGTGCTCAATCCAGCCATTGTGGGGGACATGTTCATCGAAGAGGAACGAGGGTCGGCGATGAGCGCCATCATGTTGGCGCCATTGCTTGGAGGCGCCATCGGGCCTGCGATCGCTGGTGCGATCGCCGAGAGCCTAGGATGGCGGCAAGTGTTGTGGATGTCTATTATCTTGGCAACCGCCTGCGAGGTTGTCTTCTTCACTTGCTTTCGAGAGACCTTCAAGGTGGCGATCCTCAACCGGAGAGTCGCTAGGTTGACGAAGGAGACGGGCAACACTGCCTTGCGGACTGCATTCGCCGCCAACAACCCCGAAGCCGAAGACAAGGGCTCAAGAAAGCTTCTGGACGCAGTGTTGCGTCCCTTTGTCGTGTTCTTCGACTCTGGAGTGTTGCAGGCCATGTCATTGTTTGGCTCTTTGGAGTTTGCCTATTTCTATGTCATGTCGACCACGTTACCGGATATCCTGGAAGGAATTTACGGGCTGTCCCCGGCACGTACTGGTTCTGCATTCATCGCCTTTAGTGAGTGGATGAATCTTAGTGGCCTTTCAAGCTGGCTAACAAAGACTGAACAGGTGTTGGTTCCGTCATTGCTGTCATAGCCCTCAACAACCTGCTCGACAAGATCTACATTCGTCTGCGCGATACCCACAGCTCGAGTAACGGCAACGGACAGCCCGAGTACCGCCTTCCCCTCGCCATAGTTGGCGCCTTTACTGCACCCCTCGTCGTCGCCCTGTACGGTTGGGCCGCCCAGCTCCGGCTGCCGCTCCCTGTTCTCCTCATCAATCTCGGCCTGCTCGGGTCTACCATGATGCTCGCGTTTCTTCCGCTGATGGCTTATGTCGTCGACGCCTTCAAGCTGTATTCGGCAAGTGCCATGACCGCGTTGATAGTGACAAGATGTCTCATGGGGACGTTCCTGCCGCTTGGTGTCGACCCGTTGGTCAAGGAGTTTGGTTATGGTTGGGGTTTCACTGCCCTGTGTGGACTGAGTCTATGTACGGCGCCCATTCCAATTTTGATTTATCGCCATGGCGCCCGATGGAGGGAACGGAGTCGTTACTCGGGAGAGGAATTGTGAACGAACAGTAGATTGCGATGAGTTTCTACTAGAGAGGAGGTTGCGAAAAAGGTCACAGCGTGCGAGGGTCCGGAGTCGAAGAGACAACTAGATGGCAATCCGGCGATTCGGGGTTTTCTGACTAGATCTCGAGGTGGCTAGACATCTTTGAATTGGATTCTCAGCCAAGACTGGACTTGCCAGCAGGAAGCGTGTCGCAATGTAAAGGATTCTAGCCTTCTAGAGAGCCGACTCGCATCTCGATACTCATCCCCACCAACCTGCTGCGATAGTTGATCCCGGTTGTCATACAGACGCGATCCTCTCCCTTCGAAGTATCCTCTTCGTACTCTATTCTGGCTACGTCCTCTACGTGACGGTCTCTTTATGGTTGGCATACCATTCTTCGAGATCGACGAGTCGAGCGATCAACTCCCACGTCCTTGTCAGCCCAGCTCAGCTCGTCTTCCACAACCTTCCCACCTTCTGCGCCATCTCTTCCTTGAGTCTGAAGAGGCGCTGCCATTGATAGGTTTCTTCGTGTACATCTCGGGGTTTTCGCAATGGCCATCGGGCAAGATCTTCGACAAGGTCCCAGATGGAGTGCTCCTCCCCGCACTGCTGCCTATTCGCGGCCATACGAGGTGTCATCAAGACGACCAGCGGAAAGAAACGACCCTTGAAGTTCGACTCAGGAGGGCGGGATTCGAGAACCATGACCGCGCACCGGACCGCCTTGTAGAATGGCTCTCTTTGAGTCAACAGCTCCCAGGAGCTCTGCGTGGTCTGTGGCACCACAATGACAACGCTTCCTAGCGACGAGAGCGGGATGAGTGTGCATTGCGCCAGATCTTGGCTGTCTGACAGCCAGCACGTGGTCTCACGGGACATGGACATGGAGGACTGGTGAAGGGATCGGCATGCGTTGACGCAGCTTGGCACATTGGGAATCAAAGTGCCTTGCCCTGTTCTCCACTTGACCATTCCGACGTGGTGACATGCTTGGGTGTTGGTCCTGAATCAGACTGAGGAGGAAGAGGAGGAGGGGTTCGTTGGCTTGGCAATTGTTCACGGAGACGACGGCCTCATCGCTAGGCTTCGTAAAGGAGGGAGTGTCCAACACAAGCCCCTGTCAGCCGCTGCTCGCAAAGGGTATTTCCAGCTTCTTCGGGAGTGCCTCGTCGCCTTCATCATCTCGATCGCCTTCATCCTTCTGTTCTTCTCTCCTGCTACCATGGTCAGTCAATAGGCTGATCTGCGTTGGCATCATTACTGTGGGGATTTACTATGCTGAGGTCTTCCGTGGCAGGTGTCGATCTGTTATGGTTTGCTCTGAGTTTCTTCTGCGCCATCGTGACAGCAAGCAGCTTTGTACTAAGATATAGACTGCTTTGGGTTCTGCAACCTTCTCTTGGGCTTACTCGGCGCTGATCATGCCGCTAGGTCGGAGACGCGCCTACACCATTAGCTTCTTGTATTTCTGCTTCAATGGCGCGTATAGCCGCGGGCCCGTGTTGATGGGCAGTCTATCTGCGGGGCGTGCCTGCCCTACTGCGCCATATGGATGTGGCATCGGATAGACCAGGCGGCGGTTGAAGCCATATGGTCGGCTTAGTGGCTGGACGATGGCCTCAGAGGTGGCGTGTAGGGTAGTGATAGAGATATATTCGAAGGGTTCTCCGTTGTTGTCGATAGGCATGTTGAGGCCTATGTGAGACGGGAGAAGGCCGAGAGATGATGATGTTGTCGGTGGTTTCAGCGAGGTTGTCTGTGTGCGTGCGTGTAGGGCAGCGTCGATGAACTTTGTTGTCAATGAGATGAAGCGCGACAGTAGACTGGATATATTGTATACGGGCATGGGCAGTTCGCGCCAAGCAGTGAAGCTATACACGCTGTTGCTGGAGGCAGTGGTTGTGATGGGCCCAGGAGGTCGACGCTGAGAGCCAATAATCAGGCATTTTGACGCGAGGACAGAGTCTGCCATAGGCAGTGAAGCGCAGTGACCCCTGCTTCAATGTCCTTCATGCCCGGATCAGAGCCTATGAGTAGCAGGCATGTATATAGACTTGAGGTACATTGGGAGGATGCTTGGGAGATGGTGCGCATAATGCTTGATATATACCATGCGGGTGTTTGGTAAAAAGTGGTTATAATGCTTGCTGAAGTTAGCGCTGGTGGGCAGCTCACACATCAGGCAAGCTGCCTGTTAAGGCAAGTAAATAAAAAAGCCAAGCCGACGAGAATAAAACAAACATTAGTCAAGACAGAGTATGGTGGTGGTAACCCCAAATGTCATTGTTCACGGTACTCGCCGCCGAGTTTGATCAAACATCTCAATCCAGCTGGAGTGCTTCCAAGCATCTGGTCTGGAGCCTCGAGGGCTCATGGCAGGTGTTCGCCATTCAGCTCTGTCGTTCTGCCTCGTTGTGTCTAGCTTCCGCTACCTTAGCCAGATCTTTGCACGGGGCTTGCGCTTGTTGATAAGGAGTATCTGGTAAAAAAAGACAGGCGGCATTAGTCGTGTTGTGCATTGACACGGATGGAGGGAAATGTACCTCAGGAACATCAACATGTGCCATATCAGAGACCATCGACCTTGAAATGTTGACGTTGGGAATGGACTCGAAGGCCTTCTTGTCTTGGGCGAAGTTGTCGTACCTGCCGAAGTCTTCGGCGACCAGTTTTGTTGAGAAGAGGTAGCCGTAGTTCAGAGACATTGTGAGTGTGAGGGACCTGGTAAATCAAGGGCTTGGAGCAGAAGGGAAAAATTGGTTCTTGGAGGACAGCTGCTGCCGCTAACTTGGGATAGAGCAAGAGGCCATGGACGCACGGTATAAAAAGCAACAAGCCAATGGACAAAGGCAGTATGGACAAGCAGAGTATTCACTACGCAGGAGGTATTGAAAGGCGTGAGTTGATTCACGATGATTGAACTGCTTGATTCAGAGCTTCTGGACTTTTTTGTTCCCGCTTCTATCCCTGTCAGCCTCTATTGAAAGAGATTTTAATAAACGTACTATGCAAACAAGTACTTCGCGGCATGGTCGACGTGATCATCCGCAAAAGTAGCCATTGTGTAGTAGCTGTGGTCGTAGTCAGGCTGGTACCGAACATTGACTCCCATTTCCTGGCCGATTTCCTTGGCAGCTGCGACGAAATTCTCAGGGAGCAGCTGGCCTTGTTTGTAGAAGTTGTCACCAGTGCCCTGAGATAGTGAGTATCATATGTAAACGTAATGGAGGCAGGAAACTAACCACGTCGATCAGAATGTCCAGGTCACCACCCTTCCATTTCTTCAACAACTCTGTCGAGTCATGCTCTGCGCCCTTCTTTTGCCAGTCCTGCTCGCCGAAATAACCCTTGAATGCCTTTTCACCCCAAGGAGCTTTCAAAGGATTTGAGATCGGCGCAAATGCGCTGACACTCTTATATTTCCCAGGGTTCTTCAGGAACAGTGACAGGGCCCCGTGGCCACCCATGCTGTGACCGGTGATGCTGACCTTGCTTGAGTCGAGTTGATCTTTGAAGGCGTCGAAGACGGTCTTAGGCAATTCGTCTGTTATGTAGGAGTACATATTGTAGTTCTTTGACCACGGTTCGGCAGTGGCGTCGACATAGAATCCAGCTCCGGTTCCGAAATCGTAGGAGTCGTCCTCGCCCTGGATACCAATGCCCCCTGTAACATGTCAGGCCAGTATCCAATGTTTCGATCCTTGCACACTTACTTGGGCTTGTGTCTGGGTACAAAACTGCGATGCCCCTCTTGCTGGCGCCATGCTGGAAAAAGCCCTTTTCTGAGCAGTTATCACCAGTACACGTGAGTCCGGAGAGGTAGATCAGCAGAGGGACTCTGCTGTTCTGAGACTGCGGCGGGAGGAAGAGGTTGAACTTGCTCTCGCAGCCCAGAACGGAGGAATTGTGCGCGAGTTTGAGCAGCTTCCCGCCAAAGCTGGCAATAGTTGCTTGGGTGTTCACGGACATTTTGTGAATGAAAGTGCAAAAATGGGTTGCTAGGGTATGGAAACAAGAAGGAAAGGCAGGGAGATGTTGGAAAATGTTTCTCGAGACTGTCGCTTCGCCCTAAGAAAATGACGTGGAGCAGGAGGGGAAAGAGGCATTGGAGTAAGTCAAATCAGCCCCGCAGAAGCGGATCAGCGACGAGCTTTCTCCGTCAATCATGAAGGGACCTCTCGGGAGCTGGATATCTCATCGGAAGAGGGCACTGACCAGCTAGATTTGCCATAAGCGTGGATAGAGAAGCCGGGCCATCCCGACCAGTTAAGGAGAGTGTCGGGTTAGGATATGGTTTCCGTCTCAACCACACTTGCCTTCTTGAGCCTGTATCGAAAGTGAATGCTGGGCAGAGTCATCTTGTCTTCTACCGCAATACACCCAGAATAAACAACAAGAAGGTGTAGATTTGCCACAAGAGCGCTTTGAGCTGGACGGTGGATATCTGGGTGGCACACCAAGGTGGTGAGAGAGAAAAGTGAAACTCGGTGAGACCAGATACAGCTGGTACAGCAAGGCCGCGCTAGACCTAATCTGCTGCCGGCATAACCTCGGTACTACCGCGAGGCTGCCAGAACTTACCACGACCGACTCGACTGACTCTCACACTCTGTTCAGGACAAGTATTACTCCATCCCGATGTACTTTGCCGTCTCAGTCTCTCAGAGCAGCTAAGGACCATCACGCAGCATAAAATTATCCTCTTGCATGACTGGGCCCTTCCAGCTCCTGTAACGACTGACCTCAAGAATGGCTTCCGTAGCCTCCTCCCAAGCCGCACTCCCCGCGACCAACCCACCACCTCCAACTTACACGTTCAGCTTCACGCCCTTCCTCCGCGCCAACAGCCTCGCCGCTCTCGCCTCCGCCGTCCCCGTATGCCCGGACTTTGCCTCGACAGGGCACTGCCCGCGCGGCCGGCGCTGTCCCGACCGCCATCCCACGCCATCCCAGCAACCCTCCCAGCACCACCACTTTGGCCGCCACCACCAGAATGACAACTACGTCTGTAAGCACTGGCTCAAGGGATTGTGTAAAAAGGCCGACGCGTGCGACTATCTCCACGAGTACAATCTGCGTAAGATGAGCGAGTGCCAGTTCTACAATCAGAACGGGTACTGTCAGAACGGGGATGAGTGCCTATACGTGCATGTCAAGGAGGGCTCGAAGCTGCCCATGTGCGAAGACTACAACAAGGGGTTTTGCGAGAAGGGGCCCAGGTGCCCCAACCGCCACGTCAGGAGGAAACTCTGTGAGTTCTATCTTGCAGGGTTTTGTCCCGACGGCAGGGAATGCAAACATGGTGTTCACCTGAAGAGTGTCGCATTGGCGGGAGGAGCGGCAGGAGAAAAGGAGAAGGACGAAGACGCGAGGAGAAGAGACAGAGTGGCGGACCTGGAGAAGAGAGAGGACGATCAGAGGAAGGAATTCGGGTGGAAGGGAGGCCGAGGTGGAAAGGGCGGACGGTGGAGGAACAAGCGGGACAGGGATAGGAGGTGAAGAGGCGACGACGCGACGGTGCAAGATTCCCCGAGGATCGTCGACATGCCATGCCATGCTCTATCGTCGACATACGGCGCAGCGGCGTCTGATAGAAGGCGTATTCTGACAACCAACATTCAAACTACCGACGTGCCATTCAGCACTTACGAGTCTCCATAAAGATTGAGGTGGCGATCAAGAACGTTCGAAACGTCAGCTCAGCAGCGAAAGTCCCCTACGATGCCCCTCTCCATTGAACGCGGAGAAGCACCAGGCTACAGCCCCAAGCCCGCTCGTTTCATCGCCCTCCGCAACCAGTCAGGCAGGCCAACAGCCTGTTTCCTTTCCACAGGCTCGACGAGGTTGAACAGCAATCACCACTTCTAAGCATCCCAACAAAACATGGCCAGAGGACAAGCCGACCAGCTGATCATCTCAGCTACTAGGCAGCTACGAGGGATACAGGACCAGGAGCAGCACAATCCGTACCGATTCATCTTGGTCAACGATGCGACTAGTGGGGTATGACAAGCAGATCCACGTCTACCTCCCACGAGAGTGCGCAGGAGCACGCAAGCTGAGGTTGAAAACAGAATAGCAGCCCGAGGAGAAGCGTTGGTGAGGAGGGCGAGATAGAGAGAGACAGAGACAGAGATTCAGTAAGAGCTGGTTTTTCCAGTGCAATTCGCCTCGAGGGTCGTTGTATTCAGCGTGTCTTGCTTCCCTTATCCTGGTACCCCGCGTCATGTCTCGCCGGCGACCGCTCTATCCCTAGTATCGCTGCTTGCTTCATGCCGCACACCCAGCGTGAGAGGACTGGCCAGAATGACGTGATTATGGTACATACCCAGTTGGATCTCGTTCCTCGCTATGGAGGACAGAAAACCGAAGAGGTTGGTATACCCTTGCAGCCGTTGCTGATGGCCCTTCAGCTGCAGCAAATCATTTCCTTGTGTTGGGATTTTCTATCCTTGTTGTATTCGAAGAGTCTCGCTTTACAACTCAGCAGGTGTGACAACCCCATAGCGCGCAATATGGCCGTGCGTTGTGGATCTATGATTTCCAAATGCCATTTCATGCAAAGCTCGCTCGTATGCAAGATACCCAACCATCCTGTTTTCGCCACTTAGTTGACCTCATCGCACCGGACTGGAAGGCGCAGAGTGTCCGGCAATGGGACTTCCCACCGTTGGCGTCCCTTTCTCAGGATCCGCCTCCAACGTCCCCTTACGACTCCGTCGCGCCTCTCTCTCCGCCAGAACCTCCTGCCTGACGCGTTCTTGCTCTTCAATCCCCGTCCTCGCCTTCTCATGCACTCTGCTCAGCTCGGTCTTGGTAATGAATAGCGAGACGATGATCCCAAAGGCCGCAAACGCGGTGTAGAAGATCCACATCTTTTGAAGCGAGCTGGTGTACGCGATGTCCACGGCGCGGCGCGCAGGGCCCGGCAGCGAGCGGATCATGCCCGTGGTCGTGCCGAAGGAGGAGGAGGTGAGCATGCGAGCGCGCTGATCGCCCAGCACGGGAGCAAGGGCGGAGTATTGTTTCTTCAGCTCGTTGGTGAACACAACGCCTCCTAGGACTACAGATATCGATGTCGACAGGTTTCGCACGAACCCGAACGTGGCGGTCGCCACAGCCATATCGTGTCCCTTGATGTGCGCTTGCAGTGCGATTAGCGGGGATTGGAAGTTTGGCCCGACACCAATCCCGGCGATGATCTGGTAGATGATGATTTTCGACCACTGCGGGTGATTTGGCAGGTCGATGAAGAGGCCGTAGCCCAGCGTCATGAGGATGAGGCCGAGCCAGATGGGGTCGCGGAAACGGCCGGTTTTCTTGATGTAGAGGCCCGTTGCTGTCGACACGAAGGAGAGGGTCAAGACCATGGTGAGAAGGTAGACGCCCGAGAGCAGAGGGCTGGCGCCAATGACCGTTTGGAAGTAGAAGGGAAGGTAGTAACTTCCTGCGATGAAGACGAAGCCGTGGATGAAGCACACGCCGAGGGCTGCCAGGTTTGAAGTGTTCTTGAACAGGCGCAGCGGTATGACAGGGTATTTCGCCAGCTTCCACTCATTGAGGAAGAAAAGGACGATGGTCAAGAGACCGAAAATGATCAGGCAGAGCGTGAATGCACTGTCCCAGGGATGTGTTGTGCCGCCAGAGGTCATGCCAAAGAGGAACATGACCACGCCGCCCACAATGGTGAGGACGCCGATCCAATCGATGGCCTTGACGCCCGCGAGGAAGGGTGTCTTGGGTGTCTCCAACTTCAGGAAGAAGGTGAGAAGAACCAGAGACAGCCCATCAAGGGGCAAGTTGATGTAGAAACACCATCGCCACGAGGCTTCTTCTGTGAATGCACCACCGATGATAGGCCCGACGCCAGATGCGATGGCCCACACCATGCCCAGGATGCCGTAGTATTTCGGTCGCTCTCGCATGCTGAACAAGTCCCCAATACAGATGTAGACAAGCGTGACAAGACCGCCTCCACCGACGCCCTGGATGACTCTGCCACCGATCAACAGACCAATTGAATTGGCCAGTGCGGCGACGAGACTGCCGGCCATGAAGACGGCGTTGGCAAGCATGATGATTGGTTTCCGTCCCCAAATGTCGGAGAGCTTGCCCCATAGCGGCACGCTCGCAGCATTGGCGAGGAGATATGAACTTCCAACCCAGGTGTAATCCGAAGCATTTATGTGGAAGTGCTCAGCAATGGTCGGTAAAGCCGTGGTAATGATGGTGACATCTAAAGCCGCCAGGAACAATGCCATGCACAGAGAAAACATGATCACTGCAGTCCTGGCCTTTGAGAATTCCGAGGCTCGCGACTGTGTCCGGTGCAAGTCGGGTTTCCTTGACGTCTGCTCCACTGGCGGTTCACTATCGACCGGTGACCGCGGGTCGACGTCATTTTCATGGTCGGGGAACTTTTCTGAGGCATTGGCGCTGGACGGCGATGAAAGTTCAGCATCCGGCTCTGGACGCTGTGTTGAGACGAGTGGTGCGGCGCCCGAGGGTTCAAGCTCTTCCGCGGCATGCTCGAGCTTGTGCTCGGCCTGTGAAGCCATGAGGCGAGACGTGAGAATCTCACGAGCGCGCTTCCTTGCGAGAAGATGTTATGAGATCAGAAATATTTATGGTGACGTTGCGTTAGGACTCAGAGAAGAGTTGTTGCAGGCGTCTGTGTACGTCTATGGTCTCGTATGGAAGTTCTGTTCAATCCAGGTCCAATGAACGAGGGTCGTATCCGGAAGCCGCAAGTAGGAGTCAACAGTTAATGCGGTCGGCGGTGCCCAAGTTGCTAAATGCCGTGCGTCGTCAAATGAATGGAGGAGTGACAAAAAGGCTTTACAAGCGACCTGAAAATAACAGAAATGAACTTGATGAGCAATGCATAGCAAACAGTAACGTGGTTAAATTTGTTAATTAGCAAGAGGCGAGCTGGAAAATCAACGGGCAGAGTACTCCGTTGAATGGCGACACTGTCTGTATGGAATCGGTCAGGATGGCAAGCAAGAGCCGACTGCGACAATTAGCCTTGCTGGCATATTTTCGATGGCCAGTAAGGAATCGATGACGCCGTGGACGAGCGGCTCGATCTGTCACCGCCTACTCGGTACGGAGCACGCGTGAGTACTTGACATGGCTGATCAGAAGTAGGTGAGTGGAATGTGAAAGTCTGAAGACTCGAGCTCTTCCAGCAAATCATCGTACGTAGAACTGCCGATTCTTCCAGAAAATGTGGGGGAGCCGGCCGGTGGAACGATCATGTACGAGTACGGTTGCCCAGTACGATCTTGGGCGAACGATCGTACCACATCCCCCTCCTCAGAGCCAAACTTCATTCAGAGTAATTACTGCTCGTAGAAGCTCTGTGGTGGTGGTCTGTGGACATCGTTAAGAGGCTGAGGCACAGAAGATTCTGTTTTAGAGTGTTCTTGCACCGTCATCGTGGCTATCACAATGTCAAGCCGGCGGCAGGAGAAACAACTGAGGCACAGTAAATGATATGGAGATGATCGAAGCTTGACTGAACGACCGTAGAACTACGGGTCCGGCTCAGAATAGCCCCGAGCGGGTCCATGCAGCGCGAATCTACGAACTCCCACACAGTAAGCGGTCATGCTCCGCATGGGGTAAGTATTGGAAGGGTATCGGGTCATGATGCGAGGTTACGAGTACTCATTTCTACAGGCTTTGCAACTCGTCGTCATGATGGGTATGGAACTTCTTACAGTAAATATCTAGTCCATGTGGACTTGCGATGCAGCCAGGCCCGCGTGCACGAACGAAGCCAGCCGCTCGAAAACTGCGCAACGCCGACGCATCATATCATGTCGAGGAGTTGATGTACATGCTTCCTTCATCTTAGAATTCAAAGGAGAAATCGTGCCGCTCAAGAAATCGAGAGCTGGACCAAAGCAGCTTAACCTCTCGTTCGTCTAATTTAGGGAATGGTGGCACCTGAGGCAGTTCATTTCCATGTTCCATATCTTTGGTTCGAAGGAAGGCCGTGCTTTGGTGTTCGCAGTGGGCACAAGCTGGCGGACAGTGGCACGAACGGTGGTCTCGTCTTCCGCCTTGCGCACCTTAGTGATCCTGCCTTCCAGTTTGCGAGCCCATGGCTTTTTATGACCAGCTACCAGCTTAGTGTGCTTGCTGGTTCCCAGGACCCTGTCTGAGTGCGCCCCGTCGTGGACCTCGGAGACTCCGATGCCGTTTCCCACAAGCTGCCCAACCTTTTCTACGACTTTCTGACTGAAAGTCTTGTTCTCCTCCACCTCTTGCATTTCGTGGTCAAGCATGCCTGTCTTGAACTTTTCCCAGGCCCTCTTCTCGATGTCTGCAATCAAGCAATTTTCATGATTCCACATCCGGCATCCAGTCGCACGGCACTGAAACATGTCGACTCCAGGGTTGTCATAACCTCCGCAAATGCAAAACTTCCGTAGCTTGCTCAGCGCAAGATGAGGAGTCGCCATCTTGGTAACGTCGTACATTTGGCGCCAGTATCGCTCATCAAGCACCGTCTTATTAGTATCGTCATATTCATCCCAGTGGCTGATATCCGCGTGGCATGCAATTGTTTGCGCTTCAATGATCTCGACGTGGTTGCTCATCACTAGTTCCCGATCCCCATGGTAAGGTTGTCGATGCATCGGTAGTTCATCCGGCCAATAGAGCCAGAACACCCTCACAAAGACTTTGTTGGTGGAAGCGGCGCGAAACTCGGCGATTTGTCCCACCCAAAGGTTTTCCTTGTCGTATGCAAGTCTTTCTGCCGGCGACGCATCAGTAGAGGGTGGCGCTGGTACAGGGAGGCGACGGTTTACGTAGACGATTTCGCCGGCGGAATAGGTAACGTCGATTGGATCCTTAACTAGTTTGTGAGGCTTGGTTAGACAGGCTTTTCTACAGTGACCACTCAACTCACACCTCGCGTTCTTATACTGCCGTAGTTTCAACCAGGAGCTGCCGGGCTTTACTGCGTAGTCGATCTCGAGCCGGCGCGGCCCTGGCAGCAGAGGGGCATCGTGCCCGGTATATAGATCCTCTCGTTTCAACCTTGCAAGGTACCGCTTTGACTTGGGCCAGACCGGACACTCGACCGTGATGGTTGTATCTGTGCTTGCTTCTGTCTCAATAGTCTCTTGGGGTTCGTCCGCGTCTGAAGCAGCTTCTTTCTTTGCGGGCTGGGAAGAATTGAGGTTCTTGTGGAAATTGTTGCTAGGTGAAGATTTGATGCTACCCTCGCGATCTGACCCCCCGTCCTCTATTTCGCCGGCTTTGCGCTTGCGCCCAGCCATCTGAGAAGGTAATGAGGGAGTTTCGGATGTGTTTCCTTGTGAGATGACTGTTAGAGGAGCAGGAATCTGTATATAGAACCGGCGAGTCCATCCGAGAAAGGAGAGATTGCACTGCGTGTGATAGTGAAGAACGCGGTGCGCGATGATCGCGTTGCAACTCTTATAGTTTCCAGGCGGGATGACAAGGTTGCCAGGAAGGAACGAGGAGCAGTGCAGAACAACGGAAGGGCCAAACGTTGCTAAAGTACAGCAAGCAAGACATGAGACTCAGGGAGTACGTGATGAAGAAAGGAAGTAGGCGCAGGTGCGCTGAAAGTGAGTTGCTGGTCAGCCTCGATTGGATAAACAAATGCGACAAAGCCCAGACTCCCCGCTGTCCCTTCCAACCTCATTCTAAAGTCCATTTCCAACACATCAAGAATCAGCATATATAGACTAGGCCGACCTCATCATTGCATGGGAGCAGAAATGATGAATTGAAACTCGACCTTCCAAGAATGAAAACTCCACTGTTCTAAGTTCCAGAGTCTTTGTGGTCTCAAATATCACGTTACTTGATGCTTCCAGCGGTGGTTTTCGGTTTGGCCCCGAGAAACGGTGGAACCCGCAACCCCAACGTGGAAGGAATCCACAGTGGGTTGTTCGCCCACCACACTCCATAACACCTTGGAAATGGGTGATCTTTAAAGCCATTGCAGGTCAATCCAGGAGCCGGTAGGCATCTTCAATCCTCATTATTACAGCTAATTCTTCTCTATACACAGTACCCTGCTCTTAAGCAGAGCTCTTCCGCTTTCCAAGAAATGATCTAGCATTGGGGTATCGTCCATTCAATTGCGCCACTGGCACCAGGTCGGGTGTCGACGCCAGTTCAGTCCATCCACCCATTGACCATCATTTTCCAAAGAGCCCCTTCAGCTTGCCCATGAAGCCACCCTTCTTGTCGTGAATATGCAGCTCATTCCCGGCGCCTCCTCGTCCGACATGATGGGATTCTTCCTTAGCGATTCGGGTGGCTGTCTCTGGGACGACATCGGTGTCTGCTGGAGCCGTGTGTACTTTGCTTCCTTCGTGGTCGATGTTTCCCGCGCCGCCACGGCCGGCCGAATACGGACCGTCGCCCTGATTTCCGACTAGTCCTTCGCGGACAATTTCGCCGTCGACATAGGTTTGTGTGTCGGGTGCGATATTTGCGGCACCTAAGTGGCGTTAGTGCATCCGAGCCAGACTATCAAGAAAAGGTTGATCTACCGCCGCGGCCGTGTGACACGTTAGCCATGTTTGGTCCTGCAACATGTCAAGTCAGTCGGGACAGCTTCGAGATTGGGGTCGACACTTCATGCGGATGCAATCCGGAGAATCGTGTATAAAGAAACCGACATTGGAGCATGGCGGCGTAGCCAAGGCAAGGCTGGGGACAAGAAATGGAAGGTGTGGGGCATGCGAATAGCTTACTACTGTGATATCGCAATCGCGTCCGCAGTAGAGATCGCTATGTGTGACTGTCTGGTCTGCTTTGCACGACTTCGGTAGTAGATATTTAGGAGGAAATCTGAGGAGGAAATCAAAGATCTGTACAAGTACAGGTATAAGAGGCGGTCGGTGTTGATATGGGATGAAGTGAAGCCTACCCGTATCCAAGAAACGCCATGACAGTTTTGAGTGACAAACCACAATTCGAAGCACGGCGATGGTGTGACTGAGTTCGTTCTTCCACTTATTTCGCGAGTTAGGTCAGGCATGACGTCCTTTGATTGACGCGATCGCGCCTTGACGTATGCCGAGCCTTGATAAACCCGCATGCCCAGCCTTGTGCTATCGCTGGCCAATCGCCATCGAGGTTTGAGGCACTCCCTCGTCGAGCTCACCGAACCCGAGCTAAACAGATTCGCTCACGGCGAGAGACCTTGTTATAGGCGAGTTGAAAGGCGAGGCTGGTTCATGGTGCTGAATGAGCTACAACTTGAATTCTGAAGCCAATGTCTCCAGTTCGTGTACAGTATCGTTCAACGCCGGCTAGGACGTGGATTCATCTTGTCCACGCAACCTCTTTTAGCCACGTCACGCCTTTGCAGTCTCCTTCTTCTCCTCAGCGCCTCCAGTCGTTGGTAGACCCATGAAGATCTTGAACGAGTCGTATATCATCCATTGCAATCCGGTCAATGTTCCGATCATGACCTAGACACCCCGAGTGATTAGCATATGCGTCCGGAGCAGGTAGCAGGTATATCAGACTCACAATTCTCACTGGGAGACCGTTCCAGAGACCAGAGAACCCAATCTTGGAATAGATTCGGCTCATGGCGCCACCGAAGCTCTCACCAGGAGCGCGTTCGGCATTGAGTTTGCTGACCATGACATCGGCGGGATGCGAGACAATAGCACAGAGAATACCGGCGAGATAACCACCAACGAAGGCCACACCGGTCTGAGCGCCCTTGCCGTAATCTGACTTGGATCCCGGCAGGTAGTTGTAGATGGCCGCAACAATGTTCTCAAAAGACGCGAATTTCATCATCGTATAGGGGATCTGTCTGCCCCAGAGAGGGTAGAGACCTTTGTATAACCTGCGATTGTCAGCATTACGCAACGATGGGGTTGTAGATCACACTGACCCGCCCCATCCCTCTGCAGCGGTGATTGAAGAAATCCCTTGGAATGTGCCGGAGAATGCGGGTGGCATCGTCGTCTGCATGCGCACCTTGACAGCTTCGAACGGGCAGAGACCAACATCGGCAATGAATTCGGCCGACGCAGAGGCAGTCAGATAGAGGACGGTCTTGTACTGTTTGGCATTTTCCTCGCCAGCGAGCTCGGTGTAAAGGTGCTTGAAGTATTCGTAGAAGCCGTATTTGCCGGCGCCCTGCACCGAGTAACCAACAAAGGTGGGGCCGAAACCAGTGAAGATGCCACGGGCGCCTTCGGTCCGTGCGATAGTACTCCAGGCCTGAAAGTTGCCCTTGTAAAGCTTGGAGTCGACCTGACGACGACATTTGACAAGATCGAGAGGAGTGACTGCGGCATGAGTCGTACCCTACGAGATGATTAGCTGCGCCACCACGGCGGAGAGGCATGTTTGCAACATACACATGCCAGAATACCTCCAACAGTACATGCTGCGTAGTATTTGGCCGAGTAGAGCTCGATGCCGCCAGCTTTAGCTTGAGCCTTCGCGCTGGCCTTTTCGTATTCTTTCTGTGCTGCCTCGGACAACTCAATGGCTTTCCCTTTTGCCGTATCCGCAGCACTCCATGAGGAGAAGTATCGGCGCCTCTCAGGCTTCTCAACGGGTTTGGGTGCTGGCTTGTAGTACGGTGAGGTAGGCGTGAAAGCCTGGCACAAGGCCGTGGTGTTGGGGAAGAGTCCGACCATGACGCTACAAGCTGATCAGCTTATCTCCAGGACAGCAATCGTGGGGATCCGGGTGTTGCGGTGATGGAAGAAACTGGACGTTGAGTAGAGGATTACCTTTAGTCTTGATGCAGGGTCAGACTGCGGCGTGTGAGTTATGAATATAGCAGAACGGAGCGACGGAGGGTTGATGGATGAAAAGAAGAGAGGTGAAACTACGGAGTACGTTTGTGTCAAATTACGGAGTACAGGTGCGGGCAACCACATGGGAGCAGCACCAAAGCACCAGTGATGCTATCGTCCGACAGCCAGTTTACGGGCCTGGGGAAGTGGGTTTAGGCGAAGCCCAGCCACTGAGCTCAGAGCTCCAGTGACAGCTCTGGGACCAAAGCTTTTCCTCTGGCGCTTCCCATTCTCCGCATTGGTTGCACCCGCTGGGTAACCGGCAGAGACGTCATCGTGCGCGTTCGCCCGTACGGTCAAGCATATAGCGATCATCTCGCAAGCAATATCCTCCACCCGTGCTCCGACGCTCCACATGTCAACACAATTCTACATAGTGAAGAACCAAATTACGCATAATTTGTCTTTACATTCTAAATGGCCTCGGATTGCAGTGACTGGTGAACCTTGCAGGAACCCGTTGCTTTGCTACAGCGTCCCCTATCTGCGTCACACTCTCTCCTTCGCAAGCCATGGCTCAGACTGGGTCAATCCTCGAACAGGGCGTGCCTCTAGGCCGAACAACTGTCCCCCAGGCCAATGGTCTACCTCCCAGCGAAGACGAAGATGCTGCCAAACTATCTGCTTGGGCAGATAAGTACCGTGGTGCAACAGTCGCCGACCTAGATCTTCCTCCCGCGTTGTCTACATCTCCAAACACATCACTCGCCGATGCCATGCTATCAGCCTCCTCCCACGACTATTCTCACCTGACCGTCCTTTCTGACAATACAAGGTCCCTGTTGGGCTACCTATCAGTCTCCAGGCTTAAGCAGCTGTTTGAGTCAGGCCAATTACAACCTTCAGATCACGTCTCCAAAGCCATGGTCAAATTCCAGCGGGGAGGAGATAGGAAATACCAGATCATTACAATGGAGACTGAATTATTCGAGTTGGAAGGGTTCTTTGAGAACATCGGACCATTTGCAACAGGTGCCAGACAGGACTTCGCCGTAGTCACAGATGGTGGCAGAAAGTTTGTGCTCGGCGTCGTCACCAGAAGCGATTTGGAGGAATTCGTCAAAAGAAGACCCGCCTAAGACCGTGCTGCAGGTCAAGCTCGACAAGGATTGATTCACAATTCCTTTATGTCCTTCAACCGGGAACATAATGGACTGTCGCACTAGTCATCAGAGCTGCGCTTACAGTTGAAGCTGAACATTCTCAACGATGTCCTCGGGTCATCTTGAAGCTGCTGTGGCGATTGCGGCAGATTGCTCCAGGGGCTATGACGCCGAGACAACTGGACAAACTTGTTATATACAAGCGCAAATGGAGGTCAAAGTCACCGTCAAATGGTGATCGGACGAGGACTGGTTCGATATGAGGTCCCCAGTCGCGGCTCTGCTCCTGCCGTCGAGCAATTACAAACACGTTCTGTTTGCCCATTTTCTCGAAGACGACCTACCGCAGGCACCGCGAAGCCTTACGCATGGCTACCGATTGTTTCACTCAACCTTTCTGGCTCGACTCTTACTACGAGCTGGGAAAGCGTACAATGTGACAGTCAGCTTGTCAGTCAGCTGAACTGCCACATAAGGAATGTCAGCATTTGATTTCGTATGGGTGACCCACACCGCCATTGGTCAGGCTTAACAACGCGAGTCTTTGATGGTATTCGTGGTAAGGACCCAGCTGCCGGTACAAGCTGTCCTTACCTAACTGGGTACTGGTCTCTACTGCAGATGCTTCGGACATCCAATTCTACCTGCCTTGGCGGCATTGAAGGGTCTTCGGGATGGCCTTTTGCCAACATTCCCCATCCAGATTGGAGCATCAAACAGCTATCACGGTGCTCTGGCAGTTGCCATCCACGCCCAGCCGTCCTGATCTCCGCTTCCTTCGATCCTTAACTTGAAAATCTATTCCCAAACCGCCCCTTCTGCATCTTGGCTCGCTCCCTACCGACTTGGCTGAGCTCTAATCCGATGCCATCGTTGAGACAGGGAGGAGAGAGCATACCGAAGAAATATCTTCGACCTAGCGACGGAAGTGATCGAATATGCCGGAGAAGGGGGATTGGTAGACACACTCAAAGGACGTGTGTCCAAGGACCAACGGTCCCTCCTACGCTGAAATGTATCCATACACGCTAGCAATAGTTGACTGCAGACTGGAGGTGCTTTCGATGGGAGGTCCTAGGCCGTGTAATCCAATCCGGTGAGATCCAAACCGCAAACTGCTCTATGTATATTCCCAACATAGATCTGGTTAATCTGGTTGCTGCGCGGCTGCATTGACCGGCCGTTAGAGGCTGGGTGTAATCAGAGAGACACCAGCGTCAGCAGGCAGGTGCCCTTTCCAGCAGGGTCTACGTGGTTGATCGACCGCACTTTACTAGCAGAGGTGAATGAAGTATGTTTGACAGTCTTGGTTCTTATCCAGCGGGCAGGAAGCTCTACCTGTATAGTTACTGTACGGTTAGTACAGCGCAACCGGTCCTAGGAAATTGTCCCCGAGTTATCTGAGCAGTCAAACACCTTGGAGATCAAGCCGCTGGCAAAGGCATCTCTGATCGAGACAGCAACACCGTAACTGCGCAGACGTTAGCATCGAAAGCCACCGAACTGAAAGCTGGAATCAGAATTCTACTCACGTTCCACCGACGACCATGAACAGACCGACCAGCACGATGAGGACGTGGGCTCCAAAAGCCGCCTTCTGCCATCCGCTGCCCTTGCGGTATCCCTTGAAGTCATACATCCACAGCATGGCCGGGAAAATCAAGCTGAACGGCGCGAAACACAGCGCGCCCGCCAGACCCAGCAGGTAATTCAGAATAGGCACCGCCTCGGCGATGATGAAGCCCAAGATGCCGAGGATCAAATTGCTGCCGAGCCAGGTGGCCCAGTGGGCGACGGTGTTGGCCTGCAGATGGGACGAGTCGCGCAGGACGCGCACGAAGATCAACTTTGCCGCCACGTGCTGGTAGATGCCGACGCCGATGACCAGGCCCGGCAGCGCGATGCCGTAGGAGATCTTCTTGAACAGGGTGCCCGCGCTGCCGAAGGCGGGTGTAGCCAGGTACACGCCGCACCAGCGGTAGATGACAAGTGAGAAGGTCAGATACATGGCGCCGACGAGGATGCCTGCGACGATGGCGGCCTTGCGGTAGTCGCGGGGCCGCCGCATCTCCGAGACCACGGGCAGGTACATCTGGCTGCCGCTGCCGCTGATGAAGATGTTGGCGCTGGCCGTGATGCCCGCGACGAACCCGGGGTGGTTGATGGCCACCCACCCCAGGTCGAAGTCTCCCGTCTTGGGCGCCGCGGCGGGGCGGTCCTGCTGCGTGACGGCAACCACAAAAATGAAGACGGCCACAAAGAACGTCACGAACCCCAGCCACGTGAGCCATCCCAGGCGCGAGAACGTCCGCACGCTCGAGAAGATGGTGATCAGCACGGCCGACACGAAGCTGAAGACCACGGTGCAGGCGCCGTGTTCCGAGAGCGCGTTGAACGCCGTCGAGCACGACACGATCCCCGCGGCCGTGATGATGACCTGCGCCACCAGGATCTGCAGGCCGACCAGTTCCTTGCCGACGCGGCCCCAGAGGAGCCCGCACATGTCTGCGAGCGCTGCACAAGCAATTAGCTGGGGACAACCATGATGTGGCAGAAAGCAGAAACTCACTATGGCATTCCGGGTGGCGGTTGCGGAAGTCGCCCAGGATGACGGCCGTGTAGGTGTTCAGGATCTCCCAGCCGACGATGCTCAGCGCGCCGCCGACGGCGCCCAGCGTGGCCAGCGCGCCCGGCACGGCGAGGATGCTCATCGCGAACTGGATCTTCAGGAAGATGATCGTGGCGCGCTGCCAGCTGACCGTGCGGAACTTGACGCCCCCAGCCGTGTCATCGTGGAAGACCTCGCGCGCTTCAAGCACTGCTTCCTTCGTGTCCGCGTCGGGCAGGGACGCATTGGGCGAATGCGCAGCGATGGTGTCGTTGAACTCGCCCACTCGTTTCTCGTTGCCGTACGATGTGTTCGCCATTTTGTCCTTTACGTTTGTCCTCCACCGCACGGTACCTGTAGACACCTGACGCGAAAGAAGGCGACACAGCGGGGAGGAGGGAGGAATTAATCAACGACGACCGGATTTTCACATACCGCTACGAGCTACGAGCTCCCAGACTGTGGACTAAAAGTTCCAGCAGCGAGCACTAACGTAACTTATCGTCGGTTCTGAGCGATCCAGAAATCTCAGACCAACTGGATACTGGGATGCGGAGAAGTCCCGCTCGGTTGATGATAAGAACCCATAAGACGACATGCCGCTACGCTTGGCTACCTCCCTAAAGGGGGATGATTCCCACGAAGTGGCGGGCCGAAGGGTCCAAGACCCAGATCCTCGGCATTCACAGTGGGAACAATCAACGTTCCAGACTCGTGGAGCGCCACGAGGGCTACGCGGTTGCGGAAGCCAGATTCGGTGATAGTCGCGGAGCCGCTGCTGTACTACGAGGATGTACAGGCGCACGAGCGCGAGGACTCTCCAAGCACACAGTAACGTCCCTGTTCTTTATCTGAGTGCGCCGCCAGCGCTCCTGGCCTGTTCACAAAATGATCACCATATTGGCCAGCGAATCTCCAAACAAGCATCGCTACTGTAGGTGCCTCGTACACAGCCGCAGTACGGAGTACATGGAAACTTATCGTAGGGCGAGCCAAGCAGATAACGAGGCTGTTCACATTTAGGGGCAACAAATCCGACTCTGTCTGAGCATCGCTGCCCAGCCGCCGCACGACAGCCAGGATTGTTTCGTGGATCCTGGTGGTGTCGTATACAGTCTATGCGATGAGCGCGAGCCCTTCAAGCTGCCCTTGTCGCTCCAAGATGGCGGGCCTTGTATTAATGATGGCAGTAACCCCATACGAGCAGAGGGAGACCTATGTGTGAAGCTTGTGCTGCAATGATATATTTGGACTATGGAAGCAATTGCAGGCCTGTTCTAGGTAAAGAGGGCGCGTCATGAAATGCTCAACTCCTGGGTAGACCGAAGAGAACCACTGTCGGCTGGTTCAAACTCGAGGAGGGTCTCGCTCTCGATGGAAGTACTACAGCTGTGGCAGGGCACTACTGTAAGTCTTCAATCTCTGAGTGTCTATCTCTTGAGAGCTGAGCTCTCAGCTATGAAACATATATGTTGCAGCTGTGCTGCTCCTGTCTCGCCATACGAGGGGAAGGACAGAACAAGGAAGGGACAGGACAGCAACGGAACTGCCCACCACATACGCCCGGGACAGAGAAGCCGAAGTCCTCGTGGCTCCTTCATCAATGTCGACCTCTGCAACGTCCTCCAGGTCGAGTATTTTCGGTTTCTTGGCCGCTGGTTCCCCATCTTCGTCGACATCGACCCACGGTCGTCCTGCATTGACCTCGGTCTCGACCTGGGTGAGGTCGGGGTCGCCCTTGGTTTGATTTCCGGCTTCTTCGCATCCCTGTGTCCAGTTGGTCTGAGATTTTGCACGAGTGGCATACACAACCTTTAGCTGGCTTCCAGTGCTGGATGGAAAGATTCCAAGCCGGACCAACTCACCAGAGAGCGGAACATGGAAGGGACAGGGCAGGAACGAGACTTCCCATGGCAGTAGCAGCAAGTCAAAACTGACCGATGAAACGTAGCGGAAGCGACTGAGGAGGACAAGTCGAACGTCTCCGGCCTCCCCAAGCCAATGCTTGGGGCTGTCATCTTTTTGCACCAGGGCTGACGGAGAGTATTGTGGTCAATGTCGGAGGTTATGAGATGTTTTGATTATACTGTATGTCGCATCCATGCTTCTATACAGTCCCCAGGTGCCATGGCCACCACACCGTGCGTATCCAGAAAAGAGAGCCCAATTTTAGTGGCTACCTCTTCTTTACTTTTATTACAGTGCGCCCTCAGAATCGATGGGAACAACAGTAACGTCTTCGTGAAAGAATGCGGAGGTATCTGAGATGGATCATTGAGAACTGGTGAGGATTCGTTCGTACTAGGGACTAAATAGCCGAGCCATTGTAGCCACGCAGACTCGTCAAAAGAGGGATTCGGAGCCACAGCAGTCGTGGTGTGCCTCTCAAGCCGCAATTGACAGTAGTCAGGCCACAGGTGTTGTGCGTTTCGTGCATTGCCGGTCATATTGGTATCACCGTCATCGACCGTTGCTTCCTGCCCTTCGGCATTGCCCAAAAGCTCGCGTTCGGGTCTTTGTAAGTTCGAAGCGGGTTCGTTTTACGTCAGACCTAAGACGGTTACCTCGGGCCCCGACCAACGGAAACAATGAGCTTGTGATTGTGATTCTGTTGCCGCTGATATACTGGAACGGGAATACAGATAGCTGCCGTCTATCCCGGTGGCAGCTCAGAAGCCCTTATCGAAGGCCATAGAGCGCTAAACTTGTGTTGCTACCATTTGTCATGGCAGTAACACAAGCTTCACACGAGGCTTCCCTTTGCTCTTGTGGCGCTACTGCCATGACAGCTTGACACCGGGCTGAAGGCGGACGTGATCAACACAGCGGACAACCAGCGGCGTGAAGTTCGAGCTCTTCCTGGGTAATGCCCGCCAGATTCCCAGCTCATGCATGGACAGGAGGGTGAGCATTCCAAGATGAGCATAGAGAAGTCCAGCAATACTGTCGACAAGCCAGTTGTCGATACGCCGTACGTGTTCGAAGGTGATGTGCAACTCCCCGAGCTGAGGGCGGCGAGAATCTGGTGGAGATTGATTAGACCATGTAGCCGGCAACATCGAATGTGTGACTCGATTGTGCCATACTCCCGTTTGCGCGTCAGGAACTTGTCACGCGTGGGGAACCGTTCTGCTTTGCGCCGTCCTACTTTCTCATAGGCATTCGTCCTATCCATGCTGGACCGTAAAACGACGCTTGCCTGTGTTGGAGCGCGACTGGCTAATATGCCAACGGCAATCACTGCGGCAGAGATCTCTGAGTCCACATTGTGTAAATGACCAGTCGACATCAACACATGAAGGCCAAATTCCAAGCATCAGCGCTATTTCGTTTACCTTTTCTCCTTCGCCGTTGGCTACCTTTCGTAGGTCTTCAAGTATAGGGTTTGCATGATAGTCGAATGTACCAGGCGCCACAGGCGATTGCTGGGCGAATTTCATCGATTCGATCTCTTTGGTGATGAGCCTGAAACTATTAGCCCTATCTCAGCCCTGTGATGCCAGCATGGTTTGCGTTTCCGGCGGAAGCCATGTGGTCAGAGAGTTACTCGGGCCCGCGACCAAGAGTTTGGGCGTCGAGGTCCAGCGGTATAAGCAGGCGTCTAGAGACCGGTACTCCGTACCTGGCTACAGGTGCGAGAGACTACGGCCTGCTTTTTTAAGAAGCTCTGCATCTGCTGGCATGTAAGAAGCGTTGGATGTTCTCCAACGTGCTGTTGTGAAGGAGGATCTGTCTTGATCCAGAACTGAGGCATGCAAACCCATTGGTAGCGAGGCAGGTGGCGGTAGCGAGCCCCGGGGGGGCCGTTCCGTTTCTTGCCACCACGCCCAGTGGGCAGTAGGTTCTGCAGCCGTGGCAAGCGACTCTACCCGGTATGCGGTCGTCGAGTTTGCCAAATTCGAAATATATATATAAGCCAGCCCCGTCCGCCAAGTGGCTCAGGCTGATCGAATCATCAAGCCAGCAAGTGGTGAAAGGCACAGCAACGCCATATACAGCCATCGCCGCGGGAAGCATATGGAGAACCTGCATTCTTGCATAGCAACGAAGCTGGCTTCCGAGTGGGATTGCTTGGAATAGCGGCTTGCTTTCGTTGCTGCAGCATCATTGTCCATCTGCGCTGGGTGACACTGAACTTGCTAGCTGTTCCAGGTAATCACCCCTTTTTCATGTTGGCTGTTAAGAGGTGAGCTGGTCTTGGGGAGGCCAGACGGACTCGGATGATGCGGTCCTGGACCGAATTGGCGGTGTGGTTGGTGACATGCTGCCCTCATGTTGGCCAGCTGCGCGCACGCGTGAGGCTGCGATCCTTGCCACAGCCTAGTACCGTCACCATTTCCGGATACTTCAAACGATCCATGTACAGTGGCAGTAGCTGCACCACCACCACCTTCTCCGCCTTCAAATCCCTGCTTTCCGCGGCGGTTTTGTTGCACGAGTTGGCTGCGCAGAGTTACACGACGAAGAGCCCAGCTTGGCGCTGTAGGTCATCGATGTTCTGGGTGTACGTTCGGTGGTGTTGCGGCTCGGCAGTTGTTTGCATCTGTTGGGCGTCGGCATCGAGGTCATTTCGCACGTCGAAATACCGGATCCGTGATCGGCCTTCACATCCCTCCGGTACGCCGCCTTGGGTCAATGGGCGGCCCGCGAGTTGTCGAATCAAACGGATGTACCGCCATCCTTTGACCTAAAGTCCTGCCGACAGCACCAAAGGTACTTGGTACACCCTTCTCTCTTCCTATAGATAGCGCTGGAGCTCCAGCCCATATCGTGTACATACAGCTGAACGTCCTGTCTTCGATGCTTCCCTGTGTGCACCTGGCTCCACGCCAGTCCACAGCGGCACGCTGATCTTCGTCACCCTTCGTAACCGTTAGCATCTACCTTTGCAAAAAGAGCGGGAAGACTTACACTCAAGGCCATACAGTTCGCGCTGGAGAAGCGGAATGGCTCGAGGAGCATCGCCAAGAGCCTCATGGCAATGGAAACGTTGCTCGCTTGACAGAACCTGCCTGCACAACACCACCGACACAGATGTTCGGTTGGCCCCACAGAACAACACACTTGAGGAGGACTGTAAGATGCTGTTGAAGTCTCCTTTGCTGAAGTTTCCGCCAATTGCCAACCAGGTGACGTCCATGGCTGGATTGATGCAAACAGGAGTTGTCGTGCGCTTGGAACAGCACACGCAGTGTCAAGTTTTGCCGGCGTCGCATAGTCGAGGATCGGCATGACGATAGAGCTTTCAGCTGCTCTCTCAAGCAGAGGTGTCTGGTTCTGGCAAGTCTGTGTCTGTGCTGGAAAGAGGTATCTGCAGTGTCTATTATATATATATATATATATATTTACTCCCCGAACAGTCGTCCTGCGCACCCATTCGGCTGACTTATCCCTCGCCGCTTTGCTCTCCCGCTAACGACTATTTTGTCGACTTGCTCCCTCGTCCACTCTCTTCTTGTCCGCAGGCGACCATATCAGGAGAAGCTTGGCCTGTTTGTCGCGGGTGAGAATTCGCCCGAGGGGTGATGCTCTCGGTCCCGTGACAGGCACTGTCCCACCATGTTAGGGATAGAATAGTGAATAGGCAGAGTGGTCAATAATAGTGTAGATGTAGGTATTCCTATATACAGTGAGACACAGACTCAAAAGCAGAAGAACTTATGCTTACCTCGCTATTCTACTTCGAATTGGGATCTATACCCCGCGTTATTGGCCAGCCTCGCGTGGCATCACCATCGGTAGCACGAGATTGTCAGTCCTCTCACATATCCCTCAAACCCTTCTGGCTGCTGATTCTACTCCTAAGTCAACCATCTCTTCAATCTTGAGTTCGCTTTTCGCTCTCCCTATCTTCACTGGCAAGAGCAGACCAAGTGCGAGCCCTGCAAGGCCTACTCCTAGCCAAAACGCTATCTTATAACTGCGCTTGCTTCCAAGGTCCTCAGTCGAAGCGACTGCTATATCGGCTACTCCGAGGAACAGGCTGATTCCTAGGAAAACGATGCTGTTTATCAATGCTCCGGCTAGGGATTGTCTCTCGGAAGGCATCCTTGTCGTAATGAAAATATTACTGACGGTGTATGTGACATCGACGCCAAGTGTCGCACAAATCATCGTCGGAAACACATGCGCCCAGTAGTTCGGTTCGTCCGGGATCACAGCAAAAAGCAATACACATGTGATATATCCCAGTCCAGATAGTAAAAGCAGAGCAGATCCCGGTAGCCGGTGAAGGACCAGGGCGCCAATTGAAGTTAGAAGTAGTCCGCCGATAGCCATGGGTGTAAACCATGCTACAGTCTGCAGTGGTGACTTTTGAAGAACATCTTCGATGCTGCTCAAATTAGCGACTGACTCCGAACTTTATCGGTGTAACTCACTAGAGGCTTGTGTAGAACAAATATATACCGAAGACTCCATATGACAGGAGCAGCGACACTGAGAGCGGTTTCATATGACGAACCTTAAATAGGTCAAATGGAAGCAACGGGTGTTCCGCCACCCAGCCCTCTATATAAACCGCAACACCGAGACAAATAACACCAGCGGCCATGGTGATGCCCACGTATGGTGTAGCCCATCCATCCGAAGTATGCGAACTGTCAGTGAGCGCAAAAACGACCAGCAATAATCCCGGCACAACGACGGAAGCTCCCCACCAATCCATCTTGATGTTGGAGTTTCTCGCGTCACTGTGGTTGGTCGGAACAGCCATATATGCAAGGACTGTGGCAAGGAAGAGTAAAATTGCGCCAATCCAGAAGTACCAGCGCCAGGTCAAGCTTTGCCCGCTTGCCCCTCCAGCGAAGATGCCGAGAAAGAAGCCCAGAGGGGAGAAGGAACCATAGAGGCTGAAAACCAAATTTTTTCGTGGTCCAGGTCGGTACGTGCGACCTAGCAACATGATACCGGATGGGAGATACGCCGCTGGCCCCAACCCTTGTAGTGCACGACAAACAATCAGCGTGACGTAGTTTTGGCTAAACCCTGCGGCTAGGGACCAAATGAAGTGCCAGGCCAACCCCATAACGAAGACCAGTCGGGCCCCTAGGATATCTGCAAGACGGCCCAGAGGCAGAAGAAAGGCGCCGGTGACAAGAGAGAAGACGCTGGCAGGCCATGTCCTGGCTTGATCAGGGATGTCGAGAGCTGTGGCCATGAACGGAAGAATAATGTTGAAGCCACTAACAAAGTACTCCTGTCAACAGTGAGTGATATATTCGAATTCTTGCATCAGGAACATGCGTATGACTTACAGCCATCAGCATGGACGCTAATATGGTTACACAAAAGGCGGCTTCCGCCCAGACTGTTTGGAACACTTCGGGTCTCTGTCTCCCTAGTGCTTCGATCCGAGCCTCGATGTCAAGTTCAGCGCCTGGCGCAGTACCAGGTTCACAGCGGGCGGGAACGCCATTTTGTATCTCCATATTGCCACAGAGTGAAATGTGTTGCGCAGAAAAGAACTTTTTTCTTGGCAAGGGAGAGGGCTTCAATATAGTTGAGGACGCTCTACCAAAGGCATCTTCCGTTCCACTCTGACGGCCGAATTAGGCAGCCAAGACGCAACCTCAGGGAGGGAGACTTCGAACACTGGGTCCACTTCAGTGGGCAAGTCTGCTTGAAATGGCGCATATATACAGCCAAGTATTTCTGCCATATCTATCACTGTGGTATCTCTCGAGTATCTCAGCGCTTGTCCAGCATTTTGCCCGACAGCAAGCGGTATCTCCACCCAGAAAAATTGCGATCGAATATATACGAGGTCGAAAACAATCTGTATTGCAAAATAATATAATGAGGAAGAAGATCGAAATCGACATTATACTCCGAGACGGAGAAAATGCGACTTATTCGACCCACGAGGTGATCCGAGGCCGGGTGGTCCTCAACTCCGCTGAAGATGCTGTACTCGACGACCTCCGCATCACACTCAAAGGCAAAGCAAGCATACGTCTGAAGAGACCTCTGGATCTTGCTATGGTAGCGGGATACCTGGTTGGAGAGCACACCTTCCTCCGAATGTCCGCACCTGTGTCGTCGCCCGTGCTGCTACAGGGTCGCTCAGCTCGAGGTGTCATTTCTTACAGCATACCTTTCAACTTCACTGTTCCCCAAAACCTTCTTCAGTACGCTTGCATGCACAACACTAAGGACGATCAAAGTGTGAAAACCGCACATTTACTCCTACCACCTTCACTCGGCAAGTTCAAGAGAGCCGGCATTCTCGTGCATGATCTAGGCCCCGAAACCACGACTGTGACTTATGCTGTGTACGCTTCCGTCAGAAGGTTCACCCCGGATCTTACCCCTGTACTGATCGAGAAAGCCGTGCGTGTACGCATCTGCCCGAGGAGGGAGGAGGTACCACCAATCCTTGTCAGACGAGACGACCCTTACTACAAACTACGCGAGGAAAAAGCCGTATATAAAGGCTGTCTAAAGCTCGGCAAGGTTGCCGGACGGCTTGTCGCACAGACTAGTCAGCCATCCTCCTTGAAGCTGCCATGTCCGCATACAGATACCGGGAGTTTACCAATTGTCATGTCAACTGTGAACTTACGGTTTTATCCTGCGGCGGACGGCGAACGACCGCCAAAGCTCAAGCTGATCACGTATAAGCTCCATTCCTCCACGTTCTCGGGCGCAGCCCCTTACGAAAGCCTGCCAACTCAGAGCGAGTGTCATGTCGACAGTCCGTTGCATAGACTTTACACCGAATCTACTCGTTTGACAACTCACAGTCTCTCTGCTGTCGTTTGGCTAGGACACGGGTCTTACGGAACTGCAGGCCTTCCAAATTCCAGGGAGCATGCTTCACCTCCCATAGTGGCTGGGACATCCGAGACCTTCTCATCTCCATTGTCTTACGAAGCTCATGGCTCGTTTTATACCGCCGATCTGAGAATTCCTTTATCACTTCGGAGATATTCATCACAGCAGTCGAAACTGAAAATTTTCCTACCGACCTTCAGCTCGTGTCTTGTTGGCCGCACCTACAGTTTGGAAGCAACATTATGGTATCGGGCTATTCCTAGGTCTTTCGGTTCGTCCTCGAAGGTTCTAACCAGCTTAGCCTCGAGGTCAGCATCCTTTATACCCTGTTCAAAGTTGAATCTTGTGATACCTGTGCAGATCAGTTTTGAATTGGGGAGCTCTTCATCGCCACCCGCCCAAATCTCGCCGTGCACTACTCACCATTCTCAAGCCGAGCAAGTCGGAGGACATCCGATCAATCTTGAGCAAGAGTGCAGCTCCGGTTCCCTACCTACGCCCCCAGATTTCAGAGACACGCAGACTGTTCCAGGACTGATTTCCGAGCAGATGTACGTTGGAAGTGTTCCCGTAAATCGAGAAGATCCCGCACTGGGTCAATTTGTCGGCTCGAGGGATTTGACGGTTCGAGATTTCGATGAAGATCCACCGTCCTATTTCTGAGTCTTGCAGTTCTGGCCTTGAATCTTGCGCGAAGAAGAATTACCTGGCAACTCTATTTACTGGACCAGAGATCGATGCTTTGCGGTCTTCTTTATCGGAGCAGATATATATGTGTGCAACGTGTATGTGTGGCGTTCTGGATAGAGTACCCTCCTCGCTTTGGCGATATTTCGGTTACATCTACGGAATATGGGTTGTTGGCTTTGTGATGAACCACTATGTTCGCAAGACATTTGTGTCTCTGGAGGAAAGTGCCGTTGCTTCTCTTAAAGTGGCTGCATCTCCCGGATAATAAACTCACCACAGCTATGTCCCACGCGCATCTGTATCACGGCCTAATGTCGATTACACAGAATGCTTGATGAAGGACGTCCACGCTGCGAGTCGAGTTGTATAGTTTCTCAGGATGCAAGATACTTCGCACCCGCGTCATTCATCGTCGTCAAGAGCTTGTTTGTACCCTTTCTCAATTCTGCTAGGTCGTCGAAACTCCTATTTACTACATCACACGTCGATTCACCACTCAGCTCAGTCTTTGCTGCCCGCCCAACACTGAGGTTCAAGAAACGGTCAAAGTGGGCTCGACGTGACGCTCTGTTGAGAAAATGAGCTAAACCTTGAAAGGAAGCCAAGATACTAGACTGACTACTAGATTTGTGTCAACGTCAGCGCCAGCAGAACAAGTCATTTCATTCCAGCTTGCCAGAAAGGGTGCGGTCCATTAAGCCTAATTAGGCATGGTCTAGCGCCCTGCCTTTGGGCACAGTCGCTCATTTCCATCGATACAGTCATTTTAGCACAGGATTACCAGTCAAGACAATAGTCCCCGGGGACCAGGCAGCACGGAGCAAGAAGCGCAGATCAGGTGCCCAGGCGGCAGGCTTAACTGCCCACTGGGGGCAGGAATCCAGGTCATGTTGTCTCAGATAGCCCAGCCACTATCTTCAACAGATAGGCAACTGGTTCAAGTCCATAGCCGAAGGTACCTGATTCTCCACCTATATAACTAGGCAAGAGAGGTACCCTTCTTACTACCTCGTAGGAAGAACAACAATCATTGAATCGAAGTCATGTAGTGGTTGTTCATTGAATCGTGACGACTTGTCAGTGCACCAAGTGGAGTCTTTTGAATGCGCACCAGGCAGGTTGCCATGACGTAACATTTTCCTTTCCTACCCAGGCCGCGGCCGCCGCCCAGCGTGGAGGGTTAGAGGGGAACAGCCACCTCCCTCTCAACACAGAAATTCGGTCGACCTAACTTCCCCTTCACTTTCACTGGCCTCGGCCCAAAATGCTGCTTGCGACATCTGACATCTTGCACAACTTTCTCCCATACTGGACTCATACTCGGCAATGAAATGACCAGTGTTGATACCTCTCAGAGCAAACCGTGCCACAATTGCAGACGTCGGCGTCTGAGGTGTGATCGATCTTTTCCTCGTTGCCAGAAATGTATCAAGGACGGTCAAGAATGCTTGGGCTATCAGCGCCTCTTCCTATGGGATCAAGGAATGGCGAGCCGTGGAAAAATGAAAGGTATGAGGTTTGAGGATCTTCAGCAGAATAAAGCAAAGCGGGGACGACCTGTTTCTAGGCGTCCAGGGGATATCAAATATCATCGATTGTTCGAACAAGAAAGCACCGAGAAATCACCCATTAGCTTTTTGAACGATCCAATCTTGCAGGACTTGAGCCTCATTGCCAGGTCTTACATCTTGTATTGTAAGTCATTCAGCCCGGTCTGCTCAGGGATCTATTGTTGACTGAAGTCTCTTTCCTTAGTCGCGAGTGATGTGTGTAAAGATCTAGTAATCTATGATGTTCCCGAATACAATCCCTTTTATAACCTCATCCCCATGACGAAGCACCACGAGGTCCTCCTTCACATCATCATCGCCACTGCGGCACTCCACATGTCAAATGCGGCTCAGAGGCAGTCAATCAGCAAGACATCGGGAATGCCAGTCCAGGGTATCTTAAACAGATCAGGTTGTCTGTCCTTGGGTTCTTCAACATTTCGGTCTCCAAGAGCGTACAGAGACGCCCTCATAGCAAAAGAGCATGCTCTCAGATTGTTAAGTCTTGCTCTTGAGACTTTAACCTCGACCAACATCGACGTAATTCTAGCGACAATACTGCTCTTTGTCGAACTTGAGCTGATCGACTCGGGAAGACATGGTTGGAGATGGCATATTGATGGTGCAAGAACACTTATTTCTGGTTTGATTGAATCAAACCAGATGGGATCCAGCCGTATGAGCACCCTGCGCAGCTGTTTGATTTCAAATTGCTTAGTGTACGTTGGTCTCTATGCGGCGATCCTCTTTGCTCTCTGTCCCCACCTTCTCTGAACCATACTAACGACTTCAAAATCAGGTATGATATCCTTGGCTCCTCTTTGACTTGTTTAGAGGTGCCAGAACCTTCTTGCGCTTGGTCGCCTTTACTGGACGCAGAAGCCAATATCTACCTCTCATGCCCGGCGACTCTGCTTCAGATAATAATGGCTGCTGCCAAAATATCACGCAGTGTCAAAGAAAGTTGGAATATTGAGTCGGCAACCACCTACATGCAAGAACAGACATACATCTTACTCCAGGCGGCTTGGTCATTCGATGCGCTGGCTTGGGCTCGAGCAATCCAGGGAGCATCGCCGCAGAACGATCTTGTACACCGAACCCATATCGCATCTGCGCACAAAGCAGCAGTGTGCATCTACCTCTCTCGGACTCTTATATACTCTTCCTCCTCCGATGACCACGATCAGGAACTTGAATTTCTAGTTTCAGAGGTCATCCATCATCTCTCCTTCATCTCGCCGGGCGAGGCCCTATTCAAAGCCACTTCGTGGCCTACATTTATTGCAGGTGCAGAAACTAAAAGTCTTAACCACCAGGATTGGGTCATGACTCGACTTGAAGAACTATGGGAGGTTTTGCCATGGGGTTTCATTCGGAATACGTTGGACCTGCTTGGGCTTATCTGGCGTGGGAAGAACGCTCCAACAGAAAGCGCTATATTCGGAGTTAATTGGATTCAGGGTATAAGGATGTCGGGGATTGATTGTCTAATAGCCTAATGTATGATTAACTTGAGCAGTGTGGTTAAATACCTGTACTCGCGTGGATCCGTGACGCCTGGAGCCCTCGTTAAACCAACATAGTAATGTATATATATATATCATCGGAACACCCCTGCTTGTCCCACAAGCTGGAAGGGCTTGTCGACTAGGAAGGTGCGAAGGCGTACCCCTGCACGTTCGCCAACGTCGACGAATATCGTGTCATCAAACGGAGAGCATGATGTAGCCGACACGGCATTTGGTGCAACGGTGCGAAGGTAAGAAGGGGGAGCGATGGGAGATTGCGTCGCCCCTCGCAAGAGGTTGAGAAGGGGAGTGAGCTGAACGGGCTGGGAGAAGGAAAGAGCAGCTTGGAAGGGGAGAGAGGGATACTATAGGCGACAGACCCACGGGCCACAGGTCCTCAGGACAGGCTCTGACTCACCGGACTGCCGTCAGTCATCGGTGGTTACCTGCGAGGTTCCAGACAATGGGTATTCAGTTAAGTGGGGGACGAATGGTGGTTGGTGACCACAAACTTTGACTTTGGCCCGTGAAGAGGCAGTGAAAGAGGGAAGAGGATGACTGGAAGCGCCAATATTGTCCAATCCGAATGTCGTGACTCGGCCTCTGGAGCCTCTCTATCGTCACTGGCAATGCTCATTCATTTCCTGCATACACGATAGTTATGCTCCAACAGTGCAGGAATGGAACCTGGTAGTCATTCTCACCATCATCACGCCCTTCAGGGCGGGTCTTCAAGCCTGGTATCCAACAAGCTCACTTGTCACATTCACAATCGCGCGCTCAATTTCTAGACTTCACTCCCTCAGTACGTGGCTGCGTACGAGTTGGCAAATCCACACTTCCCTTCCTACCGCCGGGTTGATCCTGATCGTCCTCGGATGCAGACTCCGTCAGGCTTGACAACGGCGAGTCGAATCGCTGTTTGACCGGACTCGTCACATCAGCCATCAGCTTCTCGACAGGTTCAGTCTCGAGCTTCTTGAACAACATCTCTTCGACCATCATGCGTCCTTCAACCTCCTTATCGGTCTCTTCGTTGTCTTCTCTGGGCGCTTGTTCTTCTCCATCTCCGGCGACTTGATCATCAAGCTTGAGCTTCGTGAGACCCATGGCGTAGATCTGCTCCTCTACAGTACCGCGGGAAATTAGTCTGATGACTTCGACATCCTTCTCTTGTCCGATTCGATGCGCTCGGTTCTCGGCCTGGATATCGTCCTGCGGGTTGAAACCGCTGTCGAAGATGATCACCTTGTTGGCCTTTGCCAGGTTGATACCTGCACCACCAGCCTTTGTACTAAGCATGAACACCGGTGTATGATTGTCGTCGGCGGAAAACTCATCGATCAGGTCTTGTCGTTCGGTAACCTTTGTAGAGCCATCGAGTCGGAAATAGCCGATCGCCTCGCGTTCCAGGACCAGCTCGAGGATGTCCAAAACCATGACAAATTGGCTGAAAATCAACGTCCTGTGACCCTCGGCGATGAACTTGTGCAGAAGTTCGACCATCTTCTGAACCTTGCCGCTGGCGCGCCATTCGTCACCATTCAACGCGAATTTCTGCAGTTGCGGATGCTTGTCACAAAGATTATGGATTTCCATGTCATTGTACTCGAGCAATTCTGTGACAATCAAGTCCGGGTTGGACTCACGCCACAGATCAACCTTCAAGCATTGCTTTGCGATGACGGGAAGTTTCCTGTCGGTATAGAGGCGCCTGAAGAGAAATGGATGGAGAGATGCGAATCGTAGTTTCATAAGCACGTTTGTGGACTCATTGCTGACGTTCTCCCCTCTTGCGCGTCGCTCACGGATCTCATAAGCTTTGTCAAGCCATAGTTGATACAATCCAGCTTGTTCAGGGCTCAAATCGCAGAGCTCGGTCCTACGCTCCTTCTTCGGAAGGTCTTTCAAGACTTGGAACTTCTTTCGCCTCAGTATGAAGGGAGTGAGCATGCTGCGGGCCCGCTGGATCCTCTGTGTGGACAGGAGCATCTCCTGGTGGTTATCGAGAGCCTTGACGTTGTGGGTGAAAATCGTCTCGAGGTCGTCAGCTTTCTCTTTGAACAATCCTGGCATGAGAAAGCCGAGCAGGGAGATCAGCTCCTTCAGGTTATTCTGCAGTGGTGTCCCGGTGAGCAGGAGCCGAAAGTTTGACTGGATCCTGGTCAATTGCTTCGAGACCTGCGATGAGGCGTTCTTGAGTACATGCCCTTCGTCGTAAATGGTACAGTCGAAGCCATACGTCCTCAACCACGGATGATCTTCTTTACCTTTGGCGATCGTATATGTGGTCACAATAACGTTGACGTCTTCACGGTTATCGGTAAGAGTCTCTCGCAGATGGAACCGTTCCTGAGGACTTGTTGAGTAATATGGTTCAACGTTCAGTGCTGGGCAAAATCGCTGGAATTCCTTGAGCCAGTTTTCAAGAGTTGCTGCTGGCACGACGACCAGATGAGGTCCCGTTTTCCCCTGCTCAAATAGGTGGGCTAGGAAGGCGATGACCTGACACGTCTTCCCCAGACCCATGTCGTCGGCTAGAATGCAGCTCATGCCTTTGCTGTAGAGGAGGTTGAGCCAGTTCAGGCCCACGATCTGGTAGTCCTTCATCTGTATATCATGGGACATGATTGACGGTTGTTGGATGAGACCTTTCGATCCAGAGCGCTTGACGTCCTCCTCGTCACTCACAGGCGTTCCGATCCCTGAGTCATGACTCGGTCGTTGTGCTTGTAGGGAGACCATTTCCAATTCTCCAGTTTGTGAGCTGATTGCTTTGGAACCCCAACTTTTCATCTCGTGTGACAGAGGCTTGGCCAAGTTCTGGCATTGCTTGACGAGATAGTCCACAGCTTCGTAGCTTCGAAGCATTTCCTTGACCTTGTCAACAATTCGTTCTCCGATGATCGCCGTTTTCCTTCGACCCTTGGCGGGCTTTGGGTCCTCAACCTTTTTGACGGCATCAAGACTTCTGAAGGGTCGCTTTGAGATAACATGCTCTGCCACCTCACGACTGATAGAAGAGAGGTCTGCCAAGTCCGCGGCGGAACACGTGTTGAACAGTCCAAGGACTCGGCTTTGAAATGTGCCTTCTGCTTCGCCCTCCGAACTCATCGCGGAGTCGGCCGCATCAGATTCGTCTGACTGGATGGCCTGAACACGTGGGAGTTTCGGCTTGGCCTTAGGTTCGGGCGCGGCAGCTGCTGGCGAAGATGAGCGTCGCCGCCGGCCACGCACCAAGGTTCGTTTCTTCTGTGGAAGAGGGGTATCGAAGACGTCGATTGCCTTTGGCTTTCTGACGTTCTGAGTCGAGCTCCATTTCTCTGTGATACTTCGCTGTGGCACCTTGGCTTGCTGGCGGGTCACATTGACGCGCGGTGCCACGGGCTTCTTTGTCGCAGCAGGCGTCGGCATCAGCTCGTCGTCGGACAGCGTCAGGTCGACTGGGCCGTTCTTGGCCGGACGCCTTTCGCTTCGCAGAAGTAGTTCATCGGCAGCTTCGTCATAATTTCCCTTCTTCAGCATCAAAACCTCGAAACATTCCCTTACAGTGACCGCGCTCAGCATCGACATCAGCCTGTTCACCTTCTGCCGCATGTTGTATTCGGTGATGTCATCCAATTCCATCTCTTGTACCATCTTAGGAGGCGATGAGGATACTGGAAGAGCACGGGAGGGTGCATTCTGGCGAGGCTTCTTTGAGACGTTGCCGTACGCATTCGCCATGGCGTCCGCAGAACGTTTCGCTCCGCTTGATCCACCAGACGAGGTGGAAGCAGGTGACCCTCTGAATATGGCGCGTGCAGTCAGCTCCATAAACCGACTCCGCCCATCGTTCTGAGGTTGCGGAGACTCCGGGATCTTTCCAGGCGATTGGTCTCGCTTCCGTACAAAAGTGGACGGCTTTATGTCGTTAGTCCTTCTAGGTTCATCGCTATCCGATGAGCCACCCTTGTATGCAGGACCTTCGTCGTCGGAATCGATCGAAATGGGCGTTGGCCGCGATTGAGGCGCCACATAGGGTCTTCTGAATGTCGTTCCTGCGGGTGCCATAGCACTGGCAAGAATGCCTAGGGCCTTTCTCTCCACTGTCGGGGCGGCCATTGGCGAGGAAGCGGCCACCTGGACCAAAGATGCTTTAGGAGGCGAGGAAGACAGTTTCGCAGAAGAACGATCAATAAGCTGCGTGGGCTGCGTCTGTCGGTTCTGGGTAGGACGATTGACCGGCAGAGTGGCTAACGACTCGATATCGGAGTTGTCGTCTGCCACGTTAACCCGGTGGAGGGGAACTGTATCAACCGTCTCGTGAAGGGGTTTGTAGTTTGGATTGAACAGCTCATCGTCCGATTGTGACAGTGAATCCTCTGACGCCATGGTAAGGTAAAAGGGACAGGTACTCGAGACACCGACGTGGGTGCGGCAGAGAGCAAGGGAGCGGTATTGACTACAGTTAGCACATATTGAAGGTGTACTTTTTGCCGCCTATAACTCGAATAATCGCTAGCGAGGATCCTCAGCGGTGCACGGTCAATTGCGGCGCGACGACGTTCACTCGTACAGTAGTCGAAAATGGAGTAATTTACACGCGGTGCAAATATGGCCCACCATCTCCGACTTTGGTCCATTAAAACTTTACGCGTCGAGGAGCGCGTCATTGCCAAGCCCGTGCGTGTTCGAAGGACGAAGTACTATGGTACGAGTACCAGTTCCTTCTTAGCAGTGTCAGCACCTGAGTATTCGAACGTTCTACAATCTCATGTTGTATTCGGACACCAGGGTGCTCTATAGCTGCTGTCACTGCCATATGTCGTACGTGTAAGGAGCCGTCTTAGAACACCGACAGCTCGTACCTCTATCTCGAGTAAGAAGCCATTTGGGAACACCGGATGCAACCAACATAATTGGGCTTCCGCATCATGGGACCTTACAATGTCCTTGCAACCCTCCAGGAGCTGCTCGATTGTTCTCGAATGGTTTCTTCATCGGTAAAATAGACTCCTTTCTTCGTGGGCAGCTTTCCGGCAGATCGGAAAGGTTGAAATAAAAGACGTCTTTTGGATGCATGTCCAAAGAAGATGATTTTGCTGCTACAGACATGTCAAAACATGACGTCTCACCTGGGGGTGTGCCAATATCAGGCTGAGTGTTGAAGGACCACTGGCCGAGGGGATATTGCGAGGCTGATATTGTAGTCAAGACACCGTGGTCACTCGCGTGAAGCCACTGGCTGAACCAAGTCGTCAGCAACTCCTTAGTAGCTCGACCTCTTCAAGCCCGCTCTGAAGCGGTTCGTAATGGGAAAGGGAAGACCTGTCAGAGCAATGCTTGTGTCCAAAGCCATGTGCCAACGGAGTGACCGTGTAGAGACGTTGGAAAGGCGCTCAATTCAGATATAGTGCTCGAAATCGGGGTCAGATCCCGACAAGATAATGTACATTTTGAACACCATTCAACCTCGAACGCTCCCCACACCGGATTTGTAGGCACCGTGCCATGCAAAGCAGATAGACCCGATACCGGCGCTGCTCTTACTTCTTCCCACCCTTCTTCGACGTTGGCGGTTGATTCTGCTGGCTGTTCTGTTGGCCAAATGAGCTGATAAAGTCCAACATGTTTGCGTCATCCTCTTCAAACAGGTTCTGCTCCTCCTCGAACATATATTCTCTCGCGGGTTCTCTGACCGATGTAGCTTGCGCTCCTGCTTCTGGGATCGCAATATCCGCAGGCGCAGGGGAAGGAGCAGCTTGATCGGTCTTCTTGATGCTCTTCTGACTGTCGAAACTGGTGCCGAATCGTGCCCGGAAGCTTGCCAGCCTCCCTGACTCGTCGTCTTCCACATTCAGTAATTCCCTGGATGTTGGGTTCCATAGCGCAGAATTTCTGGTGTCTCTCGTTGATCTGTAGACCGGTATAGGAGAGGTGGTTCGCATGGTGAAAGCGCTACCGTCGGATAAAGTGACCAGTTGAGTGAATGTGTAAGGCCGCTTGGGCCGCTTGATGAGACGCGCATGCCGACATGCTTGACAGATATATGTTGTGGAAGTGTTGGTAGAGGAAGGCAAGCTGGGAAGTGAGTTCGGTCGCAGAACGGGTCGGAGGGCGACAGACATGGCGGCTGTTCTACCGCGCGAAGGTCTCTTGCCGAGTGCTAGGCAGGATGTTCTCGGTGGCCGTGGTAGGCTTGCTAGGAAAAAGAGGCTCTCTGTTGTAATCGGCGAGAAGATCAACGCCAAGCGCGACGAATCGCAGTGGAGATGCAACTGCAACTTCCCTTCCCCATCAAAAGTTCGCCTGGCTGTGTTAATGCCATTCTAGAGCACCACCATCTCACACGTACTACGTCCTCCTACTTCAGGGTCGTCCTTGCATCTACTCAATCTGGGCTTCTGACTTCTTCGCCTACAATGTCGAACGCAAAAGTCGCGAGCGACTTCGATGCCATCATCCAGGCTGGTATGCATTTCCAACGAGACCGTTTTACAGTAGTCCGCCTCTCTAACCGGCTTTGCAGACCGCCAGCGCAAGAAGAATGAAGCCCTTGCCAACGAAATCTTTGGTCGTAACAAGGCCAACAAGGCCAACTCAAAAGCCGCTGGCAAGAACTCAACCAAGACGCCTGACCTTGCGAGTCGCATAACGAAGGTAAGTCCACTAGCCATGCGCCCTCCACATCGTACGGTTAAGAGATCTGTTCGCTGATGCACAAGGTCTCATATAGCGCTCATCTTCTGTGGCCAGCACAAACTCGTCCAGAAACAACCCCTTCTCTCCGCCTTCGCGACCTTCCTCAGCGACTCCTCACCAGAACGCCCGCTCGGCTCGCGTTCCCTCGAACCGCCTCGTCTCTGCCCTGGATTCTCCGCAAGCGAACATCATCTCCTCATCGCAGAGGAAGTCGAGGGGTAACGGCCTGAGCATCAAAGGGAAAGCCGGCCCGTTCGTCGTCGAAGCCAGTAACTTTGCGCCAGGCACGACTGCCGCAGACATTGAGTCAGCCTTGCAGAGTGAAACCGTCGATGAGAACGGGGTCAGCGGGATGCTCTCATGTCGTCTGGTCAAGACGAGTCCTGCAGTCATGGCGGAGCTGGTGTTTGCGGAAAAGGCAATGGCAGAGCAGGTCATTTCGACATACCACAACCAGAAAGCTGACGGGCGGATTCTGAAGCTTGAACTGAAGCGTTCGGGGGCTGGGTCGAATACTCTGATCTCACAACCACATCAGAACAGCCAGGCGCCTGACGCGCTCATTTCGGAACCACAACAATCTCTGCCCAGTGGAGACGACATTATGGAAGACGTCGAAATCGAGGCCGAAGCACAACCAGCCCGTGACGACCGGCGAAGTCGAGAACGTTCGAGAAATGCAGACCCAGACCTCACGGACGGCAGATATGGCTTCGAAGATGCTCCCATCTCAGACGCGAACCACGATCGAATAAGAGACGACGACCGACGCGACCGAGACAGGGACCGAGATCGAGACCGCGACTACGAGCGCGATAGAGAACGAGAGAGGGAGCGAGACAGAGATCGAGAACGAGAACGAGAACGAGAGCGTGGTAGGGATGGAGACAGGGACAGAGACAGAGACGGACGAGACCGCTACGACCGCCGCGACGACAGACCCTCAGGCTCAGGCTCAGGCTCAGGCTCAGGCTCATATCCATACCACCGCGACAGCAGACCCGATGGCTACAACTCGAGATCATCACACTATGGGAACGGTGTCGGCGGACCGCCTGTCGGGAGAGGAATGTTTGGTGGTGGTGCGCCGGGAGGATTTCTTCGCGGCGGAGGCAGGATGTACAGCGACGACATGATGAGAGGCGGGCCGAGAGGACGTGGAGGGTTCCAGCCTAGAGGGTACGGAAGGGGCAGATATTAGTGATGCCTTGACGCTCCGTGACTTTCCCTGCCCACGAGCACAGGGGCTGGACGGAAAGAGGGCACTTTCTATTCCGGGACTAAAGGTGATTCTTCAGCCAGACCGGTACACAGAAGATTTGTACTGTACTTGTACAAGCTCAGCGAGCACTTTACAGGGAGCTTTGCCGTTCCCCTTTCTTAGAGCACCAAGAGGGCGAGTAGGAAGAAAATGAAACCGGATTTGTGTAGACTTGGATTGTGATCAATGTTTTGCTCGCCTCGTTGTTGACGCGGCACACCAGACTAGGATCGCATTGATGTCCAACATTCTCAGTCCTGGCTGCTGTGAGATAGCCTCGCAACGCAACTGCTTTAGTCGCACTTGTTCGAGAACTCTGCATGACGAACCCGCTGCCTTGCCCCTGGAACGCCTTGCTTGGTTTCATGAACATGTCCTATCCTGGATTCCATTCCAATGCCCAATTGACCTGACCCAACCTGACCCGACCCGAATTTGACACACGGTCCCATCCCTGCCCCAACACCATCGTTATCTATCATCCACTGACCCTACTCGTCTCATTCGTTCAATCCATGAAGTCACCGTGTTGTATGGCTGGTCTGTTCGTTCGCATGCGAGTACCCATCCATTCAGTCACTCTTCAACATACTTTCGACCAGGTCGCCTAACGGGCCCCAATAATCCTTGCCGCCGCCCTTTTCTAACCCGTGTTCATCCACAAACAGTACAAAGTGCTTGAAACTCGTGTTGAGATGTGGCTCCAGTCCCAAGTGCACAATCACCTGGTAGTGATGGCAGTAGATGTGCGCGTAGACTCTGTACAAGCGCTTAAAGAGCTGACGTACGGTGGAAGGGAAGTGCTTCGGGAAGGGCACGCCGATACGGGACGGGAAGGTCGCTTCGTTGTCGATGTTGGACTGCACCCAGGTCATGAGGTGCTCGATGTATTCCGGGGCGGGCATCTTGGTGGGTTTCGTGTAGCCCGAGGCGGCGTCCTGCCAGAGGTACTCAAATCTAGAAGACATTAGAGGACGCGCAGGCAGAGAGACAGGTACGGAGTGGATAGGCAAAGTCGTACTCATCCGTGGCTTTCATCTCGGGACAGGATTGTGGGGAGCAGAACTCTGTAATCGAGCCGTAGAGAAGGTTGATCTGGTTGTAGAAGTCGACGACTGTTGCGCCGCGTCAGTCAACTGCGCGCGCCGTACCGTCTCTTCACTCGTGTGCAGAGCAAATGGGGGCCTTACCATTGACAGCGAGCCACTCGTTCAGATCCTCGCCCTCGGGCAATTTGACGGCTTTCCTCAAACTGCCGCTCCCAAGCGTCGCCTCGGCAAATTGTCTCAGCTGATAGCTTGTGGTTCCCTTGTTGGCGCGCTGCGGTTTGAACTGGCCTCGAGTACGGGCATTACTAGATGGAGAAGGACTTCTGTTAATACCCTTGTTCTTGGGAGGGCGAATGGGAGACGATTTCAATTCTTCACGGAGGGATTGAAGGGCGCGAGAAGGTGGACTGGCCGCGGACGCTGCATCCTTGTGTTTTGCCCCCTCTTGAGTGTCAAGGAACGTGTAGGAGTTGATAGTCACGCATGATGAGGATTGTTTGAAGGTCAAATGAGGGGACAAGGGCCGAGGGGACAAAGAATTGAGGAATTCGTACATGGTGGTGAGTAACGAGGCCATGGTTACGACGGTGCGTCCTCGTCTTGGAGTTGTAGACTGATATAGCGGTCCTTGGGTCGCTGTGAAGCGTAGTGTTTCCTGTTGCGCCTTCAAGAATGTCAGTTGGTCAAAGTGTCCTGCGGGTTTGTGAGGAAGTGGTGTGTCCTCACCGTCGCGCGTGACCGGTAATACTGCGGTACACAGTAGGGACAATACGGAGGCAATGACAGGGCTCGAATTTTGTATGCAACTGCCACGGAACGAAGCGTTTCAGGCTGTTTCTGCTTCTCTCATTATTAGAGTGGACTTCGTTCTCACAAACGGACGACTGAAGACCGTCTGAATCACTGTTTGAAATGCCTTGGCAATTGTCTGTTGCTGCGCAACGCTGACGGGTAAACCTCGGTCTAGCATCATACATCGGTCGGGCTTGTCGGCGCCCTGTAGCGTAACACTGTAGACAGCGTGCACAGCATTTCCCAACATTGACAATCCAGAATGCTTCAGCGAAATCATTATACTCCGGCAGCATTAAATTTTGACGAAGACACCAGGGTTTCAAGGCTGCATAACGCGATCCTGGCGCTGTCCCAACGTCAGCCTATTGTCAAACCATACCGCTTTTCCAGTCCGCGACCATAACACCCAACACAATATGATCGGTTCGCTAATCAATACACGACTCATTCAATCACTCCAAAGCTTTCACAGCTTTGGCGAGCTCATGATATCCTGCACCAACTCACGAACCTCGTTCTCTAGCTCCTCGGTTTCTTTGTGCGGGTCGTACATCTTATCCTTGATCCACGCTTCCAATTGATCATCGGTCATGTCACGCAGATGGTGCAGTCTGTCGACGTTGTCCTTCTGCGCAGCACGGACGACGTACAGGGCAACACGTGCACTGACTTCTCGAATGCGGGTGATGGCAGGGTACAAGAGTGCCCTCTCCTTCTCTTCCTCTGTGATCATGGTCGGAAGAGCTTCGCCAGAAGCATAGATCATGTTCGGGGTGACCTGTACAGCCTTGGAGAGAATTGTACCGAGACCGATACCAGGGAACACATACATGTTGTTGCCTTGGCCGCCATGGTAGATCTTACCCTTGTATGTGACTGGATGGAAGGGGGATCCCGAAGCGAAGAGGGCTCGACCATCAGTGTTCACAATTGCTTCCTCAAAGGTGCATTCTGACTTGGACGATGGATTCGAGAGTGGGAAGATAATGGGTCTATCATTCCACTTGGCCATCTTCTGCAAGATTTCAGGAGTGAAGGCACCACCGATCGTGCTAAGGCCCATGATGATGGTGGGCTTCACATAGTCAATGACCTCGTCCAGAGTCTTGAATTGTTGCCCCTTGTTGTCTGTTCGTGAGAAGTAGATCTTGTGGTCAGCAAGCTTGTCTCCGCGGTCTTGAGTCACAAGACCCTTGCTATCGACGAGCCAGAAACAGTTCTTGGCCTCCTCTTCTGTCAGACCTTCGCGCATGAAGTAGTCGACGATCTGTTTGGCCACACCGACACCAGCCGATCCGGACCCAAGGAAGACTGCGCGGTGGTCCTTCGCAGCGATCCCAGACTGCTTGACAGCACCCACTATACCTCCCATTATGACGGCTCCGGTACCTTGGATATCGTCATTGAACATGGCGTAGTCATGACGGTAGCGCTCAAGAGACGGGAAAGGATTCTTCCAGTCCTCGAACTGGATGACGATGTCCGGCCAGCGTTCCTTCAACGCGGCCATCAGCTCATCCAAGAACTCTTGTTCTTCGGCCGCGGTGACCTTGTCTCTTCGGCTGCCCATGTATAGTGGGTCGTTCTGCAGGGCCTTATTGCCTGTGCCCAAGTCCACGGTCAATGGTAAGGCCCCTTCGGGCCTAATACCGGCGCAACCGGTGTAAAGAGCAAGCTTTCCAATCGGAATGCCCATGCCACCGACTCCAAGATCGCCGAGACCAAGGATGCGGGAACCATCAGTGATGACAGTGATCTCAACGTTGGATTGAGGCCAGTTTTGGATGATAGCCGAAAGGTGGCCTCGATCCTCGAAGCTGAGATACATGCCCTCGGGCTGTTGGTAGATCTCATGCCATTTTTGGCAGGCCTCGCCAACGGTAGGTGTGTACACCAACGGAGTCAGCTCCGTGAAGTGGTCCGTCAACAGGCGGTAGAACAGGTGGACATTGTTATATCTGATCGTGCTCAGGTACAGAAACCTCTCGAGGTCTGTAGGCTTCAGAGCCAATTGTGCCAAACATCTCTTCTTCTGCACTTCATAGCTCTCTGCGTGGGGAGGAGTCAGACCGTAGGTCTGAAGGTATTTGCGTACTGGGATGGAAAGAGAGGTGTCATAGTGGGCTGCCCGACTGGGAACGTGAGCGGTGGCATGAGTATGCTTCGTCCGGTGGTTGTGGGTAGACTGAGGGCTGGTGATGGAGGTGATGTTCCCCACGCTTTGCGCGACGGGAGCATCTAGAGAGGCAGTAGTGGACATCTTAGACGACTGGACGAGCTTGACGAGTTTGGACCTCGGTTTTGGGTACCTTGAAAGTTTGGAGAGCATTCGGAGAGCGGAAGGGGAGTCAGAGGGTTTTATCAATGATGGCAAACGAAAAGACTGAAGGCCGGACTCGGAACGGCACAGACGGCCTGGCCTCGTGTGTAACTGAGGAAACGTTATCAAAGTGCCGAAGGTGTACGGAACCTGACTTCAGTTGACTTCTAACGCGCGAAACATATAGAAATGGGGTCAGTCATGGGTGAAACCGGAAGGGCAGACATTTAGCAGGCCAGACAGGGTAAATCTTAGGCGACACTAGGCCATGCGGCGTATCACCAGCATTTTAACAAGCAGAAAGTACGACGGAAGTGGAGAATTGGCTAATAGAGAAGCAAGGAACGGCATTTTGCCGGCAGGTCCGATGCGGTGTGAACACTCAGCTTCCAGTTCAAGGGTGATGACTCTTTGTTGAATTGGAACTTTTTTTTGTGTGAGCCAATGACAGGGCGCCATTTGCGGGATGAAGAGGTGTTGAACTGCTGCAAAATCTAGAGCAGGAGGGATGTGACGCGCTCTGAAAGGGGCAGCAGAGCTCTAGCATTAGGCCTGCATTAGCCTGAAGCTTTCCGGTTGGTGCCCGCGACCTTGTGTGCTCTATATCGGCCTCCAGCATGTTTTCCCCTACTTGACTTCGTACCTCGTATCAGCCACTTGACAGTCATACAGCATGTCACAGGCAGCGGACATGCTCGGGGCTCAGATCAACCATCGGTGTCTGTACTGCTGGGTCCCTCGTCAGAGTTTCAATAGTCCTCTCCGGCCTGGATTTGACAGTGCCAGAGAGCTGACGGATATATTATTGCAAAAGGTCTCCGCCCGTAGCAATCGGGAATAGTCTGTAAGATTGGGCCTTAGCGCACCTCCTAAGTTAATCTCCTTCAAGACTGTCGGACTATCAGTTGCCCCCACTTCTATTTCCAATTCCGTAGCCACGAGGCTTCCTCGTGTCGGTCAGGATGCAGTCATGGCGGTGTGCTCAGGCTTCCGGTTTCTCTTCGTCGTGCGGATCGTGTGACCCACTGCTCCGTGATACAGTAGTCTAAATATGTACCCCAGACTCAAAAGTGCAACGTATATCTAGTTATCCGGCGTTGAGCGAACCCACCAGTTGATCTTGACTCCAGACTAGGTTGTCGTGGCCGCCGACGCCGTCCTGAGCCCCTAGTTATACGTTCTCCAAATCGGCTTGGCGGACCTTGCGGCTATTGACAGTCTACAAACTACTGTATAGGAACCGTGAACCTGGAGTACTTTTGGTGCGTTCCGGGTCACCAGTGAGGGATCCGCACTCCACCACTCTCAGGCTCATACGGAGTACGTGAAACGATGTATCGCCCACGATCGGCTGTATAACCTCAGGAATAGAAGAATTAGCGACTGCGACTTGAGGGAGGTTTGTGCTCCCATTATAGTTCGGCTCAGGAACCGCAATAAACGGCTCACTCGCATTGCGGGCGCCAAATGTCAGACAGGACCGTTCTCTTCAGCAAGCAGCTTAAAAGGTCCGCAGGCGCACTTGAGCGCATCGCTTCCCTCATCCAACCAGCTGTCCCAAGCTGTTGGCCGCATACAGAATCCAAGGCATTGGTTCTGAAATTGCGAAAGTTGATGCTGAGTCAGGTCTGGAAGAGTTGCTCTTGCTGACAGAGGATTGAAATGTGAAGAGCAATTCGGTGTAGCCGTTCGAGGTGTTCTTCAACCTTGAAGCGTCCCTCTGAAGCTTCCCCATGGTGAGAACCAGGTATTTCCTTGTGTCGTTCCCTAACCTTTCTCGAGAATCATGTATTCTGGACTTACAACTTTAGAAATGTCGAAAGCCATTCATAGACTCTCGGGGCGAACATTTGATTTAGTCGGAGGTATGCCACCGTCACCACTTCGCTAACAATGGTGTGGTTTCTTATACTGTAGACTGATAGGGAAGTTGAGTGACTTGGACTCGATCGAAGCGACCCATCAAATTTTGAGAACCAAGCTACATACCTCGGCGCACTCGTAGCGATATGATGGTGGACCAGATACACGCTTCGATTACATTTGCAAACACTTCTGTACCCACTATCTTTGAACGTTACATATCCCTGGCTCCCCTTCTTTCGTCACCGGGACGGAAGCGACAAGGCTGGGACGGTGGTGATGCCTTTTACCACACGCCGGATCCCTACCGACATAATGTGTTCACTGACAGCGATGGAAGGTAGGAGGCTGAGGCACCTCGTGCCTCTGAGCCCACAGAGTCACGGCGAGGCCACGAAATGATGCAGGCACACAACTTTCAGATATAACCTGGTACACGAAGAGGTCTATTGTGCACAACTGGAGAGCTGACATTATGGTGCATCACCACAACTCAGAATAATCCTTGCTTAAGGAATGTTCCACAGGACTAAAATTTCCACAGTGTGTATGCGTGCTGAACATCATGATTCGATACCCAGCAGTAGTGCCAACAGCGTGGATGGAGTACCTCGTACGGGTATGCATTTGCTTTTCTGTCAACTGAGCTTGAACTTGGACTCGGCTATCTCGGCGAAGCGCTGTCCGGTGAATCTGATTGGTGGGAAGCGTTAGCTATGACGAGACTCGTGTGCCGCCGTCTCATGCTCTCCTCACCATTACGTCCTGCGGTTTGCAGTTTCCGGATTTTTAAATTCAGATGGCTGCCTGCCAGCTTGACAATATATCCAGCACAGCTTCGTCTGCTCGTTAAGCTCCTTCAAGCAGGTAGATCTCACTTTCGGCAGTGCCGTTGTTTGTCGACCAGAGCTCCAGAATGTCCTTCATAGCTCGCTGCTGCGGCTATGGCCGCAAGCGAGGCGACGACACAGAGCCTCTGCTCCCCCGCTACGAGGACGACACCGCTCGCGAAAGAGCTCTTCATCAGAAGTTGCATACATATCAGATGCTGCGAGCCATCTCCCAAGGTTATATGCCCTCCAACGAGCAGACCATTGTCAACTTGCGGACGCTCCTGGCATCGGACGTCCTAAATGCAAACAACAAAGATCTAAGCGACTCAGGTCGGGCCCTCATCAGGAACTGTCGAAGCTGGATCAAGCTTTTCATCGAGCTCTTGAAGAACAAGAATAGTCAAGACCAAATCCAGGATTTTATCTGGTACACTACAAAGTCTCGCATCTCCCTCGATGTCGACGACATCGCCTACTCGGCGTCAAAGGTCAAAGCTCGGGCTGATGCTAAAGCGGCTTACGAGAGCTTCCGCACTGTTGGCAGTCTTCTTCTGACCAACGCCGATTTCAGACTATTTGTAAATGATGTCGCCACTATTGGGAGGGAAGTCCTAGCAGACACAGCGTTCTCGTTGTCCTCGGCCGCGGAGAAGACAGGGAAACAGCTCGAACTCTCTGAGCAGGAGCAGCAAACAGTCGCAAAGCCTGGAGCAGACGAAAACAGCTTACCCTCGAAGCAAGAGTTGCAGGAGAACGCTGAAGACACAACCAAAGTGATTGGATCAGAGGTAGCAAAGGTTGGCCAAGACGCGATTGAAAGTGCCAAAGAGCACTTTGGTGGATCGCAGAAGGATACCTTGCTCTACCGCATAAAGCAAGTGATTCTTCGATTGAGGAGCAGGACGGACTACAATGATTCTGTTTCCACGATTTCGAAGCTGATCCAGCGTTATGCCATTGCGTACTCTCGCGTCGCAGATACCGCTATTTCCACTGCACAAGAGGATGTCGACACAAATCCGGCTCTGGACCGAGCAGTGCGGAACTTCTGGGGCTTCGTCAGTAGCTTTGGTGACGCCAAGGCATGGGAGCAGCTGGAGCAGGACTTCAACAAAGTCATGGGTCATGCGAAGTCAGATCCCCAGTTTGAGAAGTTCATGGTTGAGGTTGGAAATGCAGTGCAACGAATGTTGACCGACCCCGACTTTTTTGACAATGCGGACGAAAAACTCCAAGAATTGAAAGAGAAGAGTAACAAGCTCGGCAGCGAATCCGAGTTCCGCACGGACTTCGACAAGATGCTGAGACAGGCTCAAGTCACCATCAACTCTGTGATCGAAGACAAAGATGTCAATGGACTCCTCCTGGCAACGAAGCGCATCTACAACATTCTGACTCCTCCAAACAAGATAACCAATCCCGACCTCATCACAGACTCGATCCACATCTTCCTTCCGTTGTTGATCCGTAGTGTCCAGTACATCCCGATCCCGCGCGTGGAAGTGTCCGTGCCGGAAATGGACCTGCTGTTGGAGAATCTGGTGCTTGAGCCTGGCCGCAACGTCAATTCGACATCTTTCCTGCCGTATCGTCTCCTCGTCTCCACCAAGAATGATATCGAAATTCGCAAGACCCACTCGAGAAAGACTGTCTCCACCACCAAATCCCTGGTGACTATCTCCATCAATGGCCTAAGCGTTGCGGCGCAAGACCTTGGCTTCTGGATCCGTGGACATGCAGGTCTGATCCACTTTGCCGATGAGGGTATTGCGAGCTTTTACCTCGACGAGCGCGGTATCGATGTTTCCCTGGACCTGGAGATCGGTCGTGAGAAGCTTGAGCAGATTCTGACTCTCCGTGGGGTCAGAGTGCATATCCATAAGCTTGATTATGACCTGCGCAAGTCGAAGCTGTCATGGCTAGGCTGGCTCTTCAAGCCACTGCTCAAGCATCTGGTCAGACGTTCACTCGAGAAAGCTCTCGCTGAAAACATTGTCAATGCCCTTCGCGCCGCGAACCGCGAGCTGGTCTATGCTCGAGAACGGCTGCGTGCGACACGTATTGCGGACCCGCAAGATGTCATGACGTTCTTGAAAGCCGTGATGGCACGATTGACGCCGGAGGAAGACCCAGACCTTTACACGCGCGTTGGTGTCGACGCTCCTAAACAAGGCGTCTTCAAGAACCGGTATACTCCTGGAAGCATCGTCAAGCTATGGCATGAAGAAGCTCTGAGAGCGGAAGAAGTGGTCCAGGATGGAGAGGAGAGAGGCGGTGGCTGGAGAAACGACATTTTTGACACGCCTGTTCAAACACTATGAAAGTGATTCCTGGACACAGTACAGGGTAACTGACCACTTCTCAGAGGCGTTCATCACTCACTTGTTTGCATGCTTTCACGCGCGAGGTTTTGGACCGGATCGGAAAAGTGCTTGGTGGTTATGGTTCGGTGTTTCTCATGGTTCGCCCTAATAACAGGCAACACACCACAGTGCGCTGGTGTCTAGGTGGCTTCCTGTGCTTATGTTCCATAGCTATCTCAGTATTACAATATCATATCCTGGTTGGGACATCAATTGAAGTAAATCTTCCTTCTTGATCAGCCTCACCTTGCCACGAAACTTAGCTACCATCCACTACTACGTATCGGAGCGACCAATGCTTTGGTCCAATCACCCATGCGTTGTACGGCTGTTGTAGCTAAGGCCATGAGACGAAGCAAGTCAAAACTAGATCCTCATACGCACCTCCAAGGGCAATCACTCATGCTTCCACAACAAGTCTACCTTTGATGTTGAACAATCATGAGCATGTGGCAACACTCGCCTTCAATCTACCTCCCTACGATTGTTCTCAAGTAGGTGGCTGTCTAGCTAATATGGCTACCCTATTGCGATCTTACAAAGTCTGTTTGTATCGTCCGCCGTGGGATTACTGTTGAGCGCAACACATTACTTGAGACGCATTGCCAACAATGTCGAAAGCGGAGAAACAGCCGAGGCAGCGTAAGTCATAACCCTGAGATGGTCGAGGTCAGTGAGCGGGCAAACAGTGTTCGCTGACGACAGCACGTACTCGGGCCCGAGCGCACCAAATCCTTCGGAGCCAACAGTCCCCGACTCGGCCCTTGTACTCGTAGACATTGATATCGTCATCGAGCACGTCTTTGAGTTTGGATTGTTACCCGCATCACCAGTTGACAGGCGGGTGTCCTCGATCGTGGAGCGGCAATGCAAGTGTCACTCACGGAGAGACATTTCCGAGCTTCTATGAATCACTACTCCATGTTACAGTGCTGTAGCCTTGATGTCATGACATCTCCGGCAAATACGGGGTACAATTGTATAATAACCCAGAGTCGACGCGCAGGTGGTCTCCAGGTAGGTACAGAGTACACAGTCCACAGTTTCCATCACTACACACACAATACACAGAATGCAGAGTACTCGGTTTCTCGTTCGCAACGCCCAGGCTGCTCGGCCTTTGACTCGGACGTTCGTGTCCGGCCGGCCACGGTGCGCAACCAGCACGGGACCTGCGATGGACCAATATAACAAAGGCTGTACGTATACGATGTGGACTTCTCAACTGCACATGTGATGCTAACTGTCGGTGAGCAGCCGACGCACAGAAACCGCAGTCAGAACATCCTGCGAATGACGACTCACTCCCCAACTACGTCGAAGGCCAAGTCGGTAAATCTGAGGAGACACGGGGCAAGGCAGGCTTTGGTAGCGGAGGCAAGAGCCATGCTACTGGCGACAGCATCGTTCCTGAAGCGGTGCAGAAGGTTGCTCCAGAGAAGCTCGAAAAAGCGCTCCCTGAGGCCGTGCATCCCACGAAGGGGAGCGAGATTGATCCTAAGTAAAAGTGTAAATTAGGTGTCGTGTCCTGAAGACAAGAATCGACCGCGATGGTTCAGACGTGTAATAATACGACCCATGTCTACCTATATGTCCATCCCTTCGTGATTGCGATTTGAGTCGTGCCAAGGTTGATAAACAAGGTCGACGAGATCGGTGGGTCATGTTCGGTTCCATCTCGGTTAAATCTGTAGTGTTTTTGTCCGCAACTCCAGCAGTCTCAAAAAGTTAGAGAACATTGACGGTTTGCAATCACAGCCACATTCGTGGTGCTCATTTGATTACCGTACTTTCACAACTGTCGATGCTGCATGTTTGTCGCAACGTAAGGACCAGCCATTCGCGATGTTGGCACGCGGCCAGCATATCCGTGCGTCGGCGCAACCTTCTCACTCTCGCGATTGAAACGTCCTGTGATGACACCTGCGTCTCCATCCTTTCGACCACCAACAGACACAATAGCGCGTCGGCAGACCTGCTCTTCGATGAGAAGATAACGGCCAAGAACACGGGTAAAGGTGGCATCCTCCCCACGGAGTCTCTCCAGAGTCACCAATCCAACCTGTCGACGCTGGTCGAGTCAGCGTTACCACACCTCCCGACCGCATTAGACCCAGTCGGCCCGAGGACGATATGGCTGCGAGACGGCAATCCCGTGCAGAAGCCGGACTTCATATCAGTGACGCGGGGACCAGGCATGTCAGCAAATCTGGGACTAGGCCTAGCTACAGCAAAGGGACTGGCGACGGCGTGGCAGATCCCCATGGTTGGGGTGCATCACATGCAGGCTCACGCACTGACACCAAGGCTCGTGAATGCTATGGGCAAAGACGGACAACACGACGATGATGGTCACAGCCCGAATTTCCCGTTCCTGACACTGTTGGTTAGTGGCGGTCATACAATGCTCTTGCACTCCAAAGGGCTGGTGGACCACGAAATTCTAGCCACCACTATGGATACTGCAGTTGGGGACGAACTGGACAAGTGTGGGCGGTTACTTCTGCCCAAGGAGGTGCAGGCAGGTACGCCAGACACGGCATTTGGGAAGTACCTGTCTGCATACGCGTTCAGAAGCCCCGAGGACTTCGCATCCTGGAGGGTGCCTGCAACGCGTGCTGAAGAGATCGACAAGCCGAGGAACGAGTTCGGATGGAGACTGAGCACGCCAATGGCTGAGAATAGGGAGCTGACGTTCAGCTTCTCTGGCATCGCGAGCCAAGTCAAACGCCTGATTCTCGCGCGCAGCAACGCAGGAAGTATGAACGAGATGGAACGGCTTTTGCTGGCTCGGTCAGCGCTCGGCGCGGCATTCGAGCATCTGGGCTCTCGGACGGTTATCGCGCTGGAGAAGCTCCGCGCTGAAGGCATACAGATTGACCACCTTGTCGTGAGTGGAGGGGTCGCCGCCAACAGTTTCCTACGGTATTACCTGCGCGAGCTGCTCGATCGACGATCTTTCGGGAAGACGCAGCTGGTTTTTCCACCGGTCGAATTTTGCACAGATAACGCGGCGATGATCGCGTGGGCCGGGTTTGAGATGTTTGGTGCTGGGTATTCTACGGATCTTGGATGTGCGCCTCTGCGGAAATGGAGCATGGACAGTCACCAGCCAGGAGGAGGCATTCTCGGCATTGGAGAATGGATCCGGCCAGGTACACAATAATCCTATTTGAGCGTGTTGAGGCGGACATCTTGCATTTCAGATACAGTACTTGTCGGAATGTCACATCCGTGGGCGCTTTTTTGAAAGGAAGCTCACTCCGGTCTCCCAGTACCGCACTGAAGCAACGATTGCTACTACTCCTTAATGTCCCTAAGGCATGATGGTGTTGCATGACCTATGACGATCACCATGATGGGGTCGCGGGGGGCGGCAGAAACAAGGCTCCGTCGGATACAGGATGAGATGCGATTGGTGGAGAATACGACGACAAACATAGCCACAGCCACATTTCGCCGTCGAGCAAAACCAGGTTCGCGTAGGACGCAAGTCTTCCTGTCTGGGACGTGACTCAGGGCTGTGATCCTGCAGGGTCATTTTGCTATTGGCCACATATCGGCTAACGTGGGTGAGGCGTTTCATAAGGAATAAGCAGGAATACCTTGCACTGGGGAACTTTGGTGCGGAAATCGCCACTGTGTCCTATGTTCAGCGCTTGACAGCCCACTGGTCGTCAGGTGTTCATTGCAGGCTTCGACTCATTGGGAGAAGTGTAAACCGGTGAAAGCCAGAAGTTGGGGCTTGAAATGTCGCCGGTTGGCTGATACGAGTGTTGAGTATCACCTGCAAGCTGCAAGCCTGTGCAAGGGACTTGAGGCGTCCCATGTGGTCATGACGCACCCTTTTTCACCCACTTCTGCAGGGGCCGTCCCTCGTCCACTCCGGGGAGCGCGACTTGGTGCTTCGAATACCTGTTGCCTTTAGCAGGTGACCGGATTTCCAACGTAGACACGGTGCCGACCATGGGTGCATTAGAGGCGGACGGCTCGCTTTCAGTGTCAGAATGAAAGCTTCAATTTGACTACAAGAATACATCATGATTCATTACCCGTTATGGAGTAATCGCAGGGGCAGACTTTCAAGCGGGTTGATGTCGCGCCGGGTGCCGGCTCCGTCTGTTGCAAGGCTGAATTCAGTTCTCCACCTCCCGAAAGTCAGATGCATGTCCTCCGTTGTGTATACCTTTTGGTAAGCAATAGTTAGCGTGAGGGCTTTGCATCTGTCATCAGCCGTCACTGGCCTACCAAGGCTTTCAGACTGTTGCAGGAGAGAGGTATTTGATGCCTCGCTACCAATGGCTGCGCGCGACACTTGACCTTTTGGAGCACGAGAGACATGAGAGGTCACTTCCAGGTATGTACTGTGTTACGCGTACCTCGTAAAAGTAAAGGAAAGGTAGCTCGTACGAGTACTCCGTACTGGGGAAGAGCCACATGGACGAACAGCGTTACGGCCGACGGCAGGGATGAGCGACGCGAATGATGAGGCAGTGACGGGTTGCACATCTTGGATAGCCCCCGATATGCGAAGCTTATAAAGTGGCCCTGCACTTGCGGCGGACCACTGGTTGCAAGGCCCAGCACCGCCCTGTGCCGCCCACTGGAACGATAGGGAAGCGGAGAGAGCCCTTTCTGCTCAACCACTCACGTCCTGGTGGTGGATGCACCCTGGTCGCCAAGCCCAGGCAACAGCGAGACTTGGGAATCAAACATCACCTCAGCGCCTTCACGTTCGACTTACTCTCTTTCTCTCTACCACGATCTCTCCTTCCACTCAAACCGCCAGTTCAGCCGTTTCGGCACTCTCCAGGCCACGGCAGCATCCTCGAGTCTTGCCACCTGGCCTCAGGTTGAACCTCATCCTCCACAACCCGAAACCTCAACCGCTATCTCACTAGCATTTCACTTGCACCTCACCACGACCCCGACTTACTTGCGGTTACACCCTGGTGTGTTTACAACGAACACCTGTGCACTGCGCGACTCATCTTGTGAAGCCGCCTATCAAACTGCCCGGTATCCTCTTAGATCCATCCCACCTGCAAGTGCAAAGCCTGTCCGTCCCTGCCGACATCTCCGGCGACCGCATCTCCTCCTCACTCGCAGTTGATCGATCGTTTAACTGCGCCCGATACACGCTGGTCACATCCCAGCCAACGAGTCAAACAACACCGTGTTCCCTTGAACGAGGATCCCCACGATACCAGCCCCAAAGAAGGATCAACGAGCAGCAAATTGTGAGTAGAGTCGACTTTGGGTCCAGTCCGTCTTCCGTCTTCGATTTATATCTTTTGGGGTCTGTCGGTACGGGTGAGTCACAGGTCACAGGGGATGCTGAAGATCAGCCAATCGAGCGCGTGCTAAACCTCGAGCTAGCACATTGCGTGTCATCTGCATCTCTCCCCGGCCTGTTCGAGACTTTACATATACCAACCATGGCGTCTTCCACCATGCCACCTCCTCCCACCCCCTTCGCTCATCGTCGAACTCCTCGACTCATCACCAAGCGTCTTTCTCCATCTCTCCCTGCAGCCGCAGAGTCATCAGCATGCATCTTGCATAAGATGTCCCTGTCCAAGGGCGCTACTTTCCACAGCCCATCCTCGCCGGCCACTGAGGATGACCCAGTTCTCAGCATCCCTCACCTGACTCGTCGTTCTCCTACCAGCACTCAGTCCGCCCTCACTAGCTGGCTTTCGGAAAGGGAAGACGTTGCCCAGTCCATTGCCAACTTCGAGCAAACCTTCTCTGGCGCCCGAGGGAAGAAGACGTCAAGTCGTCGCCGCCCCACGCAGACCTTTGATCAACAGGTCTGGGTCCGTCGCGTCTCACTACCATCCGACGAAGGATTAGGCTCCTCCGTCAGCCCCGCAAGTGATAAGGTTTTGGCCAACAAGTTCGAAAGAGCCTTGGATTTGTTGTCGAATCGGGATAGTGGACTGGGGACTTCCATCAGTGACTCAGCAGAGAAGGTCGCTGGACACACCTCTGAAGAAGACCGTCTTGTGCGAGACGCGATTCAAGGTTGGATTGCCCGCTGCATGTTGATGTGCAAAGACGGTGTTAACGAACCTCCTACAGAAGCTGACTCTCCAGAGCCGACAACTCGCCGCACTAGGCAACGAGGCAGTCACCCCTCATCTAGGACATCCAGCACCACCGGCCGATCTGCGGTGACCCGAAGCATCGCTCCTCCAGCCTCCCGACCTACTCTTCGTCATCCCGTATTGAGCCCCTCCGGTCGCAGAAAGATCAAGGAGTATATAATCACACCCATCCTCCACGAGGAACGCTTCGAAGACTTTCATCCTCTCGTCACTGCTCTCGCCGCCAAGAACAACAAGGCAGTCCGATGCCTGCGTGACCTTGAGCAGTCCCTCATCTTCCAACCACTGGTAAGCATCCTCACCACCGAACGCCTACCTGGCTCTAACGTCGATTCCAAGACACTTGCTATTTCACGACAACTGTATCGTGCTTTTGGCGAGTTTACTATCCAACTTGTTGTCGATACATATCAACATCTCGCCGAATCAGAACAACGTCGTGCCGCTGATCGTCCTTACGACAACGGCTACTTCCTCGACTTGGTCCAACAAGTCAACCGCCTCGCAGCCCACATCGGCTCTTCCAGCCGCGATCAGCAGGCGGGTACTGCTGAGCAGGACGACGATATGGCTTACTCCATCGATGACGAGGTCACCCTTGAGGGTGGCCTCGGAGAGACTGGCAATGAGGCCGAGCTTGTCCGTTGGAAGAACGGCAAAGGCTACTCTCTCAGGACTGGTCTACCCTACACACCGACACCTGGAGTTAAGAGAGCAAGTAGTGATGCTCTTGATGAAGATGTTGCAAGGTCTATGGCTCGCAGAAAGAAGGGCTACATCCCAGAAATAGTTGAGATGAAGTGCTCAGACCCTACATGCGACAAGATCTTCAACCGGAAGTGTGATCTGGCGAAACACGAGAAGACCCATTCTCGTCCTTTCAAATGTCCCGAGGAGAGTTGCAAGTACCACGAGCTTGGCCTTCCGACCGAGAAGGAGCGTGAGCGCCACGTCAATGACCGTCACTCCAAGAATCCTCTCTTCTACAAGTGCGAGTTCTGTGAGTTCCGGACCAAGCGCGAGAGCAACTGCAAACAACACCAAGAAAAGAAGCACGGATGGCACTATGAACGTGCGAAGGGCAAAGACAAGGTTGTCACCAAGATGACCCCAGCCCAGACTCCTCGCACTCCCAGCATGGATTACTCTCCTAGCCCGGCCGTCTCTGTTAGAACCTGGGATGATGCAAGTTCCATTGCTGGAAGCGTTGCCGGAAGCATGCCAGGCAGCAACGCGATGACTCCTTTCGAGCAGCCCCTCACCGGCTTCGACACCTTCAATCCCACCCCAGTGACATATTCGAACCCAATCTTCCCACGGACCAACCCGTCCTCAGCCTCATCCTACAACCGACTGGGAGAGGATTTCGACTTCAACGCCCCGACTTTCCAGAACGCGTACCCGCCAGCTCAGTATCCTAACATGATGACAACGCCGATCACACCCGCCTATAGCAACATTACCGAGCCGTCTCCCTACAACGGGGCGATGGACATCACGTTGGACTGCAACAACCAACCCTCTTGGAACCAAGGTCTGCCAACGCCGGACTCTTACTTCCAACCAAACTCTCGCAACCCGTCGATTTCCGAGCACTCTCCAATGGTTGCTGGACCTTCCGGGCAGTCATTCAACGATGCGCCTCTATTCAGCGCCGATACGGACTTCCCCCCGAACGATTTCTCACTGTTCGGAGGCGAGAGCAGCAGGGCCTTCTCCAATCCTGCTGCAGCCACTGCAACCTTGTTCCCCGGCGGTCCCGAAGCTTTTGCTAGCCTCGACAACGACCCCATGTTCGACCCAGCCTGGAATGACAGCGACTTCATCGATTACGACATGAGCAACTAGACGTCTACGGCCGGATACCCGAGCTCTGGCACCTTCTGTCGGTCTCCGGGAATATGGGCCTCCACTTGTAACATTCTAGCGGTTGTTCTGCAGCGAGATTGAACTTCTTTTCCCTTTTCAGGTTTTTTTCACTACTCCACCCGTCTGACAAATACCAAAAAAGATGGAGGTGTTGAGATGAGAGTGGAGGCGTTGTTGATGACGTGGATAATTCTGTGATGACTTGATGATATGGACCTGGTTTTTCCTCCTCTCTCGACGACGGGTTTCGGGGGTATTGAGACAGACTGAGCAATCAGCTGGAGGGAGAAGAATGGAATGGAATTGGGACTGAGGGAAGGGAATGGACCCCCACCAGCGCTCGGAGGCTTCACAAGACTGACCCAAGACAACCTGTTGTTCTGTCTGCTCATTTCACGCCATTATTGTATGGCTCTTGCTAGGAGAGTGAAGCATTTGGATCGGTGTGGAATGGACATCAACGGGTTGTTTGATAGACACAGGATTACAATAACACATCCATCTCCCCACACACGTTTCTATTTCTCTTGAGTTTGCTCTTTGACTTTCCGAGCCGTCGTGGGTCACCAGCAACATGATCGTTCAACCAGTCCACCTCCATCATGCCCTGGACACAGTTAGGGGCCTCTCCTCTCTGACTCGGCCTAGGACTATACAGTATGCCTTCTATAGTGACTTGTAGACCAGGCACATGCCGGCCGATCCTCGCCTCGCCTCGTCCTCCTACTCCATGACTCTTACCATGTGTACCTTGCACATCACATGTCTCCTTCTCCGATGACGATGCCCTTGACCGTGACCTGACGACAAAGCAGATGCCAGCTAATCCTCGCCTCGCCGCGCCTCATCTCGTTTCCCTGCTCTATGACTCTTAGCATGTGTGCTGTGTGTCTTGCACATCACATGCCCCCCGTGTCCAGATGACTGACTACATTTAACATGCAAAATGACTCACGTCGCCGAAAGTCGGTTCGGTGGTACTTTTCCGGGGCCTTCCCGAGACCGTCATGTTAGCCTACGGTAGTATGTACACCCAACACCTCAGAGACAGGTAGCGTAGCCAGCCCGCTTCTTCTACATATCCCCAACGACACGCCGCAGGCCTACATGTTGATGTCTCTCGATGCCTGGCGGCATGATGAGACGGGGCTAGTAATTAAAAAGCACGCATGGTCTGTCGGATTTCCGGTTCCGTTCAACGACTCGTTGCTCTCCTGTCCGGTGGAGTGGGAAAGGGGCCTCAGGTCTTGCCCCATGCGTGTAGGAGGCCTGAGGTGCGGGAATGAATTAATTGGGGGCTGGTCACGTAGCCAGTGTAGCTACTGTAGCTCTTCCGTATACACTCCGGGGGTTCACGATACTGCGACATATGTACTAATGTGACACCACGCTGCAGTCGCGCACGATGGTATCTTCTTGATCAAAGGCGCATGCTGGTACGAGTCATCAACAAGCCAGCTATGGTTTGGAGGACCGTGGAACCGCCCCCCGTGTCAAGACTCAATTGCTCTCCGTACTCTGCTCTACAACAATTAGTATCCCTGGGACATCGGACTTCATGCCCTGTTTTCGGATCGTGGTCCTGTTTTCGGCCCTGTTCTTGTGCTTGCTCGTGTGCTTTTTCTTGTGCTTGTTTTTGTGCTTGCTCTTGTGCTTGCTCCTGTGCTTGTTCTCATCATGGTAGCCAAGACGAAGACTACGCCTTGACTGATGCCTACGTCAATATATGTACACGATATAGGAGATCTCTCGACTAGATGCATACATAGGTACACGCGCCCGTTCACTTTATAGAGTCAGGCGGTCAGTCTCCCGTAGATCGTAGGCGAATAGGCGCCTAGTACTTTAGTAACATAACCAATAGATCCTCCCGCGCTGAGAGAAAAAAAAAGCTGTCTCGTCCATTCGCCTCTCCGCTCACGGCTCGATTTGACCAGTTCTTCCACTTGACTCCTTCGCTTTGAGTCTGTAGGAGTGATGCTCCTCTTCAGCCGCTTGGCATAGTACATACTATAAGTGCGGATATTGAGGTGTTACCAAGGTGTTACTATACCGTGCCGGCGGCAGAGGTTTGCGGTTACAGTATGTACGATGAGGAGAATGGACGAATACAGTATGGGGAAAGACTCCCACACCGGATGGATAGAAACAGTCCGTTGGGTGCTTGACCGACTGTGTTAATACAGTATCTTCAACAAATCTATCGCTGCTACTCACCATTGCCTGTCTAAAGGCGTACGACATGCTCATTGACACAACACACTCTACCTATACCAAGGCGGATCTATCCCTGCAATGAGTCTTCCACACGGCTCTGTTTCCTCATCCTTTGCACTACAAGCCTCCTCTCCCAGGTATTGCCTTGAACACTCTACCATGCATTGCCATCTATAATCATCTGTCTCTACAATTGACGTAGGCCACCCCCCGAAGAGCCTGAACTATGCTCCTCCCTCATTTGCCCTCATCCATGTCCGAGCCGACACCTGCTCTGATAATGACAATCTTTTCTCCTCTCTCCCTGGCCTCCCGTTCCGGACTGTCGCGGATCTCGACTTCAACCTTGACACCTTGACGTTGCTTCGAAGCACGGCGGGTCGGGCTGAGGTTGAATTGTCGCTCAACCGAGTGCTTTTGCTCCGGCGTTTGGTAAGCAAGACTTGGTCTTCCCCGAACCGGAGTTTGAGGGAGCGATTTTTGCGGACTGGCACCTGAATCGCTGTCCTGTTCGGGGCGGACAGGGGGGGCAAACACCTGCTTCTCCGACATGGCACGCTGAAGAGGAGTCCTCGTCTTCGTGTCGGGCTCCGCTGCATTTTTGAGACCTTGAAGTTGCTCCCTCTTCGGAGTTTCCATTGGTGCTGGCTCAGTGATTGTCTCTTGCTTCGGTTCGACACGCTGTACCACAGTCTGCCGGCGAGATGGGGGTGCAGCACGACTGTTTCTGCGCGTAATACGTTCTCTTTCTGCCTCTCGCCGTCGCTGCTCTGCATCATCTTTCTCTTCCGCAGCCTGTAGAATCTGTTGGACTTTGCTTCGAACCACACTTGGTCGCATTGTCGGATGGTGATCGCTCTTGGGCTCGGTTAAAGTCGGAGTAGAGGAGTCACTCTCTTGGGGTGGTGCGGACGCCCCCTTGCTGAAAATACCCCATTTGAATGGCCAGGTCAGTGAAGGCTTCCGATCTTGAGTTTCCTCTTTGAAGACATCGTCGTGGTCAGGCTCTTCAGTGGGTGGCTCACCAGAGTGCTGAACTTCTTCCTCCCGCTTGACCGGAGGCAGCGATCGAGGAGTCTTCTCTTTCGTTACCATCGTGGGTAGATTCAAGGGGATCAAGGGTGTGGCGGGTCTCTCCTCAATTCTGTCTCCAAACTTGATCCGATGGACCTTCTTTGGCTCTTTGCGGGTGGGTCCAGGATGGTGATGAGTATGGTCATGTGTTGGATCGTGGTCGTGGCCGAAATGGCGACAATTTGACTCATGACCTGATGGCTCAGCTTTCTTGGTTAGACTTTCGAAGATGGCAGCTCGTTGTTTGACCGGGCTTGGTTCCGTGATTGGGTTCGCTACCGGTTTCAGTTGTGGAGTAGCAGGGGATGTAACCTTGACAGTGTCTCGACGTGCAGCATCTTCCTGGGATGGTGCTGTCTCATCACCGTCGTAGCGAACTCTTGTAGAATCATCGCTGGTTCGTGGCTCGACCGATTCAGTGGTCCTCCGAAAAACGCGAGCTCGAGATTGTGAGCGACGGCGGTCCTGGCGAGTGGAAGCTCGACGAAGGACAAAACCAGGCTTTGGGGCAAGGTTGCCAACCTGTTCATCGGAAGACACTTCGGGTTTGGGCGAGTTGCTTTTGATGGCGTCGTCCAGCATAGTGTTCAGCTCGTCCATGGTGAGCGGACGGCTCCGTGACGTCCCTGGCCCTTCTTGGGCAGGTTGTTGCTTGGGGGCAGCAATTGAACGAAGGCGAGATCTTGCCATTGCAATCTCCAGTGCCGGGTCTTCGGCGACATTCTCCATCGAGCGGTTCCGTCGACCAAATTGAAGGCTGGCCTGACGCTCGGTGCCAGGCCGGGACAAGCCTCGTTCATCACCAGGTCCGTCCATACTTGTGAAGGGTCGGAACGGGAGATGATGTCGCTGATCTTCCTGGTCAACCAGTTTCTCGAGGTCTCGAAAGTCCTGGTAGAGTATTTCAGCCACGGAAGCGACTCCATCGCCACGGACATGCTCGCTTTCATCACTAGATGCTCGGCTAGGCGGTGAGACGATAGAATCTTGGTCTTGTGTAAGGACGCGAGGAGGCAACTGGAAGGACGGGATCCTGGTCTGGAGCTGCTGCACGTCCTGGAAGACTCGGATGCGATCGGCCACCTTGCGCCTCGGCGGACTGCGAGGGGTTAGCAGAGCAGGAAGAACAAACCAAGTAGAGTATACAAACACAACTGAGCTATCCATGTTCGGAGATGAGTGGAAGGCTATGTCGATATGGGGCGTATCATGGTCACCACGCACCGAGGGGGATGTAAGAATAAGTTCAGTAGAGAGAGGGACTGCGCCGTGATTGACTGAGCGAGGAAAGATCTGCCTTTGCTTGGATTCTGTAGCAGGAGCCATGGCCGTGTCAGAGCAGGCGCATTGTTCTCGCGGAAGGAGCGTGGAGCGAGAGCAGAAATCAACTTGATGGCGGCTGGGCTCAAATGGCACATGCAATGAATTCAATTCAAGTCTTCCGAAAGAGCCAGGATGTGGACCCCCGTTGATTTGTCTGCTTCAGCCTTACTCTATATGTACAGTGGCATGAACTTGCACTTTACTTCAGCGCCGCCTGGATTGATTCCAGCACCTGTAGATAATACAGTTAGCTTATGGCCGCTCGTCCACTCGTATCCTCAAGCGTCGCAGTCTCTTACCTCAAGCTCGATCTTGGCCTCTGCAATATCCTGCTCGCTGCCGCTCCCGCCGGCAACCTTCTGCGCCTCCTGTATCTGTGATCTGACGGCCTCTTCACTGAATTCTTCCAAGGGGAATCCTTCCACGGCGTTGATGCTCAGTACGGAGTTTGGTTGGACGACCGCGAAACCTCCAGAGACTGTACAAGCATCAGCATCCCTGCTCATGATTCGCAATGTTTGGATGAGGAATGCTCCGTCAGAGCCACAACGTACGGAAAAACTGCTTGCTTCCACCACTCTCCTCAATGATCTCCACCAAGCCGGGCTTCAGCTGCTCAATCGACGGGACGTGCTGTGCGAGGATACCCATTTCTCCAGACTCGGCGGGGATGTTGACTTGTACACTGGTGCTCTGCGTGTCAGTAGCGGGCTTCGTGAATTGGCGGGGCGAGGAGTCGTTGGCGGGCAAAAGGGAAAACGTACACGTCTTGCGAGGTGTAGATGGACTAGAGAATTCGTGTCAGTCCGAGCCCCCTTCAATTCTAGCATCTCCCCCTTTCAACCTCTGGGGGGGTTGTTCCTTGTACGTACCTGGTGAGGAAGTGCCAGGGAGAGCTTTATTTTATCCGAGACGGCATCAGCGTAGCCTCTGCGTTGGACCGGCTTGAAAGCGACGGCGGACCGGGCGCGCAGCGCTGCACGCGATAGCCGAAGAGCGCTCATGCTGACAGTGAGCTTCAGTTACAGGAAGGGACCAAAGTCGTCGATGCTACAGCAAGCTTTAATTGAGCTCTCTGCGGATTTGGGTTGATGTCGGGGTCAGGGAAAGCTGCACTTCCGGAATTGGCTTGGACCGGGGCGCAAATGGGGAAGGTCAGCCGGACCCAAACCGGCTACCAAAATGGACGGGCACAGTGGCCGGCTGGGTGGTAAATCAAGGCACTGCACTGACATCGACGAGTTATAGCTATACAATGCGGATGATGCGCTCCTCATGGAGGTGCCATACGTGCTCTGTTTCTACACCAGGATCGACTTTCATGTAAAAGGCCAAGATCTGGGTGAGCTTGAAGCGCCAACCCTTGCTTGACATGAATACTCTACAATTGAGCAGCGACTCCCGTGTGCAACGATCTCGAACGATGTCAGCCATGTCTCTCTGCTATCTCTAAATGAATACATTTCACTTCTGAGATGCGCTGTTTGGAGGCTGGTCGGGTCGATTCGATGACTGAAGGGTTTTCCCAGACTCGAAGACAGTGATGACAGAATCCGTAACTTCGTAAACACTTTGAGCATCGGTTTCGCCTCGGTCATTCGAGCTGTTACATCGAGAGGGCCATGGACCTCGGACTCTGCCGGATGATTCTCTCTAAGCCGTCCCCAATAGGTATAGGTGTGTCCACATGTCCTTCGGTCACGAAGGGCGTCCTTTCTGTAGGCGACGGCTACCTCCCTGGCGGGGAGAGGACAGAAGACGGAGTTCTAGTAGTTCCGTCCCGTCTACCGCACCTGTGAAGTCGGGCTTGTCCTTGCAGGGTAATGGGGTGGCAGTAAGGTTTACATGACTTGCTCGTAGCCTCCAATTGTTGCGGCCTGACGAAAAGCCGCTAGGATACCCATTTGGAAGCTGCCAAGTCGTGATTCGGAGCCGAAGATGCGCAATGAGCAAAGACTGCCGCCTCCACCGACAACCATGTCGCTGGCAGAGGGAAGGTAACCTGACGTGGTGCTAGTGACGGGAGGTTCACGTGGAGATTGTAGATCATGCTGTAGCATATTGACTCACCACACGTTGCACTAGTACGACGAATGACTCTTGATGCAGTGCCATTGAGCAGCACTGAAATCGAGAACACGAGAGACCTCGTGGACTTGCAATGGCTGCCCAAGGTGTTGGCGCAGGGGCCACATAAACCCCCGCTTGGTCCGTCCGATGGCTTGGGCGGTATTCTATCATTGTGCATAGCATCCACTTCGCTGGTGGGCGTGGTTGGATCCTGACAAGTGACCAGGCGGTGTGTCACCAACACCATCGCTGGAGAATATCTCGCCAGTCGGGCTAAAGGCGGGATCATGCGGCTTGTGTGCTTCGAAGTTAGTGGCATCCAACCTTTGTGGCGCGCAGTCGTTGTGTCAAGGCCGCTTGGCAGGGTAGAAGAGCTCCAGTTACCTTGCGCCGCATCCGACTGACACTCGCGAAGAGTGTAAAGGCCCAACCATGCAGAACGGCTAGACTGGAGTCGAGGTTTGCTCCTACTCTAGACATGCGCCGGCCACCCCGTCGATAAAGTCGTTGATTGGTGTATTTGGGTCGGCTAGTATGTGCTCAGAGGTAGAGCTCTTGCATTCCAGCGGGCAGCTTGAACAGCTCGAAACCTTCTTCGACTTTCTTATTCAATGGATTTTCGTCCATTCGTGCCGACCCACTAGCTGTCTGCTCCCATCGGTCGAGAAGACCGACCTTCCAATCCTGGAAAGTTCGCGCCGAATATGGGAGGATCTCAGTGCTCTCTTCCAGGGTCTTCTTGAAGTCCACAAAGTCTTCTGGGGGCACAACAAGCTCTTCATGCTGTGTTCCGTTGGTGTCCAGGAATTTCTCTGGGTCCGAAAGGGCCTGGTAAAAAACCTTCATGGCTCGATGGGCGGTCGGACCACGTTTGCTGCTGGAGTAATAGATGTCCGGGTTAAATATCCAGAGCAAAAGACCTGCAGGTTCGGACTCAGCTTCTCCAGGACTGTCAGCATGCACGACCGCCTTGCGCGAAACGGAGCTTTCAATCAAGGACAGAAGCTGCGCCGTGATGAAAACGGCGGCGGCATATCTCTCCGGGGCCTGTCCTGGCTCTCTGACGAGGGTCAACCTTGACTTGTAGAGTCTGTAGCTGTCTTCCCCTTCTGCACGCGAGCCCAGCCTGCTTTGGCATGAGCTACATTGAAGAGTAGTGACACGGGCTCTGGGAGGGTTCTTGATTTCCTGAGTAAGTCATCAGCTGGCATGTACCTCTGGTGTATCCCCTTGCGCAACTCGGCTCACGCGCGCAAAGGCGAAATGAAGAGGCTGGTTCATTTGGTACGCACTGGTGGACCCATCCGTCGCTCCAGCAGAAGGAAGTTGGGTCTACCTAGCTAACCACCAATCACGGATTTGATATGCGGCGAATGTATCAGAAACTAGATCAACAGACTCTTGGTCTAAAGACCTGAAAAGCTTCTTTCTTTACGCCAAGTGTGGGAGTAACTGATTTCGGGGATCCGGCTGTGGTCATCACTTACCTCGACGTTGATACAGTCCTCTCCATAGCACAGAAACGAAACAATATCCACAAAGCCCACTCCCGGGCTCGTAGCGAGCTTACTCCGTGCAGAGAAGCCTTTGGCCTCCGCTGCATGCTCGCCAGACGGCGCTCCGTTCTCATGTGGCTTGTGGCAGAACCAGAAGTCCATCAGCTCTGCCCAGTTCTCACTGGGCAGGTCTTTCCAGCTGATGGCTTTGGACGCGGAAAGGATGCAGACATCGCATTGGTTGCAATGCAATGAAGCACTTCCCTGCAGGCTGACTGCAGACCACGGGACCTCCACGCCATCAGCGTCCTCTTTTGTAGAGTCCAGCTGACTGACATCATCAATTTGCAGTCGAGTAGATATCTCCGTCCTCTTCTCGACTGGGAACGTGAAATGAGCAGTGCCAGATATCTGCGTCGGTAGATAGATGCTGGATGCTTCCCCATCGTGGAGCGCAGTGATGATCTTCTTGTCCGAAGACAAGAGAATCTTGGTGCCTTCGTTCTTTTCGGTTTGGAGGGAAGCATGGAGAGTCAACTGTCTGATGTGGGTCAGAGCTTCGGCGTACAGGACGATTTTGGGGTTAGACATGGTGCACGTTATCCACAGAGGTCGTGCGGCATGGCCGCCCTGTTATTTGCACCTGCGTGGAGATGTCCAAAAGTTCCTTCCGTAGTTTATTCAAGAGCATGTGCTCGTAGCCGGACAAAGGCGGAGTAGAGTGTAAGAGGCAGACCCTAGGATGATGAAAGTCTTTCCCTCCGTAAGGGCTGGCGCTGGGGGGAGCCTTCCTGATAGCCGATGTGAAGTCAGACTAGCCCTTAGGACGCGAGGAAGTCAAGCAGGCATATGCCGCATTGAGGTAATGAGTATCGATTCAACACGCCCTGCTCCGGAAACGATGCTTTGATAGGTAGTCGATGGAAACGAAGTCGCCTGCGTGCCGAGCTTAGGCGGACTTGCCCTCCGGTCCGCAACTGTCGCAAATCAGAGACCGCGAAGATTCGGTGCAGTGAACTCTATCATGCACAAGGCTAGCCGTACCAGACAGTGAAGGGATGCCTGAGGCGAATCCACGTCTTCGAGGACGCAGAGACCAAGCGCCAATGACGTCCCTTCAGAGAGCAAGATCGGGCTTCTTCAGGGAAGGATCGAGGGGTTTCATGCCACGACGGGAACTTGCAGTGTTCGCGAGGGGCGTGTCTTGTGTCTTGTGTGCCTGAGAGAGAAGAAGCGTGAACAGCACGAGCCTTTGCACGGGTGGTGGGGTTGTCAGAGCAGCTTTTCCGGAAACCGTGGCGGTGATTGGTCCGGCGGTTGCGGTTTAGTGTGAATCAGTTCCAGTAGGGTTTGGCCCCTGTACATGACTAGGCGACAAGCACCTCATCACTCCCTCATCTCTCCCTCACTTGTCCCTCAGCGGTTCCTCATCCGTCCCTCCCTGCCCTCCACCACGGTCAGCTTTCCGGCAGATGCCAGAATACACTGGCGCGTTAGCGTTCGTGTCTATGCGGGTGTGTCCAGTCTTCTCGGCTTATTAGAGCCCAACCCGCGGACGATGGGCGCAATGCTCTCTCTCTACAAGAACCCCTGCAAGTCGTCTTGCGTCAAGTTTTCTATGAGCATCCCAGCATGTTTGTCTACCACCAGCTACCACATCAGGATTCGCTCCGCGCGAGTCCGCAGTCAGCGACACCCGTCCAGGTCTTTCCCGGCCTACGCAAGCTCGGACATCGAACAAGTCCCCTGTCTTTACCCAATGCTTGTCATTTGCCGATTTCACTGCATAATGAGATCTGAGCCCGCAAGGAGAAATTTCCCCCGTCGCAGCTTATCATGATACATCCTGGTATGCTTTAACCTGTTTGTTTCCCATCATTCTCGTACGTGCTGGCCGGTAACCCAGAAAGGGGTTGCGCCCTTGTAATCCTAAAACAGCTTCCCTCCGCTCAATGGACCGCGACCGCCCGACGAAAAAGCTCCAGGCGCCATTGCTGTAGCCTCAAAACCTAATGCTTCACCCTCAACAGGGGTAGCCGCATTTGTGGCATCGTGTTCCCCTGCAATCGTCCGTCAGCCCGTCTCGGGAATGTCGGGCGCTGAAGGCAATGGCTGTTTCCCAGATGAATCGTCACTGGGGAAGCCGGGGGATTCTCTCGTACGGTATGACCCAGACTTCCTGGCCCTTGTCTCTGCAGCGAGGACACCGTACTCCATTCATCTTCAGCCACGAGTTCGTCAGCTTTCTGCTCCATCGATAGAACTGCGCAGTCTCCTACCGGTCGGGTCTGAATATCTGCATGGTCGCTGGGTCGCGCTTTGATACTCGGAGCACCTCCTTGATCGGCGAGAATACGGTTGGGGTGCAGAATTTTGAACATCGTGGCACAGGAGTCAAGCGGGTAAGCACCAAAGCGAAATATCGTGGTTCGAACGTTCCCGCGAGGTTCTGCCAAGGTCCGCCTCGTAGTTGAGAGACGTACTTTCCACCGCGTACCTTGGTTGATTTATATTCACTCTGCGACCATCACCACGCGACCTAACCTCCGCAAAAAGTGCCGTATTCGTGCGTAAATCCACGCCCCCCACGAGGACAAGCGAGCCTCAGGGACAGATCCACTCACCCCCCGGAGCCACAATATGCATGATTCGCACGGAGCCGATTGTCTCCGGATCGGATCAATCGGGGCTGTTGAGTTTATCGCTCGATGGAAGCTTGTGCCAAGCCCGTAGGACGGCATATTGAAGTTCTCGCTCTGAGTTTGTCCTGCAATACATAGCAGGCTGGAGTTACACCAGGGTCGCGGTGTGTTGCTCTTTTGTTGGATGTGTTTGACCCGTAGCATCCTGTTTCGCAGTGCGCAGGTTAATCCGACCCAAGTAATTGACCCAGACGGGGGAGGTCCAAACTCCTGCAAGCTGTCCGAGACACCGTCGGGTGGTACGAGAGGAACGCGATCACGCCTGTCGAAAAGCACAGCGCGTTCTTCAGGCTTTCCGTCGCATTGTAGTTCAAAGCGGCACAAAGAAGAACCAACCAACCGTGGTCGCGACACAGATTGCTCGTATCTCGCGGCGGGTGGCCGTCATCGTGACCACTAAGCACATCTAGGCCCGAACGAACCAGCCCTCTTGCACGAGGAGCCCAGGCGTGGAGCAGCACGGCGTGGAAACTGTGGGACTCTTCACGAGACTTCACTGCCAAGTAGGATGGGGCGAATTGAAGAAGACGGTGACATGGAAGACAACTCCGGGGACGTCGACATAAGCAGGGCCTTAGCTGCCCATCCTATTAGTGGCTGTCGAGGCGGATAACGAAGTACCACAGCTCTGCGGATTTGAGTTGCTGCTGGTCAAGTCAAGGCACTGGTGCTGCGGCTCCCGCCCATTACGCTGCTCACACACGAATGCGTCCTGCCGCCGACTGAGCAACCCTTCTATCATGAATTGGATTGTAGGAAACGGTGTTGCTTGATGTCAATATACCCTTTCCCAATGACGATGCTCCGGAAGAGGAGCACTGGGTGTGAGCGGGGAAGGCCAGCCAAGGCCTCGACCTCGCTTGTGGCTTCTGACCACTCATTCCACACGCTTGGAGACATGCACAAGCAAGGCGCCGGGAGATGGCAGGCCAGACGAATTGAACAAATGGATGAACCGGTACCCTGGCCGAAGGCGGTCAAGTCGTATGCACGCCCATGCGAGCATGTTGTCTTTGCCCATTGAGCGGTCGTCCATGATTTTGAGCCTATGCGAGGAGTCAGAAACGATCTCAGTAGAATGACCACGGTACAATATGACACGTCATAAATGGAGGCACGCAATGGCAGGTGTGGACATCTTGATGGGCGTACATCGCCCAGATGTAATGTTGTGTAACACGATCGTGCATGGGGAATCAACATTGCACAAGACTGCAGGCGTCCTTGACCCGCTCTGCCGGGATGACAAGGCAGGGCGCGAGACGCCCCTCTTCCGCCCGATGGTTGTTGTTTCCACGGGCGGTCCAAACTCCTGTGCGAACCTGCACTCGTTGGAAGTCCTGTGTCAGGGTGGACATGGACGGAGCCTTGCGTGGTCCGACACCCCAGCCTGATTGCCAGCCTTACCGTCCTTCTCTCGACGTCGACCCTCACGGGAGCTCCTTCTCCTCAGGAGATGGTCGAGCGGGGACGTGGATAAGACATTCGGCAGGGACGGCACGGAAAGCACTGTCAGACGAGGCAGGGACTAGCATTGGAAATGTAGTGCAAAAGTCCGAGTGGCACACGCTTTCCGGTCACGGGACTCTACCCAATGCAAGCCAGTAGTGCTCTTTGGGACCGCACGCCGCTTTTCGTCGCGGTGGAGCGGACTTCAGAACCCAGCCAGGACGTGTATCTCGGTGTAAGGAAAAGGGCCACATACCTGAGGAAGCTCAATTCTTGGATGGCGTCGGACAAGTTATACCAGCTCAACAATTCTCCACTGAAGTCAGGACAGTCCGTGCGAGCCGTAGCTGATCTCCGTTTGTAGAATTTGGAATCCTTCTCCTCACCGCCATGTGATTGAAGGTCGTCCTTGCTATTCCCGCCTTCGTCGCCCTGACTAGGAGAGCCGGGCGGATCCACGTGCAACTGTGCCTTGACGTATGGTTTCATCTTTTGCGCATGCGAGATGTCCTTGTCGATGGGCAACGGCAAGCGTTGTGCTGCGAGCACCCGTATTTCCAGGTTGACACGTCTCTTCCTCGACTGAAGCGACTTTTGTGCTCTGTCACTTGCCGTGGTGCAGCGATAACCTTCCGGCTTGAGGACCCAACCACCCGTTCCCGCGAACATGCCCTCGTTGAGCATCATGCCTTTGTCCATTTTCTGCCAATTCAAGGCCACCATCTGCGCGCCCATTCTCCAATGGAAGGTGGGGTCGACATTCGAGCTGTTAATCCTCGTACCTTTCGGAAAGACCCGCATGAGGAAGTTTTTGTTGTGGTTAAAAAGTGCAGAACCGTGCGATGGGTCGGATTGCATACTGTGGACCTTGTTCTCCGATAGACTGAAGACGTGGTTTGGAAGAGCAGCTTCGGGCTGCGAGAAGTGCTTGAAAGTGTACGCTCGAGTATACACACCTAGTTCGGACAACTTGGACAGGACTTTAGAAGCCTTCTTTCGTTTCCCAGGGGAGGGGGGTGGTGAGTCGGCAGTGCCGTCGCTGGAGTTCGAGGTCACGTGCTCGATGGGATCATTGGACTCGCCTGTCCCCGGGTCCGGCGTCCATTTGACTTTGATCAGGATCTTTCCCATGAGAGACTCGGGCGGCGGAAGAGCACAAATCTCGGTGCCACTCTTGAGCGACACCAGATATTCCGACCAGACTTCGCGCATAATCTCCACCATGACGTCTTGCTGTTCAAGGGAGGCGTGAACCTCAAGAGAGACGATCAAAGGCAAATCCGTGCTCACAAAGGCCGATGACCTGATTGCATGGCACACCGAGCGAAAGGTGACGGATTGGGTCAGAGTGTATCCATGCAGTACTCTCGGCTCACCCTTCATACTTAGTGGCGGCGAAGGCTGCGGAGAGAGATGGTTGGAGCCATCCGCCGAAGGCTCCGTCTGCCGCGCCGGTGCGACATTGTCAGGTTGGCCAGGCACCCCTGAAGCTTGCTCATTGGAGGGGATGGGGGGCTGTCCGCCGTTTGGGGCACCGGCCGCGAGCGAGGCTGATCGTGAGCGTGAACGCATGCGTGCAGCACGAGCCTTGACCTTTCCCCAGCGAGAGGCTTTCGTCTCAGACTTCTCCTCGTCCTCGTCAGAGCTGCTGGTGTCCGAATCGCTTTCGCCATCCCACACATCGATTTCCAAGCATCGGCACCCACGCTTGAGCACATTGGTGTAAGCGAGCTCGGACGCTTCGCCATAGAGCTGGTGGCCCGAGAGGTAGGTATTGTGACTCGAGCTTATGAAGTAGGAGGACATGGGGTATTTCAGGTCGTTCTCCACGGGGCCGGACATCGCATTGGACGAGACCGAAGCCATATAATTCAGCCACGCGACTTCGTCGCTGAACTTCTTGCCATCTTGTGATTCAAGGCCCTTGCGAGCGGACAGGAGGTGTGACAGTACAGGCTCCGAAAAGGGTTCGAGGGAGAAGTGCGAGGCTGTCTCAGACGGTTGTCCACCTCCTGCCGCACGCACCGGAAGAGTCTGGCTCATTATCGCGGTGACTGCTGCTCTCTCTCCTCTTCTCTCTCACCAGGCGCTGCGATAGTAGTTTGCACAGGTTCAGTGAGGGGCAAGAGGAATAGGAGGGGCTAGGTGATCGCCGCACAAGGAGGAAGCCGTAGTTGGAAGGAACGTCTTGTGTATGCGAGAAGAAGTTGGTTTCAAGGTCAGATCACGAAGGGGAAGGGCATTACGGATGCGTCAATAGTAGACATGGCGGGCGGTTGATGAGGACCGTCAAATGTCACCCGAGGACTGAAACTTGGAACGAATCCTCAAAACACACGCAGACTAGAATTGGAGACTTATCACTAGCCACCCAACTCGGCCACTTGGCTGCACACATAGAAGGATCGTCCCTCGCAGTTGTGCTTGCAACTCGTGCTGGACACTGCCACATCATTTCGAGAAGTCACAAACTCCCGGCAGAGCTGAAAAATGGTGGAGCGCGTTCCTGCAGCGCCCCGAGGCGATGGCGTCACTCGCAGCGCCGAGTTGGGGGGCTGGGTTAAGGGGGGGGGGGGGGGGGGCCTTTTGCGCCTGGAAGCCTGACGCGGCAGGCCCGAACAGGCTCCCAGAACGAGGTCGACGGTCCACGTGACACATTTCATCAAGCAGTCCTTACAGAACGCGCAAAAAGGAGCATGTCAGATTTGAAGCTTTGACTACAAAACAGCTCATGCTCATGGGCTCGTATCAAAAAGACATCGAGAAGAATAAAAATTGATGCAATGAAGATTCGTAAAATTCCCGCTTGGCTCCACCAGGTCTGTTCTGGAGATCAGCCCCGGGAGCTTTGCGCCGAATGTCCTTCCAACAGGCAACCGTCTCAACCCTTTGCAGTCGGCTGACGAAGAATACAAAAGAAAGGCTAGGCTGGAAGAGGTGATGGGCATCATCACATTGGGGGAAAGATCCCCCAAGTTGTGACAATGCACAATACCCCTTCGGCGATTAAGCACAGTCACAATCAGACTCTCCGAAAAGCTGTCCCGTTAATAACGGAGTTAGTTAGAAAATTAGACTATTTAGAAGAACTAATAGTTCAGTCCTTTTTTTCGGAAGGAGAGCCCGAGGGCCAATGGTGCAAGAAGAGGAGTTGGTGTTTGGACTTTTGGCCCCCGGGCTTTAATACCTCTATGCCGGCGGAGAGAAGCCTCCCCGACATGTTCAGCCCCCAAGATCCCATCCCCCTCCCATCCCACCCGCTCTTCCCACCGTTACGCCACTTGAGGTGTGCAGATCGGTTGATCAGGCCTTTCCGCTCACCTCAAGTGTTGTAAAAGTAGAGATCTTCGCCCTGCCCCTCCTATCTCTTCGTCTTGACAGTGTCTCTCGCCAGATGCCAATTGCTCACCACTTCCCAGGAGAAGGACGAGGCCAGCGCCTGATCGACCCGTTGTTTGGTGTTGTAATCCATCGAGGCCTGCCCCGGGTGCTGCTTGTATTGCATCGCCGAACGCCGAATTTCTTCGAGTCGCTGCTCGTGTGGGACGTCGTCGTGCTTATTCTTAATGTGTGACCAGAACGCGTCCACCTGGACCCATCGTTTCAAAGTGCTGCAGAAGCGACACTTTACGGAGAACGGCGGGTTGGGGAGACTTGTCGAGCGGGGCGACTGGCCCCCGACGAGGGACTGCTCGTCGAGACGGATCCAGACACCATCTCGGCATGGCATCTGCAGCGGGAGTTGGGACTCAAAGGTCGGCATCCGGTGGCCCGCCGGCGGCTGCACACGAGAGCCTGCCACCGGCAGGTTGTTGGCGCGTGACAGGACGAAGAGTTGAATGTAGAGGCTCTCGAGCGTGGTGAGGGAGGCATGCTGACCTGGTTAGTTCGAGACCTGTACCGTGCAGGCGCCCTGGCGACTTACCTGGAGCAGACACGGAGGGTCGTGCTGGACGCACAAGCCTGGCACGGGGCCATATCGACGGAGATGCCTGGCGCTGGTGATGCAAACGTTGCGGCTTAAGTTCTTGTCCTTCGGTTCCCAGACGATATGGGCAGGGTTGATGCAGCAGCCGTGGTGGCAAAGGTGAGAGCCCTGCATCTCTTCCCAGGGCGCGTCCTTGCTCTGGGCAACCAGAAATTGGTCCAGTTCGACGGCGCGCCGCGGCCAGCTCTCCTCCTGGAACCAAGCGACTGCTCGAGCACAAGAGACTTCCACGTCGTCGATAGAGATCGTCTGGTATGGGGTTAGACGGACGTGTGACGCGATGTAGAGCGAAACTCACCAGACGCCGGTCCGGCTGCTCGCTGTCCGGTGCTCGATCTGGGGTGAAGGTCCGCAGAATTTCGAGAGGCTCCGTGTTTTTCCACTCTCCAGGGACCAGGACACAGGTGCTGACCCGGTCTGCCCTCAATCCCCACCCGCTCAGACGCCGACTCAGGTTTCTCTCGAACACGTCGCGAATCTCCTGCGTGAGCCACGAAATCCCCTTCTGCTGTCTCTTGTCTTTTGAGGTCGGCATGGAGTACCTCGGGATCGGACGACGTGTCGCTGGTGGCGATGTTCGAGGGGGAGGTTCCATCTGCCGCAGCGAGCTTGTGTCTGTCGGCGGGTCGAGGTCCGCGGTTCCGAGATCATCCGATGCGATGGCCGGTTCGGGCGAGTCAGGTTGCCCGCAACCTGCCAGGTGCCACGGCGTGCAGACATCGTCGCTGTCAACACGCTGGAGAGAGCGAGAGAGGTGGGACAACCAATACTGTTTCTTGAGTCGTAGACGCGACTGCGTGTCGCTCTCGCCGCCGCTTGGTCGGTGGATGAACCGGATCCAATTGAACAGCCAAAAGGTTTCCGTACATTGTGCCAGCCACCCGTCCGCGTCGAACGGCGGGCGTGGCCTTCGAGGAGCCTGGCCGGCGGCGTCGAGTGCAGCGCGGACCACGAAACGGATCTCGTGGTCGTCGGCGGTCCAGGCTGCTTTGTCGACCGACGCGCCCACGTATCGGGGGCTGTTGGTTCGGATCGCCTGTGTTGCCGCCGTGATTTTCCAGGCATGCGGAGCTCTGCCCTCGTGCTGGTCAAGGCATTCCCGGGACGAGTTCGCCTTTTGGAGGGGCGTCGTGGAGTCGCTTTCGTGCTCTCTTAGGGCGGTGATCAGCCCAGGTTGACGCAGTAGAGCTTCGAGCGCGGCTCGGTCTGTCAAGCCCAGCAGCTTGATGATGCTTTGATCGACGTCCATCCGGAAGTCCGCGTAGTCAAAATGTTCAGGGGGGCTGGCACGAGCCATTCGCGATTCCGCAGGGAGTCCTGTGGCTGTCGCTTGATCAAGGTTTGGAAAAGGTCGATCGGGGCGCACGGGAACTGTTGGTGGACGTGCGAGGCCCCTCTGCTGCAGCACGCGCATCCGGCTCTCGTAGGCTAGTGCAGAATGATCTGGCTTCTGTGACGGGTGAGTTGGTGTGTCGGGCCTCGAAGGGCTGGGAATGTGACTCACCAGCGCCGAATACTCCTCGTACATCTTGTTGCGCGGCACGTCTGCCGCGGATGCAGCCTCGACCCAGCTGACCAGGGCTTTGTCATCTTCATCAGTGAATCCTCGATAGGTTCTGGTGGCGAGCGTCGAGCTATATGGCCGTGACACAGGAGGTGGATGCTCTGCCCAGTCCACAAGACGAGCGGTCTCCCTGTCCAGGTGGACTCCCACGTCCTCGACCTTCCGGAGGTCCGAAGACATGGTGGCAGCGACTGAGAGATCGAACAACACGAACGGTCAGATTCACGGGGGCTCAGAAAATCGGGAGAAGACGACGGCCCTCGATCTTGCCATTTGTCGGGTATTTATGATTTGCAGAGGCTCAGCAGGGAATTGTCGAGGCCTGCCCTGCTGTGATGTCCCAGTGGCGTTGACAAACTCGGCGAGTGCAGCCAATGTTCCGGGTCCCAGGGGAAAGGTCGCATCTAATGGCCGGGGGGGGGGGGATCAGTCAGGGGCGAGGGGCCTCCGCCTCGCTTTCCATGATTGGTCGCGTGTGAGACTCTCCCACGAAAATAGGACACTGCGCTGAGATCCCTGAGATGGTGTATTTTGCAGGCGAAGGGTTGGTCAGGCCGTGCGTGGAGGCTTCAGCACATTAAGGCCCGGCGAGGCGGCCGCTAGGAGATTGTGTGTCTGTTGGACGTCCACGCGTGATTTCGTTGACCGATGTGGCAGAGGCTCAATTCGCAGCGCAGAAAGTGATAGCGGTTGTCAGACCATAGCTTCAGCAGGGTGTCCGCTGTGATGATCTGTGCACGTAGATGGCCGCGTGACTGCTTGAGGAACCACTGATGATATGAAGGCGGCCCTGTTCTGGCGCTGGGACATCGTGCATTGTCTGCCATCGTCCACTCAAAGGTCGTGTATAAGGTGAGAAACGCGTCCAGATCCGCGGTTTGGACGTGCCAGCCCCAGCGAAGTAAAGTACAGAGATACGCGCAGAGAGTGACAAATTGTGGTAGCGTCATATCAAGAGGTCCGTAGGCGTCAAGGATCGCTGTGAACTTGGCCTCCGTAAAGGTCTGTGGTCCTAGGCCTCGAGGTGCGCTCGGGTGGTTTATGAGTCTAGGACGCTTGGCTGGGGGCGTGTCGGGCCCTATGGCGGAACGCTTAGTCTGAGGCACCTGCATCCTGGGAGCGGTCTGGTTGGTTGATTAATGATGTCGTTTCGATGCGGGAGAGGCTTGGGAAATTCTGAGGGAGAGCATCAATACCTCGACACCAGAGGACGCTTCGGTCGCAAAGTCGAGCAGACTTCTCTAGGAATATGAATAGCCCAAACTTCTTCGAGCCTGTGCCTCTCCGTCATTATCTTAGTTGTACCTTTTGGAGTCACGGGCGTGGCGGGGGCACAATGTCCCGCCGGCAGTTTCCTCCCCCACCCGGAACACTTTAGCAGGCAGTACACTTTGTCATGTCCAAACTACGTCGCGTAGCAATGCAGGACAAGGAACCAATGGGAAATACTCTCCACGGTGGTCGCGTTGTCTTGATGTTCCTACGGGAGAACATGGCACATTGTTGATGTGTTTATGTCGGCGTAGGACGCGGAACGCTTCCCGACAACGCGCCTGTTGGGAACACTCTTGAGCAACGAAGGTGCAACTATTGATCCCCCAGGCTCAAAAAGGGCCGTCTTCCGCCCTCAACTGCCATACGCCACTCGCAGAACGGTTGATCAATACCACGGGCAAAAACCTACGAGTCACAGAGACCAATAACGCCGCTTCGGCTTCTCTGGCGGCACAATGTCCAGTTTACAAGGGCGAGTCACAATGCCGCCGCACATTCGACCATGCTGTCTCCGCTGCGCACAGCTATACATGTACTACCCGTATGTCGATGACCCTGAGTGTTGCACTCATCCTGACGCATGATCTAGTGACATCAGATGCCAGCCGCTGTTTCAGGATGACCGACCGCAAAAAGGCCTGACGCGGAGAGTCTCGAGAGGTTGTCACAATTGTCGGGCGCATAAGTGGAAATGTCTTCAGGTACAAGCCCGTCCCGCAGTTTCTGACCCCCGTCTAACTCATGCCATCCCTACAGGTCCCCGAGGCGCTTAATGAGCCGCTTTCGCGGCTTCAAGCGAAGGCGGACCGTTACCTCGCGACCATGCGTCCTGGCCAAGCAGGATTCGCAGAGTTTGCCGCCGTCCGTGAGGCCCAAGTGGTGTTTTCGGCGCTGTCAGCTAGGATGTTGGCATCCTGCAGCAAGCCGGGTAGGAAGAGGAGAGTGGCCAGCAGTGTGGGGGAGGAAGTAGAGGTTCTTCATCCAGCATCGCGCAACGGAAGAGAGGCAGCCGCCTGAGACAAAAACCCTGCTAGAGTCGATGTCCAATCCACGGCGCAAACAGAACAAGACGTTGGCCGTGGATGGCACGCCGGATCCAACACGACGCTAGCGATGTGCATGTGGCGGCCATTGGACGGGTGTCGCTCAGAGGTGATGGCTCTTTCGATGCCTCGGCGCCTCCATCATCGCTGGATAGAGAGGCGTCTTCGTCCTTCGAAGCAGCGATTGCCTGCGAGTCAGAGATGCTCCCTTGGCGTCTGGAGACTTCAAAGCTGATCTCGGTGTCAACCCGTTCCGACCGCTAATACTCTAGGGCTAAACACACCCTCGAGCTGCCTTCCCTGTAGCCTCAGAGTCTACGAGATCGTGAAGGGTATGGGAAGAAATCAGAGCGCGAAGACCGCGACTTGTACGGCGCGGCACAAGGAAGGGAGGGAAAGAAATATGCACGTGCCTTGGGAAGTTGGAGGCGGCCATGAAGCCCGGGAAATGGGAAGGAGACTACAATCATCAGGGCTCGAGGGAGTGGTGCGTCTGCCATGCTAAGGGACGAACCTCTCGGGGACGCGGGACTCAGAAGTATCGCTCGGTTGAGGCGCGTGCATTGGAGTGTCAAGGCCTGGAAGGGCGAGACGCACATCATAATGGTTTGGTGGGGTTTGGAAAGTCAATATCCCCGTCCGCAGGAGCATTGGCACCAAATGTCTTGGCAGTTTTTGCCCCGGGAGTACGCCTAAGTCTTACCTAGATTATAGGGAAGGTCTCGCCTAAGCTTAACTAAACTTTCGTCAAGACACCCAATAGGAAGAGGAAAGACTACTCTGGTATATAGGAACGGTAGCTATAAGTATACTATAGCGCTAATTTTGTAGCCCTTTTCCACCTAAAGTTGTTGAGTCCTACTGTACGAGAATTCATGAATTTTGGTGAGACTTTCATCAAAATTCAGTCCCAAGACATTTGGTGCCAATGCTACTGCGGGTGAATTAGTCTACAGGCCCGACACCACACCTTAGGTGCGTCCCTTTCAGATGATGCCACTTCCCACGAGCATCACGGCCAAGAGCAGCGATGACGAGCCAAGTCCGGCCATCGAATCATCCATGCCCAGTCAGCCATCGAGTTGAAGAGCATCTCTTGCTCCGACCATGTCAGTATCCACTTTCCAACGCATCCTCATACGCGACACGCCAAGTTTCCAGCTGCTGGTATTGGCTTCGGAGCTCTTCCAACGCACCCCAGACCTGGTTTGTTATCTGCCTTCCACCACAGTCGCAGGTGCTCTGGGCCGATGGCTGGTCCAGGAATCTGCGGATAGCCTCGATGTGCACGGAGCGTTGCTTCGGTATCGTGTAGTCCATATTTAATCGTTTTCGAACCCTAAGCTCTCTTTTTCGGTGGCTGGCACAGAGTGCTACACGATCCTCCTTGGACGTGCGACGAGGCTGTCGTCGTTTTACTCTTGGGTGGAGTTGACTCATCTCATCTTCTCTAGTGGCTACCCCGTCCGCAGAGATGCTCGATGGCAAGGAAAATGGCTGTTGTACGGGACACGGGGGCTGCCGAGGCGCAGTGTACCAAGGCGGGTCTGTTCGCGTGATGTTCATCTCCAGAACTGGACTCGTGGAAGGAAAGGGTTTGACCCGAGGGGATGTGGTCATGGTGCTGATCGCGTGTGGGACGAATGGCTTGGATACGTCCTCAGAGGCCGTATTTGGTGCCAGGGGGGCATCGAGTTGACAGGTGTTGCGAGGAGGGCGTCCCGTGCAGCCGTGGAGTCGATCGTTATCGCGATCCGGTGGGTGCAAGTAGAATGGGGAGATGGGATCCCTGTCGCGGGTCATGTCACATTCGGGGAAGATGTTGAAAGAGGCATCGGGCATCAGCGTTACGCCTTGCCAGTCCGAGATGGACGGCGCGAAGCTGGTAGCGCTCAAGGTCGTGCCCGTCGCCGGGTTTCCGGTGGTCATGGTGATGGGGTCAGACCGAGCGTGGGTGCTAGGGACCGCAGCTGAGACGTCGTTGCTTGATAGGGCGCTAGCACTATCCCCGAGCATGTCGAGGTTCCAGAAATCTCCAAAGCTGGGCGGCCGGTGCTGTGATGGCATCGTGACTGAATCAAGAGAATGCTCGACGGTATCGGGGATCGTGCCGAAAACATCGTTCTCCAGCAGAAAGCCAGCGCTGTCGGCCAGGACATCGGCTGGTAGGCAATTGTCAAAGCCGCCTGGGCCGTGGCTGACGGGAGCGTAGGAAAAGTGGTCAGACATTTCACCGGCCGATGTCGGGGTATGCCACTGTAGGTAAACTATGCGGTCGTGGGCTCTATACGCTCCCCTCTGATCCCAAAGTTGAAACGCAATGCCATGATTCTTATCTTGCGCCCGGCCCAGCCTGTCTCGGTCGCGTGGTCAACGCCATCCCACTCCACTCTTCCCGAAAGTATACGTTCCTGCCGTGATGTCTTGCATTCCAGCACCGATGCGAGACTGGCGCTGTGAACTTGGTCGTGGCTAGCAGGGGTGGGCGAATGTCTCGGGTGTTGACTGAGAGCATTTAGGCGGGCACGGCGGACGGTGCTGAATTTTGGGCGCTCCCACCTCGCCCTCTCAGCCGAGTGTTGGACGTTCACTTGTGACGTCCCAGCATAGATCGTTCTCCAAGGATTGTAATCTCACAAGACGATGCAGGCGCCTATGTTCCGTAGCAAGAGTTTCGTGAGATGGACGAAAGGGGCCACAACAAAGGACAGAGGTCGGGCGGTGAGGCTCAACGCAGTGAACATCGGCAGGAACATCTCGGCTCTTGCCCCACCAGATCCTGCATATTTCTCGCGTAATTGGTGATGTACGGAGAGGTCGACACTCCCTTTGTCTATGGTGGAATTGGGACAGGACACCTGGCCACGGAAGGTAAGGAGGTGGAGAGGGCAAACTTGGCACAGACTTCATGGGGGCGCAAACCTCGGCACAAGGCTGCATATAAAATGTATGGCGGCCTCAAATGTCAACGTGCTGCTCATTATGCAGATTGCTGATTCTTCTATGTAGGAGCCTCGCTGTCGTCGTCGTCGCCGCCGCCACCGAACCTTTTTGTGTAGATAGCCGGGGTGTTACCAATTCCAGCCTCGCCTGTCAATCCCTGTGCGCCCCTTGAGAGTCTGTAGTCTCGCCTGCCGCCTTCGGAGAGAAAAGGCGACGAGACGATGATACGCCTCCTTTATGGTCGTATATACCTCGCCTATTGCGGATTCTTCGAGCCACGTAGACGGGTATGAGTTAATCGCCTTCTCAACGTTAGATCTGAGGTGTTCTGGGCTTGGACTATTATAGGTTAGGTACATTATTTTGTGCGGTGGAGCCTAACAAATGAATGTACTCCGTACCGGACCTGCAGTTGCCGTGGGATCCCGCCGCCAGTGGGCACAGCGTTCGCTGCCAACCTCAGTACTGTTTACATGAACACACTCCGGAGACAGCGACCCTGATGAAGCGTACGCGGGAGCTCGAAGAAGGGCACTACAATTCGACAGCATCGTCGCGACTAGGTGACTGTTTCATTGACGATTTCATGTGCCTAGGGTCCAATTGAGTGCCGAATTGAAGGGCCGGATGAGATGCAAGTCCAGTGGAGTCTCTGCAAGGTACATACTTGGCACCATGTGGCAAGGTAGTACGCTATGGGGCCGTCCATGTGGCGGTCCTCCTGCAGTGGAAAGTCGGATCACAGAAATTGCTGACATCACCGATAAAATTCCGCCTCCGTTGTCCGTCGGCCCATAGACTATTGATTCTTGACCTTGCCGTTGCCAATTGGCGTTTTGGGGTAAAATCCCATGTTGCAGCGATCTGCTAGTCCTTTGCCTGTGAATACAGTGGTACTTTAACTTGCGTAAACACGTTTATTTGCGGGGAGGGGACTAATCTTTTCTTGTACCGTTACACGATAACGCAACATGGTGTGCACCGCTACGTAATGCGAAGCACAGTGTGCCTATACGCGCCGCTCCCTTCAAGCCCTAACAACGCCTGGAATAATGAGGGTGGCCGCAGCTTCTGCCTCGAAGATGACGCCAGAATCAATCCACCTCGACCATTTCTGAATCCTCGAGAAACTCTAGAGGCTCGTCCTCGTAAGAATCTGGTATCACGTCCGGCCGCTGTGCTGACGACTGATCTTCTTCGAAGCGTGGTTGGAGGGCTGCTATGCGAGTGCGTTTGCGGGACTTCAATTGGTCATCCTCAATCTCGTACGCGTGGATTCGCTTAGGGAGACGTTGCCCGACTGTAGCAAGTTAGCGGATGGCCACGGTTCTTCGTCGGTTCAGGGTGAGGCCTGGCGGCCTACTCACGGTTAGGTCTCAGCTTGTCGGCCTCTGCAATCAGACCTTGCGCAGTCTTGATCTTGGATTCTAGCTCGAGGCGCTCGGGTGATGGCGATGGGGTCTGGTCTTCACTTATGGAAGCCACCTGGTCGGGGGAAAGACGCTCAATGCTCTGGTAACGCAGGAGCGAGGACAGTTGCTCGACAAGGATACTAGTCACCGTGCCAAAGTTGGCAATTCTGGCGAGCTTCTCGACTTCGGACTGATGCAGTGATGCGTCAGCTGGCCGGTCGTGAAGCGTTCAACGTACGTACCTTGTAGTGCTCCTCGGCGCCAATGATGGTCGCGGCTGCGGCGGATCTGTACAGGTATTCCTCGTCGCCGAGGACCTGGACGAGGACTTTGGCATCCAACGCGCTTGCATGCTGACGGGATATGCCGCTCCTCTGCCCCGGGGCTCTCTGCGACGACATGCGGACGGCTTCGAACTGCTGCGCTCGGGTGCTGAATGAGTTGACATTTCGGAAATTGATCGGCTTTCTCGTCGAGTGGTCCTGGCGGAGCTGGGCAAAGAGGTCGCGGAGCCGCCCGCTGACATCTTTCTGCACGCGCTGGGCGAGGAACTCGCCAGCGCGAGGAAGGCTCTGCGGCTTCACAACGTACGCCAGCGCCACTTTGACGAACTCCTTGGCCTGGCCGGCGACATCCTCGACAAATGCATCGATGTGGTCGCCCCATTTGTCCACCAGGTCGTAGAACAGATTTTGGGCTAGTGTGGGGTTGAATCGAGATGCGCTGCCGGCCTTTTTTAACTTCCCCGTGAGTTCTTGGAGAAGGCTCTGCTCGGCCCAGAACAGGCCCGGGCCACCGAGTTGTTTCGCAGCAGCTTCTCCGACGGCTTGGGTCGTCTGGCGAGACCTACCACTAGTGGCCACAAACTCTTCCAGCGTCACGATGCGCGCCTCGACGTATTGGTGCAGCTGTGACACGTCAGTTCTTGGATCCGGAAGCGATTCAAAGAAGTCGCCATCGTAAAGGCCCCGGAGAGAAGCGTCCACGATGTCTTGAAACGACTTGGTCGCGTCGTGGAGCACTTCTCGAATGTTTATGGGCGGCGGGGTGGGCATGCGTGAGACTTGCAGCCGGAGACCCTCTAATGACTGACAGAGGTCGTCCCTCACGTCGGGTAGTACGGCGTTGTGGTTCTGGGCATTGATGACCTCCAGTCGGCGCTGGCACTCTGGAATTCCTTTGTGCTTGGTCGAGACCTTGCCCCATTCACCTGTGTTCAGGAACGTCTCTTCGGCTCTGGCGTGCTCGGACGCGGTTGACCTCAGCTGGGTGAAGGCGCGATTCTTCACGACGTGGTAGGGGCATGGCTGCTGGCGTTGCAAGAGGTCGATCCAGCCTGCGGTGATCGTGGGTTCCTCCTCGGGATTGAGCTTGTCAGGTTTAGTGAGGACGCAGAAGGTTCGTGTGCCCAAGGGATCGACGCGAGCAATTTCGTCCCCGAGGTTTTGCTGCGCCTGAGACAGGTGGCATGCTCTAACGTAGACAATGATACTCCGCGGCCGCGCGATGTGCCCCAACACCATCTTTCGCACTCGGTACTTGTCGCTCTCGCTCTGCTTGTCGCTGGAGCTATTGAACACGCCTGGTAGATCCATCAACGTAAAGTTCATGTTCCCGGGGCTAGACGCCTCGAGGTGAAGCACATGGTCAGAAAAGCCCGATTGCGTCACTTCGAGGTGCTCCCGTGCGGCATCGATCACGCCTTTGATCTCCTCCTTGCCGCTGACCACCGGTGTAAACTTTGCCAGCCTCTCCACCTCTTGGGCCTGGGTTCCTGGGGCAGGGCGTAGAAAAGCTCGGAACTGTGCTGTGGGCGTGTCGCGAAGGTGGAGGACGGTGGCAAAGCGCGTACAGACGTCGTCGCTGACGGGGAATTCAATGCCTGTCAAGCTGTGCAAGAAGGAGCTTTTCCCAGCAGACTGATCACCGCAGACGACCACTTCTGGAAGTTCAATGTCCCTGGCGAGCTTGGAGTCCCTCACCTCGTCGATAAAGTCGAGAATGGCCTTGACGCGTTGCTGGTCCCCGTTCGGGGTGAAGGATGCGGCATAGGGCGCCATAGGTGCTAATGCTGCTTTGGGTCCGAGGTGGGCGGCGCTGGAGGGGGGGTTGAATTCTTGACCGGTCCCGTTCTCGCGAGTCTAAGTCTTTCACAGGGAGAGGGAAGAGCCACGAAGGTAGCGCATGCCCTCCCGGCAAGCTCTGGTTTGTGGGGGAGGTCTCAAAGATGAGGGTGTCAGTGGAGGAAAAGTAAGATGCAGCGGAGATGCTGGCGTTGTCTTCATCCCGTGCCTGTGCAGGCTGGAAAAGTTGGGCGGGAGCATCTCTTTGTCTGCAACCCACGGAGGGCTAGGTGGGTTTGGCTCTGCCTGTAGAACGCCGCTGCGGGCACAGTGTTCCCGGGCGTAGGCCAAACCTCTCGCCCGCTCCAACGCGGCGTCACGATCATGTTCTTTCTGTCCCCGCCTGCTCCGCGCGCACGGATAGCTGGATGCAGCTTTGTTGTGGATTGGCATTTTCCAGCGTGGTCCTGCAGACGTGGATGATCGTCCGCCTGGGCAGGGAACAGGCGTGACAAACGGAACAGCCTGGACACATCCGCGCGGTGCCGTGGAGATTCGGACTGAGTAGGTTCCCTTGGATGCCTGGAACCGGGTGAAGAGTGCGAAGGTCCCATCGGCACACAGACCCAGCCTGATGACAGCCCGTCTTGCGCGTCTGCTTGACGATAGCTGGGCCTTTCACTGTGAGCCCCGTACATGCTCGCCGTATGCGACGGCAAGGTTGAGAATTGTGACGCCAAGAGTTTCCATACCAAGGCGGTGAAGAAGGCTTCACATACACAGGTGGGAGTGGCTTGGAAGTAGAAGGCGTAGGTAATCTTAAGCACCTTTTCGGACACTCAGGATAGAACGGCGCCTAGCAAATTTTCTAGGCATCCCTAGCGCCAGGCAAGTTCTGTCTGTCCGACATTTATCCGAACTCCGAATGGGGTGCCCTTCAAGTTGTTCGCAGCGGTCAACTGTGTGTCTGCAGTCGGCCCCCCAGCATTTAAGGGCGGAGTCTTAACGATGTCGGCTAAGCTCATCCTCTTGGATATGGAAATTGTGAAGAGTCCGATAGTATGTTGGTGAAAGAGCTACCTGAGTTTCGGTGTAACACGGCGTGGAATTGTATAGTGTCTATCTTGGTTGAAATCTAAAATCCCTCCGCCCCCACATCCAAGCACCTGAAAGTAGCTATATCGCTCGAACGTCTGGGCCTCCACACCGGATCTCTCTTCTTGCAGCAAGGACGCCATCGATCTCAGTGACATGTTTAGCTTCACGACCCGAATTGACGTGTCCTCTCTGTAGGTGGCTCCGTCGTGTACAGTCATCGTAATTTCTCCCTTTCATGCGTTGGCCGCTTCTCCATCCTGTCCTAGGCCGGTTGGGTTCCTCGTGTGTCGAGCTAGCGCGTCGGAGAGCTCTTGCCCGAAATGCTGGAAGACCTCTGGCCATGGCCACCCGCCGTTCTGCGCTGCTGTGGACACCGTCTCGAGATTTTTGAGTTGCGCATAAAGATCCGCAAGGTCGCGACGGTCGAGTGTCTGGCCTTGGCTCTGCGCGCGAGCCAGCAGTTCGGTGACCCTGTTGATGACCTTGACCGTCGAGGAGACCTCCGTGGAGACGAACGCCATCTGGGCTCGGACGTTGTCCGTCAGGAATTTGACCTCTCTCTCCAATATCTCAATCTCTCGTCGGAGCAAGTCGCGTGTGTAGTCGTCTTGCAGGAAGGTGAACGCCGACTTCAGCCCGCTCACCACTCCGTACGTCCGGTCTAGCTTTCTCTGCCTGCCGCGCACATGTAGTAGCCTGGACTCTTCACAGGCCCGCCAGGTCCGCTTTTCGGCGTCGATCTCCTGGAGAAGGTGGGCGGCCGTCTCGTTCAAGATTTCGAAGTCCTCGAGATGCAAGTCTTGGTGGCGCGTAGAGGTGAGAGACAGGTTGTTTGAGAGCCACGCCGCGACCTTCCAGGTGGTCGACGTGTCGAGGACCAGGAGCTCGTCTGCCGCCCTCCTTGACACGCTGTCGTGGAAAGTGGACATTTCGTGACCCAGGCTGCTGATGTGGTCGGCGTGCCCGAACGCGACGTGCACAATTGCGTCTTCTTTTCCGACGGCGGCCATGAGTCGGTAGACTGAATCCTCCGCGATCATCCCGATGGAGTCGATCGTGTTGGGGTAGTGAAACGGCATGAGCGGCGGGGGTGGGCCAACACGCCACGATCTGTCTTGCGCGGGGGAGCTGATAAGCTTTGTCGCTGTGGCGAAGAGGCTCAACATCAGTTGAAACAACGGCCCCAGACGGAGGTGCTCTTGGAAGATGTACAGAAGACAGCAGACGAGAGCTAGGGCCCAGCTTAGCCCCAGCCACTTGACCAAATGAGAGATCAGGGAAAAACACCAGCAGACCACAGATAGACACCAGCGGACCAGGCACCAAATCCAGTGGGACACCGTGGCCGTGGCAGTCTTGCTTGCGGGTTGATCGCGGCGAGCGGATGTGTCGCGGGCTTTCTGCGCTTTCAACACCTGTTCGTAGGCAGCTTCAAAGTCCACATCGGCCGAGGAACAGGAGGAGGCCTGGGCAGCCGGTCGGCCGACAGGTCTAGTCGAGCTCCGCGCGACGGCCATCGTTGGACAGAATCAGGTCGGGCCACGAGGGGGAGGAAGGTGTGGAGGGGTTGGAGGGGATCACTCGAGTGCGGTGCGGAAGAGACCCGTTGGACTTGGGAAGATCAGAGGGGCGGTTGAGGTAGCTGTGCTATCCTGCTGGCTGGCGTGTGGGCCGAGCGCCGAGGATGTGGTGGGTGCAGTGGACGATTGTGCGGCTGTCGAATCGGCTTCTTTCACGTTGGTGGTCTGTTGATGCTGCTGCTGGAGTTTTCGGGGACGTGGCGGAGATATATGTACCTGTGATGAAGGCTGAGGGCCGCCTGCCGGCCATGCTGGCAGTAGTGGCAGTGAGGACTGTCTAAGCCAGCGGACAAAGATGATCGCTCAGCGCTGGGGGGATTGTTTCACGTTGAGCAACTCCTTCGGCGGTCGCGGACACGCCCAGACGGCGAATTTTGAGACGCACGACCAAGGTGGCTTGACTCGCTCGCGTGTGCCGCGGTGATGAGCCATGAACCAGAGGGGTCTTTGTTCTTGGAAGGTGGACGCTTTCCGGTTCAACGTCTAACTGCAAGGGCGAGCAAAAGGTCGAGACTGGGCGGTTCGTTGGCTTGGAATATCTCGAGACATTTTGAATCCGGCCCAAACGGAGCCGCATCTGGAGAACAAGGGTTGCTAGACATCTGAGCGCATTGGCTACCACGCAGGACGTTGAAAACGCTTTATCGAGTTGCGCTGACGACGAGGCCGTGCCAGCGGCAAGAATCATTCCGGGTCACGCCTCGGGAGGGGATTGCGCTGACACACCAACGTGGGCATTTCTTTCCATGGCGGCGGCCAGGCGCGTCCACGAGTGGCTCACACCATTGCCTCGGGGTGTCGACGAGCTGAGACGCGTGATTCAGGAACGTAAAAGAATACGTCTTGTTCCGTTTTATTCCTTTGTTGTGTGGGAGTGTCTTGTTTAGTGGGGAACGAGGTCAATAGTGATGATGTCTCCCACTGTTAGGGGGATGATGGATCCAGCCGCTCTTATCCTAATGCAGCTACGCGGGAAAACTATTAACCTCGACCGAGCCAGGTGACAAAATAAGTGGCACACCAAAATAATGACAAGTAGAGGTCTAGGCTCTTCTTCGCTGGTGTTCGAAAATTATGGTGCTAGCTATTATATAGAATTGCATAAGTATATTTTAGGCTTTAGACACTCCTCGTGTATATCAATACTATATGGTATCATCTCAGAAAAATTGGTTGGAAAGTGGCTTAGAAGTATAATTTATCTAGTGGTAATCTGGTCTGACCACGTCACTGTGCCACTTCTTTTGTCATCTGGCTTGACCTATAAAGGCCCGGGTTCCTCCAACGGCGGGCTGCCCGCTTGCGCGTTACATCAGCTCTTCGCCAAGGAGACACACCCCCACACCTGTGCATTGTCACTCTCAGCGGGAGAGTTACGACCCGTTTTCGATTGACATGCGGTCCCAGTGTCCTAGACAAACTCGTGAGGAACCCCTTGACCCCATTCTGATCAAAGAAGCACGGCCCACCCGACATTAGGGAGAGTGAGGAACATTGACCTCTGCACATCGCCTTTATTTGAAGCACGTCTCCATGCGGGAACAAAGTGGCCCCTTTAGGTGCAGAGAGGTCAATACAGGGAGGTGTATACTGGACAAAGGTCGCTCCGGAGGCAAGGAGGCCACAATGTGACCCCCGGTTCCCGCACACGCACCTCTCCACTGAGCTGGGGACGAGCGTGCTAAGAACGAATATGCCCCAGGATAAGGAGGATCAGGACGGCACAGCTTCTGGACATCTTCACCCTGCAACGCCACGCGATGCCGCGTTGAACTTCTCCCAGATCCACTCCTGCCGCCGCCACCGGGGGCGCGAATGCTTACCGGAAACTCGTCCTGGACGACTGAATCCCAGCAGCAATCTATTCCCCTTCCCTTCGTCGGTCAACGACGACCTTTGGTGGCAAAGCGGCACGGCGCGGGCAACACCTTCATGTACGCATCTCCACCTCCACCATGTCCCTTTTGAGATTCGATGCCGCGGCGGCTCGGATGCAGCTGCACCAGAAACCTGTCCGGGATCTGAACGAAGACCTCCGCAGGAGGGGTGCACCGTGTCATGGGAAGAAAGATTTTGCCGTCTGTAAGCTGGCCCAGGTCATGGCGCAGGGGTTCTGGGATCGGTATAGCACGGCAACGCTCCTTGCTCAGCTCCAAGCCCGCGGCGCGCATCCTCCTGCGACGCAAACCGAGCGGTGGCTCCTCGTTTCACTCCTTGCCGACGATGACACCTGCTTTGAGGAATCGACGAAGCTGGCTTCCTTCACCGTGGCGCAACTGGTCGACCACATGGCCCGAGCCCAGATCCCACACCACCCGTGCTCTCGGCCACTCAAGTTTGACCTTGTCAACCACATCCTCGCGCACGGCCAAATGACGCAGGTAAGTCAAGCTCTCTCGCAGCTCGCATCGGTCGGCCCCAGCCAGGTCAAGGCGGATCCCAGGCCGAAATCTACAACCCCGGTGCTCGCGAACTCAAGCGGTGTGCCCTATGTACCGTACGCCCCACCGTCGCACTGTGAGCTCTCCAGCCTTCCCGACACCGAGCTCAAACGGCGGGGGGTCGTCCATCACATGGCCAGCGGTGGCCCCGCGTCCGAAGTGGCGATGAACGACCCGCTATGGGACGTCCACTGGCCCCCCCAACAGGACATTTGCCCATGGTATTTCAACGAGCCTGCCATCCCTGCCATGTTGCGCGAGCAGAGTAAGGGCCGCCTCGAAGAGCATCTCGACCCTGGGACCCAGAGGCTCGGGTGGGCCTCGGATGGGCTGATGTTAGGCAGGTTAGGCACGGGGGACGGGGAGCACTGGCGTTCGACACCGCCCACCGAGGCACGCTATCTTCATTTCTCGGCCATGTCGCCAAAAAGCCCAGAGGCATGTCTCGAGCGTAATGGCACGGTTGCCTTTGGGCGTGCAGAGTCATGTGGGAAAGCCCAGTCGAGCACATCAGGCCCAGACGCCGAATCTGTGCGTCTGCTGCAGAGCGCTTCAAAGCTCGCGGAACTACAACAGGGGCCGGCGCCCAAGGACTCCGCGCTGCGGTGTCTCCAAACGCAAGTCGACGAGAGTCGACGTCAGCTCGAGTCGACGCAGTCTCAACTGACATCGAAGGAGAAGCTGCTGCAAGACGTGACGATTCAGCTCAACGCCCTGATGGTGGAGCACACGCTCCTGCAAGAACGGGCAGACGCTAGAGAGGAGGATCTCAAGGAGCTGGAGCGGCACCGTGACCTCCGAACGTCCGAGCTCCAATCTGCGCTCAAGGCGAAGGATCGAGACCTTGAGGCTGAGCGACACGAGTTTGGGCGCCGCATTGCGGCAAAAGACCTCGAGATCCAGAAGAAAGACGAGGAATGGCGCGCCCTCCAATCCGAACGAGATCGCCTGGCACGTGACTGTGCCGACAAGGGTCGAGATCTCGACATCTCACGAGATCGACTTCGACGCCACGCCACGAAGAGCGACGACGAGATCCGAGGGAAAGACGCGGAGATACGCAAATTGAAGGTGGAGTGTGAACGCTTGCGGGAAGATCGCCCCACGTCGACCGTCCCGCCTCGTAACCCCCCTGGCCCAACAGAGCCGGGCTTGACGCCAGCGCAAAACGAGAAACTCTCTCAACACCGGCAGAAATTGTGTGACCTGGACCTGATGGCTTTGTGCGATCTTGTTCAAATACAGTGGCAGAGTCAGAAACCCACGGCCTACTGGCAAGCACGTTTCGCGGAGCTCCTGTCCCACGTCCGCCAGCGGGTCCAGGAGTCGTCGCTGGCGCCCCCACCTCCACAGACATGCGCCGACGACCGGGCCGCCTCAGCCGCTCCGGCGCCCGCGAGGCTCCATGATGAGCCAAGCGCCACGTGCGACACGAAACCACCCGAGGATCAATTTGACGCCCTTCCCCCGGGTGCTTTCCGTCAGGACGAGCCTGCCGACACCGCTGCCGAGCACTGCGCTCCAGTGCCTCCTGCAGGCTGCGATGGCGAGGCGGACCCAACTGCGAGCTTGGCCGATTCGACGCAGGACCGCGATTCGAGGCCTCCCGAGAATGGCCAGAGAATGGCGGCCCTCGTGGGTCCACAGCAAATTCGATCCGCCGATGGTCGGCACCAGGACGCTGTCGACCTGGCGCATCAACTCAATGCGTGCTTTCAGAGCCCCCCAGGTACCAGGTGGTACAACTCGCTCCTCGGGCGCAACAGAGGGTACAAGCAACGGACGTTGGAACACCGTCAAGCGCTGGACAATGCCATTCGAGGCCTTCTCTCCGATGCGCCGAGTCCTAGCCTACTTCAAGGCCTCAGCCGCGCGGACCAGGAGGGCGGGTATCCGAGCGACTGGCTCAGCGACAAGGCGGCGGGGTTGAAGGCGGCGCTGGGGGAGCTTGGAGAGTTGACTCGCGCGCTCGAGGATGGCGACCCCTGAGTCGGAGGCCGTAGCTAGACGGCCACCAGGGGCAGACGGCAAGTGTAGCGGCAGACTCCTGACAGCGTGACGCGGGCAGCGCACAGGCGTCGAATGTACTTTGTGGGATCACGGGTGCCGGATGGGACTACACTTCTTTTAGGGATTGCTTGGTAGATGCCTACCAGGTCGAGCGAGTTGAGACCGACAACACTCACTCAGATCTACAGTTCCTTGTTCTCTGTTCTTTTCCATGCTGGTCTGCGTGCTATAGCAATGCCGTCCTGTGACCCTCTGGAAACCCAGGTCTCGACAGGGGTGGCGTGCTGGCTCTTCCCGCCGCGGTCGATGTGATGGGGAAAGACAAGCAGGCGTCGACGGCTTCTTTGGTCACGTCAGGACCGTCTATTTCAATAGAATTCGTAACAGCACAAAACCAACACTGACATGCAAGCCAGGACTCTACCTCTTTTACACAGAAATTCTCGGTTTCACAATTCTCAAGTCTTCCTTGCCAGCCTTGCGGAGCCTCGTGCAAATCTGCAATATAGCCCTGTGCCCTCGCATCCCGGTATTTCTCTGTGTGATTCCTCCTCCTCTTTCTGTAGCTTACGATCGGTGGTGCCGTCAAAGCCGGTAGATCAGGCGCAGAAGGTCGCAGAGACGCGGATATGGGAGTGCTTGGGCGGCGCAGACGCGGCGTCTCGGAGGTCATTGCAACATTCCAGCCTCGCCTCTCCAGAACAGCAACAAATTTCAACTCCACTGTGTCGCCGGTCTCTGTCGTTCCTTGCCAGCGGTGAATCGACGTCGCGCGGCATGCAACGGACTTCCGCAGCAACCACCTCGAACAGAGCCACAGTCTCGTCCTGCCGCTCTTTGCGGTGATCCGTCCGTCGGCCAGGGTTTCCAAGGTCGAAAATGAACGGCGCACCGCTTGGACTGTATCGCCGTCAGTCCCTCTACAACGGCAGGTAAGATGGGTGGGAGGGTGAGAGACTCGTGTGCCGAGGGGCTGGAGTTGCCGTACCTCGGGTCCTCGTGGGTCGTCGGTAGACTGGCCAGGGCGTTCCGTAGCTGGTGGCTGGTACGGATGGTGTAGTCATGGGGGCCACCATCTCGACCAGGGTCGTTGGACCCAGGACCGCCGGTAGGGTGGCCAGATCCGCGTGACGCGATGGGACCGTAGCCGCCACTATCGAGACTGGGTCGAAATAGGGGACTGAGTGCTGTGGGATGGGCGCCGGAGGCTGTTGGCTGGGTCCAGTGTCGTTGTGGATGTGTCTCGTCGATGAAACTGGCCCTCTGACCAGATGAGGCGGCCTGGCCGTGCTAGAGAAGGGGTGGTTGTCGTCGTCGAGGTCATCGCCGCGCTGGGGGGGTTGGCTCGGGGAGGCTCGTTCGCAGAGCCACCTCCCAGGGCTGTTTCGGAGCTGAAGACACAGGTTGTCGAGTCCCTCTGTCACCAGAAGGCACGTGGACCGCGGATTGGCCTGGACGTAGGCGTGGAGTCTTTCGATCTCGCGCTGGAGGTTCTTCAGGAGTAGTAGGCTCTGACACGCCGTCGCGTCCTGCTGAAGAGGGTCGTATCGGGCGGCGGGACGGCGAGTGTCTAGGGAGGCGGTTGGCGGCTCAAAAGGGATGGCGACAGGAGGCGCTGGTGGGGGAGGGGCCGTCCGGTACTCGTGCAAAGGGTGGGAAGCCGCGCGCTGGGGGGAGCTAGGTCGGGCATATGGCGCTGGGCTTGGGGCCGGGGCGGAGGAGAGACGAGGTCCCCTGTGGCGAAGCTGAGTCAAGTAGTCGTGTTGTGACAGAGCCTGGACATAGGCCGCTTTCGTTGTGCCGGCGACGTGGACGTCGAGGGTGAGGGCGGCGGCTTTCAGCCATTCCAGCGTGCGGAGGCCGTACTCACCTGGAGATTTGGCAATCTTCCTCAGCTTAAGCTCTTTATGTTCTCTGGAAGATCCGATGCGACAAGCGCCCAATTGACCCACGAGGTCGTCGAGGTCTGCTTGACTGCATGTGGAAAGGCGGACACTATCCAGGAGGGGGAGGCGGCCCTGCCCGGGTGTGGTTGGGCATGGCGGCGACAGTGATCGGCGGTGGCCCGCCAAGGTACATGGAGACACGGACATGGTCATAGATGATCTTTTTTTGCGACCTCGGATGTAGGGACGATGTGTACGACCCCCTCCATAGCCTTGCGGAAGCTCTTGACGGGGTATATAGGTAAACCTGGGCGGAGGAACTCTCCCCAACCCGCACGGCGTCTTCCCTGACAAGGAGCTGGCGCAGAGCCGAACGTGACGCCTTAGGTTCCACGTTGATTGTGGCCATGTCACACTGTGCGACCTCGCAACCTAAATTTCATTGTTGTCCGACCCTGTCCCTCTGACAGTGGATGTTCCAGCTTCAACAACCTATGCCAGACCTACATGCGCTGCATGAACTAGTGCCGTCTTTGTCAACGGCACAGCTAAGACGAGATCTTTGTCGGATGGAGTGAGCAGCCCTTCCAGGGGCAGGATGGGATCCACCAGCTGTTGCCGTTGGTGGAACATGTCGCTTTGCTCCAGATGGAACACGCTGCTTTGCTGCAGCTGGACCAAGCCATATTGCCATCGATGGAACACGCACCTTTGCTCCAGATGCAACACACAGCTTCACTCTTGATGTGCACCAAGGGTACTGATTTCTGGACTCCGATAAGTACGTCGTCCCCCAATGTTTGACCCTCGACTCTGTGCACTCTAAGCTCCTCCCCATCTTCCTACTATGCCTACCCTCCAACGATACCACAAATGTGGTCGATGCGGCACCGAATACCGCGTCCCAGTCGGCGTCCTGTTTCCTCGTGAAGACGTATGCATAGATTGTTACACCGAAGCCGATCGAGCTCAGGGACCGATTGCGCAGTTCTGCGCTCCGGCCGCTGAAGCTGCTGCGACGGATAGCGCCGAAGACCACGCCAGTGTCGACGACGAGATTGATGGCGACGGGATTGATGGCCAGGCGACCTTAAATCCTGGTGCAGGTAAGCCACTCCCGTAATAGTCTCTTCCCAACGGTGGTGACTGACCCAACATCCACAGCTGACACGACGACCACTCTCCTACCACTCCCCACTCCACCCGAGCAGGCATACTGTTCAGGCTGTGGCAAACACAATGTACCCTTCCTGCCCTGGAACCACTCGAAGACTGTCAACCACCGGCATCAGTATCTGTGCTATCCGTGCGAGCATTGGGAGACGAAGCACGGCAAACACCCCACACGGTCTCCCAAGCGTCAGTGCTCGTGCTGTGGCGTGGAAAATGCCGAGGGTCGGAGTTTCACTGTGTCGCGTGAACCCGGGATGCTTGGGCGCGTCTGGTGCCCGGCCTGCCGACGAGACTTCCGCCGGAGACGTCAGGCTAAGGCGTCGCCCGGTCCGATTACACGCCCAAGTGCAGAGCCGCTTTCTGCGTCCGCCCCGGCGAATCCTGCCCCGAACGAGACGGGTACGCCCTCCACAGCGGGGCACCACACGCAACGTCACCGTCGCCGATGCTGTGCCTGCGGGTGCTCAAACGGATCGAACTGGCACCGTAACAAACTCCGCCCCGGGACGGACCTGTTTTGGTGCCTTGACTGCGCGAACTTCTATAGGCGCCACGAAAAGGACCCCGCGCTCGAGCCTCGTCACGTCCTGGCCCGCTCCGGCCACGCGGTCCGGTGCTGTGGCTGCGCGGAGATCTTCGACGGTTCAGTGAACTTCTCTCCCTCGCGGCTGTCGACCCGCCATGAAGATTACTGGTGTACACGGTGCGCGATGTGGTACCGAAGCAACAAACGCGACCCGGCCACGAGGCCACGAGCGTGCGCTGTTTGCGAACAGGAGTTTTCCGGGACCCGACAACCGAGGAGGTCGGCGTGGCCGGGGGAGGGGGAAATTTACTGGTGCGGTACCTGTTGGCATTGGTGGCGTCGTCAAGGCGAACACCCCAGCAACCGACCCGCGGTCTTACAGATGGTCGATAGCACGAGGATGCGTGAGAACGACACGGAAGGCAGTGACACTGACAGTGGAGATTTGGAGCATCAGGACGATCTGGAGCATCAGGACGACGTGGAGGATGAGGGCGATTTGGAGGAGGTGGACGATTTGGAGGAGGTGGACGATTTGGAGGATGAGGACGATTTGGGAAATGTGGATTTTGAATATGAGGATGATCCAGAGGATATGGATTTTGAGTATGAGTGACGGTTCAGAGGGTATGGAGGATTAGGCTTGGTGGGCTGTATGCACGGGTGTCATAACCGGCGGGAGTGAGAATGATCAGTTAGAGCGAAGAGGCTGACCTGGTATTCAAGCCCGTACGCAACGCCTCCGGCCGAGTGTTGGTGTGCAAGGTCCACCGTAGAGAATATGCCTACAAGGTGTCCCTAGGACACGGTAGGTGAGCCGAGCCGAGGACCTATTAGTCCTATTATGGGCTAGTGTGAACCCGAGGACTTTTAGGTTCGACCGGCGCTTTCTGTAGTAATTGATATGATGGACGAGTAGTAGAGCACGAAGAGTTCTGAGATCCTTATTTGTTCATCTATTCGTTCTTCTTGCGAGTGCCTTGACGGCATAGAGCTCTCGTGCAACGTTGACCGCGCCGGGCTTTGAGCCCTCGTCACTATAATACTAAGCCTTGGACCAACGGCACATCAGGATTTGACTGATTTGAACTTAAGCCCCCCCAAACTACGGCCCTTCCTGGGAGTACGTGACACACACAAGGCAGCTGATCGGGAAGTCGCTGCCCAAGGCACGTTCTCGCCGGCCTAGGCGGCTGGAGTCTTTCGCCTACTGGTGGATTGGAATCACGGCGCCTGACTTGAGCGGCCACGCACAGCTGCCGGTATGGGCGTCCCACACCGCCACGGGGGCAGAGCGCCCGTAGTAATGGGCACGACACTTACGCCGTGGCGGGCAATTTCCAGCTAGCTCGGGAGCTCCTGTCTTCCCTCCTGGCGGATTCACCTGACATCCAGGTGGCGGCCGCTGTCGAGTGCCTACGTCTGTTCCCTTTTACGAAGAGAGCTCGATGGAGGGCAATGTGTCGGCTGTCGAATGGGTCATGGACCTCAATGATGCCTGTTGTCATGTCGGGCGAGGCAAGGTCAGTCCGAAAGCCGTGGGGATCAGCGTCAGCCGCCGTGCTAACTTGGTCGGCGTCAGGTCTTTGTCTTCATTCCAGACTTGGACGAACGCACACATGATCAGAAAGAATACTGTCCAGACGCACTCCGAGCCTTTCGACAAATCCCCCCCTTCTTCTACGCGCCGGTGGAACTCACAGCGGACGAAGTCGAGAGTTGGTGGAGCATGGACCGAGAAACTCGCCTCGCCTGCCGGAGTCCACGCCACATCGGGCTGCCCAGCCACCTGCCCGTCCTCCCGTTCGACGTGTCATTGAACCACATGAAGCCCCAGTTGGATCCTGTCAGAACGGCCTCGATCACCGTCTGCATTGGTCCAGACCAGTCTCGGCCGTGCGTCGCGCCGACCGCCCAGATCAGAGCGCTCTGCACCTCATACAAGGGAATCGCTTGGGTCTGCCAGCCGGGGTGGGACGCGCTTCGGAAGTGGACGGTGCCCGGAATCCGCGGCGCCGCCGAGGCGTTGGAGCGACTGTATCGTGACCGTCGCCAAGATCTGCAATACTACCACACGCTTCGGCAGAGTTTAATCGTCGTGGGCAGGGAGGCGGCGAAGGCAGGGCAGGCGTACGTGCTGCCCACGGCGCAACACATGCAAGAAAAGCAGGAGAAAGCCCAGAGGGCACAACAGAGATCACAACAAATGAATCGTGGTCGCAGGGAGCGGAGGCAGAAGGCCTCGGGCGCATCTTGACTGTTGGGGCGGGGCCGAACACCCACATTAGACCGTAGCAGTATCAAACCAAAGACCTACACCCCTTGTTGAGACCGCCCACATCTCCATCCGCCATCGTGAGGTGCGTCACTGACTGCGCGGGGGCCCCGACGCCCTACGCTACCCGTCCTCGGAGTCAAGCTCGTCGGCTCCAGGCTCGTCTTCGGGCTCGCTGTCCGACTCTTGGACAAGGACACCTTCCACGATTTCGTCAGGGTCGACATCCTCCATCGCCCCTTCCGCCATCTCGCGGAACTGCCGCGACACTTCCTTGACCTCTTCGGGGCGCGCGTCCGCCTGTGGGCGCGCGTGGTGACCGGTAGGGCCCAGATGTTCCCACGCGAACGTGAGATAGTCGAAGCTCGCCGTGACTTTCCGCCAAAACAATTCCCGCTCCCAGCGATCGTAGTCGTCTGGCGTGGGCAGAACTAGTAACGGGGGCTTGGTCTCCTGCAGCTGATTTACCACGTGCTGGAACAGCGTCTCGGGCTCGGGATATCTGCGCGGTTCAAGTAAGCGGTCGTCCCTGGCGCGAGTCTACAGGACGTAGGCGGGCACCTTGTTATTGGGTGGCGGAACTCCTTGACCATGTACTGAACGACAGGCCACACGTGGGGCGCTTCGACTGCGTCGAGAAAGGCGTTGGCGGTGGCGTGTTCTCGATCCATGTCGGATCCTTCCTTGAGAGTCTTGAGGTGGGCGACGTAGTCGGTGGCGACGGTGAGGAACGAGGCCATGAGGACGGGTGTGTCGATCTCGATCGACGCGAATTGGGCAACACGGCGGTGGATGTCCATGGCTGCACCTCCTTTGCAGCGATGTGTGAATGAGCAGAAGCCACCACCCCTCCAACCGGGCCACTACGAGGCACGTATATGTGTCCATCTACCGCAGAGCACGCCTCCGGAGGCGGGAATTTCCGCATTCCAGGATGGACCAGCCTCACCGCGGCCTTGAAGCAGCCTCCCTATGCCCATTGAGAGTACTTTCCCGTCTGCGGGCTAAATCCACAGAAATGTGACCAGTCACCCCCGACGGGCTTGACCCTCGTGTACCTGTACGAGCTCTTCTCACTGGCCTTGTCCGGGTCGCTGCGGTGTCACCTTGACACGTCATGAACGGAGCCTGTGCTTAGGCCCTCGATGTGGACATGACGCGCGTTGCTGAGGCGAGAGTTTTCTGAGGGCACACCCCAAGAAAGGAGGAGGGGGGGGGGGCGAAACGTCCATCCAGGTTCACCTCCGCTCGCCCATACGGCATCACACCAGAACAGAACGAAGCATCGCGCCGCCCAGCAAGGCCACGAGTGACCGCGACACACTGGACGAGAAGCTGCCGCCATGGCTGAGCCTGGCGATGGGTTCAAGTCTACCGCAAGTCGAGATGCAGTCCTGATGATGTTCCTGAGCGCGGGATTTTACCACATGGTCACGAAGACGATTGCCACTGCTGCAGAATTCAGCGTCGTGCGCGCCATTGCGAAGTCGTCTCGCGCCCTCGTGGGCGAAGAGAACTCCCTGGTAGATTTTGGCATCCTGCAGCGAGACGATCAGGACCCTAACGACAATGACGCCCCCGTTGGCGACCTCCGCGCCGCTTGGGCAAAGCACGGTGAGGAGGAGGTGTTGGTCTGCTTCGATGTCAAGACGGCCAGATCGATGCACACGACCCGGAACCGCGCCTGGGATTGGACCACGGACTTGCACCCTCTGCTCGCGCCCTCTGGCTTGGTCCAGCTGAAGGTCTCGCGCGTGCAGCAGCAACATTGCGCCGCATTCCTGCTCACCACCCCTTTTGAACCCGACAAGTTCTATCTGATCCCTGGCCGCTATCTATTTTCTGGGCCGAGGGAGAAGGGGTGCAAGTTTGCAAAGATGTACCCCGTGTCGGGCATGCTACCCTGGGAGCAGATCGAACAGATGGTACCGGCGTGGGCGCCGTTCGAGTGTCCGCCGGGGAATCTGACCGCGCAGCTGGAAGAACACGCCCTTCCCCCAGGGGGACGAGGGCTGAACATGTACGTGCTGTGGCCACAAAGACGGGGCCCGTGCCAGGACCTCCCGCCGTTTTGCGGGCCGTCCACTAGGGAGGGTCTATGCTAACCGTGCACTAATGCAGACGAAATTTGTACACTGGGGTCGCGTACAGAAGCTGCGCCCGAACCGCCCCGTGTAGCGTCTCGAAGCTATACCCGCCGCCTACGCGCCGCGGCCACGATGTCTGGTGGCTGGAAGACATCTACGAGTCCTTTGCGACCTCCAACGGGCGGTATCGGGCCTTCAAGCTGCGCGCCCGGCCTTTGCTAGGAGATTTCGGTATTCACGACCAGGTCACCGGGGAGCGCCTGATCGTGGAGCTCAAGGTTCACCTGGCATATGTGACGTCGGATGGCACGCTCTGCTGCCGCATTTTCCATCCGCGCGACATCGACCTTCGATCTCCGTGGAAGCAGGCCGTGAAGAGGTTCTTCTCGACTCTGCGACCAGTGGACATGTACCTCCTCAAATTGAGGGGCCCGGATCCGCGGTGGCTACTGGTCCTCCGCGATCAGTTGCCAGACTCGTGGTTCGACGGCAGTGGAGAAGATCCAGGTGCAGAGTGGTGTTGTTGGACTCCGGACGACGAGACGCTGCTGGACCGCCAAACGGTGGTGGGAAACCCGTCCGAGGGTAGAGGGTTCTCCGAACATCTCGAGACGGTCTTGAACGGCCTCGCGCCGAACAAACAGTCGTCGCTGGCTACGACGCGCACCCGGCCCCATTACCCTGTCCAGAGACTCCAAGTGCCTCGGCCCGCACTCTCGGCGGCGGCAGCTCGCCCAAAGCCGGCGATCCGACCGCACGGAGACGAGGCCAAGATTCGCAACATCATCCAACTCGAGCGGTATGAGGCGGCGTTGGTCCAGGCACAGTGCGATGCCCTGTCAGAATGCCCCCTGCCCAATTCCCGTATCCATGCTACACGCACTGACGGCCCTCTAGGGGACGTGGGAGGCTGTTCCGCCTCGGCGGGCGCCAGACAGGTCGACATGCCTTTACCCCGCTGAATGTGAAGAGGTTCACTGAGCTGCCGCTCCACGCGCCCGTCATCTACCTCGACTTCGTGCCGGTCGACGTGGCACATGGCCTCATCCCGCAACTTGTCGAGGATTTCACAGGGTCGTGTGGTGGCACCACGACCTCGCCGCCCAAGGAGGCCATAACATCCCCAATCGGGGTCCTCTTCATCCTCGTCCCATATCGCCCCGGGCCCTCCGCATTCGCAGACAGCCTACCTCGGAACCCCGGGTGGACCCAGCGGCATATCGTTCCGTCTAAGCTGGCGTCTATCGAAACCGCCAACCCCACGCTGAGTACGTACAGGACGAGCAAGGCTCGGTCGCTGCTGTTGAAGGACGGTAAGTTAGTCGACGAATATGTGGTTGACACGGACCAGCTCGTCCTGCACCTGATGGAGTTCTTCCGACAAGACTCGAACACGTTCCGTTTTCGAGGGAGCGAAATTCAACTCGGGGAGTACATGGTCGACAAGCGGAGCGTGCTCGAAAAGCTCATGGTCGACTTGGAGGCCGAGGCCGAGGTCAGAGACAAGCGTCTGGAGAATCAAGTCATGAAGGAGGGTGTTGAGCAGCTACGGCTGGCGGACACAATAGCTGCTGGAGCTGATCGAGAGGGATGAGCCGGGAAAATGTGAGCACGAGTCGCGACTACATGTAGCGGGTATTTACGGGGCCGCCGCCACGCCCACTCTCCCAGAGCGTTGTCGAATGTGGCTCATTTTCCTGGCGTCCCAGCTGGACGAGGCTCTCCCCCTTCCCCCCAACGATTGCAACCGAGCATGGTCGAGATGCTCCACCACTCCCGGCCATGTTCATCGAGGCGCTCTATGGCCGGGATGTGGTCCCTGACTCGAGGAGCTGCCCGCGCCTTCCCAGGGATCCAGTGCCCATGATTCTTGCGGACGAACCCGAGCGCGTGTCTGGCGTGCTGCTTTGTTTGATGTTCTGCCTTGTCTGATGTGCCGCCTTGTATGATGTACTGTCCTGTATGATGTGCTGCTTTGTTTGATGTGCCGCTTGTTTGATGTGCTGCGTTGTTCAATGTGCTACTTTGCTTGATGCGCTGCTTTGCTGGGGGTGCTGCTGACGCACTGCCTTGCTGGATATGCTACCTTGCTTGATATGCCGGCTTACTTAGTGTCCCTGTACTCTCGCAAAGTGTTCTTCCTTCATCTTGCCGGCTCTTCCTTCATTTGTCCATGGTGCCTTGACGCTCTCGTGTTGAATTGTCCTGCCGAGCCGGGCGCACCATTGTTCTCAGAGTATATCTTCGTCGCTCCCCTTGCGACACCGAGACCAAAGTGGTGCTTTGCGATAACTTTTGAGATACTTCGAGCCAGCAGCAGTGTAGCCGTGAAAGCATACATCAGCCTTCGTCAGCGACATTCGACGCCCAATGGAACATTCCGCTAACCCAGAATCCGAACGAAAGGGCCTCGTCCCACCAAAGAAACGACAGAGAGAAGACGCAACGTTGGAGACTTTGATGAACCACGCGAAGCGACGGAGTGGACCAACTCGGGACAGTATCGACAAGTCAGGAAGCGTCCAACTGCAAGACAGCAACCGGGATGAAGAAGTCTCTGTGGCCAAGGTCTTGAAGTTCACTAGGGTCAAGCAGACCGGCCAGCGTGAAGGAAATGGCACACACCACTCGGAACACTTCCTGGGGAAGACACCAGGACGTGAACTTGATCTGCCAACTTTTATCCAAGGCCCCGCGACACCAGATCCCACCATCCATCCGGAACCCCAAGCACGTTCCGCGGTGAAGCCAGTTGAATTTCGCCGAGCCAAGGGCACGACGCCGTCTAAGGCTCCATCCATCTCCCCCGAGGACGATCGTGACGACCTGATCGCCTCTCCGTCGCGGCTCGACGGCGACATTACGGACCAAGTCACCAGCTCCACTACCCCGGCCGATCTCTCTACTATTGAAGAGACAGAGAAAACGGCACGAGTCGTAAGCTGGCGAAACGGTTCGTCCACTGCGCCTGAGAAATGCAGCAACGAACACTGCCAAGCAGCGGGCGCGGACGTGGTTGGTGAGATTGACAGTCGACCATCCTGTATGGCGTGTCTTGTGCACTGGGCGCATTTCGGGAAAGCTAGGACGAAGGGTCGGTGCAGACGTAAAGCGCAAAACAACAATCAGGGGGACACATGGAAGATTGTATGCGCCAACCCAGGGTGTGGCATCACCATCCTCTTGGACGGAGACAGATACAAGAAGAACCAGGAGGCCATGGAGCACGGTGGCCTGGTGTACTGCATGCCGTGTGGCCGGTACAGGCTGAAACTGGGGCGGAAATACGAAGGACCGGACCGGCCCAAGGAAAAGTGCGACAAGACAAAGGTCTTCTTGGCCGCCAATTCCGCCGGGTACTACCTCTGTTGCAACCCGAACTGCGAGTGGGATAGCCGTCTGGGCCACGTCGTGCAGCAAAAGGGGTCGAAAGGACACATGGTACATTGCCAGGCACCGCCGCGCTGGATCCAGGGTCGCCTAGCGTGCCTCCCATGCTTCCGATATAGCCTTACACACGAGGAATGGCGCCCAGCGCTTTCCTGTGAGGCATCGATTCGCAAGATCCTCGACCATATACCGAGCGCGGAACAAGGAGGGAGCCGGTCCATTCGAGAGATCACCAACGCACGCCACGGCCTCTCGCTCCAGCAAGCAGAGGAAGAATTGTGACACCGCCGCCCTCGACGGGCCCAGGGGTGGTGTGCGAGTCGTTAGGTGGGAGGATGGGCTTGGGATCAAGGACGCGATTACGGTCGAGTTGCCGGCTGTATCCGAAGAACGAAAAATCTTGTGCTGGTGTGACGGAGGTGCCGGCTATTGGGATGACATGACTGAAGAAAACGGCAGCGGGTGGAGGAAACTTGGCGAGTGCTCACGTTCCGCGGGCGCATTCCAACGCTTTGCGAGAAGTCCCTGGTGTCGGTATGCTCTTGTGGCGGTGAGACAAGATCAATAGAAGTGCCTGGCTGGATCCCATCGAGATTTTGGGTGTCGAGTCTCGATAGCTTGGACGGATGTTTCCTAGTTCTGTAGCGTGAATGTGATCAATTAGAGACGAGAGACGTGCCGGGAAGACGCTGTGTCATTGACACCGCCTTGACATCGATGATGCTTGCACGGAGGACCGTGGTCCATCTTAGAGGTTGACGAAACCGCAGTGACAGTGAAGTAAGATGCATACGCCGTTGGGTAATATGTGCAAATGGACATCGGTGGCGCGGTGCTACGACTTCCAAATCAAGTGATTGTAATCCTCCTCCAACTCGGAGAGGCGTCGTAGGCAGTTCTTCGCATATCTCAATGGCGTCTGCTATGCTTCAACCCTGAGGATGCCACGACTTTCTAGACTATCCCCCTCGCGACGGATTCTGATCTTGTGACCGCCCCCGGGACACGGCGACGACGACTACCCTTTCCTCTCCCCATAGTCCGTAAAAAACAGCACCAGTGGCGATAAAAGCCCAAGGGTTGCTAGCCTGCAACTCACCGTGAGGTCACACGGTAGTCCAAGCTCGTACCAGTGCCGTCGGCGGATTCGCTTACCAGAACGGTCGGATCTCCAGTCGGTGGCGCCACACTCGAGGTGGTCTCGAGTCGCCCGTTCGAGGCCATGGGACCTTTCCCGAGGGCGTGCCAGATGCACTGCGGTCAGGGCTGTGCGCCATAGAGGAAACGGCTAACGAGGTCCCCAAATCGAGCTTGTCTGTCTTGAGAGGCCACTAAGAGCTTCTCCACGGCAGAGTCGGGGTTGGTAAGGCGATAGAAGCAGCATCGATCGCTACGACTGCCGATCCGATTGACGCGTTTCGCAGCCTGCGCCTCGACCGCCCGGTGGTGGCTTGGCTCCATCAGAACGAGTCGGGCGGACTTGCCCAGCGTGACGCCGAAACCGAGAACGTCGACGGTGCCGATCAGGACGCGAGGCCGGTGCTCGCGGGGGCGTAACTTGGTCCCAGTTTGGAAAGTCTCGACGATCCGCCCCCGTTCGGCGAGGTCGGTGGTACTGTCGACCCAGCGAGATTTAATGTCCTTTTCTAGACACAGCTGGTTGGTCAGCGGAATGCACGAATTCGGCCTGGGTTCAGGTGGCTTACCATCTGCACGCATTCGCAGATCACGGGGAATTCGGACAACACCACAAGGTGCTCGGGCTCGCCTTCCGCGTCGGTGCCCAGCCGGTCAATGATACTCGCGAGCACCTGCAACTTTGCACTTCCCTCGTACAGCTCTACGAAGTGCTTGTACAGTCGACCAGAGCGCCCTCGGCGGTGCCTCAACTCCTTCTTAATGCATTCGATGGTCAATTTCTCCGGCGGGAATCTGGCCAGTCCCGGGACGGTGGCGATCATCCGGGCACGAACTGCCACGCGAAGCAGCTCTTCCATCGTTATAGATGTCGTAGGGCCGCTAGTCCCTGGCGGCCAGGCGTTGAGGAGACTTTTCTTGACGTGCGATTCGACCTCGGCGATTGGAATCTTGGTATGCCGCGACGGCGAGGTGCACCAGACGTCAAAGAGTTCGAGGGGCGGGACCTGTGTTAGAGGTTTGCCATTCTGGATGCTCTCCTGCGTGCGCTTGACCATGTATGCCACTCGCAAGGCGGCGACGGTGGCGGCGAACGCGGTCCTCTTGTCGCGGTCGAGGCTTCGCCGCTGGAGCTTTCGTTGGGTGTTGCGTATCGTTTGCAGGTTGGCGTGTGATGCGAATTTTCGACACAGGTCATGCCGACCGATGGAAGGGGATGCCGCGTTGATGATCTCGACCAGAGGGAGGGCGTCCGCGATGCCGTTACGGAGCTCGGGCGTCCCAGTGAGAAAGGCGAAGTTGGGCGGCTCTCCCTGTTTCTGCGACAGCGATCGCAAGATCGCCGTCGCTATAGTCTCCTCCGACAGTCCGCGATGGGCTTCGTCGTAAATCACACGGGCCCACGCGAGACCATCATCGTAGCCTGTCGAGCCAGATAGGGACCCATCTGCCTGCGACACCCGACGCGACCGACGGAAGTAGGATAGGACATGGCGGGGATAGCTGCCTGGGGTGGTGGCCACAATCACAGAGTGCGCCCGGGAGGCATCTCTCGGACACCAAGCGCCCGTGTCGTGCTGGACGAGGCAGAGGTCGGCACGGTACTCGCCGCCCACGTAGCGGGACGAGGGGCTTCGGCTGTGGTGCACGAACAGGTGTAACGCGTATTTCGAAGTCTGCACGCCCAGCGCAGTCCATTCGGCCTTCCACGTCGGCAACAAATTCTTAGGGACGAACAGCAGCGTGGCCCCGCTACGAGGTGACAGCGACAGCTCGCGGGTGACGTTCTGTTCGCACCAGCAGACGATGGGCCACAGGTGGGCGGACGGGCATCTCGAGTTGGGGTCGTCGGCAGGGCCGAGGTGCCTCTGGGGATGTGCGTTGCAGTGGCGGCGGTTCTCGACGAGGAGGTAATTGAATAGGATGTAGAGAAGGACTTCCGTGGTCTGACGCAGGGTGGCTATATGTGAGTACTGGCCGACGTGAAAAGGGGGGCGGGGACGGCTCACCTTGCCGAGGCCTTGTTCATCTGCCACGATCATACCCCGGCGCGACCCCCGCTCCTCGACCAGCATCAGGAAGGCCAGGTAGACTTGGTAAGCGTAGAATGTGCGGCGCACCCCGTCAAGCTGAATCCAAGCGAGCGGCCGCCTCAATTTCTGCTCAATACGGGCATCAGACTTGATGAATCGAAATGCGAGTTCTTGTGTCGTTTCGTCAAAGTGTTCCAGCGCGTTGTTCGAGCCCTGGGCGTCCCACAAGGGCTCAGGGCGCGGGTCACCAATCTGGAGGTCTTTCAGCCGGAAGCCAGTCGCCGCGTCAGCGTCAGAGGGAGCGCGTTCAGCCTCCGCCTCGAGGCGCCGGGCGACGGTGTCAATCTCTGCGTCTGAGAACAAGCGACGCCCCTGCCATATTTGGAGCACGACGTCGCGAGCCGGTGTAACTTTGCGAACGAGGACTTGATCCTCCTCTCCGACGTCATTTGACATCTTGGCTGTGCGTAAGAGGCTGCGTATCACGGGGAAAGGGAAGAGAAGGGGCAAGGAGTGGCTGTAAAGGGGGTTTAGTATTGATTTTGTGAGGGAATTTTTTGACCATGTTTGCTCCGTTGTGTAGTCGAGATTGGAATAAATCGCTTAAGCATCTAGAGCAAACCACTTAAGCATCTGGAACGAGTGTGAAAATTGCATTGATCTGACTAGTTACGCATGAATAAACGAGTCACCGACGACAAATTGAGGCCCTAACTAGTATATAACCTGACCAGGCTAATAGAACATCCATCTCTAACCGCGTCTCGGGATAAGTTAGCTTTAAGTCTTCGTGAATAGAACGTCCGTAAATAAGGCTTACACGATTAGGAGCCGTAGTAGGTTTCGTGAATCTGTGAAGTGAAGAAAGGTTGATCACGCAAGGTCACCTATACAAAAAGTCAGCCTGACACCTCTACCTCTCAGTTTAGGGATTACCTACATGCCCATACGCCGGTACCGGAAATCGCACAGCCAATCTTGCTGTATTTGGTGCTGGTCAAAATCTAGGGTCAAGTGTTAGCCTGTAATCTTAGGAAGAGGGAGAAAGGGACAGAACGTACCTCAGCGTGGCCTGTCTCGCCGTTCGAATGATCCCAACCTTGAGCGGCGGAGCTGCAGATGCCGTCCAAGCCCGGGAGGTTGGGGAGTTCGCACAGCCAGCCACCAACGTAGACGCTCTCAAAGTTATCGGGACTGCCAGGAGCGAGGACCTGGGCAAAGGTGCCAGGGTTCAATTCGTGTTGCAAGCCGTTGGTGCTATCCTGGCTGGTCTTGAGGGCATTAGCCTCAAGCTTGCTGTCCTGGGTGAGAGGTGGGAGGCCGCCGGCAGCACGCATCTTGGAAACGACGGACATGTAGTCGCCCTGACCTCCGGAAGCGCCGGTGCTGGCGGGGGCAGATGTTGGGGTTGAAGCAGGAGCAGCAGGAGCCCAGCTGTCAGCAGGAGCAGACGACGGCTGGGGAGCAGGCGCTTCAGGGGCGGGCTTGTTGAACCATTCACCACCAGCGGCCGGTGTGGCAGACACGACAACATCCGCTGTTGTAGTGGAGGTGGATGACGGGCTGGCAGCCGCATTCCAGTCCGTGGGTTGGGCATCATATGCCGTGACGGTCACCACCGAGTTGGGGTTGGGACGCTGCCACCATCTGTTGCCGCCACCCCTCCACTCGCGTTTCTGGTGTGCGGGCATGGCAACGACAGCGCCGGTGGCCAGAGCCACGACGGAGAGAGTCTTTACGAGCTGCATGTTTGCTGTTCTTGTGGTTGAAAAGCGAGGTTGTTCTTCGTCGTCTTGATGTATGAAGGAGCGTGATAGTCGGTCACAAGTTCGGCCTGTAAAGGAACGTACGAGTGCAATCTGGCGGTTGAATCACAACAAATGAGTGTAGTGTATCCTCCGGGGATGAAATGAGCGTGGTGACGTGAGGTCGTGGGCGTCGAAAGCGAGCGCAACGAAAGTCACAGACTTTGGATATTCGGTGGACGTTATCAACCAACGGCAGGAGGACGAGGAGGAAAGAAAGAAACGCGACCGGGAGATATAGTAGGCCCATTTCCCCATCGACTATTGCCCGCCCCCAGGGCTCCGCGTGAGCAATGAATGTGAAACAAACAATGGGCCCACCACCTTTGTCCTTTCCAGATTGTCGAGGCGTTGAATCGCCGACGGCATGGGCCAGGCACGCCCAGCATTGGCTGAAAGTGGAGATCGGCATTCTTTGGGCCATCCACAACGAGCCAAGTCAAAAAGACGGGGAACAACGAGGCCAACAAAGGCAAGGGAGGACTGACGTGCGAATGCAGGGGATAGGGAGCAATCCTGGCGCCGGGCCTGCTCGGGCTGACCTGTTTCTGGACAAAGGTGGCCTGGTCGAAGCTCATGATAATTCATTTCGCGGTGCCACATCATTATCTGATCCTGTGGTCGCCGTCACGATTGCAATTCAGTCCGCCATGGGCTCACCTCTTTGCTGCCCGCTTTCAGCCTGTCCGTCCACGGTAGGCCGGTCTGTCGCAAGGATGGGCGAAGACGGTGTCTATTGGCACACCGAAGGCGTCAGCCCAATTTCTAAAAGGAGATGGACGTTGAGAGCTGGAGGAAGACGGAGCGCGGTTAGAAGAGTCAAGTCAACAACGCTAGTCCTAATGCAGCGCCAAGATCAAAGCTTATTGCTGCCGGACTCCACCAGTTCCCCTGAAGCTTGCCCCCCTTTGTTGACCTTCACGCCCTGCCGAGGAGCTTTGCGAGTGGCCAGCCACGGACCCCCATGATTAGATTACGTAGAAGGAAGCAGGTAAGGCCGCAGCGTGGAAATTGCGGTCTTCCACTTCAGTCCGCCCAGTTCGCCATGTCTATGCCGCCTGGTCGGCCGTTGAGGAGGTTATATCATCGACGCGTCAGCAGCCGTGAAGAGCGGAGACAATATCAATGATTCCAAGACCTCATCACTGAGCAGAAACGGTGACGTGGAGCACGTTGGTCTTGGATTGCTGGGATGATTCTCGTTGAAGCCATGCCTCCAATTACCACAGGTTGAGCTCAGCCTCACCGTACAGCCTTCATCCGCAGCCACGACGGGCTGGTTGGGACATTACTTCCCGCAAGGATTTTGATGTCGTCTTCGACAAAATATGGCTGTTTGACCCACGCTGGAAAGATGACTGGTCACAGGAGACAACTTGGTCGGCTGTGGGAATGAACACCAAGGTATTGGCGTTGGTGATTCAAATCAGCAGTATGAACTGTGACCGGACCGACTTCCTCAAGGCCATCGGTGACGAGGTTGCCTGATTCAGTCCTCGGAACTCGGTCGTCGAATGCAAGCACCCCAGAAGCCCAGGATGCGGTTTCAAACCACAGCCCTCCTCCATGTTTGCCGTCTCGTCTGCCCGGTCTGGATTGTCATGAGCACGCACGTACCAGCGCATCCGGGGAGCCTCACGGTCAACTGCAGTTGGGATTGAAATCACAGTGCTCAATTGCAAGCATTCGGGATTGTAACAGTGCTCAACAGCAAGCATATCGGAGTCATGATGATATGGGTTAGGGAACCCGAACGCACGCTATTGACGACATCGAGCACGATCGCAAGGACGGCTTCTCATCCGTTGCCATAGAGGCCCTTGCAACAGACAGGTATGTGAAGGCATGCGGCGGCGCGTGCTCTGAGACAAATCGTCAGCGACGAATAAGATGACCTTGAGAGGACTGTGTATTTATGATGCACCTGCTGAGCCTGGGATCGCACAAAAGTCCAGGCCGAACAACAGACAGCACGAGGCAAGGAGACATGAGACATGGACATACCGATTACGAGTGACGGAGTTCACGAGTTACTCTGTATATCGATCAACCACGTGGACTGGCTGACCCGAATGAAGCTGAAACGAGTGACAGGCCCGGCCGAGGTGAGGGCGCATACAGCGCTTGGCCGACGTAATCCAGCATGAAATCGACCTCACTTCTCATTCAGAGTGGTCTGCGGCACGAGCACTGTGCTCGTACTTTCGCATCACATTAATTATTGCACGCATCCTTTCCTTCGCACCAGTCGCCCAGAGTCTTAGCCCTCATTTTTCGTACCTTCGTGTCTCACTCTGCGACAACACACCAGCACACCACTCGCCACTGGATACCATCTGCCGAAATGCCATCCTCGACAACAACAACAACAACGTCCACACGAACGACATCGCGGGCTCAGGACGAAAAGACCGTGCGAGAATGGGGCTTCTCCCATGTCTTTACGTGGACAGACGGGCCGTGAGTACTCTACCTAAGCCACACCCTACACTCCTCGTACGAGGTAGATGTCATGTATAATATGAACATGCATGGCGCACGAAGCAAGCGTCCCATACACAGTCTCCATACCTAGCCTCGTGTGGCATACGGAGTGCGTGAGATTACATCACACCTGTTCTGGCCGCAATCACCCTTTCCTACCAGGTACCTACTCCGTACATCCGGATATCCGACTCTTGGTGGTGAATACTGCATCTCCCATCTCCCATCTCCCATCTGGCATCTTCGTTATTGCATGTTGCCATCCGGATGGCTCGATTCTAACATATATTCCGGTACCCAATGCCCAGACACGCACACTACCCACCCCACTCCCACCGCGGACTAACCACGCACCTCATCCGCCGCGGCTCCCTGACAATCACGTTCCCCAACGATCCGAACCCGACGAGGGAGACGTTTGGGGTTGGTTCGCGCGTCGACGTGCCGGGCGGGAAAGTGCACGAGGTGTGGATGGGCGAGGAAGGTCAGTTTTCCCACGATCAAGCAAGGTCGTGGTGGGCCTCGGCTTCGCTTCGGCTTTTGTTTCTTTTCAATTGCGGTATGGTCTATATACATGTTGACTCTCAACTCTAACTACGTGGCTATGCAAATAGGGTGTGAGTATGTTATTGGCGAGTGAGATGGCGGAAGCTTAGTACATGGACGACGTCGTAATGCTAGATTTTGACAGATGGGTGATATCATGCTGGATTGTACTAGGGACGAAATGCCACAGCTGTGTCGACACGGCTAGTACAGTTGTATACGTAATATGCGCACTGGATCCATGTCGTGCATGGTACGAGTAACATTTTACATTTGTTGGCTATGCTTCCACTAGGTCAGACCGTCCTAAACGAGCAGGGAAACGTGAAATATAGAGCGCTCCGTACAGCCTCGGGCTTAGTATGTTCTCTTGAACGGAGGAATGGCCTTGCACTCTTGCTCGTCCAGGGTGTGGCCAACCACAGACCTATAGCCCAGCTCGACCTTGCCATGGGGCTTCTTCTGCCAGGAGAGCGTGTGCTTCATCCAGTTCTCGTCGTCACGTTCAGGGAAATCTTCGCGGGCGTGGGCACCGCGTGATTCCTTTCGTTCCGCGGCCGAGACGGCTGTTTGCGTACTGCAGACAAATGTCAGTTTTGGGCCTTCGAGTTCAGAGCACTGTGTACTTACGCGCAGGTCAAGAGGTTTCTCAGCTCGAGGGTCTCCACGAGATCCGAGTTCCAGATCATGCTGCGGTCCTTGATGCCGACGTCAGCGAACGTCTGGTCGACCTCATTGATCTTTTTGACGCCTTCATCCAACGACTCTTGCGTCCTGAAGACGCTGACATCAGCCTGCATGACCTTTTGCATGGCGGATCGGATCTCGGCCGTGCTCTTGGGCCCACTCGAGTTCCGGATCTGGTCGAGCACTTCAATGGACTCGGCACCCGCGTCCGGGGCGATTTCCTTTTGAGTTTGACCGGGCGAGAAGTTATCGCGGATGGTATGGGAGACGGCACGACCGAAGACGATCAAGTCGAGGAGAGAGTTGGCGCCCAGACGGTTGGCTCCGTGGACGGACACGCAGGCGGCTTCACCGCAAGCGAACAGGCCGGGCACGACTTCATCTTTGCCTTGATCGTTGATGCGGAGGACTTCACCGGTATACTTGGTGGGGATCTATCGAGCTCTGTTAGCGTGCTGATCTTGACCGGGAGATTGAAGAGAATGCCCCTATGACAACACAAAGGAAGGATTACTCACACCACCCATGTTATAGTGCACGGTAGGCAAGACAGGGATTGGTTGCTTTGTGACATCAACACCAGAAAAGATCGAGGCGGTCTCCGAGATACCTGGTAGTCGTTCGTGCAGGACTTCAGGCGGCAAGTGGCTGAGCTGCAGGTAGATGTGGTCCTTCTCAGGACCAACGCCACGACCTTCGCGGATTTCCATCGTCATTGATCGCGATACGACGTCTCGAGAGGCCAGATCCTTGGCCGTAGGGGCATAACGTTCCATGAACCGTTCACCCTCGGAGTTGAGAAGGTAACCACCTTCACCGCGGGAACCTTCGGTGATCAGACAACCAGCACCGTAGATACCCGTTGGGTGGAACTGGACGAATTCGAGATCCTGATTAGGCAGACCGGCACGAGCGACCATAGCCATACCGTCACCGGTACATGTGTGCGCTGACGTGCAGCTGAAGTAGGCACGACCGTAGCCGCCAGTGGCCAGCACGGTATTTTGCGCCTTGAATCTGTGCAGGGTGCCATCTTCCTGATTGTAGGCGAGCACACCTTTGCAGACGCCGTCCTCCATGATCAGATCCAGTGCAAAGAACTCGATAAAGTAATTGGTGTTGTGGTTGAGCGACTGGCCGTACAGGGTGTGTAGAAGGGCGTGACCAGTTCGATCAGCCGCGGCGCAACACCGATATGCCTGTCCGCCCTTGCCGTATTTCTGGGACTGGCCACCGAAAGCACGCTGGTATATCTTGCCGTCTTCTGTTCGCGAGAACGGGCATCCGTAACCTTCGAGCTCGATAACGGACCGGGGGGCTTCGCGGGTCATGTAGTGGATGGCGTCTTGGTCACCCAGCCAATCTGATCCTTTTACCTGCACGATCATGAGCGTCTACGACATCTTCACAGGATCCAGCCACAACTCACCGTATCGTACATATGCTAGATTGGCAGAGACCACAAGGTTAGCTTTCTTGAACATCCTGGACAACCAAATATTTCGCAAGGGACCTGGATGTCCGAGTCCGGCCCTCAATAGGCCACACGTAAGGACTTACCCATCTCCAGTCGTCTTCGTGCATGCTGTACGTCCGTCAGCGTTGACTCTATCTCCTGAACAAGCCCACTCACTTTCCCAATGCGGCATTGATACCGCCCTGTGCCGCCACGGTGTGACTTCTCGTAGGAAAAAGCTTCGTTACGCATGCTGTGTTGAAGCCAGCCTCCGCCAGACCGAAGGCAGCTCTGAGACCCGCACCACCAGCGCCCACGACCACGGCCTGCAATCTCGTCAGCCTGTACTACCGCACGTCTCTTGCTAGGCTGCTCACGTCGTATTCGTGGTCGATAATGGCATAAGAACCCCCAGTGGCAGTCAAGGGCGATTGTGCTTCCTTCGCTCGCAGAGGTTGAGAGGCGACCACTCGTGCTGTATACAATCTCAGCGTCTTCAATCGTCCAGCTGCTCATGGATATGCAATCCTACCGGCAGGTCTCGTCGAGGAAAATTGTCGTCTGCTCGTGTGTCGGAGAGGTCGCGTGAACTGGGTCATCGGAATCAGTACCGGATCGCCCCTCCAAGCTCCGTCCAAGCGCACCTGGTGGCATGGAGCCAAGCTCCGCAGAATCCGAGACGAGCTCATCGTCGACGATGACAATGCTTCGACGGTCAACGTGAAGACAGGAACAGGTCGCGGCGTGGCGAAGCGGGGGCAAAAAGAGCGCAGAGAGACGACGGAGTGAAAGGCAAGTCAATCCAAGATCCATGATGCGAGCTCGAGTTGCAGGTGGATCGACCAACCAACTGCGCCCGAGGCATGTTCCGATGCCCCACGAACCAATCACACGACGGCTATTTCTACAGCAGGGCCTCGAACAGACGACGACGGCGCTGGGAAACGATGCGATACTCCTATTGTGCAAAAGTGGTGCGAAGATCGACAGAATGCCGCAAGTTCGGGTCGATTTGATCTGATGCGTAGAGACCATCGATTACGAAGGCACCGCTACACCTCACACTCTGACCATGAACTTTCCTTTGCTCTTGAACATCCTCGCCAGCGTAAAACAGACGCCCCCTCCTACCAACATGGTCGCGGCGTACACTCTCGCGGCATCATAATTGCCATCGTGCATCTGCACAATCGCTCCCATGACCGGCGGACCTACAAGCGAGGAACATGCAATGGCCAAGAACATGACGCCCATCCTCCCGCCAAAGGATGTCAAGTCCTCCGTCAGACTGGCGACCACGGCAGGGGTGATGGCAATGACGGCCCCGGAGAAGAACCCATACAGGACCGTAATCGTGAGCAGTGGACCGATCGTTCGAAGGGGGATCCAGACGTAGACGAGCAGACTGGCTATGAAGAGGCTCGGCACTGCGACGTTGAGCGGCCCTGTATAATCGGCTACGAAGCACGGGATCAATCTCCCCAGGATACTCGCCGCATTGAGCACGGGAAGGATATACTCTAGCGGAAACCCGCCCGAGTCGAGATCCGTCGATTTTGCCCACGACTCGACGTAGTTGTAGAAGCCGAAGAAGCCGAAGTACGTGATGAACTGGCCGACGACGTACAGTGCGAAGTCCGGCTGGCGGAGGGCGGGGTATTCGACGAAGGGGGTCGGGCCTTTGGTCAGGCGACGTGGCGGGAGACGTTGACGGATGAGGACGTTGCTGACAAGGAGCGTGGCCAGGGAGATGAAGGCCAGGATGCGTAGGGACCAAGGGAAACCCAGCGTGCTGATTAGATGACGGAGCGCGATGGGCAGGACGATGCCCGCGACACTGGCTCCCGAACTCACGATTCCAACGGCGAGCCCGCGCCGACGCACGAACCACGTACTCGGCAGCCCAACCGAGGGGATCAGGAGCAAGCCCATGCCAAGACCAACGCAGAAGCCTTGCGCGAGGAGTGCTTGGTGGAATTTGGTCACGAGGCTGGTCATGAAGAGGCCAAAAACGACGAGCACGGTCCCGCTGCCGACCATGTAGCGGTGGTAGCCCGCATCGAACCAGCGGCCGCCGAACGCGCCGCCCAGCAGCAGCAAGGTGTTCTGGATGGAGCCGATCCAGGAGACGAGTGACGGGTTAGCATTGCCGCCATCCAAACCGACCGACGAAGTATAGTAGGTCTGAAAGGAGCCGTAGGAGACGACGAGGCCCCAGTTGTTGAACATCAGGAAGTGGCCCGCGATCACCTGCAGCCATGGCTGCAGGCCAGTGTCTGGTGGCGGGATCGGACGCGAACTTGGTGGTGGTTCTTCAATCTGGACCGGCTTTTCGTGTTCTAAAGAAGAGCTGAATGGTGCCGATATGGTGGCTATCTGCTCGGTTGAAGACGAGCAGCCTTTTGCTTCTTCATGGTGCTGACCCGAGCCAACAGTGACCTCCCGGCCAGCATTTTCGACATCGTGTCCTGACCAAGTCAGAAGTGTGCTACTGTGTGGATCCAAGTTCGAGGTTCTCCGCTTCTCGTATTCCACTGAACATCAAGATGCTGACCTACCGTGATCAGGTTTCTCTCCCAGATAGACGGATGCGACGTTTGCGGTCTCATCAGTCGGCATGCTCCAGATTCAAGCGAGGACATAGGCCACGGAGATGAGCAAGAAGGGCGAGATACATATTGCGTCGAATAAAGCATCTATGGTTAACTTACCTCGGATGGTCTCATTGAGATCAACTTACCGCCTACCACATTTGAGAGCACGGGAGAAAGTCCGGGGAAAATTCATGGAGGCCACAATCTGCAATGATGACAGTATCAGGCACGACTTGTACCCTAATAGAAAGGCGTGAAGGGCCTGTGAAGGCTTGCTAAATGAGGAGAAGAGGTCGTTCTGCTCGTCCGAGTGCCGAGGCAGACCCCGATTCCCGGGCTGAAGGACCTCGAAGGATCTTCCCAGAGTGGCTGGCAAGAGATATTCTAGGGACCCCGCGGTGGAATGGGGAACTTATGGGCAGGGGTCAGCGGGAACACACGCACATTGGGACAGAGCTGGAAGGAGATATTGTGTGTTACTGCTGGAAAGCGCTTTCACTATACGAAGTACTGTACTCCGTAGAGGGCAGCACCCTCTGCCCAACGCCACATTGAACTCCAATGTACTTCTGCGCCTCCCCCTCAGCCTCCTGACCCATCTATCTACGACTTACAGCCGGCCCATTTTCTCGAAGATGGAGTACCCCCTTTGGGAATCCCCAAACATAACTGCCCAGGTCGACGCCCTCTTAGAGCCGTGGGGGAAGGAGTATCTGGGCTAAAGGCTGGATGATGGGGGCACCAAGAGTATCATGCATACGAGGCTGTAGGGGTTAGCGGGCAGAAATATCACCGGTAGACCGGTCTTGCGGGCTCATAGGTAAGTTTGGTAGAAACGGTGGAGGTCGAGGCTGCCCACAGGCCGAATAGTGGAAGAAGAACCGTGATGAAGGTCATGATGGGCGACTTTGGTCTTAGTCCAGATATGTATCAACCCGCAAAATATCTTCCCTCTCGGATAGATTGGTTCCAGGTATTCAGGGTGAAGATGCTAACCCTCGGATGGGTCGTTGTTGTAAGTTCAAGATGCATAATCCGGCCTATTGACCGACATAGTCCGCGCGTTTGGAATCAGTTCTGTGGTGGGGGCGACAAGCTTGCGAGCTTTACTCCTGGTCCTACTCACCATGATACCCATGCCAGAATCACTGAGGCGCTTCGCTAGACGGAGTGCGCCAGGCAGCAGATGAATAGACCATCGCTAAAGGTTCACACCGGTCGAATCGACTTCCGACTCTGCTCCCGCCTGCACGTGTGGTTTTCATTCAAGAGCCTCGCTATGCATGACTCAGCTCATTTTCATCCTGACTGCCTAGACCAGATCCCCTCCTCGTAGCCCATCATCGTGACAATGCAATGTCGTCAATCCGGAGGATCATCTTGACCGTCTCAGCCGCCAACTCGATGGCACTTGTGCTCACGAGGAGTGGCTGGAGCACTTTCTCGTCTGCAATATTCGTCTTGACGCCGCCACTCCGGATACTGACTCCGGCATTCTTTTCTCCCATATCATGTCGATGTCGTAGATCAGTCACTACTTTGATGCTGTTTAGCCCTGCATTCTCAGCCAAAGTCGTGGGGATGACCTCCATGGCGTCTGCGAAGGCCTTCCAGCAGATCGCTTCCGTGCCGGTCAGTTCTCTGGCCTGTTTGGCTAGTTGGTGGGCAATCTCGACTTCTGGTGCTCCGCCACCAGCAATCAGGGCCTTCTTCTTGACCAAACACCTAATGACGCACAGAGCGTCGTGTATTGATCGTTCCGCCTCGTCGAGGACGAGCGTGTTGGCGCCTCTAGCAATAATCGACACAGTTTGATGTTGTGGTGACGCTGTCCGAATACCCGTGACTTTGACATATCGAGCGCCATTTGAACTGACTTCCTCCACCAGGTCTGCGCTCCCAAGTTTATCTTCTGAAAAGGTGTCGATGTTGGCGATGGGCTTGCATCCGGTGCTCTTGCACAGAAATTCAACCTCGTCTCGTTCAATGTCTTTGATGGCCATGATCTTCAGCCGCGACAGGAAGTGTAATGACAGATCATTAACCGCATCTCTGAGGATGGATTTTTGAATGAACAGCACGTTGCACTTGGCCTTCTGAATCTTTTTGACCATGTTGAGCAGATAAGTTCGTTCTTCCTTCAGAATCTTGTCCATCTGTCTGTAGTCGTTTACCACAATCTGATTTTCCATGTCGGGCTTTGGAGGGCTGAGTTGGAACTGGATCAATGCGATTCTCGCTTTTTCTATCCTGGTCGGACCACCACCGCTCTTAATGACCGGTTGGTTGAGGACCAACCCATCGATCATTTCCGAATCTTCGATAGTTCCGCCAACCTTCTTCACGATCCTAATATTCCGCAGGTCCACATTCTCCGCTGTCTTTGGATCAATGGTCTTTAGCACGGAATCTACGGCCATCGGTCCAAGTAATCCGGAGTGTTGCGACACGATTTTCGAGGAAAGAGAGGTTGAGGCTGCCTGGAGCAGGGTTGTGCGGTCGGAGAGGGAGATAGGTTGCGACATGTTTTCCAGAACTCTGACAGCGGCTTTAGAGGCTCTCTGGAACGACTCGGAGATGATCGTGGGATGGATTCCTTTGGCGAGTAGGCGGTCTGCGGCTCCGAGAAGACTGCCAGCGATGACCACTACAGAGGTTGTCCCGTCACCGGCCTCGACATCTTGTGCATTGCTCAGGTCGACCAGCATCTTCGCCGCGGGATGCATCACACTCATGCTCTTCAACATTGTGCTGCCGTCGTTCGTGATCAAGCTCTCGCCTTTGCCTGACTGAATCATTTTATCCATCCCTCGGGGCCCTAGTGAAGTTCTGATTGCATCCGAGACTGCTCGCGCTGCCATGATATTGGCTGACCGCACAGCCATCGGCTTCTCTTTATCCTAGTAGATCGAGTTAGTGGTGGATGAATCTGCGCACCTGGGCGACGGACCTTGAAGGCAGCATTGCCGCCGGCGTTGCCTTGAATCCCCAGTGCAGCCGCCATGTTGGTGATAGGTCGGCGGCAGGAATTGCCAAGTTGATTCGGAAAGTATTCTTTTGCTCAACTCGATTTCATGCGCGAGGCACACGGAAATTTCGCTGAAAGTTGGAGAAAGGGAAAGTAAAGGCAAGGCTGTAACTGCGGTGGATCATTTGAGCAGTCGAGACAAGGCTGCGTCAGGCACGGCGCGATGATGCATCTCGTGTCAACACCTCGCCATCCAATCAGTTCCACAATCTTCGCCTTCAACACCGTCCGCATCACTTTCCCTTCTTTGTACTCCGTACATTTCCTCCGGCTCTCTCCTAAATATCCTTCCCTGTTATAGCGTCGCCTCCCCGGATCCTCGATCAATTCGAGCCGCCCAAGATGCCCAGCGCAACCGGCCAGAACTGGGAGAAGTACAAAAAGACGTTCGCCGATGATGAAGAGCCAGAGAAGAAGATTACACCTCTGACAGACGAGTATGTCCGCTCCACACCCGATGGAAAGGATTTTTGCTGACAGAATGAAGGGATATCCAAGTACTAAAGACCTACGGAGCTGCGCCTTACGCCGCATCGTTGAAGAAGATCGAGAAGCAGATCAAGGAGAAGCAAGCGAGCATCAATGAGAAGATCGGCGTGAAGGTATGATACAGCGTGTCTGTGATGAAAGGTTAGTGCTCACATCTTTTCAGGAGTCGGATACCGGCCTCGCGCCCCCTCATCTATGGGATGTCGCAGCCGATCGACAGCGGATGCAAGAAGAACAGCCCCTCCAAGTCGCCCGGTGTACGAAGATCATCCAGGACGAGAAGGACACCGAGAAGAGCAAGTATGTCATCAATGTCAAGCAGATTGCAAAGTTTGTGGTCAATCTCGGTGAAAGAGTCAGTCCTACAGATATCGAAGAGGGTATGCGCGTCGGTGTCGATCGACAGAAATACTCCATCATGCTCCCCTTACCTCCCAAAATCGACCCCAGCGTTACCATGATGACCGTGGAAGACAAGCCCGACGTCACGTACGGAGATGTTGGTGGCTGCAAAGAGCAGATCGAGAAGCTCAGAGAAGTCGTGGAAATGCCTCTATTGTCCCCAGAACGGTTCGTCAGCCTAGGAATCGATCCTCCCAAAGGAGCACTACTGTATGGGCCTCCTGGTACCGGCAAGACGCTCTGCGCGCGAGCGGTCGCCAACCGAACAGACGCCACGTTCATCAGGGTCATCGGGTCCGAGCTGGTGCAGAAGTACGTCGGCGAAGGCGCGAGAATGGTCCGAGAACTGTTCGAGATGGCCCGGACCAAGAAGGCCTGCATCATCTTCTTCGACGAAATCGACGCTATCGGCGGTGCGCGTTTCGACGACGGTGCTGGCGGCGACAACGAGGTGCAAAGAACCATGTTGGAGCTGATCACACAACTGGATGGGTTTGACTCGAGAGGCAACATCAAGGTCATGTTCGCCACCAATCGGCCGTCGACGCTGGACCCTGCTTTGATGAGACCCGGTCGTATCGACAGGAAGATTGAATTCTCGTTACCCGATCTGGATGGCCGTGCCGGCATTCTGAGAATCCACGCCAAATCAATGTCAGTTGAACGGGACATCCGTTGGGAGCTCATTGCCCGCCTGTGCCCCAACGCCACTGGTGCCGAGCTGAGGAGTGTGGCGACCGAAGCCGGCATGTTCGCCATCCGTGCCAGACGAAAGGTCGCCACGGAGAAGGACTTCCTCGCCGCGGTCGACAAGGTCATCAAAGGCAATTTGAAATTCGGCTCCACCGCCGTGTATGCGCAGTACAATTAGGGGGTTGAGGAAGCGCCTTGCCTTTTGTTTTCTAGCGTTGCATTCACGGGGAAGTCGATTTCGGCCTGGACGCAAGATCAAGCTGTCCGGTGGGCGTGTACTGTACCATAGACCCAATAAACACAGGTGGCAGGATAAGAGCGCTTCGACGTGTTGTCACTCACCTTGAGAGCAAGGACTGTGCCATGACTGAATATGGTGTGCCGTATCTGTTCCTGTCCTGAGGGACCCGCCCGGAACCATCCCTTTCAGCATTACAGACCTCACTTCTTCATCCTGCCCCGTACGGAGTACCTTGAGGATTGTCCATCTGCTTACAACAGTGGAGGTGCCATGGGCTCGTACGGAGTAGGCCTCATTTGTCAATCCTGTCCCGTACCTTGAGCGACATCCACTTCGCGGTGTAGGAAAAAGGTCTAATGAGCATCGTAGCCTCACTCGTCGAGCGCATTGAATGTACTGTATGGAGTAATTCCACTCGCACAAGTACAAGTACACTGGGGTATACACTTGACCATCAATGAACGAAATGTATGTTGCTGACATCCCACAGCTGGCGCGCGCAAGACCCAGCGGGGTGGCTCGTCCCTTGAATGTCCTTTCGAGCATTACACAGAGTACCCTGGTCTCGGTTTAATACTTTCACTACACGACTTACAGGACGGCATACTCTATTCTAGCTCCGATGTTAAGAATAGCATGCTTGCTTGCTTGCTCGGTGCTTGGAGCGGCTTGGTATCGAGGCGAGGAGAGCTGCTAGGTGGCTGTCGTATGGATGCTGTGTCATGGGTATGTACCTAGGTACCTAGGTAGTGTCGAGGCTGTGATAAAATGGAGAAAGCTCGGCCGACTCGTATTCCAGCCAACCAGCCAATCATAGTTTAGTGCTCGAGTCGTCAGGGGTTCGCTGCCTTGCACAGCCCGAGCCTTGCTGCGAGTCGTCGATTCGTCGACTACCTCGTACGCAGTACACGAGTTACTACGGTGTGAAAGTCATGAGATGAGGTCCGGAAATGACATTGCTGTACAAAGCATAATTGGTTGGTTGTGTACCAGACATCTTTGTCGCAATGTATTGCCCTCCTCTCTCTTCCTTGGAAGCGACGGCGACGTCTGATCTTTCCTGCCTGGGCCATTTGTTGCAGCTTCCCGGAAAAACTCCTCATGAACGCCAGTCCGCCTCCCTCCGTGTTAGACCAAACATACACGCCCAGTAAAGACATAGCCAGCTCAGGCTCAAGCCGGCATCGAACCCTCGGGATGTTGAGATATCGAGCGACAATGATGGATGGGTATCACGTCCATTCTCCATGACGCCAGCCGTCTCACAGGCCACCTCAGTCCTCGTTCCACCGTGACCTCAAAAAGTACAATACAACGTCAGAAGACAACACACGTTCAAGTCATAACATGGAGATTGCTCGGTTAGCCATGGTCCATTCATGCATCTGCAGAGGCCTCAGCTTTCTTGGGCGTCGCCGACTTCTTGGGTGTGGCCTTCTTTGTTGCTGTCTTCTTAGGTGCGGCTTTGGTGGCGCCTGTGGTGGTCTTTTGCTTGCTGACGCGTCCCGACTTGGTCTTCTTCAGGACAGTAGGAGCATCCTGAACAGCAGGTGCCTGGATGAGGTCAGTGACATGCCCAATTGAGGATGAGGTCAGTACATACGGGAGCCTCAGTCTTTGCCTTGGCTTTCGGCGCTCTCTTGGTGGCAGTGTTGGCCTTGGGCTTCGTGGCGGCTGCGGTGGTCTTCTTGGGTGTGGTGGCCTTCTTTGTCTTGGGAGCAGCAGCCTTGGGCTTGGCGACGGTCTTGGTCTTGGTGGCCTTTGGTTTGGCTTCCTTGGTCTCCTCCTTCTTGGGAGCCTTCTCCTTCTGCAGCCATCAGCACAGCTACAAGGTGATCAGGGTGTTGAGACAAACCTTAGCGACAGCGGGCTTCTTCTCGGCCGGCTTAGCTTCCTTCTTCGCTAGCTTGACAGGACCAGAAGGGCCTGGAATAGTGTCAGAGAGGCGAGAATAAACCAGGGGACAACGACGTACCCTTCGGCTGTGAGAAGTCACCAGTCTCGACACCAGTCCTCAGCGCCCTGTTGAACAAGGAATCGAACTGGGCCTCAGACGGAACTGTGATGTTGTTGTTTGCCTTGACATATTTTTTGATGGCTTGTCGGCTGGGTGTACATGTCAGCACTGGGGATCAAACGGCAGCGAGGTGGGTGTGGGCAACTAACCTGCTTCCGTTGCGTTCCTTGAGCTGCATAACCAGACGCGTCAGTATCTAGCCCACAAGACAAAATGCGCGAAACCAAACGCTAATCTCTTGTGCTGGACCAAAGTGCTGAAGTAGGCAATACAAGCCTTGAGATTGATGGCATCGAGGTTGTCGCAAAGTGGATAGACTCACGTTGAGGATGGCCTCCTTGATCATATCTGGCAAGCACAGTCAGCATTGACACGCGACAACGATAGAACAGCTTTCGCATGGATGCGATTGCGTTGGGACAGGTAAAACGTACCTTTGTATTTGCCATGGGAGGGGGCGGCGGCGGGCTTCTTCTCCTTCGCTTCCTTGGCCTGCGCGGCGGCACCAGTGACTTTCTTGGGAGGCATTGTGATGGTAGAAGTTGGATTGAGTTGATAAATTGATGGAGAAAGACAACCAAGTAGTCTAGTCAGATAGATCGGTCGTGGACGAGCTTTGGTGAGAGAGTTGGGAGGAAGATGGACGGGTGATGGGCAGGCGCGCGGCGGGGTCTCACAGGTTGTTTATGTAGCTCGCATGTGACGCGGCAGCGCAACGAGATCAACTCTCCAGCTTGGATCAATTGGCCCTGCCAGCCAATCAGAAGCTCGCATAATCGGCGGGCGGAATCTCGCACCGTGGACATGCAACACTTTATTTTCCCCCAGCACAGCCAAGCTCCCCCGGTCGCCCATTTGATCACAAGCAGCCACGACCTCCGACCCCGTCACGCGAGTTTCTTGCTCGCACTCCCTCACATCGCCCAATTCTCTTCCTCCCCACCCACTCCTCTTTCCTCCTCCATGTCGCACTCGTGTCAGCGTCAACTTTCCATTCTCTTTATCCCCTGCTGGCTGTATTTTGTTCCCAGTCCCAGTCTCAATTAACGCTGGACTTTTCCATAACCACAACGACGGAGCTGCTGCTCTTGCATCCTTGTGATGGCAGGTGTCAGGGCTCACTTGTCGGTGTCATGCACTTTAGAGCGCGTGGAACAATGCCTGGAAAACCGTTCCAGACGGTCCATATTCTTCCTGTTAACGCCCTTTTATTGACCGCACGACAATGCTGGTTGCCAGAGCTGACTTTGCTCCTATCTGGCTGGCACAGCTTCCAGTTGCTCGATGAGTCTGGCAATTTGCAATGCCAATCGCCCATGGCTTTCGGTAGAGAGCATTGATGTGACCACGTGGCACGCATTCCCGCACGACGCCGGGAGTACTACTATCAAGGTACCTAGGTACCCAGCACTGCTGCCTCCGAGTCATGATTGTGAGCAATGGAAAGTGAGCGTGGTCATCATCTGTCATTGGTGATTTGAACTCCGCGACCACCGATTCGCTCGGTCATGTGAACACTGGGTGTCCATAACTGGTTAGGGTCAATTCTATCTCGACCTGCCAGCTCAGAATCCCATCTCTTTTGGATATGCCGCCCTGGGTATTCCATATCCCCATCCACATAATTTCCAGAACGCCATGCTTATGGTACAGGAATACTTGCACCAGTTGCCGCCTTCCCTGCTAATGACGTTTCCTGGCAGTACTCCCTAATCAATCAAGAGTTCAAGTGCGCTTTGGCCTTGGTCTCTTTCTTAGTTTTGGCATCTTCCTTCTTTTTCTTCTTGGCGTCTGCGACCTTTTCCTCGTGTTTTCGCTTCAGGTCCTTCTTTTGGTCCTCGGTCTTGGGTATCGCTTTGAAGAAGCCTTCCAACCGCGACTGCTGAGCCGTCTTGACATTCTTCTGCAGCTTTTGTGCTGCACTTCTGACCCGGTCTTCATTGAATCCTTTCTCGTTGACTAAGAATTGGACCAGGCCTTCCACGTCGGGGGCTTCCCACTTGAAGTCACACTCGGGATCATCTGCTGACCGGACATCTGGGTGGAGGAACAATTCTCTTGCGTCTTGGTACGGCCAGTCCTCAGGGATCGCGTATTTCTTCTTCGGGTCACTCTCAATAAACTCAACCACCTTCTCCAACGTGCCGTGATCCCGGATGAGCTTGAGGGCTGTGTTTGGGCCAATCTTTGGAACCGGGTCGAGATAATCGCAACCCAGCAGGATACACAGGTCGATGAACTAATACGGTCAGATGGAAGCAACGACACCAGACCCTCAAAGAGCGTACCTGTTTTCTGTCCATATTTAATCCTTCCAAGGTCTTGTCGAGGTGGATCTCCTGAATTGGCTCCTTGCGCTGCTCACTGAAGGTCAAGTGTCGGAGAAGGATCGGCGAGTCGAACGTGAGTGTATCCATATCTTCAGATGCCGCAGCATACACCTTTCCAGCTCGCGCCAGGACCGCACATTGTGCCTCGGCCTCGGTCGGCGCAACTATGAATGGAATGCCCATCAGCCTGAGCAGCCGTCGGCATTCCTCGTTGTGCTCTCTTGTCACTCTTACGGTTCGTCTTGAGAACTTCTCCACCTCTTCTGCAGTACCCGTCTCCTTCGCTTCCTCATGCTGCTCCGAAGCTTCGTTCTTTCGCGCGAAGCGTTTTGCTAGCTCGCCGGACTTGAGCTTGGGGGGTGCACCATCGAAGACGTAGAGGGGTTTAATCTAGAAATCCATCAGAGCTTGTACCGTACGCCTGCAAGGTGGACTTAGCACTCACGCCATTGTCGACTATTCTCAAGGTCCGGTAGAACATGCCCATGAGATGTGAAGTCGTCTCGCCGGTGTCGGACATGAGTTGTTGGCCATCAGAGCGGACTGCGACGAGGAAACTGTAGATGCTCATGGACCTTGATCATGTCAGTCTCGCCGTCTCTGTGGTAGGTTTATTCCAGCTTACGCGTCAATCGCAACCTTCCTGCCAAACTGCGTCCGTTAGCATTCAGCACCCGCAGTGGGACAATATGCGCCTATTCCCGAGAGCACTTACGTGGTTCTTGATCTCGCCGGTCTTGATGGCTATCAGGCTTCAGTCAGCATAATCAGCTGGTTAAGAAATGAATGTGCTCATCCAAGCACGGCAAGTGTCTTCAACTAACCTTCCGGCGCCTCATCAGCGATAACCTGGTAGAGGTCTGCCGTCCGTCAGCCGTGCGCGCACGATCATGAACATCGAGAGGTCTCTCACGTTTGATTCCCATTTTGTAATGCGCCGCTGGTACCCAGAATCGATGAGGGAAGTGGACATTGGCGCAGAACAGAAATCCGCGAGGTACGAGTACGCGCAGAGTGGTTTGCAGGTCGCGTCAATGACGTCGAGGGCGCGTAGAGGCATATTTGCTCCGCCGGTGCCAAGCTATATCGCGCAGGTCGCCGTACTAGTGTGAAGTTCCGGCCTGAGAGTGGTAGAACACGCCTGCAACCTCAGAAGGCTTGTGATGTTTGCCGGTTGAAAAAGTGTGACTGCTCGAGACGACTACTCCGAGCCTGCACGCCCGGTCAACAATAATTCTACTGATACTGGTTGCCTTTGGACCTTGGACCAGAAACAAATACAAATGTAGACGTCAGTGGGGTCTGGCTCCCGCTTAATGGAGAATTGAAATATCGCCGAGGTTCAACGATCCGGCGCAGCACAGCATTGAATCACTTTCGCCGACGTCCTTAGATCTTAATACTTATACTCCGTACGAGGTTCGAATGGTGCTCTTTCTTTCGCTCTACGTACCCTTCCCCTATTGACACTGCCTTCGTCATGCTGTCACGTCACCTTCTCAGTCGAGCTGCGCGTGCGCGCTCCAATCTAGCAGCGCGTGCGGCTTTGCGCCGACATGCCTCCTCTGCAGCTGCCTTCAGATGGGAAGATCCCCTCAACCTTTCCAATTTTCTGACCGAAGAGGAGCAAGCGATCCAGGAGACAGCACATTCGTATTGTCAGGAGCGTCTGCTCCCCAGAGTGCTGGAAGCATACCGCAAGGAAGACTATGACAAGAAAATCCTGGAAGAGATGGGCGAGCTTGGTCTACTCGGCGCCACCATCAAAGGCTATGGGTGTGCCGGTGTGAGCAATGTTGCGTCCGGTCTGATAACGCGAGAAGTTGAAAGAGTGGACTCTGGATACCGTTCAGGCATGTCTGTGCAGAGCTCGTTGGTCATGGGACCTATTGACGAGTTCGGGACCCAAGAGCAAAAGGACAAGTTTCTGGAAAAGTTGGCAAGGGGACAGTTGGTGGGCTGTTTCGGTCTGACTGAGCCTAACCACGGCTCAGACCCAGGCTCAATGGAAACAACTGCGAAGCCGCATCCCTCCAAAGAGGGGTATTTCTCGCTCTCAGGTGCTAAGACGTGGATCACCAACTCGCCCATTGCTGATGTCCTGCTCGTTTGGGCGAAGCTACAGGAGACAGGGAAGATCAGAGGTTTCCTGGTCGAACGAGAGAAGTGTCCTCCAGGTACCCTCGAAACGCCGCCGCTGAAGGACAAGAACGGACTTCGCGCATCCATAACGGGTATGATCCAGCTGGATGAATGTCCCGTGCCAAAAGAGAACATGTTCCCGGAAGTCGAAGGACTGAAAGGTCCTTTCTCCTGCCTCAACTCGGCCCGTTACGGTATTGCGTGGGGAACAATGGGTGCCCTCGAAGACTGTATACAGCGAGCTCGAGAATACGCCCTGGAGCGAAAGCAATTCAAGAACAACCCGATCGCAAAGTACCAGCTGGTGCAGAAGAAGCTAGCCGACGCTACAACAGACGCGGCCTTCGGCCTTGCTGCTGCCTACCAAGTGGGGAGGCTGAAGGATGAAGGCAAGGTCGCTCCCGAGATGATTTCGATGATCAAGAGACAGAACTGCGACAGGGCCTTGGTCAATGCCAGGCATCTGCAAGAGATTTTCGGCGGAAATGCGGTCAGCGACGAGTATCACATTGGACGGCATGTGTCGAATCTGTTTGTGACTCAAACGTATGAAGGGCAGAGTGACATCCATGCCTTGATATTAGGAAGAGCCATTACTGGCCTCCAGGCGTTTTGCTAAACTTCGACCTCGTCTAGCCGTGGTCCTTATCGTACATAGCACAAAAGTTCAGGAAATACGATATGACAAGCACGCGCTACCATGATGCCGTGTCGGGCTTGATGGATTGCCGCTCAATTAGTTCAGTGGGACCCTAGCTGCTGAGCGGAAGGTATCCAGAAGTCCTAAATATGTTACCGAATGTGTGAGGCTGCTGTTGGTTGTTTAATCGCTGGCACCAGCGGCCAACTACTGCTTTGTCATATGGATCTAATGGTGGCGATGAAAAAAAGAATGCTTGCTAGGGCATCCTCATTGGGCGCAGTCAGGCTGTCAGGCTCGGAGCACTGCCCAACACGCCTCGAGTGCCTGCGCCTGAAGGTGCCTAGGATTGGAATGTGCTCGTAACACTGACGCCCAGGGCAAGTACGGCGAGGCGTCATCGACGTCTTTTCAGCCGAACCATCTCTCTTCCTTCACCACCTATATCTGTGACAACCACCAAGGTGATCAAGTGACAGACGTCTCGGTAAACACACTTCTATCTGCGGATACGTTGGTCTCTCCTCCATCCTAACTCACACGCCGGACCCTTCAAGTCTGTCTCGCCCTCGCATTTCCAACTTATCACCTTGCGCATTACACAGGGTTGACTCAGATCACAGCCCCACGTCCACTCGATATCGTACCCCTCTACCTCCGAAGTCATTCTACGACTCTCATAACCCACAACTTCCGCCATGGCTTTGAAGCGAATCAACAAGGAACTAACAGATCTCGGCCGGTGAGTTTTATTGTGCCGCTATATTTCACCAAGATCTGCCCTGGAACGGAACCTGAATCCGATTAAAGGCATTTCGGACGGGCAACGAACATACTGACACATTTTCGCTTCAGTGACCCTCCTTCATCATGCTCAGCTGGTCCTATGGGAGATGATCTGGTATGTATACCTCTTGACGGGCCGCTGACCGCTCCCTCCGTAGTGGTGGGATGGTTGTTCAGCCTGAAAATTCAACTAACGTCCATGCGCAGTTCCACTGGCAAGCGACAATCATGGGCCCTGTAAGCTCTACACCGTTAATGTCCACATCAAGTCGGGGTGAGACTGACTCTTTATGCAGAGTGACAGCCCGTTCCAAGGCGGTGTCTTCTTCCTGGCCATCCATTTTCCTACAGACTACCCCTTCAAGCCACCGAAGGTCAACTTCACTACTCGAATCTACCACCCTAATATCAACTCGAACGGCAGTATCTGTTTGGACATTTTGCGAGACCAGTGGAGCCCGGCTCTGACAATATCGAAAGGTATAGATGACAAAATGTTGGGTTTTGTACAATATGGACTCTAACATCCATGGCAGTCCTCCTTTCCATCTGCTCCATGCTCACCGACCCCAACCCCGACGATCCTCTCGTGCCGGAGATCGCTCACGTGTACAAAACCGACCGCTCTCGATACGAGGCAACGGCCAGAGAATGGACGAGGAAGTTTGCAATCTAGATGGTGTGGCAACTGAAGGGCTGTGGCGGTAGTGGCGGCGGCGGCTAGACGTTCGAATGGGTTGCTAGGTGGCAGGGATCATGATACCGCGATCGACAACAATGCGCCCTCGGTGCAGGACGCATGAGAGCTGTGCTGGAAAGGGTGCTGCATGTTTGGACGAAGAAATCATGAAGCAGCCGGCACAATATGACATGCATTACATCAACGGATGCAACGACGAGCAACGGGAGACACGGGCGCAAACGCTATGGCGGGATGTTTTCTGTCCAACAGCACGATCTCGGATGAACTCTTATGATTGCATTACACCAGGCGTGCTCTAGGGATAACTGACGACAACTGTGCTTTTGCTACTGCGCCTCTTCCCTGGATCTCTTCGTGGACGTTTAGTACATTTCCTCTTGCCATTGGCTACACGCGCCGTTGAGAACGTGCTTTGCTCCTGCAGTCGCCTAGGCAAACATCCCAGTACAAGAACCTCATATAGATCAGCCAGGGCAGGATCACAGATAGATGCCACCATCCAATCACAGTGGTTGCTCGGCTTGCGAACGCCGCGCTCCGATGTTCCCATTTCAGACACCGCCACGAGCAAGGCTTTCTGGCACGTGCTCGTGAAAAGTCGGCCACTTCTCGCTCAGTCCTGGGCTGAAGAGCCTGTCGTACAGCAGAGAAACTATAGTGGACCGTAGCATTCATGTGCGTACTCGTACGAGTGGGAAAGAAAGCCTTGCATCTGTGAAACAAGGAGGCTGCGCGGCAAAGGTGAGCAGAGGGTGAAAAGAGTTGGTTCGGGCCCTAGCGTGTTTCACAGGCCTCGGCTCGACACCAATCACTCACCCAAAGCCTCTTCGCGTCGTTTTCCAGGTCCCGTTCCAGTTCTCAGCTCCATCCCCAGCGTTCTGGCCTTTCACTTTTGCACTGGCCCACGACGCTTGTCACCACCGCTGTGGATATGCGAGCACTTGCAGTGGGTGCTTCTTGACCTATGCAGGCCCGATCCTGCGCTTGCAGCGGGGATCAGCGCCCGACGGCATTCCCCTGAGATGTGCATGGAGTCGACACTTTCTCCTCCGATGGTGCCTCTGATGCACGAAGCGCCGAGGGGGGCGTGGATCAATGTTCCTTCAACAAGAGGCTATTTCCTCGATCTGCCCTGTTCGATCTTCTTGCTTGTTTGTGCAGATCATCATCTTCTCTTCATTTGCCCGGAGCGCGTTGCTCGATCTTGTATAGACGTGGGGTGTTGAGCACTTTTATTTCGCTTCTCTCAAGCCCAAACAGCCTTGCTTGGCGAAACGTCGCGGCGTCCCTGGTTGTACGAGGTGAGTGACGTGCCAACCTCGCGTGTCTGGCGTCTTCTCACACTGATCCTGTCTCAAGTCGAGTGTTTCGAAACCGTCGTAGGGAGACCGTCTCAGAGGCTTCGCCCTGCCACAGCAACGGTTGCGAATTGCCAGTGTGCTGTGGACTCTCGCCAGAAACGCGACAGTGTCAGCTGGTTCTAGACCGTCGCCCGCGGAGTGTACAATTACAGCCATGAACATCTCAATGCCGCAATCTTCCCCTCCTCCTTACTTCTCCGACATACCGCTGGGACGGTCGAATACTACGACGCATAATAATGCTCCAATGTATTACCTCGAGAAACCATTGGCTCGGTCCGACACGTCGTCGACAATCTCGACGCTGTCGGAGCGAACAAGATCAACGCCGCTCTCGAGGATGTTGTTGTCGGGGGAAGTCAGTGGGGAAGCGCCTCGAGATCTGAACCTGAGGGAGCGGTTCGAGCGATGGATGGTCAACGAAGGGTCGAGGAGAGTGGTCGTGGCCGTGTTCGTGCTGGTTCACGGACTGATATTCGGCTTCGGCTTTATGAACTACCAGCTGAAGGACAACCTCACGGGGGCCCGAGCGACGTTTGGCATCACGTATCCCATCGCGCGGTCCGCGGCGTTGGTTCTCCATTTCGACGTCGCCTTGATCCTCTTCCCTGTCTGCCGGACGCTGATATCGTTACTTCGACAAACACCGCTCAACAGCATCGTCCCCTTCGACAAGAACCTCACCTTTCATAAACTCATCGCCTATTCGCTTGTCTTCTTTACATGGGTCCACACCATTGCGCACTGGAACAACTTTGCTCAGCTGGCCGCCAAGGCGAATTTGGGATTTGTCGGCTTCCTAAAGGCCAACTTTGCCACCGGCCCCGGCTGGTCTGGCTATATCATGCTCTTTGCCTTGATGGCCATGTTTTTCACCTCGATTGAGAAGCCGCGGCGAGCCAACTATGAGCGCTTCTGGTCGATGCACCACCTCTTCATCATCTTCTTCGTCTTTTGGTCCGTGCATGGAGCTTTCTGCATGATCAAGGCCGACAACGCGCCCTTCTGCTTCGGCACAGGTGTCTTCTGGGAATACTGGATGTACGGCGGCTTTGCGTATCTCATGGAGCGAGTTCTGCGCGAAATTCGAGGCCGCCACAAGACCTTCGTCACCAAAGTCATTCAGCATCCCAGCAACGTCGTCGAGATTCAGATGCACAAGGAGAAGACCAAAACGCGAGCGGGCCAGTACATCTTCCTTTGCTGTCCTGAAGTCTCCATCTGGCAATACCATCCATTCACGCTCACCTCTGCGCCCGAGGAAGACTACATCTCGGTGCATGTACGGATGGTTGGCAACTTCACCAAGGCCCTCGGCAAGGCACTCGGCTGCGACGACGGCAAGGCGAGCAAAGATGCAGGCGTCAAGAAGCCACGCTCTGAGGTCGTCTCCATGGCTCCTGGCGGGCTGCAGAAGCTACTCCCTCGGATCTACGTCGACGGCCCTTTCGGATCTGCCTCTGAAGACGTCTTCAAATTTGAGACGGCCGTCCTCGTCGGCGCTGGTATCGGCGTCACTCCCTTTGCAAGTATCCTCAAGTCCATCTGGTATCGCATGAGCCAAGGTGGCGGCGGCAAGTCGCGGCTCCGAAAGGTCTACTTCTTCTGGGTATGCCGCGACTTTGGCACACTGGAGTGGTTCAAGAGTCTGTTGCAGGCCATCGAGGCCCAGGACAAGGCGCACGCCATTGAAATCCATGCTGTAAGTTTGAGCCCATCCTTTACGCGCACGACATGCTGACAAGTCTCCTCCACAGTACCTCACTGCCAAGATCTCCGCCGCGGATGCCAACAACATCATGCTCAACAGCAGCGACACGGACGCCATCACTGGCCTGCGCACGCCCACCAACTTCGGCCGCCCCAACTGGGACATGGTCTTTCGGGCGATACGCAAGCTGCACTCGCCCGGCGAGGCCGGTGTGTTCTTCTGTGGCCCCAAGGGCCTAGGATCCCAGCTCCACATCCTGTGCAACATGTACAGCGAAGGCGACAAGGGCTTCAGCTTCGTCTGGGGCAAGGAGAACTTCTGAATTCTTCTGTCCACTGGCACTTGCCCCCTTCGTCAGTTGTGTTCTTGAACAGTCTACCTTTTGCATTGCGTCGGATGGGACAATAAATAGCGAGAGCGGACCAAGCACGAGGAAATCGACCTCGTCTACAGAAAATCTGGGACCGTGTGCTTGTGAGCCAGCTCGGCAGACTTGATGGGTCAGACAAAGTCGATTCTCGGCATTCGTCGCGTCTGGTCGTGGTGGCGCGCACTGCTCGTGTCCCTCTGCCGCGCCTCCCGTCGCTGCCGCCACTCTCATATCTGAGCAGTCGCGGAACGATGTGACCGACCACCATCATGTTGTTTGTACTCGGTACTGTGTAGCAGTACATTTTGTGACTTTGATAGAGATACCACGATACATCAGCGCTGCTCGATCCACGGGGACGAGACTCACGAGGCGAAAGTAAACAGACAGAATGAGAAATTTTTGGAAAATGTCGAAAAAAAGAATGAAAAGAAAAGAAAAGACTGATTCAAGCTGCTTGCTGTGATAGTAGGTATGCGTTCGTGCCTCGCACGCGTCTCGACTGGAGTACTGCACCTTGGTCCACACCGTTCCACTTCCACATGCTGACTGCAAGAGGCACTGTATACTCCCCTTTGTACAGAGTACGGTACCTACTCGTGACTCGCTTGTATCGCTGTAATCATATGATGCCTCGTTCCTAACCCGGCCCTCTGAGGTACAGTACTGTAGGGAGTTCATGGGGCCCTCCCCCCCTTCCATGCCTTCCTGAATAATACCCACCCATGATTTGTAGTGCATGGCCTCAGCAAACGTTGCCTCGCCTCGATTTGCTTTCAACAAACAGGTCATTTTGTTCAACAATGGAAATCACCCAAGTAAAAGTTGGAGTATCGAAGGCCTCCACGCCATCAGGCGCATGTCAGGTATACCACTTTATGCTTGTAGGCATATGTGCGTATGTCTCTTGTTAGGTACATAATGCTTGTATGCTGGTGTGTTGGCATGTTTGATGGACATGGGGTGCAGGACACCCTCTCTCTCTCTCTGGTCTGGGTATATGACCTGGCTGCTGGCTCACCAACCCATTTAGTTACTTTGGAATTGTATCATCTCATCTTACCCTCCACAGACCGTCGGTCAGTCGGTCGGTCCTATCCACCTACGGAGTAACGTACGTGCTGATTCCTGGTATTGGACCAACTTCGCACATGCGGATCACTCTCTCTCGAACCCTCGAGATGGGACGTCGTCCATGGTCCAAAGAAACAACCAGGAATAACTCTTGGCGCCTGAGGCAGATCTTTGTACCGGACATTCATCATGCGCAGCGGTACCTACTTACCTACCTACCTACCTACCGAAGGACGGGCTGGGCTACCGTCTTCGGACCGACCTTTTTGCGCTCTCTCTGCTTCTGACTCTGAGTGTTCCCCTGTATGTGTTGCATCCACCTGGACCGAGACTGTCACCATAACCATCACGATCGCTGCGTCTCAGGCCTCGGGTCTCACAACTCACGCCTGACGCGTCGAGCGTCCCATCATCGCAGTGGAGATGCGCCAGCCACGAGCCCAGAGGACAAGCAAGGCAAACAACGGATTCCTCGCGAATCCACGATCGACTTTGGCGAGCACGTCTGGTAGCGGCCGAATCCTCCTCTCCTTCTAGAAACGTACCTACTTGGTTCCACGACGTTCCCCTCCGACGCTCGGACCATGTGCCAAACTCTGTTGTTCTCAGCTTGTTGGTTTGGAGGGCTTGGAAGAGTCATGCCATGCCGTGTCATGTCGTGAACTTGTCAATGTTATTTCGTGACTTGATTGGCGTAGACGACGGAGAACCAAACAAACTTCCGACGCCGCTGCGTGAGGACCTCGAACCAAACAACTTTCAATACCTGCGTGAGGATCTCGTACCAAACAATCTTCCAACAAACCTGCGTGAGGACCTCGAGATGTTGACACGACCAGAGCTGGTGGCGCGAAAAGCCAACTCGAAAGGTCCTCGTTTGGCTCACAGGCAGAATGCTTATATTGGTGAGTGGTCCCCATATGTGGTGGGCGATATCAGTCAACGTGGCTGTCGCCTTCGTTACTGCGGCAAGCTCTTCACCCCTCCGCGCCCTTGCATTGCACTGCTTTGGCCATTGTATTGTATACTGCCTACTGCCGATACCTGTGGCGTCAGCATCTTGGGTGGGAAAATCCAACCCACCAACGAAGACCATACGTCTAGCTCGACACAGCGAGGAGCACAAACCAACCAACCGAATACATGCTCGACACGGATAGTGGAACAGCAACCCCGTCAGCCCGCATGGCGGACTCTCCGAAACCACCTACTCTGCTCACGATCCCACCCGAAATCCGCCTGAGGATATGGGAGTTCGTCTTCGATGAGCTCCACTATTTCGGAGCGGTCAGCCATGATGGGTGTCGCAAAGAGATCCCTCCTGAGGAATATATAGAGGAAGATTCCAAGGAAATCGTCGCGGAGCAAGACTCGGACGACATTGTCGACCTACCGCCGAAGCCTCTACAACCTTGTTCTTGCAACGATCGTCAGCTTCTGCCCCTATATTTGTGCCGACAAACGTACGGGGAGATGAAGGAAGCGTTGAAAAAGGCCCCGATCACAGCCGAGTATACCGTGGACCCGGTCGTGGAGCTTAAGCCCACATTCGTCGGCCGCATCCACACCTTGATCCTCGACGGGACTGTCTTTCCGATTCTCTACCCTAGGATTCTCGGCCGGGTCGACTACGACGACATCGAGTGGGTGTTCCCGGGTTTGAAGAGGATCGTCCTGCCCGAGGGGTTGGGCTCTGGATTGGGCCTCCGCTTCCCTTCCTCCATCCCCATGCACATCTACAGCTGTCTGCGCGAGAGCGAGGGGCCCACCGCGATGCCGACGGCGGATATGACGGGGATCGTCCGTTCCGACCTCTCAGGCCATCGCTTCACCGAGGGCTTTCACGCCACCGAGGCCCTCGTCCGTAACGCTGGGATCGAGATCTCCAGCACGTATCGGTATACTGTCGCGGCGTCGGAAATCCTGCGGTGGCCGTTCGACACGGAAAGAGACATATACGAGGGGAGTTTCGCTGGGGAGATCACATGGGACAAAACGAGCATGAGGATATCCGATCTCCCCGACTTGCGCGGCGAATGGTGGTTTGACGAGTGGCTGATAGATGACGGCCGTTTGCCACTCCATCAGAAAATCGACTGGACAAGCGAACTCGGAGGCTGGGACATGATGAATCTGTTCGACCGGACGGGTGACGAACGTACGATCTGGCTCGAGACACACGAGTTGTCGAATTCGTTTACTTGAGCGGGAGAAATCCTGTGCGTTGGAATGGTGACGGCCGCGTCTGTCAATGGACACGATTGATACGGTGGAGCTCGGTTCGGATTGTTGTGGTGAGCTCGAGCTGTCGAGGATACCTACACAGTACGGAGTATGTTGAGAGGAGTGACAAAGGAACAAAGGGAGATGTACTCCGTACACAGTACTGAGTAAATCTACTGAGAATAGATCCATGCCGCTTTTTAAGTATCCTACCATCTTTACCAGGATAGGACTAGTCATGTGGCTCATGGCACCCGCCGCTTTACTGGGCGCTGTGCACAAGTCCTTCAGCCGGTCCTCGGCCTTCCTCTGTCCTACACAGTACATGTCCCTGGCCCTGTCCCCTTTTCTCTAATATGTCCTCTCCTGGGGGAAAGTAGCGACCTATCTCGAAGGAGGAGGCGAAGCGACTCCACGTCCAGCCAGACATGCACAAGCATATTGATTGTGTAATCCAAATCTGTGGGTTTGAGGAGAGTTTCTCAGGTCATAATCCGATGAGTAGAGAGGTGGGTGCGGAAAGGGTATTGAATCTGGCGACTGCTACAGCACAATCGATCGGAGATGAGCCCAAGTCACGGTTAGGCGACTCTCACTGTTGCCTCCTTTCGGCAGGAAAGGTGTCGGTTTTGGAAAGTGCCTCGTCATCTCTCATTCATCCGTACATACATACATAGCCTGTCAACTACGTCTCACATCCACGTCGACAGCCAGCGGGCCAAGCATATCATCCGTCTCGGCCTGCCTGACCCTCGCGCTCGCCTCCCTCTCCTGCATTCGACGCTGAAAGCCCATTGTGGCCCATCCTCCCAACCGATTGAAGAACAACCGTCCTGCGGGATGTTTCCTGACCCTGTCGAGCAACGTAGTGACCGCGTTTCTTACTCTGCGATCTTCATGCCACAGACCCAGGCCGACATAGAACAGCCCGGCTTCAGACATGGGCGCCATCTCCAGCAGTTCGAGGATGCTGTCGTAGTCGGTGCAGTATGCCTCTAGCGCCAGATAGATAGCCCCCGCCTCGGCAGGCGTCAAATGCAAAGTCCTCAGCTTGGCCAGCGAATGATATAGGTCAACATACGGTTTTGCCGGCGCAAAAGCAAGCATGTTCGCCATGCTGACAGGGGAAGTCGGCGACTTAGGATCCGAAGCATGAGCAGCGAGATCGGAGATGAATGCATAATAAGACCGCGTGTTTCTCCAGCCTTCAATCCTTGCTGCTGAGGCGGCGAGTTCGCGGGTTTTGGCTTCCTCATTGGGCCAGACGTAGCCGTGGCCTTTGAGATGTCTGCTGGAGGATCTGACCGACATTGGGCGAGGAGCGGCTGAGCTGCCTGTTGCATCGGGTTTATCAACCTCTGTTGGTGGCAAGACAGAAAGGCTGCTTGCGCCATAGACGGTCTCTTCGAAAGCTGCTGCGATACGGGTAAACTTTGTTATATAGGCGCGGAATTTAGCGCGTATGATGGCCTCGCCGGCTCGAGAGGCGATGCCTCGGCTGACGTCGTCCATGAAAAGCACGTCACCTGTGGCATCCGAGTGATTCAGATCCTTTTGGCTCATGACGGAATGCCCATGGTGATGGAAGAACGTCGTGCCTTCTGTGATAGGGGCAGCTTCGATACACGAAGAGATTTTCATCCTTCCCGATGGTAAATCGCAGAGCAGGTCCCACCATTCTGGATGATAGGAGAACGCCGGGTTGGTGACCCCTGCGATGAAGCCGGGGACCTTGAGAAGTTCTTCGACTTTTGTCAGATCTGTGTAGGGAAATGCATGCCGAGTAAAACCTCTCAGCACTCCGCCAGAGGCCAAGGCACATGCCGCGAGGACAGCTTCTGCCACTTCGCCTGACGGACGGTTGTGGCCTAGGAAGATGACTCTTTTCTCCGTAAGCATGGCGTTTATGAGGACCACGATAGGGTGAGTGAACGCTCCGGAGGTGGTGAGGTGAGGGTGTAACGCGAAAGGTTGGGGCTGGGTTTGATGCGGCGTGCCAAAGATTTGTACCAGTTTGATCAGCGAGAAGTCGCCCACTGTCTCGGGAGACAAGGCGGTGGGGATCTTGACAGGTATAGGAATCCCATTGTAGACGATCTTTGACTCAAACTCGTGTGTGTCTCGCGGCAGCGAGTACTTGGGTTCCGCTTTCACCGGTGATTCTGGGGCATCCGGATCTTTCGCCAGGTCTTCATCCGTCAGTCGCTGGGATATCATCTGCTCGAACTTCTCAATAAACATGTCTTTGACATCGGTGGCTTGTAGGATGTGACGTTCCAACAATGAGAGCCGTGGCATCAGGGACAGGTCCATGGCGTTTAGCGCATTGTATAACAGTTCGAGCGTGTCTTGCGTTGGTGATTTGAAGTAGTCCTCAAGAGCCAGCAGCAACAGAGGCTTGTATATGTGCAAGAAAGAATGTCTTGTGCATATAGCCATCGCCTTGACGACAGCACCTCTTTTGACTGTACTGTCTTGCTTGGTGTTGACCAAGTTGAGGACGTACATCAGAGGAGGACTTTCCAGGCTATCTACATCACTTTCATCACTGCTGGTATCGTCTTCGAGGTCTTCTCCACCTGCAGCTGAGGCTTCACTAGCACCGTTCACACGTCGCTTCGCGTGTCGCTGCCGCCTTCTAGCTGCTCGTTCAGCGCCGTCCTCCTCACTTGTTCCCGCATCCTTGTGCAGGAAAAACATGGTCCAGTCCTGCTGTCGCATGTGTGTTTGGTCTGGAAGCATCAGCTCCGCCAGCATGTTCTCGTCCGGACTGATCGCGCCGGGATACTGATGCTCCATTATCGGGCCGCGATCGATGTCGAAAGAGGCGACCAGGATATATTCCACATGCGATTCACTTGAGTTGAGCGGATACTGCGATCGCAATCGCTTCGAGGGACGATATGGGCCATCTTCGTACACGGTGGAGACTCTCTGAGAGGAGCGATGTGAGTTTCTCGGTGAGGGAGGGGCCAGTGATGTCTGCGAGGAGACCTTGTAGTGAGAGAAGGTCGATTTATGGGAGCCGGAATTGGAAGAGGTGGAGCGTGGACGGTCGTAGTGCCCTAGTGGTGGGTGCGGTCTGTATACCATCGTCTCAGTCATGACTTCGTGACCACCACCGCCACCGCCGTCGTCGTCGTGAGAGTCGGTTCAAAATGCCTGCGTCTTCTCTGATATCACTTTCTAGTCGACCGGAATCACACTCAAAGCGTATGGCAGGTTTGTGGATTAGGTCAGGGCGACGGGCTGATGTAAGGGTGTTGCTCGTGGCGTTGATGCAAGAAGTGTCATATATCCTAGCAGGCGACAAATGCGAGTGGTACAGGCTCTCGATGCCTGATGTTCATCGTGATGCTCTCCTCATCGCGGTCGAACAGTCTGGAGGAGGGCAGAGTGACCATCCCTGCCAGCTTGCGGGTCCTGCCCCTTAAAGATCGGCGCTTTAACGCCCGAGCGCGACCTGAAGAATGATTGGGCGAGGATGGGCTTCAATGGGGGCCGCCAGGGCATGCCTAGGTAATCGATATGCGCTCGCTTAACCTGCCGACAAAGGGTCTTATCAAGAGTCTCGCTGCTGTGCCAACGTGGGCTTGTTTACTAGTATGCAGACGACCCGAATGGCTTCCCCACGAGAATTGAAGAACCGATAGAACGACACCACCACGCACCCTAGGACTGAATACCGATACAGAGATACCAACTCGAATCGGAGGACTGTAAATCGACCCTACGAGAGATTCAACTGCATCATTCCCTGACACAGCTGCCGTCCATTTATGGAAAGCGGCAATGGTATGTACCGCGTCGGCGCTCTTACGTCGCAGCCCTGTATGCTAATACCTCATCCTAGTCTTCATACAAATCCACTTTCAACTCGCCGCGCTCATCACCTTTCCGTCGGCCAGCCTCTCCAGGCTCGCCTACCCTAGTCAGCAATGGAAGACCTAATACTCCGCCCACAAATAGGAGCGGTGCATCCCCACTGACATCACCATCGAAATTGAAGCATGCCTACACCGTCTCGGAAGAGGAGGAGGAAGAGGAAATAATTGTCTCGACGCCCTCGAAGACCACCGGGGAACACCCCTTCCGGCGAGCACAGACCGAACCTCCACCATCACCACCCACCCGCCAGTCCCAGCTCGTCTCACCGTCCAAATTCGAGAGATCCTCTCTGTCAGTCTTGGACAACGGAACAGGGAGAGAACCGCGCAGGCTTGTCTCAAACGGCATGCTATCCCAGAACGACAACCTCTCCAAACTCCCTCCGCAACTCCTGCATAACATGCGCGAATCCTTCTCCGTCCTGGACTCCAACTCGAACGGGACAATCGACGCGTCTTCCGTGGCAGAAACACTCCAGTCTCTAGGCCTGCACGAGAGCAACTTATCGCAATTCTTCGCGCCTGGCCAACCTCAGCAGATGTCCCTGCCTCAATACCTCGGCCAACTGGCCAATATCTTGGTCGGACTATCACCTCAGCAGGAGCTGCTGAACGCCTTCTCTGCCTTTGACGATGACGACAGTGGCCAGATCGACATTGCGGAACTACGCACAGCGTTGCTCAATACGGCTCCTGACCCTGGCGAGCGGCCGCTGTCCGCAAAGGACATTGATCGCGCGATGGAAGGCTTCACGGGGCGAAGAATCCTCGGCAAGAACGTCATCGGCATCGCGGGCGTGCGAGGCCTGAAGGACCCTGCGCCCAAGAAAGGTGGTGGAGATGTATTCCGGTATCAGGAGTTCGTGGGCAACCTGACCGGGGGACCAGCCACGGAGGGAGGCCATGCTCAGGGTATTGCTTCGAGGTGACGGAGTTTATAGGGTTACGCTTGAATATCATGATTTTGTTGGTTTTCCTTGTATATCTTGCAGTCACCGATGCTTCGTTGGCGCGTTATAGTCCTGTGGTGTCTTATTCCAACGGGCAATGGTACTTTGTGCTGAAAGAGGGGCGCGCAAAAACGACTCATACCGCGCCGGTTTGGGTCAGCTGGGTCATGGGCCAATCAAGATCCCGAGGCGGGAGAGTGAGCTCCACGAGTCTTGTGCGCATGTGTACTGACTGTCGCGACTGTGGACTGTGGCATCACGGTACATGACAGGGACAGTAGTCGGCCACGGCCGATGTGTGGTCCGTGAGCGTGCGGATCAGGATCGCCATGGAACGTGATTACTATGCCACACAAGGATTCGACGTGCAAACCTAGGATCGTACCTCTTCGGATTGGCATAAAATATCGTCATGTCGAGGTACTGCACCATCTCATATCATGCGCCGACCGCTACTGCGTACTCCGTACTCGCTACCTTTACACATTGTACATACAGCAGATTCATGTCCATCCCGTTCAGGCATAACCGAGCTTGAACCATAACGCGCTCAATTTCCAACCACATCAGACCACGCCCAGGCAAGTCACATGCACGAATCTCGATCTTCCCCAGTAGTGTCATTACTTCTTAGATGTCTTCGGTGGTGGTGGGAAATACAGCTGCGGGGGTCCGCCATTTTGTGGACTGAAGTGCTCGACCTCAGGCGCCTTGCCGTTGCTCTTATCTGTGCCGAGTCCAATGCGGCTGATGAAGCCCGGGCTCACCGGGCTTGTGGGGATGTCCGGGCTTCTTCGAGTATCCACGGACGGCGCCGTGGGGGCTACTGGCGTGTTGGGGGAGCTGAAGTGAGTTCTCAATGGCAAATCCTTGGTCCCGCCGAGGGTGTTGAAGGCCATTGTCCTCGGCGTCATTGGGTTCTTCGCCTGCAAGCCTGGTGTTTCCGGCACGGGGAACCGCGCCACGTTCGTCTCTCCTGTCTCCGCATCCTGGTATGTCTCGAATTTGGCCCATCGTTCGGCCTTGAGTCGTTGTTTCTCCGCGTACTCCTCGCGCTGCTGCTTGTTGGGGAAGCAGCTGTACAGGGCGAGCCCGAAGTACACCGCAAATACGCCCAGCATGGCGCATGTGCACGCGAAACTGGCTTTCGCCTGCTCGCAGTATTGGATGTTCTTCTTGTCGTGCGCGACGTTGCAGTTCTTGGTGATGTACCAGGGCGCCCCGTGTTGAGGGTGGTCCGGGTCGGTGGTGTCGCTGGAGGCTTGGTAGACTGTGGAGATGGCATACAGTACCAGGAGGCCTGCATGGACGAGGACCGCGAGAACAGGCGGGAAGACATGGAGCATGTACATGATTGATTTGACGAGCATAATGAACATGCTGAGGACGGTGATGGCGACGTTATAGTCGGTTATGCTATGATTGCAGTCAGTACGTTTTGCGATCGTGGTTGGTGGGCGGAAGGCGGTGGTGCTCACAATTGCGACCAGACCCGCGGAGTTGTGTACGGTCTGTAGTTTGCAGCGGCGTACAGTCCCGTGGTTGGGCTCGAGTTGAAGCCATTGTCTGCGCCATCTTGCCAGAGCCTGGTGCGGTACGTGTTTGGCGCTGCAATGCCGAAGAGCGCGAGCAGCGCAACCGTCAATGGCAGCTCAATGCCAAGCAGGATATAAAAGGGCCATTTGTTGGGCTTCCACCGCCGGGAGAGGAAGAATTTAGGTGCTTTCGAGGTCTTCATGGTGGTGCAGGTTCGACGTGCTGGGAAGCCGCAGGTCGTTGTGCGTCTGTCCGTGTGGTGTAGGATGGTGCTTCAATGCTCTCGCATGTCTAGCCTCGATGCCGCGAAGTTGCGTCGACGACTGGAGGGGTCCGTCGATGACTCAAGGACCGCGACTTCTCAATGACAGGGCATAGAGACAGGAGAAGGTCTCAAAGACCGGCCAGGTCGTCGGGAATTCAGCCATTGTGAAGTCGCAGTTGGCACTTTGTGCTTACATGGCTGCGGCGCTTACAGGTTCGAGACAGCGAATGAGGGGTTGAGAGCCGGCTTGAAATCACACCAATGGATTGTCTAGACCGAAGAAACCAACAGCCTGGGAACGATGGCAGGCGTGTGATTGGCCGTGCCGAGGTGATAGACCTTGATTAAGCCTCGAATCGCTGGGGCTAAGCCGATTGGGAAAAGCCCAGTCCGCCATATCACTCAACTGTGTGACTCTCGAGACGGGACGGAAAAGTGAATGTCGGGCTATCCGGATGCCCAAAAAATACCTATACATTTGTATGTATCCGTACGGAGTACTCTGAGCTCAGAGATTTGTCACTAAGATGCTGTGCGCGTCTCCATGACACATCGGTTGCGCGACAGCGGGAACCGAACCCGTCCTCACTGATGAACGAGTCAGCGTAAGTACGGTTAAAAAACTCACGACGACGGGATATGTATACAGTGAGAAGAATCATTCGCACACGGCATGCTTCTCAAGCCTCACGGCTCCTGAACCTTGTGCCCATCTACACGCAATGGTCGTTGTAAAGTCTCGACTGCCTGTGGAATCTCTCAAGTGCACGTAATTCAGGTGATAAGGTCGTGCTCGTGTAATGTGCAACATGGCCTATTCCCCAAAACCAGGGTGGGTTCTCAGAACGATTTTTCAGCTCCTCCAGAATCCAGGGCCTAGCACAAAGTGCTTCAGCGGGCTTCTTGAGCGCCTGATACAGATTCGAGTCATGCACTACGAACACAGCTCGGAAGACGTCCTGGACCTGCAGCGAACATGGAATGCTTGGAGCTGGAGGGGCAATTGGGTCGTGCGGGTTGTTGCATATGCGCGGCAGGTAGCATCGTGATTAGATTATAAAGGAAAATCTCTACTGTGTACATTTTCTCGCCCTTCCCACCTAGCTCACTGAGAATCTGCGGGACGAATCTTCGCAGTTAGAAAAGCCGAATGGCCGGTGGTTGAAAATGAAAGCCTTCTCTGCTGCGCCTTAGTCCACGAACTTCTAATGCCTGCGGGATCTATACCCACTGTACTCCGTACACCCGCGCACAGGGAAGCTCAGCGCACGTGCACAAGGCCGCTAGAGTTTTCTATGTGAATCATGCGTGACCACGTTCGTCAGAGGTTTTTTGAGAGCATGGCAGACTGCAGGTGTAGACGAAAAGAAGAGCGCGGATATGTAGTCGGTCCTCACGTAACGGTCTGACTACTGCTGGGTATGTCCCTGTACCTCCCCATATCCGGAGTATTGATCGTCTGGGATTATGCGGATGGCAGAAATGTGCTCCGTAAGAAAGCTGCCAGATCTGCTTTGTTCCTGCCCCTTTTCGACAGTCACATTCTCCGTTCAGTGCTCACCTCGCCCTTGCGGACAGCCATATCCGTGCCCCCAGGCGGCAACTGCATGAGAATAGTATCAGAATGTTTCCATCAACCGCCTGTGACGATATCTCTGCAGGTCATCACCATGGGGTTGTCAAGCGGACCTCTTGGAAAGACCCTTTGACCCCTTCTGTGTCCGCCGGTGCTGGGTCCTCGCACCACGGCGCCGACGCTTGACGATCGGCAACTCGGAAGAGTGGATCCCACCGCGAATGTGGCTAGCGCGGTGTCTTGGTCGTGTGGCCGGACGTTGGCGAACGTTGGCGGACAGCGGCCGGGGATTTCAAACGTGCAAAACGTGTTTGAGCTTGTCTCGCACCTTTCCTCATTCGGCTGCCCGAAACAGTCGGCGGTTCTCGTTCTTTGCTGCGCAACCTCAACGCGCCCACTGTGACTACCCTGACTGCCCTGACTTACCCTGCCCTGCCCTTGCCCTCCCCCCTCGACTGTGTATCCACCAAGTTCCAAGCATGCTCCGTACTCGCCAGAGACACTTGACTTCTTTTCTCCAGATGTCTTTCTTCACTCTCCCTCGACGTGTTGACCGTGGCCCTCTCGACGAGTTGTTGCGTCGTATTTCTCCCAAAGTTGCCTGGGTGCCTCAGACCCTCTCGACGGTAAACGCTTCCCTTAGCCTGCGCATCCAATTTCCCCCAGCTCGATGGCCTCACGCTAGCAGCCTGCGCTCGGTGATCTCTTGAATTGCCAGCGACAGCCCCCATGCTCAACTGGGATAGTGCCGGGCGCAAAAGGAGCTCGTCACGACAGCCCAGCAACTGCCAGCATCACGTCTTCAACTTGAGCATCTTGTCGTCCTCTCCCTCGACCTTAGCGTAGGCGACGACCACTCCATCCTGCCTGCAATGCGACCAGGCAGGATGCTCCGGCATGGTCTGGGCCTGCACAGACGAGGGCCTCAGGCTTCGGACGTGCTACCTTCTCGCATAGACAACCCAACAGCAAGCCTGCCGCCGTCTATAGGTCCGACCGCCATCGCCACTCCAGACCCCTCGGGCACCGCCGCCATCGTCACCGCCGAGGCTGCTTCTGGCTTCACTACTATCACAGAGACACAGACACTGGCAAAGAGCACCGACACGGGCAAGACCACATTTACCACGGAAGTGACCAAGACCATTACCAACTCCGCTGAATATGCCTCCATCACATCTGTGGCCGCAGCAGCGTCTTCTACATCTACCACTCGCACGACTACATCGACGACGTCGGCCGCCGCAACGAGCAGCGCAGCAGCCAAGCAATCTAACTCGAATCTTTCCACAATCATCCCAGCTATTGTCGTCCCTGTTGCTGTCATACTCGTGGCATCGTTGGCTGTATTCTGGTTCTTCATGAGGCGGAGACATAGAAGGGAGTTGCAAAGCCAGCCAGAGTTTGTTATGACAGGCAAAGGAGAGAAGTTGCATAGCCGCTCAAGCAGTAGCAGGTCTACCAAGTCGAACCCTGGGGCATCTGAGGAGAAGAAACCACCCGTCGTTTTCCAAAATGAGCTACCATCCGCTATATCACCGCCAACGACAACGTCGGAGTGGCCGCCCACTCAGACTGGTGCCGCCCGACCACAGACACCTCGAGGACCCGGCTCTGCGGGGCACGAGCGGGCTCTTGAACAACAAAGAACTTTAACCGCGAATTCCCCCTACAGAAACTTTAGAGGTCCAGGCCAAGGACTGCCAGACCATGGTCCGCGACCAGCCACAGCTGGACGACCTGGGCCACCTGATTGGGCCAGAGATCAGGGGAGGAACAGGAACAGAAGTAACAGCACACCGGGGCAGAGGGATCAACCACCGCCGCCAAGATCAGGTCCTGGCCCAGTATCCAGAAAAGCTCCGAGCCCAGTCCTTCGGAGTGGACCAAGCCCGGTACTTCCACAGATGAGCCCAAAAGATTCACCTCTACCTTCGTCCACAGCTTTTCGCTTCCGCGATCCCTCCCCCACCATGGACCACAGCAACCGGGCACAAGCGCCCTCACGCCTTGTAGCCCCACCACCAGGTGCGTTTAACGGTGCATCTGCTATCTCTCAATACTCGCCTATCGTGAAAGACACTCCAACGATTCCGAAGGTGTTACCGAGCAAGCGCGCACCGCCACCGATCAACACGGCACATCCGCGAGAAGCCACCAGATCACCGGCCTCTAATAGCCCAGCTGGCCAAGGTCTCACAGAAGAGAACATGCGCATCGCGCGCCTAGCCAACTCTTCTCGCCTAGGTCATGCTCCGGCGGCAGAGCCCAGTCCATCTCCCAAACTCCCTCCACCGGCCACTCGCTCACAATTAATACCCCGAGAGAGCCCGAAGGAACACCAAGACCGCTTCTTTGGCGGCGGCGGAAACAGTCAGTCGGCGGGCCTGAGGACAGCTCTATCGAGCCACCACCCCTCCAAACGAGCCAGCTTTGTGTCAGATGCAGACGAGTATGAAGACATTGATGCCAAGTCGGATGTGAGCAGCCTGAATGAGTTTGAACGCTTCGACTTTGGCACGGGCATCGGGAGGGGTAGAGGCAGCCCCACCGGAAACTCCTTAACCTACTTCGCTGCAGCCAACAGTCCGGCCAGTGAAAGAGGGGGCGCGTTTGGGACAACAGGCATTCATGAACGCTGGTGATCTTCTGGAGATGTACCACATTCCCCTGCAAACCTGACCTTTTTCCTTTTATGTCTAGTCATCTCATGACATTACGATCGTTCTTCTGCAGCATCTACGTCTGTCTTTCGAAAGCCTTGATGAGTTGTGCTGGCGCGGGAGCAAGACATTTTGCGCTTAGCGACAGCATCTAAAAGATACCCATACTGGACCCAGCTTCAATGGCAAAATGGGCTCAACCTGTGAGAATACCCACTGTATATTTGGGAGGAGAATCACGCAATCTCCCACACATAATTGCTAAACAACCCCGGGAAAGCGAGACACCGGGGTGAGGAGGTACACTGAGACGGCCTAATAACATTGTTGTGCTTGTAAGCAGAATAGCGGAATAAAAGGTATTCAATCTTTACTGAAGATTATTGTCTAAGTAAAACCTGCGTACTCGTCCTCGCACTGCGTTCATAGTAGCGAGAGCAGTAAGACCCGATGGAGGGCATGAAATAAGTAGAACCCGCTTCTCCTGCTTCCTCTGCTTCCATCCTTCACCCACGTCCTCTAGTTACCATCATGTTTGCCGCTGAGAGAGTATACTCGTGAAGCTAAACACCTACTGTGTAGAGGAGGCTGACTCATCTTTCCCTGAAGGCTATTGAGTAAGTGGTGAGGTTGGAGTGATTTGCCTGCGACTCAGTCCCGAACCTGTGGAATTCCGGCATCACTCGTAACCCTGAATCAAACCAGTCATCTAGCGACAATGCAATGCTCCAATATAGAGAGATCACACCTGACCGCAAAAGAGAAAATGAGTCGAACCTCTCGAATCCTGGAGTGGTCGCGCGGAGTCAGACAGGCGTGAAGAGAACCAAAACAGAGCAGGCTTATTCCAACTGTAGAGCACTTCGTCAGAGGCTACGCCCGGGAATCTGTCTACGTCTTTCTCTGAACAGAAACAATCGGGCCTCGAAATGTCTAATGGAGGCAATCCGTGCAGAACGCGCGTCAAGAAAATGCACTTCTGGTAACAATCAAGGCCTGGCGCGCCATTGCTGTGTCGCGTTTCGTTGCGGTAACTGACGCAGACTTCTAGTGGCACTATGGAGGAGACGTCCGAGCACCAGAGAAGCTCACGTTGGCGACGGCGATGAAGTGAGCCAACGTCCCTCTTCCGGCCTCGGCGTCGTCTCAGTCTGTGCTTGTAAGAGGATTGCTCAGCTTGAGGAGCGCCTTCGGAAATGGTGGCTACACCACAAATCAGAACCGGAGTGACACTGGCCCCAGCCCCACTCGTCACTTCCCATCAAGTATACGGGACCTTGTTGGCGCCAGCCCAGACCGAGGACGACATGGCCCACCTGCTGCGAGGCGTCAACTATCCGACTATTGGAATGCGGAACCCTCAATTCTATGGAGGCCCTTCGCCTAATACCATCGTCCATGCCGTTCGCGTCCGAAGAGCAGGTTGAGGGACACGCTTGACGTCTCAGTCAGGATGGCCTCTCACCCGAAGCAAGCTGTAGCTTGCCAATACAGCGAACCTTAGAGATGCCCAAGTCACTGGCACATCACCGCCACCAAGGTCCATCGCTGACGGATATATGAACCGATACTTCCAGATCCCTCATCGGCTCTATCCTATTGTGGGATCCGGGAACTTTAGGGAACGACACCGGAACTTTTGGGAGGGGTCTGCCCACGAGGGCAAAGGGTAGCAGTTGTGCGCTGCTGTTTTGTACATGGTGCTTGCCCACGGGCATCAATGCAGCACTTTCGATCCGGACGACAAGGCCCGAGAAGATGCACTTGGCTCACCCATGGGGGAAATTTGTTTCAAGCTTGGTAAAACCCACTTTCGCCGACGTGCCATTTTCTGGTGGCGACAACGGATCCTTTTGTATCGTGCCTTCCTGAACCTTGTGGCGCAGAAACGAGAAAAGCAGATGAGAGTGGAAGACGGATCCATCCTCGCAGCTTCCAAGTGTGTTAAGATCGCCATGTCGCTTCTACAACTCACTGTCGCTTCCATCAAGCCGGGCAGCCCCGGCACCCTTCAAGCTGCTCTGCTCCATGCTCTGATCTGTCTTTGGAACGGGGACGCTCACGCTTCTGCTATATGTGAGAAGCGAATCGGCCCAGGAGGTTTTGGCAGCGTTGACGCCTGAGAACAGCAAGATCATCAACAACATCGAATCTGCCGCGATGTTCTTCGCAACCCACGAGCAAACCTTGCCAGTCACGCGAGTGACGGCCGAAAATCTTCATCTGCTACTGGGTAAAGGTGAACATCGGCTATGGCGCCAGGGACACGCCCAGTACTCCTGCAAACATCCATGCTGCTTGCGCTGGCCCAAATCTCGAATCTCTCAACGACCAGTTTCGGGATTTGTGCCGGGCGTCGACGTGCCAGGCGTCGAGGTTCCGAGGTGCAATCTTGACATGAGCTTCTCAGAGATCCCATCAGAAAACGACATAGTCGGGCTTGCCTCCCAGCGACAACGTCCCAGAGCCCCTAGACACAGGAGAGAGAAGGTTTCTACTGCTATGCCACCGGGCCTCGACCTTTGGCTATTCTGAAGCCACATGCGACGAGATATCAATGTCACGCAAGTTAAACACCTCAAGACGTTATTTGTATCTCTTTTGAGAGCATTTCTTCAACAAAATTATGGCTTCCGCCAATGGGATGCGTGGAGCGTCTCTCCACAACATGGGGAAGCGAGGGTTCTGCATACGGTTCAAGCAGCAACCCCGCCTGATATCTACCTCCAAGCCCAGAAGTTCAGCTCGAAAGTCACTGATCGTGAGATCCACTGGTATGTTTTCAACTCTTTACATTAAACTGAGGCACCTTTGACTCCGCTCCCGCGAATTCAAGAAGGGGCACCGAGTCGATCCCGCGATGAGTCCACGACCAGCATTGCTGCCAGTCAACCATCCGCTCTCATACCACGAATACTCCCTCTCAGAATCAGCAGCGGAGCCCGGGGCTCAGGATGGCACCAAGAAATCTAATTCCAAGCCTTCGTCCGAACTAGCCCAGCCTCGAACATTAGAGGACATGGTAAGATACCTATACGAGCACCAACAGATAACCGACCTCTTGAACGAGTACGCCTATGTCCTTGACGTCTGTATGGTCGATCACCGAGCAATTGAGAAGTGGACCGACCTGTTCACGGAAGATTGTGATGTGACGTTTCCCTTCGGCAACCACAAAGGCAAGGACGGGCTGGCGAAGTGGTGTGTTCCTGCAGCACCAACAATCTTTCGAATGCTGGTGAGCTTTATCGTCCCACGGAGCTACAACACAAGGAAGATGGGTAGGTGCAAATGTCTGATCAATACCGCAGCACGCCTCCTCAAACTTTACCATAACGTTCGATCCTGATTCAGAGAATGTCGCACATGCCCGCACGGTACTCCACGCTGTCTGCGGCATCGACGAGCACGACCTCGGCAAGACATTCCAAGAAGGCGGCTACTACTATTGGAGTTTCCGCAGGAATGGTGGCGAGTGGAAGATCTCGTATCTGTTTTTGGATGTCAACTGGACGAGCGGCGATTCTCTGGGACTGAATGACCCCGGTGCAACAGAGCGGCAGCCTTGAGAAGGATCCGTCCCAAGCAGGGAGACGAGTGGCTGTTATGATGTTACTTGCTTAGATCCAAAGCCAGGACGCACGACCGCGAAAATGCCTAGAGAATTCAGGACGGTGAAAAACGAGTCGGCCTCAGTGGAAAACTTCTTCTGTGTAGTCGACAAAACCAGCAGAGTACTCCCGTATGCATTGCGGCTTGCAGAGGGTATCAGTTCTATCTCTCATCTCATCTCATCTAATCACAGCTCATCTCGTCTCATTCCGTTTCGGTTTCCATTTCCCGGTCAGATGGTTGCAACATCCAGCGAATGCATTCAGATTCATGCCACGCCATATGATAACACAAACATGCCTAGGATAACCATTGCATTTCCGTTTCCAAGTTCGATTCGAAAGCAATGCCAAATCCAAAATCCAGAAAACCAACTCATGCATGCTTGCGTTTGTTCGTACCTATACCACCGATTGCACCAGATTCCCATAATTCATTTATTCATTCATTCGTCGTGTTTTCTTGTATTTCTTCACAGCACAGACATTTCCACTCCGATCTGGTCTGTACTGTACGTGCTTCATTTGTCACTGTCCATCTCACTCTTCTCTTCTCTTCTCTTCTTACTCTCTTGTCCTCGCCCGCTCCGGTCGTCTGCTCACTTCACTCGCTCCCCGCCTGGGGAAAAGCATGCCGAAACAAATGCCGCCGACGTCTCGACAGGTGTGTCTTGAACGCCTCGACCAGCTGCTGTTCTCCGTCTCCTTCTTCCTGCCGCTCAGACACGGACACGGGCATGGACGCAGATCTCGGCTCGATCGTCCCGTCAGCCGTGTCCTCGCGCCGGCTTAGATGGGCGTGCTCGTGCAAGTGTGCGTGAGCGTGAGCGTCAGTGCGGCGCGGACGATGAGCATGAGCACGGGGATGGAAATCTTCCTCGCTGAGCGCGGTCACGGTCGTGTATGTTTCCTTGTCGGTATCTGCGTCGGCCCCATTATCGGGCTGTGACTCGGAAGTCGTGTCCACAATGGCTGCGGAGTCCGATACCGGCGGAAGAGGCGGTCCGACTGTTGCTGTTGCTGTTGCGGCGGCCGCGGATCCTGTGGCGGACGGGACGGCGACAAACTTTGCGCCCCAGGTGCCAAAGGTGCGTGTGTGCCGGCCGTTGTCTCCGTCGGGACCTCCACCACCACCGCCGCTGCCACCGCCGCCGACCGGAAAGCCACTCGTTGTCGGGGGTGATGCGGGCTGCGGGACGACGGGTGGAACTCCCGACGGCGGCGGGCTGGGGAATGGCAACGACACGGACGCCGAGACCGTGGCCCCAGGGCCCGGGATGCCGGGAGGAGGACCGGAAGGTGGTGCACCTCCAGGGGCGCCCCCATCCGATTGGAACACCTTGAGCGAATTGACGGTCCAGAACGCGTCCTGAAAGGCCGAGGGGTTGTTCTGCACGAACTGCTCGCACGTCGGGGCCTTGGAGCTGCACACCGGGTCCGTGGTCCACACGGCGCCAGCCCAGTCGCCGCAAAAGGTCGTGTCAAAGACGATCTGGTGGTCGTTGAAGAACTCGTCAATGTCGCATCCGGAGTTTGAGAACGAGGCCATCGGCTGGCCCCAGCCGGTTGGGTCGGGATTGGCGCCCGACGAAAGGTCCGAGGGGATGGCACCGCGGGGGAAAAAGTAGATGTTGATGGCCTGCGAGGTCCACTCGGTCGCGTAGACGCCGCCGTTGCCCTGGTTGAAGCCGGAGCCGTAGCTTTGGTCGTTGGGCGTGAGGATCGCGCAGCCCGCGTTGCCCGGCTGGCCTGCGGCCTTGACGTCGCAGTTGGGGGTAGAGACCTGGCCGGAGAAGAGGCCGTCGTTGGCCACGCTGCAGCCCGGACCCGTGTGCAGGGCCATGGAGTTGGCGAGCTGTGAATTCACGCCCTCAATGATGTCGATTTCGCCGGCAGTGGGCCAGTTGGGCCCCACGGTCCAGAAGGCCGGCCATGTGCCACAGATGCCGCCGGGCATGTGTGCCAGGTCGAGCACGATGAGGCCGTGCGTGTAGGATTTCTTGCTTGTCAGGCGGACGCTCTGTCGGCCGGAGCCCGAGGCCACGTTGGCGTGCTCGACGCCCATGTAGATGGCGCCGTTGTTGTTGTTGATGAGGCCACCTTGCTGGGCTGTGTTTTGGTCCACATATTGGACGTAGCCGCCCGTCGGATCCGGGTCCTGTTTGATGACGGTTAGCAAATGCTCAAACGATGAAAAGGGGTCAGGTACATACGGTGAAAAAGTCAAACATGGAAAAGAATTGATCGGCGCTGTAGTCGTCTTGGAGCACGTATCCAGCCGTGCTCGAAGAGACCAACAGGCCCAGTCCCACCAGGGTGACCAGAATTGAATGAGCCAACATGTTCATGCTTGATGACAACGGTGTGGGTCTGATATGCTGTGCTAAAAGGATTGACTGGAAGAAAGGAGCGACCGCTGCAGAGATATGCAAACTTCACAAAGGAGTGGACGCACAATATGCGAAGAAAACAAAGACGGAACACCACAAAGCACACAAGACGAATGACCTGACCCGTTCACGAGGAAAGAAAGAACAGACCCTCCCGTTGATGTGACAAGGGAGCGAAATATGTATATGTGAGGAGGAGGGGTCATGGGGGAGCATACGAGTAGGGGTAGGGGGCGAGGCTGGTCCAGATCGGTGTGCTTGGAGTGGGTCCCATCAGCACCTGTCTCGATACGCGCGGACGGTGCACAGATATGCCTTAGCTGGGCGTGCAGATCAAAACGGCTCTCGCGGATTGGGCACGTTCAGTCTTTCAACGGGGCGGAGCGTGCAGGTAAGGGGTCCATGGTGAAGAATTAGGGTCCTTGAGCGTGCGTGTGCTGAGCGCGACCGTGAGCGCGTGCGGGTCAGCTGGACGATGTGCAGTACCGGGCACGTACCAGGTACACAGCCAGGACCAGGGCCATGCAAGCACTATAATGGCCGTGGCAAAGCGGGATTGACCGCCATGTATGGCTGTGCAAACTGATTAAGGAGGAAAAGACGCACTGCGACACTGAGATGTGTCCGTGATCACACCTGGAGAGGGGGATACATGGGCGAATCGTGAGGGTCAAAATGCCATGAAACCGTGGCCGCAGATGTAGTCGGATGTCTTTGCGACTGCCCCTCGGCACAGGTGAAACGAGGCGAGGCGGGAGCTAGGAGTGATAAGCCTGATGGACAGTCAGCACTGACCACCGCCGCCGGCCCAGATGTGCGTGCGAAGGGTGATCGAACAGTTATGGAGTCGTGGCTCGTGGCGACGACCAAGACAAGAAAAGGAGACGAAGCGGCGGGCCAATGGCGCGTCTAAGCGTCTGACACGAACCAATCGGAGGCCTTCAAGGGGCTGATCACGTGCAAGGCTGGATTCCTCGCGTCCACTTCGAAACGTTCCGCGTATCAGGCGGATGGGGCCTTCTAGTGGACTCGCCAAGGGGCATACGCATTCCCAAGCACGCAAGAGAAGGGCTTCTACGGAGAACACGCTGCTCTCCAATGTATCCGGCTATACACATGCTGGGCAGACTAGCTGAGGAGCACCATCCTCGGTTGGTGCCTGTCCCAGGCATTTCTGGTGGTACACATGCCGGCACGAGAAAACGACGAGGGGCCCGATATCTTCTCGTGGGGCATTTGATCCATCAGGGCTTTCGGCTTGGAGTGCCTCCTCCGAGCTCACTTCGACTGTGGCTTTGCCCTTTCCACGAGCGCCATCTTCTTCTTCGGTATGGTCGCCTTGTTGAATGCGTCGCCGTCGATCAAGTCTAGCTTCTTCCTTTTTCTGCCATTGCTCCCACACCCATTCCCCAATTCCAGGACCCCAGATCCGCCGGCGACAAACTTCGCATACCTGGCCTCGAGGTCTCCAGCCCCGCAGCCTGAGCCGTGTCACTTCGTCTAGGTGGACGAAAACATCTTTGTCCAGCATAGTATTCGACAGGGCCAAAAGTGACTCCTCATATGCATATGCTGAGAAGATTGTACTGATGACATTCCGTAACTCCGACAACGAAGGGCTTGTCTCGGCAGCCTGCGACAGGAATGCCCGTAAAATGCGTAAGAACACCATATCCCTACCAGCAGCGGTGTCACGCACTGATGCAGTACTGGTCAGGAGAGCTGTAAAGATCTGCTGGATCACAGTCCGCAATGCAGTTATGATCTCGGCATCTCTTTCGCCTGGCTCAGCCGTGACGTCTAGCACGCCCTGGACTGAACAATCTCGGGCGATACCCACAACGCAGAGAATGAGTTCGAGCCAAAGATTTTCCTCAAAGGACAGCGCCCGTGTCGCACTGGCCGCCCTTCTCGGTGACTTGGAGACTGTGGGCGCCTTAGGAGCGTTCTTCATCTGCCCTTGACAGAGCCAGATGCCCACCCGGGCGTACTTCTCCAATGCCTCAAGGACAGCGGTGCTAGGATGGGGGACCGAGGCATCGTCTCCTTGTGCGACGAAGTCGGTTTTCAAGCCCTTGAGCGTGGAGCCTAGGAAGAACAAATGTTTGGTCAAACGGTCCATTGCTTCCTTAACATGACCTTGCCGAAGTTGCAAGATCACAACAGCATCGATGATGCCGCTGTCCTCAATCGTGGGGAGCACCTTGGCAAGCCGAATGTCGCCCTCCTTGATGCTTTCCACATAGTCTCTGACATGCAAGGGGTCAAATTGGCACAAAAGGCGCACATATGATTCCACAAGCGCATGGCCATAGGAGCGACGACCACGAAGCTTGTCTTCCGGCTCTAGAATCATCCGAAGATACTCGTACTGCGCATAAGCATCATCAGATAACACCTGTATGAAGAGGTGATGTAAGTCCGGGGCGACCTCTTCAACGGTAGCAGCAGTTCTCCGTACATCGATCGTGACGAGGTCAAAGGCATGCTGCCGCACTGTCTCTCGGACATCCTTCCGCTGTTGCTCGGTCAAGGTCGACTCCGCTCGCAGACACTCGATAATTGTAGGGAATACACTTTCCTGGTCCTCGCTGTCAAGGAAGAATGTGGATATCATGTCGGAGTATTGGCGCTCCTGCTTAAACGCGGCCTTCAGAACCCGGTAAAACCTGGCCTGTCGGAGCAGAGGGACGAACTCCAGTACATTTGGCGGCTGATAGATCGAAAGGAGGTATTCTACGCTGAGCTGAGCATCTTCGCGCATGTCGTCCTCCGGGTAGTGGCAGAGTCGGCCGAAGATTTCTTGCAATATGGTCCCTGACAGAACCAGATACTGCGGATACTTGGCGAGATTGCGAGCGATGAACATATCCAGGTAGATGGAGTCGTCGGAGTCGAAATCGGCCGACATGACTTCTAGCAGAATCCGCACCACATATTGGCGAGTGTAGGTCCGCGATGCCGAAGCTTGGCTGATATTGAGGTTGTTCAGCGAGTCGTCATCTGCCGAATTCAGATAGCTATCTTCGAAAGCCTCGTTCATGGCCGCGATGAAGCTAGCGGTGTCGAAGCGGAGGACGCGAGCGAGATTCTCGAAAGAGGTTGCAGCCTTCGGGCTAGGTTCGCTTCTCCTTGTGGAAATACCATTCACGCTCGTGCCTCCAGAAAAGAAGAAGTCGTAAACTTGGCATTTTGCATTTGTAGCCTCCTCATCGTCCATCGCATTCCCAGTAGGATATACTCGATCCGTCAGGATGAAGGAGACGTACGGGAAAATTTTCTGGGCTAGAGCATATCTATCCATAACATCGACTGTTTGTTGGCGTAACCCTTCTTCGCCGTTGGCAAAATCGAGGAGAATTATCAAGGGCGTAGTATAGTCGTGGAGAGACTTCGTCCAGACAAAGATATAGGCATCATAGAGGCCGTATCGTTTGCAAAGAGTCGTCACTTGATCAATGTCCATGGTCGAAGTATCGAGCATGCAAATGATCTCCTCCAAGACTGACGGTGTATGCGTCTGAGCAAAATGGTTGATCAGAGTCTTCAGAGCGGGTGGGGGCACTGATATTACCCTTTGGTCCAGGATATACGGCTCCAGGACATCAACGAACAAAGGTCCCTGCTCATGCTCCTCATACCACGAAAAGACTTCCTCGAAAAGGAAGTCTTGATCCTCCATGATGAGACATGCTTGAATACAAGCATCAGCAAGCTCGACCATCTGAGGCTTCTCAATCTGATCATTGCCGGCCTGTTGGTTCTTCCCGAAGGCATACTTCAAAGACGCGGTCATCATCTCAATCAGCTTTTCTCTGACTAGACTCGCGCGCGTCTCGTCATCTTCGGGGAGTCCAATCGTCGCCTTTTCTCCTTCGCCCTGGTAGTATTTTGCGGCAAGTTGGATGGCACCGATAAAGTCACCTATATTGATCATGGCCAAAAGTCGGTCGGCCCAATTTGTCAGGACTCCTGTCCAGATATCATTGACGCCAAGCAGGAACAACCGCCCCTTATAAGCTCGGAAACTCATATGAAATGCGTCTGCAACAACCCCGTGCATCGAGGTGTCCTCTTCATCGAGTTGTTCGATGATGGCTATAAGTTGTTGAGAATAGAGGTCTGCGTGATAGACGTTCTTTTTCAGAAGGTCGAAAGCTTCTGTAACATGCATGGTCAAATCTTCGATTATCAGTAGTTGTTGGGTGATGGTAAGGAGCGCTAAGACCGATTTGTTCAACCACTGTACGGCAACGATGGCTTCCTCTGCCTGATACCGGCTCCTGGCCAGAAATTGTAGCTCAGGCGGTTTGTCCTTTCCAGCCTCGTCCTCGCCCTGCATCTCGTGCACTTCCAAGACGGTAAGGATGTTCGACCAGGCATAGACAAGCTTCGACCTTGAGATCTCGGCCTGTCCCGACTTCAACTTTATGGCTGGGAACCATGCCAATGCAGCAGTCATGGCGCTGTGAGCCGCTACCTCTTTGGGACGAGCGGCTTTATGTTGGGTCTGAGCCACGGGTGTGGTCGAGACAATGACGAGCAAGTAAGGGGTCAGCATGGCCACTAACCCCAGGCTGTCTGTGCCTTGCTCTATGTTGCCAAGCGGTAGAGGCGAAAAGGCCAAGACTGAGCTCTTCTTCTGAGGCTGGGAATTCCGCGAGACCATTTCCGGGTAGCGCCCTAGGATTCGAGTAGTGCGAACAACGCGGCTAACCGCGCCCATGCCTCGAGTTGCAAGATGAGAGAAGGCCATGCCCTTGTCATCGGCAGAGACAAGGGCGGTATGCCTATAGCCGAGGAACCCGATGTGGAGCACAGTACTTCCTACAATATGGCCGTCACCGCGTCTGGCTTGAGGTTGGGAAATGTCCATTGGCTGGATATGGAGGAACGGCCGAGAAGGTCTGGCCACTTCCCACGTGAAGATGTGCCCAGTCGCATGCGCAGCGGCAATCGTGCTATGGTCGGCAGATATTGCGAGAGCTGTGACAGGTCCGCTCTCGGCAGCTTTTGTGCCACTCCCGATAATAGCTTTATGATTTTGATGATGGTCGAAGACGAGAACCAGGCCTTTGGACGTCCCCAAAACCAGCTGATCTGCCACAGCCAGACACGTTGGGCTTCCGAAATTCCTTCTCCCGATCTCAGAGAACGCCTGCCCAGAGACCTTCTTGAACTTGTTCCACCTAATGACATCCCATGGATTTACGCCCTCGTCAGGTTCGGAGGGTGGCTGGAACGCAAAACTGGCGACGGAAGAGTGGCGCGAATGGGTGCCGAGGAAAGCAGGCGAAGCAGATCGGAGAGGCAAGAGCTGGGAACTCGACAGGCGGGATTGGAACCGGATGTCAAAGGGACGGTGCGGAACTGCTGGGCTGCCTCTTCGGGCGGGACTGCGGATGGAGCCAGCATCGCTCAACGAAGATGACAGTATCCAGTCTTGTCTGGATGGCGTGTCATCGGGTGTTGACAACGAGTCGTCATTGCTCAGGACGTTTGTCGTCCCGTTGACTGGACTTCCATCGTCGACTCCATTTGGATCTGGCAGTTCCTCTTCGTCTTCAGTTGTATCGCGTTCAACGTCAACTTCGGCACCGGAGGCTTCAACGCCTACCACCTCTTGTGTCTGTAGTTCAGGCGTGATCTCGGGCACATCTCCGTCGTCGGGAATAGCAGAGTTCCTGCCATGCGGGCTCTCGCTAAGGGTTTCGTCCTGGTTGCGCAGGAAGCTCTCGCCCTCATCTGGGGTCGAGTTCATCGATGTATCGTGGACGCAGTCATTGCTTCGTAGACCGCGTCACCAGGGCAGGATTTCCAGTATCTTTGCACGATATTAGGGACTTAGAAACGTCCCCAACGCAGACAGAATCAATATCAAGGTGATGGCCGTAGTTAGAGCAGGTTGCTCCTGCGCGCGGATATGATTTTGTGACTGGAGGTGACGCGAAGAGGATCGTTCTCTTGACTGCCAGGACAATACAAGACGTGGAAGGCGAGACCGGGACTCCGTGTGTGGCTACTGATGTGCCTCAGGCCTGCTTGCGCAACCACCAACCGACCTACAACGCGCCGATGATTCTCCATGTGGAGCACTTCGCAAGCGCACGAAATGCTCCGCACTATACTAGTACGGAAAGGCATCATGCCTCGGTAACGACGAGTCAAGCCATCTCGCCATTAATCATCCATCACTGTGTGACTGTTATGGCGGTCATTCTTGGAACATGTGCCGGCTTCCGAAGCTCATCTGAAGCTCGGTACCACTGTTGACTGCGACATGTCTTCCTTCGTATGGAGTACCACCCACCGCTCAGCCTGATCGCAAGGCCGCAAAGCCTCCAAAGCCTCTTCACCCTGCAGTAGCAGCGACACGACCCTTCTATTGGACCGCAATGAGGTTGGATGTGTTCGTAACGTCTGTTGTGTCTGTTGCTTCTGTTGCGGTGGTGCTTCAAAAGCGGCAGAGTGCCACCAGTTCTATTATAATCGTACCCTCCCCATGCTACGGTATCTGCAGTGCGTTCACCTTTTTACTGGAGCGTCAGTGGGCAGTCCTTTGTTGACGCGGTGCAACAGATAATGCTTCGATAACCGCTCAGCTGGTTGGACAAGTCGCCAGCACACTCTGTGCTCTGGATGGGGAGTTTATGAGCTCCCTGAATGCGTGCGAAGCATGCATAGATCGCTACCAAGGCTCCAGCACGACGAACGCCACTTACTCTATCCTAAGCTTCTATGTGAACTGGTGTGCAGAGCAAGGACTCGCAGAGCCTACTGCCTCAGTTGACCCTGAGCAGATATCGTCGTACACTGCGTCTGTTGGCTCTTCCTATGCATGGTGCGCCGGGTATCTCCTAGTATCGAGCAGCGTCGCATCCAACTGTTCGACATCCAACCGTAAGGAAAACATTGGTCGCATCGGGAACAAAGACTGATATGCGCAGCGCCGACAACGTCCACTACTAGCGCGTCTATCTCGTCGAGCAGCAGCACAGCTCCCTCGACGAGCACTAGCACAACCGCCTCTCCTCCTCGGGCGACGTCCTCCCAGCCCGACTCAACATTGGGTGCGGCGGCAGCCCCAACGCCTGCGGCAGATCATTCAAACACGGCGGCAATAGCCGGTGGTGTTGTAGGAGGAGTGGGAGGTGCAGCAGTGGTAATCATCGTCGTATGGTTTCTGCTCCGAAGACGGCGCAAGAAGCCAGCCGCACTGCAAGATGACCAAGCGGCCCACGAAAAGGCACAACTCCATTCAGACGACATGAAGCCTGACCGCAAGGAGCTGGAAGGCACACCAGCTTCTCAGGCATTGTTGGAGAAGAGGCCGACTGCAATATCGGAGTTGCCTGCAAACGGAGAAGTAGCCGACAATGCTAGACTAAAAGAGATGCCGTCGAACGAGCCCGCAGGCCACGAAATGGACCACCGAGAATGAACTCGCCGCGCCGCGCAGCTGGTTGGGCAAGATGGCAGGGACGGCTGACTCGACCACCCTGGGTAGTAGTGGTAATACCAGGACCGCACCAGCTTCATGATTTGCATATTTGCGACACAAGAACTGGATGACAGGAATAGACATAATGTGCTGAAGTGAAATCTAGTCTATGAACATCCGCCACATCTTGTCAGTGTGTCGAAGGTATCTGCAAGGGAAGTTGAAGTCCACCACCAACTCCACATTCATCGTCATGCATCGTGTGGGACGCAGTATACATAACAGACCGGGGCTTTCTGCCACGCACCCATCTCTGCCGTTGATACGCGGGTAGACGTACGGTGGCTACTCAAAAGCCACAGTCGCCCTGATCCTCCGCGTCCAGCACTCTTTCATTGCGTCTATGCAGGTGCTTCGCGCCTCGCCCGAGAGCCTGTGCTCCAGAGCCTGCTGTGCGCCTATGCCTTATGGTCGAACATCAAGAAGATCACAGGCTGCCCCTTCTCGGGAATGCGACGCCTTGGACAGCTGCATCATCTGTGAACCAGCTGACTTTGTCCGCACCGCCCTCATTCACCAGTCCACACGGAAGGGTCCGTCCTTCGTCATCAGCCTCCAAAATCTTTTTCAGGATGGCCTTTTTCCCACCACCTGTAGCGACAAATGCGATCTTATGCGCATGCGTAACAACAGGCAGAGTCAAGGTAATCCGCCTTGGTGGTGGTTTCGGACTATCTTCAATCGCCGCAACCCAGGCATCCGTCTCACGCAGCAATTTGTGCCCGGGGAAGAGACTGCAGGTGTGCCCGTCGGGCCCGCAGCCCAACAGAATGAGATCAAAGACGGGCACTCTCACTGAGTCCTTACTGGCGAAACTCGAGGTGAGCAGTTCTTGGTATTGATCCGCCAGCTCCTGTGTGTTATCCAGTTGTTCCACATTGATAGGATGAACTGTCGGAGTGCCTTGCTCTTTCGGAACCTTCTCCAGTAGATCTTTCTTCAACAACCCGTAATTGCTGTCCTCATGATCGAGAGGCACGGCCCGTTCGTCTGCGAAGAAGATCTCCCACTTCGAGAATTGTGGGGCTGAGGCAGGATCCTCGCTCTCGCCCGCGTTCAGGAGTGCTTTTGCCAGGGTAGCGGGAAGGCTGCCGCCAGAGACGGCGATTTTGAAGGCGTCATGTCGCTGAAAGGCGGCTTTCTGGGCTTGAAGGATGTAGGTGCGCAGATGGGCTGCGACTTCGTCGACTGTGGGGTAGCTGTAGAGGTTGGGTTGCTTGCCCATCTTGTCCGATTGCGTCGCTTGTGTTCAATCAAGTGTGCGGCTAGACTTTTCGTGGCTCAAAACGCTCGTGTATGGCCGGTCTTTTTCGTTTCTCGAACAGCGTCGTGGTGAGGTTGTCGGACGTTGGACAATCGAGGAGATTTACCGTGTGCGATAGAGGATCGATCCGTATCAGATGCAAAGTGGTGGAGCTCGTTATTCGGGCCGGGAGATTAATGACGCACTGCTTACCGAGTCCTATCGGAGATGGCGGCTCGGTAACCTCAACAGATGGTGTGGTGGGTGGAATGTACCATGCACGGATGAAATGAAGTTGAAGAAAAGGAAGCACCACGAATTAGACAGCCCTTGAAACTGAGATCTGAATTTCAGTTCACTGTGGCTAAAACAGGATAGACGACAGTCGCAAGTCTGCATTGCCGATCACCAGAACGTGGCTGAAGAGAGTCCAGTTGAGGCCGACGACACAATAGTCTATCTGTCTGACACGACATTTCCCCAGCCAAGCATAATACTGGAAGAAATATCCACTGCTAAGTACCAGAGCGTCCTGCCTGTCTGACGCCTCAGTTGTGAAGCATGACGGGGAACCCCAAGGGTTCTCCACCAGACGAGAAGCCGAGTTCTGACTTTGGCCCAGTAGGACGACCCAGCCACTGGGCATCGTACGAGCGGTGCGGTACTGTGGTACGAGTACTGAGTGCCTGCTAGACTGTCAAAAGTATTGCTGCACAGGTTTCTCTTGCCCCAGCAAAGTCCGGAACATTGTTGCGAGCCGGCAGCGACACTTCGTCGGCGATGGAGATTTCTGTCCATGGCCAGAAGCAACAAGTTCACTGTGAAGCGGAAGTTGCGGATCGGCTATGCTGTTCCACAAGGTCTAGAATAACCTCAGCGCTGCAACGTTCTGCCTATACGGAGAAGGACCGGGAATATACGGATGTCTCTTGCGCTCAGGCTGCGTTGCTGGGGGTGCCGGACTGTACTCCGTACACAGTACGAGGTATACTCGTACGATGAGAGTTGGACACTCGCAGTCTGAATACGTGGAGCTCGAGGAACCCCACGCACGGAGCCAGTTTAGCAGCTTCAATTGCACTGGAACAATTTTTCCGTCGGCTTAGAAAAAGCCATCCGAAAGCCTATCGGTCTCCAAGTCGTTGCCGAGGGTTGTGGCTAGAACAAATGATGAGAGATCGATGACGAAGCTAACACGGATGTTTTAACCTGACGAGCCCCCGGCCTCAAAAAGCAGGTCAAGGTGTGGCGCAGACCAATGAGACGCGCTGCAACGAGTGCTTCGCGCAGATCCCAACGGCGAGCCAAGCCGAATGCGGAACAGTCAGTTCCCGAAACGCGATGATTGGAGGGGTAGAGGATACGGAGGGGCTCCAAATTCCGGGCCATCGTGGCTTGGGCTGCGCCGCGCGTAGATTTGCGGTCCGAGATCGAACTCGACGCTGGCCATCGACATTGCACATTCCCGCTGATTGGAACCATGCCATTTCCCTTCCCTCGACGAGCCGCGACATCGAGATTCTGCATCTGCTCACGGCCATTTTTCTGCGTCGCCTTGGTTTGCCGTCATATCCAGTGTTTCATCGTGCCGTCCATGCTCCCATTACCCCGTCCGCGCGACACCATATCTCGTCTCTGCCCTCCACTTTGGCCTCGGAGGCTGTTTGCTTTGCTTCCCTTTCCTGCATCTGCCATAGCATATACACATTGCCATATTCAGTACATATTGTCTTTCTGACTAACAGTCTCTTGCTATACAAAGTACCATATCTCTGCTTACTCTCCCAACCCATCCTTCTCTTCAGCAACTCAAGCCACACAACTCCCATTTACAGCCCGCCGAGTGGCCATGGCGTCGACACCTTCAGTCTTGCAGCTTCAAACGCACGCCGCCAGCGGTGCCTCCAGGGTCAAACCCATGTCCCAAGCCGGCAAAAGCGATGACAGCATCAACACACTCTCATCAAGCCGGTCTGTTTCTCCAAAGTCATCCTTGGACATCGTGCGCTGCTCGCGGTGTCAGCGGTCCTTGAGCATTGATACCTCAATGCCTGCACACCACAGCGGTGCAGTCAAGTTTGCAATGAACTCCTACTACTGCACGAGATGTGCAAACGTCGTCGGCTTTGTCAAATGAAGTCTGTCCAAGGCAACAAATTCACATAAAGCCCCCTTCAGATTACAATCCATCCGGCTCCTTCTGGAGTCCCAATACATCAAGACCTACCTCGGTACCAAACATTCAACACACTTGTGACGTGCGATAATCCAGACCCAAAGGAGCAGATCCGAGAACAAAAGCCATCTCGTACTACGCAGGATCCAGCACATGGAGGAAGACAATGCAGTCCAATTGGACATGAATCAAAAAGATGGGGAATCGGTACTTTCATAAGAGGCATACACGGGGCAGAACGCGCCACGGTGCGACAAGGACGGCCGCCATCATGAGTCCGAAAGAGCGAGGTCGAAGACAAGCCTGTCGGGCGATTTTCGAATGCCATGAGAATCTGATGGGGTTACGACATGATGCGAGCGTGTTAGGGCGTATTTGTTTTCTTTGGCACATTTTCTAGGGTATGACATTGCATTTGGCATGCAGGTACACACCGGAGGTAGCTCGAAGCATGTCCTCTGCTGGATTGAGGCTGCATATTTCGTACACTGGAACATCCAGTAATCGAGCAATTTACACACCATCTAGACCTGTTTACAAAATGCGCTGCGTGAATCTCATCCGTCGTCGAGCATCGTGCTTTCCTCTACACAGAATGGAAGCCCAAGCCTGATGCAACCCTTGCGGTCGTGACAGGTACTGTAGCAGGCGACAGGCGGCATGACCACCAGTCTTTGCGTCAGAAGATGTTGCGCAGGTGCGAGCCGGGCCAACCTGCTCGAGCGGAGGATATTTTGGATGTCTGGTATAGGAAATCTCCAGCTCCGATCCATTGATGCTCGCTCCGAAAGCGATGGCTTCTCTCACGATGGACGAATCAACTGGAGACGAACTCCATGGCCGACGGCAACACCGGAGGAACGGCCTCTCCCCATTCGTTGTACGATGGGCGTCCCCAAGTACAGTAGCACAACAACAAGCGCCGGCTGAGATCTCGATGACAGTTCCAGCCGCTCGGTTGAACAAAGCAAATGCGCGAGCCCGAATTCTCCATCTCCCTTGTACCACCGGGGAAGCACAGCAGTGCAGGACTTAGTATCACGATGCCCATGCAAGATGGCGCAACATGGCTTGCCAATCCCAAACAAGCAGCTTCGAAACCGACCACCGTTCAGCAATCAATCTTGACGCCACCTCACAGCTGCAGCTCAAGAGAAGTGACAGGATCTCGTGTTTGTTCGGTACCCGCATGATCGCTCAACTACTGGCTATTGGTACGAGCAGTCACGTCGTTCTATCGTAGTGGTGTCTTTGGTACCGAAGTTGCGAGGGTGTCACGAACTGTACCGAGATTCCAGTGCATGCCAGCTGACCTGGGTGCCTGGGCACGCCACCAATCGCTCCTCATGCGACCGAGCACTGACTGAACACAATGGGAACGTGTTTGTATGAGCACGAGGATGTGCAAGAAGAGGCCGTTGAATTACACTGTCCCCCTTCGGAGGCTTCCTGACGCTCTGTCCCCTTCGAGTGTCGCCCAATGAAGAGGCGAAGCGAGGAAGTGAAGAGACTGGGGTTTGGACTGACATGCTCTTCCTCATGTTCGATCGGATCTATCATTGACCCGAGGTCGATGGACACGATCGCGCCAACAGGGGTCTAATCTGGGTTCTCATGCACAGGTCTGGAGATTGGTACAGTCTCTACACTGTCCTCATCTTGTCTAGCACTAGCCTGCGGCTGTCTCTCAGAGCCGGATGAACAATGGCGGATGCCGCCATCTGCTCCCCATGCCATAACCTCATAAGCGCTCTTGATTCCAGTCGGCCGCAGACTCCGTATGGGTTCACAGCAGACCGTTCCCTACGTGAGATATGCTGGGTATATTTCCAGCAAGCCCCATTTCCGAATGACAGCCCATGGCCTCTCCTCATGGGTGCCAATTCCGCGGCGCTATGACTGGCTCTTAACGGCCTAGCAAGGTCTTGCATCTACCACAATTGGCACGGACTTCTCAGCTTGCCAAATGAGGCTGCAGGGATCGCTGTTCCGATGGCCTGCTCGAACGTTGAACAAGGATAACCCGAACTCGGTCCGGTGGAAGGACGCCACCCCAGATACTCGAGCCTTCCTCGAGTGGCATAACCTCACCAGTGATGCTGCCACTAGGAGGAGAACAGGCGCATTTGCCGTATGCGAGGCAGGAGTGATATATCTGATATCACATTCTCGCAAAGGGGCCTACCCAAGGGCACCTCCGGATTATGCTGACTCGCAGCAACCTCAGTCATTGGATTTGTCCCAAGCACTCAGTGTCAACTTCCCCACCAGCCAATCTGCTTTACGTGTCTTGAACCTATACTGCCTTGATGAGAGAATTTACTGCCACGAGAGCCCAAGCCACTGTTGCACCGGAGCAAATGAGCACTGGTAGGTCGTGTGTATAAAGCACGGTTCGAGTACACTCGCAATCAGGTCTTTTCGTTCATGAAGAGTGTTGCTGTCTCTATGGACAAAACAACCATTCGGCGAATTCGAGCATTATCGCTCCCCTCTGTCTCTGTCTCGGCCTGGGGCTCATCGCTTTTTAGGGCGCATGTGGGAGAGCAAAATTGACGGTACCAGACGTTCACCCCTGCTGATTCTGGATCCGCCCGGCGTGTGCAAGATACGAGATAACCTCGCCGTTTGGAGAGGGATTCGACGGGATCGACCCTCAGTTCTCTTTTCAAGAAGAAGTCGCCATTGGGCTCCACCTGAGATCTGAGCCATATGCATCAGATCAAAGGTATAGAGGCCGACTTTCACATCCAGTTCCCGCCCACCTGCGCCGAAGGCCTCTGTCAACAAGAGTGCCAGATCCATTTGCGTCCTCTCTGTTGCCATTCGATGGAAAGAACGCGATAAGCAGGTCGAAAGCTTTGATTGATCTCGACGATTAGCCCTCAAAAGCCCTGCCAGTGTCAGCCCTTCCCCGCTATATGCGAAACTATGCCCGAAAAAGGCAACGTTCATCGACACCGGACGTCGAGCCGAGACGAAGAACAGTATATCATCCTGGTCCAACCTGTATGTACGGGAGAGGTTGGCAGACTACTCCGAAAACTGACTATGACCGCCACAGATTCCTCGCCATTGTCGATGGCAAGAGCTGAAAGACATGACCAGGAACCTCGGAGGCCAACAGAGCCTGAAAGCCGAAGTGTTCGAGGTTGGTAATGGAACCCAGATGGGGCATTGTACCATCAAAGGGAGAGCTGATGCAGTAAAGGTTTATGGTAAGTCACTACATTAGACCCCGAGCTCAGTCCTTATCCTCTACAGAGAACTTGTGCACTCGCGGCTGGAACGGCCAGCGTGTCCGCGTTCAGCTGAGTACGCGTGAAAAGAATGGCGTCCTGAGAACAGTCGAAGGACCAAAGGAGAGCAACGGGTCGGTTGACTCTGCAGCACCGGCCAGCCTGTCTCATCCTCCTAAAGGCTCTATGGCCATAGCACAGCCTGCGATGTATGTATTGAGGCCAACAGCGGCAGAGTCATCTGCTAACTCTCTCCAAGACCAGCATATACCATGGCAGCTCAACCATCAGCATCGTTGACGTGCAACCCACAGTATATCAAAGTGAACGGGTGGTCATCGCAGCAGGGAGCACCTTCTCCTCACGCCCCCAGAGGTCCAGTCGCCCCCTATGCTGCGGGCGTGTGTTCGAGTCAGCAGGTCTACCTTCCATCAACTGCATCCACACAGACAATGACCGCTCCTGCCCAATATGGCGCACACTATTCAAGCAGAGTCGGTCCAACCCCAGCCTCTCCCGTTGCACCACTTCCACCTCGTCCCATCAACGACGGGACAACAATATTCTTGTCCAGCCTCCCCTATTACCAATCCGAAAGCGAATTGTGCAGCCTCCTCAAGCGCTACGGGAATGTTCTCTACCTCGAAATCCACCCGGACCACTGCAACCCCGGCAAGAACAAGGGCACCGCACGGGCAATGTACAGGACCTTATCCGAGGCTCTCAGTGCAGTCCGCGGCCTCGACGGCCACATCCTTCGAGACCGCAAGATCAGCGTCAAGCAGGAGCGGAACGAGCCCTCTGGCCCAGCAAGGCCTAGAAGACCATTGCACACCCCCCAGGACAGCGCCAGCAGCAGCGCATCGAAGCAGAAGAAGAATGTGGAATTTTCATCAGCGGCTTCGGGCGCCAAGTCCAAAAGGTCGCGAGACGCCGTCAGGGGACCCTCCCGTGCGAGCGATAGGCCTCAGCGGTCTATCTCGTCTACTGGATCGGGACCCCTCGTGGTCAACGGTGCCGCCGCCCAAAGAGGCAGCCAGGCAGCAGCGTCGTCGAGGGATAGTGATGACAGCAGTGAGGAGGACAGCGATAGCGATGACGATAGCGAGGCTTCATCCGCTGACGAGGAGGACGGTGTGCGAGAGGTGAGCTAACTCCCGCGAGAGGCTCTTGGTTTGATTTCCATTGCCTGCCAGACTGCCTCACGTGTGAAGTTCTATTTTCGACTTCAATCTCAGGATTACATAGCTAACTTGCGCGCGTCAAGGTGGCTCGCAAGATGCACGACCACAGGCTTTGAACGGTCATTCGTCCATCTGCGCAACGCGACGCGCTGCAACACTGGCGCACGAAACGGGGGCAGGGCACAGATGAGCTCGACCCAGCTCCGCCCGGCCCAGGACGGAGGCCAGATACCTCTGTGGTTTCGTACTGTTTCTCGGACAACTTCGCGACCCATTGGCCCGTATCGGTACTCTTTGTTGTTGCTATTGCTGTTACGGCTCTTTATTTGTTGTGTTCGCCATTTCCTGGTCCGTCGCTTTTATCTCTAAAGTACCATCGCGTCGCATTCTCGCATCGCAAGTGAAGTTTGAAGTGTCGTCAAAATATCTGTCTTGGGATAGCATATTCAATTGTATCGCTTGTCTTGTTCTCGTCCTTTCCGAAACACGGCATGGGGATCGGTGGATAGTCGAGATGAGATATCATTTATGTAGTCCTCTTTATACTTATTGAGATACAAGCCCATGAAAGTCAGGGATGTCAAGATCACAATCGACGTGATTAGGGAGATCGAACTTCCTCTTCGACTTCCTCTTCGACTTCCTCTTCTGCCGCACGACTTATGTACCGGCAACCGGGTTCTGGGCTGATCTGCGTATAATCTATATTTGTTAATGGTGTTGGGTTGCCTTCCACTGCGCCGAGGTCCACCGAGTCTACATACCCGTCTGTATACCGTAGTGGTAGGGAACTCATCCATCGTCGTCACGGCATTACCATCGCACAATATGCGAACTATACCCACGCCGGCGAGTGTTCTCTTACAGTAGTATAACAAATAGCTGGAAGTGTGGACACGTGGACACATGAGACAGGCCAGAGCAAAGCAAAGCGAAGCAGAGCAAAGCAAAGCGAAGTAAAGCAAAGCGAAGCCAAGCAAGGTACAGCAAGCAAGCAAGGTACAGCAAGCAAGCAAGGTACAGCAAGCAAGCAAGGTACAGCAAGCAAGCAAGGTACAGCAAGCAAGCAAGGTACAGCAAGCAAGCAAGGTACAGCAAGCAAGCAAGGTACAGCAAGCAAGCAAGGTACAGCAAGCAAGCAAGGTACAGCAAGCAAGCAAGCAGGGCACCTAGACATGGACACCGAGGCGATACACTAGCACACTAGACCCAGTACAGCAGAAGATGAACTGTCCGGATCGTTCTATCGGGCTCCTAAGTTACAGTAGGTACAGTAATTACTGACCTTTGCGCCGAAGGGCTCATATTGTACCGCATACTACTGGTATCTATAGGCGCACAGTACTCCGTAATTATGCGTATACTGCGTACATAATTACTCTTCTGGTTCAAGAAGGGGGACAGACGGCGGTAGACCAGGCATGCCACGCTCTTTGGGATTCGATCCCCGATCTGACCGAGTCGGATCGGATTGGATGTCATCTGGTCGGCTGATCCAGGATTGTCCTCGATGTAATTAGGTCGTTGCTCCAAGGGTGCATTGCATACACATACAGTAGGTATCTATGGCGGGTGGGAACTGCACCTCGCATTATGGCGACCTATATACATACTTAACGCTGGCGAGATTGCAATTCCGACTGTTTGCCAGGTCTGACCCAGATCCAGTCAGGATGTTTGGTTTGCTTGCTGCTAAGTATACAGTACTTGCTTGGTTGGGAGGTCGCTCCTCTGCGGTGGGCTGACTATGTACCCGTAGCCGTTCGTTCCATGCACGCTGCCCGAACAGCCTTCACAGGCCAGTCCAACTCACACACCTCACGTCGCGTCGCTAGCTCGTCGAACTCGTACTTGTACGCAAGTACATTCCCTAGCCCTGGTATACCCAGCCAGTCCCCTGCCTCGAAATTTTGCTGTTTTTGGCCTTTCGAAAGTTCCATTCCGGATATTATACAATATACCTCCTTCGCTACCACCACATGGTCATTTGCATACGATTGCAATCTAGCCTGGCCCCTCGTACTATGGTGGAGCACCCTCAGTTGAGAAGCCCACAAGATTCCAGTTCCAAACAAAAAAGGGGGATATCATTACTGCTACCTCGCCCACCGCTCGCTAAAAGGACCCCTTTTGTCCAAAGCCCGTGGACGTCAAACGAGATCATGAATAAAATGCACTTTTCTGAAAACTCTCGACGCTAATGTCCCCGGGCTTGCCTTTCAACTCGGGCGCCTTGGCCGGCATGGGAACTTTGTTCATCCCGCTCGTCCCCGCGTAGATCGAGCTTAGACTCTTCGTCCTATCTGCTTGCTCAAGCAATAATTTCTGGGCCGGGCCCTCTGCTTTCATCGTCTGCGTACGGCTCCCGGGCGCCGATGCAGTTTGCCCTCCCTGGGTGATCTGGGCTTGTGTCTTCGGCGCGGGCCGCTGAATGGGTTCGAGATACGGCGAAGGCAGGTAGCCCATTTTGCCGTCGCGGGCACGACACCGCCACCATTCCGAGGCATTGCCCACGGGATCGGTCTTGCTCAGTACGGCGACAAAGTCGCCTTTCTTGACCTCGAGATCCATCCCGCCGGACTGAGGGGTGGGGGTATAGTCATAGAGCACGCGGCAGAAATCCAGTTTTCGCGGGTCGATGGGGACTTGCTCGCCGTTTTGGTTCGTCGTGTATGTGAGGGCACCGGCTTGTTGTTGCCGCTTGAGTTCTTCTTCCTGGGATCTAGCCATCGCGCGAATGAGTTTGCCCATTAGGTAGGGTAGACCAAAGACGGCAATTGCAAACATGATGAATGGTTTTTTGGAAGGGCGAGCCGGGGCTGGGGAGCCATCTGGTAACGTTGCTGGCACGGAGTTGCCGTTTCCTGACATGAAGGAGGAGAAGGCGGCCGGGGTCAAGGCTGTGGCATCTGCTGGGGGTGGACGGCCTGTGATTTTGGCGATCAATGTGCGCATCCAGCGCAACAGTGTGAAAATGCCGAGCACGGAGCCGAGCGTTTGGCGCAAATTGCCGAGTTGTTCGGCCATGGAGACCATCGCTACAAGGGCGTCAGTGATAGCTCTTGCACGCTTCTGTCACGGGAATCTGCCTCACCAAAAAAGCTCGAATGCGTCGTCATGTACGCGCTCTCCAACATTTGCGCAAAACCACCGAACGCACCCACTATGCTCTCCATAATCTGAAATGTCGCCGCTGTGCTTTGGTTCCACGTCTGCGTCAGCGACTGGTTGTTTGGGTTGTTCGGATCCATCCCTGGGTTGAACCCGCCGTACCCTCCTCCATACATGTTGTTGCCGTACATGCCACCTCCATAGCCGTAGCCGCCGCCACCGTACATACCTCCGCCGTACATGCCACCGCCCATGCCACCGCCGAAGCGAGAGTACGGCGAGCTGTAGGATGAGTACGGAGAGGAATAGGGACTTGAGTTCATGCCGAAGCGATTCTGGTTTGTGAAGTTGGAGGCGTTCTGGTTGACCACCGAGTTGAGTGTTGATGGGCGATCGGGGAGCGTTGGCGCGGCGGACGGGAGAGCATCTGATGATGGTGCCGTCATTGCAGAGGAGGCTATGGGCGTGCTCATACCAGAGGTAGCTGTCGACAGTAAGTCCCCGAACCTGGGGAGTCTGGGGTGCGGAGTTATTTACCGGTCGAGGCAGCACGCTCCCACGGCTTGGGCGGCGAAACTGTCGTCATTCTCTGTTATCTCGACATTGTTTATGTTTGCGCGGTGGAGTGGAGCGTTGGGTCGAGAGGGCAGGAGCACGGAGTGACAAAGTATGGCGACAACGTATAGCCGGATCGCTTACGGTCGGTGGCTGCGTCTATGATGGTGAACAGGTTGATGTTGTTCTAGCTGACATTTGATCAGTTGGGGCGCCGGGAGGCTGGAAATTGAAAGAAAGACACAAGATGCCGAGGATGTTTGCGGAGGTGGAGAGGGTCGGCCATGCCAGACACGGTTTAGTCGGCTGCATCGCTTCATCTCAGGGCGAATCTCGACGACTTGCATCTTCGGTCGGCTGAAGTCGGGCCAGAGGAATGTCAGCAAGGTCTTGCAGGAAACGGGTTGCATATATTACTATGCTGCTGGGGCTGCCCTGGTAGGAGCCATTACGGAAAGAACACGTCGCGTTCCTTCACTTCCTTTTCACTCGACACTTTACACATGCTTGGCATGACAATCACCACCACACCTCAGCACACACGCCAGGTGACGAAAAGTCAAAAACTCTGCCATGAACCCCAGTTGAATAGGAGGTCATGGTGAGCGAAAACCGTGGGTCGGTTTTTCCGTCGGTCCTGTTGATGATCGGTGCCTGGATTTCTGGTTCTGGATTCCTGGGTTGGCTGGGTTGGTAAGCTCTGTCGAAATCCCAAGACATCACCACACAAGGAGTACGCCCCAGGGTGGCCGGTTAAGCCTCGCTCGAATTACAAATTCATCCTCGTATACACTCGGATAGCCTTCTACGCAGCGAGGGTGCCTTGGGAAGAGCCACAGTTGAAGAGTCGAATCGAGTTGTCGACAATTCGTCACTGGAACGCCTTCTAGCCCGGTGCTAGTTTGTCCTGAACCAGCAGAGGAATTGTTGGCAGGAATTCGACAGCCATAAAATATATGTGCACATTTCTGGGCCGAGGAGGCTGAATGTGAATCGCTGGCGAAGGTGAAGTGAAGGGCGGACCCGGTGCACAACCGACTCCAGCCCAATCCTCCTGTGTCGACCGCGGAATATCAAGCACGAAACGAAGAATGTCCCAATTGTTCGGTAATAGGAGCAACGTCACCCCTTCCTAAACCCGGCTTTGGCTCACGAGAGACCTCTACAGACAGATGTTTTGACAGAACTTGGAGTTGGTCTCACAGCCGGCGACCTGCCGGGACACAATGATAATAACGGTGTCATGATGTCTGACGGTGAGCTACGACGGAGAAGAGCATACCACGAATGGGCTACCCATTTTGTCATTTTTCTGTACCAATACCAGCACTTCCTTGCCCCAACTCATCACTGAATGGCCGAGAACTTCGTCGGCACCAAGAAGCTGCTCGCGACCTTGGCATTGATTTGCCCATCCTTCTCGCTGTTGGCTCTGGCTTCAATCCACTCCGGGTCGTTGAAAAAAGCATTCCACTTCTGCTCCCGATCGGCAAGAGATTCCCACGCCAGCATGTAGGTCAGGTCGTTGGCATCGGGCCCCACGAGCGTCGTCCTACATGAATCCGCCACGTCAGCTGGGAATGCTCATGCGAGTGTCCTGTTGTCTGAGAAAAACAGCCGGCTGAATACACTGCTCGCTGACTCCAGTCTAGCCATAGAGTACGGGACGTACCAGAACCCCAACTGCTTGATCCCATGTTTCTCCCAGATCCTGAGCGTGTGGTTCTCGAATCTCGCGAGCAGGTTTGGCATGCGGCCAGGGAGGGTCGTGTAGATGCGGAGTTCGTAAATCATCTTTGCTCGATTCAATGCGCTTCGCTCTGTCTTTCTCGTTCTTGGATCTGGCCGACGGGGAGGATAGGTTGCTGAAGGACCTCAAAGATAAGTCGGCAATTGAATCTCAACCCTTGCTTATGATGGTTCCCTCCATATCCCACCTCTGATATATGAGGGGGTCTGTCCTCTCACGCTGTTGGAGATCGCCCGAGGGACTGGCCTCATCGGTCATCCGGCGTGCAGCAATGCGGGGGTTTCTCTTGATCGTACAAAGTAACAGTAGGTTCGAAGGACATGGCCGTGATCGGACAGTTCATCTTCGACTCTGCTCGTGTACGAGAGGAGATACTCCAAGTCGAGTTGCGAAACTACAGGGAGTCCGCAGTGACCATTGTTCGGGGCATTACGTTCCCTATTAGCTGAGACCACTAGGTGTCCTTGGGCGCACCGACCACGATGGTCGTTAGTGCCTAGGTAGGCAGCTTCGGGGCTGGGGGCGAGTTCTGGAGGTATGTAGTACTGTAGGTTCTACAAGTGTGCCGTGCGGCCTGCTGCAGACAGTAGCTAGCATTACCACAGTACAGAGGTGGTTCAGTTAAAGATCTGGGGAGCACCTACAGTACTGTGTAGCTGGCTACACCCCAGTTACACTTTACGCTGTGGGGTGCTGCGCACTGTGCATCTCTGTGGGAGGGACCACTCAGGCTTCCACCTGCGCGTTCTAGGTATCGCCTGATCTCCTTCCGGCCTCCCCTCCCGCGCTTATCGTCCCTACTGCGGGGATGGTGCTTGAGTGAAGGGCTGCTGCCTGCCCGCTGCCTAGGGCTCCTACAGCACAGCATCTACGATCTCCTTCAGCGCCTCGGGCCAGCTAGTTGACCGGACCTTTTTGCTCCTGGCTGAAGCTGTCCACATGCACAGTACTGTGGTCAACGGTCAGGCTTGACCCATGCCCCCAACAATGCCGTTCTAGACATTTCCCATACTTTGACGGGCCATATGCCAGGACGAGCGTGGTGGACCCTCGAACTACGGGTGGTCTTTGTCCCCACCTGCAATCCACGATGCTCCCTGCTCCATATGTACAGAGTACAAAGTATCGGCTTGCTGCTGTAACCACAAGTACATACGCCGTACTCCGTACTCTGTACCTTGATGGAGCACAGCATTCGTACGTATCTCTGCTCAGCCGTCTGACTACATCGGACTCTGACTGTCCATGTCTTCTGCTCGGTTGGCACACGAGTCACAGTCCTTGTACTCCCTGCGCCGGTTCACTAATCAGCAAACCAGTCTTCGTAATGCAGGCCATAAGTGGATGAATGTAGACCACAACAGTCCTTGCTCCGCCTCGCCGAGCCGACCGAGGTCAATGAACCTTGCGTTCGCCCATACGAGTACCCGGACTCCTACAATACTACTTACTGTACTCGTGTATGCGTAGTCATCTATTTGTTCGCCAGGTGGCCTGCGTACAGTATATACACGGAAATTCTACCCAAGAGCCAAGGTACGGTGGTCATCCTTCTTTCTGCACGACCTCGGCTCCTCGATTCAGTAAGACTTGACTCCTTACATTAGAAGCTGCTACTCGTGCTACTCGTGCTACTTGCTCTACCTAACTTAAAGACACCAAGAGGATTTCCCGCCCGACGCTACATCTTCCACCTCCCGATAATCGATAATCCTGTGGGTACCTCTGCGGGACATCCGCCGACAAAATGCCCTCCATAACAAGCCACACCTTCACCACCACGACCAGCCAAAAACCCTACACCTACCTGACGGCCGGGCCTACAACAGGGCCTCTTGTCATCTTCCTCCATGGCTGGCCCGCCATTGCGCTGACATGGAAACCACAACTCCTCTCCCTCTCATCGCTGGGCTTCTACTGCGTCGCCCCAGACATGCCCGGCTACGGCGGCACCTGGACGTCGAGCGACCCGGCGGACTTTGCGCTCGAGAAAATCGTGCCCGATCTGCTGGAGCTGTTGGACAGTCTGGGGAGGAAGCGGGCCGTGTGGGTTGGCCACGATTGGGGATGCGGCCCGCTCTGGGCACTGGCAAGTCATCACCCAGAAGTCTGTCGTGCCATGGTGGGCATTTCGGTGCCATACCGGACGCTCGAGCTCGGCCTTCCTGCGCTTCTAGAGCTGATCGACCGCGGCTTGTACCCGGAGAACGAGTACCCCTACGGACAGTGGGATTATCAGGTCTTCTACGAACAGGAGCCCAAGGCCTTGGACAGGCAGTTCGAATCGAACCTCCCGGTCCACTTGAAGTTGGTGTACGGGCGAGGGAACGCCGTGGCGGGGAAGTCGCCTGCACGGACCGCCGTGGTGACCAAGCATAAAGGCTGGTTCGGCGGTCCTGGGGCGCCGGTGCCAGACTTTCCACTTGAGAAGACGGTTCTGGACCAGGAGATGCTCGATGCCCTAGTTGAGAGTGCGAAGAAGAAAGGCTGGCACGGGGCCACAGCATGGTACTTGAACCACGCCGCGAACCGCAAGTACACGCTCGAAAAGAGCGCGAATGACGGCGTGTTGAAGATGCCAGTGTTGTTCGTGCACACCGAGTACGATGCTGTCTGCCAGACGGTATATAATCCGAGGCTCATGCAGGAGATGCGCAAGAAATGCGAGAATTTGACAGAGTTTGTGATCAAAGCAGGCCACTGGGGTGCGTTGGAGTGTCCTGAGGAGGTGAATTCGGGAATTGTGGACTGGATCAGGAAAGATGTCAAGGAGTGGTGGCCTGGGCCAGAGCTGAAGAGTCGGTTGTGAGAAGAAGATGAGAGACAGTGGCTGAGGAGGTTGCGACTGTCGCGTGGTGCTCCTTGCTGGAGGAGCCGTCGCAGATGAATTCCATACTTCAACAACCCTGCCAAATTCCTTCATGATGAGAGTAGTGACCCTCCTCATCGAAGTTTTCGGCTGTTCACAAGGCTGTCCCCATCCGTTTGCCGCCGAAGCATGTCCAGGAGCTGGTCGCATTTCTACGCCTCCTGTGGGCGTTCGCCATAGTTAAAAGAAGTCTCGAATTCGGCTTTCCAGTTCTGCACCTGTGCTCAAATTCCTTCCTCAATGGTCTTAGAATGCAAGGAGATTCAGCTATTTGTGCCTGGACGTGGCCTGCGAATGATGAACACACCTCTTACAGCCTGCACAACCCGGTCACTGCGTCCCTTCAACACGACAGGAAATACTCCAAGTGTGGATTTGGGGTCCGCGGTCGGTTCATTCTCGTACGTACACACTCACAGAACTCTACGCCGTCCTTCGTTTGGAAGGGTGGGATACTCCTGGGCCGAGTGCAACAGTGTATTGCCGCCGGCTGGATGCATTCGAAGGTCTAGATGTAAGCGGACCAGTTTGAAAGACCTCAGCGAGTGGAGAAAGCTCCATGCCTTTCGCTCTCTTGCCGTGCACGGCATCATTGATCGAGTCTCGACCCGAACACCAGCGGCAAGCCTAAGCCACTTCAGGAGGGCGGACGGCGAGAGGGGACGAGGTGTTGGCGATCACTTTGCCTTGCCAGTTCTGAGGGCCTCTATGGTAGCGGTTAGCTGCACCGTAGCCCAAATGACGGCTGGCTGACCAACCACTCGGCCACGCGCAACCTGGTACGGGCGCTCGCAGGTAGGCTGATAACACACTGTGCTGTTGCTGTGACTCGTGTCGGGGAGACCGCTTGATAACATAGCCACGACCTTGTCTTTTGTCGCTTTGTCGCTTTGTCTAGTCACATAGAGATTTTGCCGGTGGTGAATGTTATGTCTTCGGCTTCTTCGCATTGTGTGGAGAATGAGCGGCATGCTCGTCCTCTGGACGTTCGGCTGCATCACCGAGTTTAGACCAAATGCCCTTGAAGCGGAGTACCTCATCAGCCTTGGGCCGATGAACGCTTTGCCATGAAAGCATTTTCTCGAGTGTGTCGGCAATAGATCCGGGACGAGACCTCAATTTGCGTATGATCTCCTTGTGAGCGGTGTTGCTGACGCCCTTCTCCCACCTGCAGGGCTCCTGGAAGAACAGTTGATACGCGGAAAGTCCCATCGACCAGACATCGACCCGGCAATCATAAGCATCGTGTCTCAAATTCCTGTTCTTCTCGTACTTGAGCCTCAGTACTTCGGGTGCCAGGTAGGCGATGGTGCCGCAGTAGTGGTCTGTCGAAGTGGTGTCGAAGGTGGCACTGCCATAATCAATGATGATGGCATGTACAGGCTGGTAGGAAACAAGCATCATGTTGGTAGGCTTCAGGTCCCTGTGCATGATTCCGTGCTGATGGAGGTGGGCCAATCCCTTCATAACTTGGTGGAAGGCAGACAATCGGACCTCACCTGGCTTTTTCGATAGTGTCAGGTCGAGAAAGGTCTGTCTGGCCAAAGGTGAGTGTACCAGATACACATCATTGATCTTGGATTTCCCAGTGCTGTACTCGTCACCTCCAGAGTAGAAGTCTGCCATAAGGTGGCAGAGATTTGGATGGTCACCAATCTTCCTATAGATTTGGATCTCCAGCTGTATCCTTGCCACTGTCGCTGGTGTACGCTTGACGCGTTTGATGGCAACTGCCCGGCCCGTTGATTTGTCGAAGCCCGCCGACACCACACCGCTGGCGCCGGAGGCGAACGGAGAGTGTATCAGAAAGCCATGTAATTCATGGTGATGTTCGAGAGGCGTCAGCTCGAGAGACATGGGCGGGACGTCGCCATCAGGATGGAGCTTTGTGAAAAGCTCTCCCAACTTGTCGCGGTAGCTGGTCTCGTTCAAGCCTGTGAACTCCAAGTTGTAGGACAAGTTACCGAAGGCGAGCGCCGTGCGGACCGATCCAATTACCCGCTGAGAACCCTCCACCCGCTCAATACCATTCACAACAACAGCCTTTCCCTTGCCGACAACGAGCATCAATGCGCCATTCTGCGCGTGTACGAGACGAGCATGCCTACCGTGGACATGATGCCTATTTTTCTGGAGGGTCAACAGGAAGTCTACACCATCATTGGGCAGATCCTTTCTACCAGAACCAAGCACCCAACCGAGTCGAGGGTGGTTGGTGATCAGATCGAGGCTGAGTCTATAGTAGCCCGCTAATACTTGACCCTGCTGGAGCGGGCCCGTCGCATCGCTATTGGTATCACTAGTACCATCCCATTCGGGTGAGATTGCTCGGGGCGTATCCTCGATGAAGAGGAATCTCCGGATATGCGGGTTCCAGTCTGGCTCAAGCCGGGTGCGTTCAGCAATGGAATGAAATGCAAGGATAGCATTATGATTGACAGGCACTAAGCGAGCAAAGTCACCTCTTAGCTTCGCGTTTGTTCTTGGGCTGAAAAAAGAATCCTCCAGGAGCAGAGTGTCTGGAGAATTGGGAATAGTTTCGGTCCCGTCTTCGTCGGCATTGGCCATCGCAAATCTGGAAAGAATGCCACGTAGGAAGGATGGTTTGTTGGTGGTCAGTAATCGGTTTTATAGGGGCCCCAAAAAGGCGTCGAGCTGCAACAGGCAGACGCTCCGCGGGCACTACCCCTGGTCATCTGGTCACTGTCATCTCGACGCGTTCTTGGACTGTCGATAGACTATCTTCATCGAAGAACATCAGCCATGAAAGGCAGTACTCGGCATCATCACAGGATGCACACTGGAAGTACACCGGTATCCACAAGCATATTCAATGCCACAACAAACCGTCCCGTCGCGGTTGGAGTGGCGGTCGCTGGTCGCAGTGCGGCACGGCGCTTGTTCGCGGCCAAGCCCGGAGTTTCCCGTAATTGCCGGCTTGGCAGAAGCGGCACGTGCACGGCGGTGGCTGGCACCCAACAACAACGTCGTTTGTCTGATTCCAGGACTCACAAAGCTGGCATCATCCACCAAACCACCTCGTAACCCTCTGAAAACATGTTCATACCGCTCTGATGTCGGATGAGAATAGCTGGACCGAGTCACGGACGCGATCCCCGTCTGTCGTCCCAGATGAGGGCATCCGCGGCTTCCTCGAGGAGAAGACGGCAAACCTGTTCGCCACCCAGCTGCAGTCCAGATTGACCACCCTCGAACAAACCAAAGAGACGCCGAAATTCCTCAGGCGCAACTCTTACGCCCTCTACTTGGAGGGACATTTCGCCCTCCTCGACCCCCGCGAACTCCAGCGCACCTCCCTTAGTCCTACCCCTCCTTCCAGTGACGACGATTGGACCAGTGCTGCGCGCACACCTGAACCGCATTTCAAGGCCAGCACCAGCAAAGTGTGTCCTGACGAGAGTTTGTACACTCGATTGAGGACCCGACAAGGCCGGATCGAGCGCAAGCGGCAGCGACGACGACAGGACAAGATAAGCCACAGGATGGCCCACAAGCACAGTCACCGCATGTTACGGCGGTCGAAACACAAATCCAATGCGCTCTTCTACGAACTGGACTGGATAGGGAGGAATGCAGTGGCCGTGTGCCAGATGACGGCAGATTATTCCCAATCAAGCAACAAGAAAGGCTGAGAGGGCCCAAATCGGCAACACACTTACCACAAACCTCGCTGACAGGGTTCGATGGCCAGTGCCAGATTCTGCTTCCCAGGAGAGAAATGCATCCCATTGATGGAATTTCTCAACTGCATACCGACAAAGATCCCTGCGCAGGCCCATGGGTGGCCGCCCCACCGACCGAGCCTTGTCACTGCCATTGGTGGCGCAGTCCCCGAGAGTGCCATGCCACACTTCAAGCAGGGCTCTTACCTGAAAGATTTCAGCATCGCACGACTGTGTTGGACACGCGGATTTACCATCCTGCCAAAGTCGGCTGTCTGTTGCTGCCGCTGTTCAGCAACAAGAGCAGGCACTTGACAGATCAGTAAGACAAATCTTCGGCCCTGGGTGATGGTCCCATAGATAGGCTTTCCAGTCTGGGACCTGCCCCGTCAAGCAAGAAAGCTTCAGCTCATACCGTGGTAGAGCTGTGAGCTAGAACATCAACGTCGAAGGTCGATGTTACCAAGAGTTGGTGCCACATGTTATGCCTGCTCCGTGGCACTGTGGATGGATGTGAGCAGAAGAGATGATCGCACGCTGTTGGCGCCCCTAAATTGATACTCATGTACTGTACAGGCTGATATTGTTTCCTTTTGATACCCCCAAATCAAGGCGTTGGCTAGCGATAATTACAATACAATGTCCCACTTTGGCTTCAGACTCGATCAATATCTAAACAGCCTCGCGACCGTGATCGTTGGCCCGTGTGCTCTCGTAGTATGCCATTCTGCCTTTCCATCCACTGACATGATCAATACCTTACAGCCTCGCCTTCGTGATTCATAACCCTGTGCTCTCGGAGTATGCCATCCTGCCTTCCACCCACCACCACGTCACCCTCATATGGACTTGAGAGTCTCTACCCAAGACCATACTTCCTACGATTGACGTGGCACCCCGCACAACCTACCCAGCAATCCCACCCCCCAAGCACGGCTTCACGGCTACCCAACACAATACATCGTGGCACATTCCCTCCCATAACATACCGCCACGGATCCAGATCTCACGACAATAAACCCCACCGCCACAATACTCAGCGCCCCCAGCACCGCCGCCAGGATCAAATGCCATATCGTAAACGTTCGCGTCGACTTTCTGACCCGGCTGACCTCGGGCGCATACGGCCCGACCATCTTCTTGATGGGCTTGACGTTGTCGGTGAGTGCGGTCTTGACGCCGCGCTGCATCCCGGGGAGGCCGTCCATGCTCCATGCGTTCTTGTAGGCCCAGTACCTGTGCACAGGGGCGGTGTAAGCCAGTGTAAACCAGTTGACCCAGAATCGACATCAACATCAACATCAACATCAACATCAACATCAACATCAACA